TATTGCGGCGCGTGAGCATCAAATAAACGGTCTAACCAAAAGCAAAATAATACAACAGCGGAAATAGCTGAAGCGATAAAGCGAATAAAAGCAACAAGGCGAAAATCTCGATTTCAATAGAAAGGCGTTTTAATTTTAAACATAATTCCAATTAAATGATTGTTTATGCAGAGCCTTAAATCGTATTTAGTGACCCTAACTCCAATTGGACACGTGCTCTGATTGGACTATTTGGCTCAGCTGTTTTAGCCTTCTTTCGTTCGTACACCTTTAACAAACCAGCTATTGGAGATGTCTGCAATATGCAATAACTCAAAGTCGTCGTAAGGCATACACGTCCTGCCGCTCAGCCTAAAGGCAGACAAGAGGCGTTGCTTAGGGGGCGGGGCGGTAAAGCTGACAGACAGGTAGCTGAGCAATGTTTATTTCACAGGCGTAATAATGCGTTACACAGTAAGAAAAGATTTAGTAACTTCATTAATATAGTAACTTGTTACTAAGATTAATAAAAAAATAAAAAATAAAATAAAATTAAATTATATTAAAGAAGCCTGCGACTGGAGTTGAACCCGGAACAACTCGCTTGACAAGCAGACGCCTTGCCGCGGCGCCACAGTTCTTAGCAAAGTAAAATTTATTTTTTTAATTTGAAATTGCAAACAAAATTGAAAATTATTGCATTTTATTATAAATATATATAATATGTTAAACAAAATTTAATATTAATATTAATAAAATTTAATTTAAGCAAAAATTTAAAAGTTATCAAAGTTTTTTTCTCACTGCATAGCAAGCTGAGCAACCCCTTCCCCTAGACGACCCCTTTATCCGGTGCAGACAAAGCGTCGTCTGGAGGGAAGCGTGGAGTGGGCATAGAAAGAGATAGAGTAGGTGACAGGTGGGGAATGTCGCAGACAAAAGCAAAGACAGTTGCTGGCTTGAAGCTTAAGGCAACGGCCGCAACGGCTTTGGCAGCTCACTAGACACATAAAAGGTGGCTCATTGCGCATGCTGAAGGCATCAAGGCAGCCAAGAAGACCCACCGCAAAGCGAGTGCATCTGATGATGTGCGCTATATATATTATGAATCATACTGAGCCTATACAATCACTATACCGTTAATAGGCAAAGCATGTAGACAAGGCAGCTAAGAGCTGGTGCTGGTCAGCCAACAGGTTTGCAGCCAGCATTGGCATGACAAACGCTTTTAGACCATGTACCGAGCACCGAGCGTATTGTTACCTTTTTGATTATGATTCATAATTGTTACAAGTGTTTATTGAAAGGGCTTGGCACCACTTTGCGACCAGTTCAAGCCCGGTTTATGGCCATAATAGAGGGCGCTGTTCAATTGATATGTAATGGGCATATGTAAATGGCCAAAAGTGCTAACTGAATTAGTCAGCAAAGCAGCAGTTGGTTAAGTAGTAAAGACTATAAATGCTCTACAATATAATAGGTATGCAGGAGATATTATAGTAAGAGACAAAAAATTATCAAAAACAAAATTTCTCAAATGAAAAGTCTATCATAAAATTTACTTTAATAAACTAAATTTCATAGGTTGACATTCTAAAGCAATTTCAAGCACAAAATAACTTTTACTTTAACATTAACCTTAACTGACATATACTTTAGGATGACCAATGCGACAAGTTAACTGTAATTGTGCTTAAAATATGAGGTGGCAAAACTACCGTAAGCTCTGAGTCTCCATTCAAAATTGCACCCTTTTGGCCAACCGCAGCGGCTGTCAAATTGGCCGCAACATGTGGGCCAGGTAGACATGCTATACACTCATTTGGAGGCCCCTCTTTATAAAGGCGACATCTGTCATTGTCTCAAGCTGGTTGCTCGCTGCTAAAGCTTATCAAAAAACATTTTCGCTTTGGCGCCAATTTCACAAGAAACACGCGACTGCAGTTAAAACGGCGACGAGGTGAAGCGGGGGTCCAAGTGATTTCTTTAACAAGATATTTTAAAAAATATATAGAATGCTATATATGTGTATATAGACATTATAGGTAATATATATATAATAATAATATATATTAGCTTATATAAAAAGCCGCTGTTATTTAGAAATTACCTTTGATATCTAGTAATATATAGAGAATTATATTATTTTACATAAATTAGATTTATTAATAATTAAAAAAATATTATTAGTAAAGACTGCTTGTAGAAACGATCGTTACAACATCTATATTATACAAACGTATAATTTAAAATATAATATATATAGAATTTAGTGAAAAATTTCAAATCGTATTTACGTTATGATTATTTTGATTTGGAAAATCCTTAGTCTCGCAGCATTGAGCTAACTAAACAGTTCCTAAACCTCAGTTCCTAAACAATTGTTTCTATAGCAAAAAAAAAATAAAAAAATTATAAATATTATATATATATATTCAAAATAAAGAAATTTAGCTGATGCAGAAGTCAGCTAAAACCCTGACATATTGTTGTTGATTTTGAAGCAGATCTCAAGCGACTGTTCCTATAACAGCTCTATATTCTATAAAAAATATATATATAATTTTTCTAAAATATTGATATAAAAGTCAGCTAGTTGTTATATAAACAGGATGTAGCAAGAATTTGTTGAAGATTTGAAGCAACTGAACGAAAACAAAACTCGCCAATAATGTTTCCTAGATATAGTGTGACGATCTGTGTCTGAGTTTCATATAAATATAAACTGCAGCGATAAGACGCAGCTCTGCCAAGTTTCAATACAATTGCTACGCTCCGAGCTCAGTTCACATAGTTCTTGGGGCATTGTGAATGATAAAATGATGCGAGTGCCCGTTATGCACAAGCCTAAACACATTAGGGACTTTAGGGCCAGGCCATGCTAATCAATTTATGCTTCTTGCTGCTCAACTAAATCAATTAAAAAACTAAACTTAAGAGCTTGTAGGTTAACTTACCTAAGGCTCGACGTGGGGATAATCCTTTTAAGTGTTTCTTTTTTTTTGTTGTATTTCTCGTAGCCCAAGGGGTGCGGCAACAACAACAAGCGATAGAGCGAGACAGCAAGCGAGCGAAAGAGAGAGCGTTTGCTGGACAGCTAAGGAAAAAACACAGTCGCTACACTTGAAAAACTTTCGGCCTTTGGGTGGGGTCCGCGTGTTTGCCCTTTTTTTTTGAAGTAAGTTAAATTTGTATATTTTGCTTCGATATTTATGGAGTACTTCAAATTTACGAATGCCCCACAGTATTTGGCATATGTTAAAGACACACTCGCACGCACACACACACACAAATGCACAGAAGTTTGAAACTTTTTGATTACAGTTATTGGAAATGCGGCACGGCTAACAAAATATATCTATTTTCGACTAAGGGTGGTTTTGAATAAGCCGGAAAAAACCACGACGCCAAATATGTTCCGCAGGGTGGGCGTGCACGAGCCAAACAAATACGATTCGCCTCAAGTGCGAAATTTAATAATTTATTAAATATAATAATAATATAAATATTTATTTAAATAAATATTTTACTTTATTTTTTTTTGTATTTTGGCAACTCAAGTCAACGAAACTAGTTAAGAGAGACTTCCGTACGCGACGAAGCAAAGCCAAAAACTCCAGAGCCCAGAAGTTAGTGAACTTCGTGAGGATATGCTAGCGCGGCTGGCGCGTTTTCCAATTGGAATTGCGTCCAACAAACGACGTTTTGACTCTACACAACTGCTGAAAGGGGGTGTGTCTCCGTTCGGCTCTATTTGCCGGCACTGGAAGCCGAACAGCTGGCTGAGCAGCAGGGTGTGTTTGATGCCCAACCACAAAGGTCCCCGTGGAGACTGGAAGGACATCAGGCACGACCCAAGGCGAATAGCGCCGAATGTTTTTCGCCGACTGCCGATTGTCGCATTTGTTTTGAAACGAAACGCAAGCGAAGCGACCGGTCGGGCAGCTGTGCTCCCATTCACAATCAACGCTCGCACGCACGCACGCAAACACCCCCACACACACGCACACACTTGTACACAGCTACCCCTAGCTAGCTATACATCCCCACCAGCTGCGCCTATCTGCAACGCAATACAGTTGGAGGTGCTGCAATAACGACGCAATAAATGACGAAGCCATGACAACAAGCCGAGACACCCACTTAAACATGAATAATGGCCAGTCCAACCCCCCAATCCCCAACCCCCCACACACGCTATCTGCCCCCCTTCCAGTTGCGCCCTTGTCTGAGATAAACAAAAGAAGCGCAGCGTTTGTTTTAGCGAGACAGCGCTTATATAAAGATATTTTCTATAAAATTATAGGCCAGATCCTAACTGCAAATTGCTCGACTTTAATATACCCTGCCCAAGCGAAGGCAGAGCAATTGCTGCTGGAGCGAGACAGCGTTTATATAGAGATATTATGTACAAAAATTGATGTATTGTTGCCTTTGACAATCTATGTAGATCTTGCATTAGTTACTAGGTTTACAACAAGGTTGTTTGACTATAATATACCCGGCAAAGTAAGTTAAGCAAAGACCATTAATATAGAGAGATATATCTATTAGTATATATAGATATATCTATAGAGAGATATATTATTAGTAAATATCTATTAGTATATATCAATGTAAGGCTTATAAATATAGATTTTCCATTAAATAAAATATGTGCAAAGTTGCTCGACTTTAATATACCCTGCATTGAATGCAACTATGACTTATGATTCAAGGCTGGTCAACTCCAAAATACTCTGTAATCGTCGTGCAGAATCATAAGAAAAACTGATGAAATGCATATGGAAAAACTTCAGAAATTCATATAGATTTTCACGAATAAAATATATATATTGGAAGATATTTTTCTAAAGTATATTTTTCTAAAAGTATGTAGGATAATACTGAAGATTATTTAGAATTAAAAATATATATAGAATAATTATAATAATTATATAAAAATATTTAAAATTATATTTATATTATCTAACAAATGCTTTATGTATTTCTAAAATATATACCCCCGATTCTTCACTCACCTCGACATTTTCGACATCGTAGTAGCAGAACGTACGCTTCGTTAGCTCGAACCAGCGATGTTTATAGTTGACTGGAGTGAAACGCTTTTTATTTTGGGCTCGCTTCACCATGGATCCGCTCTTGACAATATCGTACAGATGCTCCGACATTTTATCCATCTTGGCCTGAAAGGACTTGCTGCTGGAGCGCAGCGACAGCGACGATTTCATGCTGCCATGCGAGCTGCGCTGCATTTTGCTGCCCAGCATCTTGGTTAATGAAGAGAGAAAGAGAGAGGGAGAGTATAGTATCTGTGAAAAGAGTGGAAAAAAAAAGAGTTGCGAAATCAGTAAGCCATAAAGACATGTTAATAATATGGCCAAAATTGTTCGGTTTACAAGCGACAACGCCTCGTCACATAAATCAGTTGAGCACAGCAAAACAAACACAAATACAAAATACACGATCCGTGGGCGTGCGAATCTTATGCCATTGACCGTGGCCAAATCGAGTAGCTCGGCTAATTGCTGTGGGCGTTACAGCAGCAACGGCCCAGCAGGCATCAATCAGAGATCCAGCCAAGAACAAGCAGCGAACGACAGACCTTTTGCTGGACCAAATCGAGCGATTAAATGGCCAATTAATAAGCCAACCGACTAGACACTGGAATATCTCTATGTATAACTATCAGTGAGCATATATATAAGTGTATATATGTATATAGTGCATCTGGTCGTTGTTTCAACTGACCTTGAGTAAGAGAGCAAAACCAGTTGCAGCCTGTGCGGAGCACTGATTAAAGGATTAGCCCAGTGTAAGCTGATCATCGCTTGACCAGTTCCACAGTTCTTGCCACCGAAGCGTGTGCACAAACAAACGGCTCGTTGGCACCAGTTCCAAGTTGCGAACTGGAATAAATATGCACACGTATAGATATGTATGTGTGCACAGGCAGTAAGAACTATAGATACCCTGCACATTAGTGAATGATATAAGCTAACAAAATGAACTAGTTCAGTGATCAGTAAATTGATTTCTTTAGATTGAGCGCTCATGAACGATAGGTTCTATAGAGTTGTTAAGTGATTCATAAACAGTTCATAGACATACCTTATATTTAGCTGCTCAACTGTTGATCATGAACGACCAAAAAATGAGCAATTTAACAATGCACACAGCATGCAAACATATATCGTTCACGAATTAGTTCAGTGATTAGTAAACGAGTTAGAATAATACGCTTGATGAATGATGCGTAATATTGGTTCACGAACAACAGGTTCTATTGAGTTGTTCAGCTGTTCATGAACTATATGTTCCATCAAACTGTTCAACTGTTGATCGTGAACAATTAAAGAAATCAATAACTGATCAATCAAGATATATAGTGAAAGATATAGCTCACATTTCGTCATTATATATTTGGTTATAAATATATATAAAATATGGATATATTTACTTTTTTCTGTATATCTCTTAATACATATTTAAGCCAATGTATACCTATGTACATTCCAAACTTAGAGTTTGTAGTTTTTAACAAAAACTCACATATGCTTAAAAGATCAATATACGAATGTAATATATATCTCTTGCAATAAGCCAATAATATTAAATTATATAAACATTCAAGATAAGATAAGAACAATGTAACATGTTACATGCCTTAGCACAATTTCAATATACCCCATCGTTACAACAACATAAACACACACACACACGCACACACATGATATGTGGAGCTATGGAATTATCGCACTTCAACAACAACAAAAGCAGCGTGCGGCTGCGCATGGAAATCAACAAACAAAAGCGACAAATGCACAGCTACAACAACAGCAACAATGAAGCAGCAACAATAGCAACAACGCATGCGCCTCTCACACTGCCCCCGCCCACAGCCCCGCTTCCATATCGTTCATGCGTGGCACTTTAATCAAGCAGAGCGTTGAGAGGCTCAGCCATATAGTATTTGCGCAGCACTAAACCGCAATGAGCGATTGGAAAATGCCCTATGAAAAAAAAAATTGGTTTGATATCGGATAAATAAATAAATTTAGTTCATTATTCACTTAGTCAGCGAATCATTTAGATGAGCTAAATGTGAAAAAGTGTACCAAATTTAATCAGGCATAACCGTTGCATTCAACAAATTGCAGGGTATTATAAAGTAGGCAACGCTAAGTGATTGCAACGGCAACTGCGACGGCGCAAAAATCGCATAAATCTTGGCCTAAGGCATGGACAGGCAGCGAAGACACAAACGCAGACGGCGACGTTGCCTGGACTTGGCATAGCAGCGGCAGCAGCAGTGGCAGTGGCAGCAGACAACAACAGCAGACAAGAGTCAACGCGTTTTGGCAAAGCGGGCGTGGCCATGGCCTTGGCATGGCACACACACACATGCACGCACGCGCACACAGACAGCAAAGATTCAGCTGCAGACGACAAAGTTTGAATTTCGCCACGCAAATGGCTGCGCTTAATTTTCATGCCTCTCGTGCTTATTATTAACTTTTTTTTTGCAATAGTTTGGATTTTTCTGTTGATACTCGCAATTTTTTTTTTAACGGGGGCGGGTGTTGCGTTGGCGTTTGACGCTCTGCGCGACCTTTGAAAGAATTTTTAACGAAACGCAGCCAAAACGGGTTTGCAGCAAAAAGAAAACGCAAATATAAGAAGCAGAAAAAAACAACTCAAAGACAAGTGACAGAACATGGTCTGATTGGCGTAAGATCTTATTGGCTCGAACGGGCGGTATTCTTATCAGCAAGCGCAACCGTAAATTCTAGTTTGTTTTGTGTATTTTAATTTTGCATTCAGCTCGGCTCACATATCAATTGTGGTGATACGGCATATAAAGAAAAACCAAACAAGAACAAAGAAAATAAATGTAATTCGAGCTGCAGCGGGACAGCAACGGGAAGGCAGACAGAGAGAGAGAGAGAGAGGTCAATATGTGTGCCAAACTTACCACAAGTGCCGCTGATTGAGCAATTGAAGCAATGACCGATCGAAGCGCATTCAACAAACGAAATTAATAACAACAAATCACTTTCGTTTAAGCGGCACGCACGCTCCAAAGCGGCAGCGATAACAATGACTGCGACGCGACCGGCTTTGACACCATTTGCATACTGCTCTGCCCGAGTAGCAGGCAAAAAATTATATTATAAACAATTCCGCGGAGAAGGCTCAGCTGTGCTCACACACACTTACACGCGCTCAAACATATGAGGACTTTACACACACACGTATGCACAGGCAGGCGCAACAGGCGGCGTTTTGATTTGCAGAACTTGTGGAACAACAAGTGCACTTTAATACTTTAGCTTGACTAGAAATGTGTATGGCAACTAGTTTAGGTGCTCTCAAAATTGTTCAATTTTCTAACACTAATATATATTAATAATATTAAGCGCGCTGTTATTCTTCTCGTATGTGTTGTGACCCGCCGACGCGTCGTAACTTTGAAACGCTTATCGATTAATTAGCCACACCATGTAGCCTGTGTTGATATCTGATATCGATGCTGCGTTAAGCAAATTTTATCGAGCGACCACCACATTATAGGGTTTAAGTGTTGCATTGAATTATCGATCGCGGCGTTGTAAAATTTTCAAATTGGTAGATAACAATTTTAATTTTGTAATGCAACAAAAAACTGAAAAAGTAATTTGAGTGTTATTTTGTTTTAGCTTAATCTGTTTGTCATCATAGTGATCAACTTAAAAAGAAAACATTTCTTTAAAAGCAAAATGTATTTTTTATAATAAATAAAGTTGGCTTTAATAATCTTGCTTTCCATAAATTAGTTCTTAAATAAATAATTAAGTCCAAAATCAAATGCAAACTTTTTCGAAAACTGTGCACTTAATTTAATAAGTTTTAAGGTTTAAGTTACTAGCGAACAAAATCAATTACAAGTTAAATGCGCGTCCTTAGCAATAATTTCGATATTTCAACTTAGTTTTTCTTCTTTTCGCTAGCAGCAATGCGCCAAGCACCCACCATATAACGAAGCCAGATCATAAACAAATCAGTGCCCATTTGCACCCACGACCAAAAAGGAGATAGTTTCGAGCCATCGATTTCTGTCCATCGCACCGCAACCTCCGACATGGGCAGATGCAGACGTTCAGCCAAGTAAAGAAGCTCCACATCGAAAGCCCACCGTTCAACGTGCAAGCTATTAAACAGCTTACGGGCCGAGGCACGTGTGAAGAGCTTAAAGCCGCACTGGGTGTCCCTCACAGAACGCACCGCAAATATCCAGACGAGCGTATGGAAGCCATGCATCAATATAGTACTACACAATGGATTTAACGATATATCAATGGATTTTACAGGTCGCTGACTTTTGCCTTACCGGAAAAAGCTGCGTTTGGCAATGGACTCATCTTCCAGGTGAGCCCTTGAGCCAATGGCGATGCCATCGTGTCGCCATTCAGGTGCCAAGCTGACCAAAGCCTCCGCAAGTTTCTCATAGTCTGCAAATTTGGTTGCTCCATCCGCGTCCGCGAAGAGCAGCTGACGACCGCGTGCACTTAGCATGCCAAGCCGAACGGCTCCACCTTTGCCACGATTCTCCACCAGCTCCAGAACACGAAACTTATCAGCGCCATGTTTCTTTGAGTATTGGAGAGCCACAGAGACAGTCGAGTCACTGCTGCCATCGCTAACCACAATCACCTCGTAGCTGAACTGCGCTTGTTCTTTAGACTTCTGATCCAGAAATGCCATGCACTCATCTAGCATAGCGGGCACTATCGAAACAATATCATGTGATAATTAGTCATGACAGTCATTTATCGAATATGGGCAAACCTACATCGCTGCTCCTCATTGTAAGCCGGCACAATGACGCTCAACTCCAAGGTGGGCGAGTCATCTAAACTGGGAAATTCAATGTTTTTAATTGTGTCAGTATCCAAAAAGCTTTTCTCATCCTTGTGGCGTGTTATAATTGGAAAAGGCTTTGATTTATACAACAAGACCATTATCGTCTGCAAAAACATAAAAATCAAATATATATTAATCACAAGCCGATTAACAATAATCGCAAATATTTACATACCAGCGAGGCAGCTGTAGCGACACCTCCCAACAGATAACAGCCCACTTGCAGCAGTTCAATTAACATATTGTTAGCTTGTTATGTTCATTAAGCTAATAGCTATCTATGGCAGAACATTACTTTTTGAATGATCAGAAAAAACGGATAAAAAGCCACGTATTTTATGCCGACTTTGCGTTAGCTGCTGCTGATAACAATATGACGACCGTCAACAAACGTTATCGAAACAAATGGTATCGATACTTATAGCAACAGTGCTGCCGAACTGTTAATATAATAAGCTGCTATTTTTGTTTAACTTGAATTTGAATTGTTTAGACCTAGCTTCATTTTTGGTCTTGCAAGTTTTCGGTATGTGGCATTACTTCTATCAAATAAAACTAAAATTAAGTTTTGATATTCATTAAAATAGTATAACTTTGTTTAATACTATACGTTCAAGTAAAGTCAACTGACCAATCATACCTATCGATATTTATGGCAATAGGGCTGCCAGACTGTGGTAAAATGAAAATATAAATAATTCGTTAAATTTGAATTGAAATTGCGCAAAGATTTAATTTTTTCTTGGTTTCTATGTATGATTATATTATTAATGTTATTATTTACTATTTAAGTATTAGAAACTGACCTAGCGCAACAGGTGTTTTGATGTCTATCTTTGCTGTCATTTACTGCGCTTGCGCTGTCTGCCAGCTAGCAGCTAGATACACACTTGAACAATTTTTCAGAGACGCCTGTTTTGTTGATCAATAAAATGTTAATGTAAATTGTGCTAGTGAAACTTAATACAAACAATGCATTTGTTATTCGTATTTGTGTCCTGTTTGGCTTTTGCTAGCTGCAGCGTATTTAACCTACATTTACAGGCAAATGTGGGAGAACTTTTCACATTCAAAATCGAGCCGCAACTTTTCAATTGGACCCATCAAGTATTAGTGAACAATTTCGCTATAGACCCTCGCTGCAGCATTATCCCGACTTGCCTACTTGGATGCGCTATATGTATAGCCACGAATATCATGCGGGCTTTCTCTATGGCACGCCCCAATTTCGAACGGCTGGAAAAGGTCTGAATTCTCGATGTGATTGCATTGAATAGCAAATTATGAAACTCGTCAACTGGTCATTTCGATGTTTGTGCCCATAATTTATAACTCCAAATTTGCAGATGAAAATATAGAATTAAGCGCGCTGTTATTCTTCTCGTATGTGTTGTGACCCGCCGACGCGTCGTAACTTTGAAACGCTTATCGATTAATTAGCCACACCATGTAGCCTGTGTTGATATCTGATATCGATGCTGCGTTAAGCAAATTTTATCGAGCGACCACCACATTATAGGGTTTAAGTGTTGCATTGAATTATCGATCGCGGCGTTGTAAAATTTTCAAATTGGTAGATAACAATTTTAATTTTGTAATGCAACAAAAAACTGAAAAAGTAATTTGAGTGTTATTTTGTTTTAGCTTAATCTGTTTGTCATCATAGTGATCAACTTAAAAAGAAAACATTTCTTTAAAAGCAAAATGTATTTTTTATAATAAATAAAGTTGGCTTTAATAATCTTGCTTTCCATAAATTAGTTCTTAAATAAATAATTAAGTCCAAAATCAAATGCAAACTTTTTCGAAAACTGTGCACTTAATTTAATAAGTTTTAAGGTTTAAGTTACTAGCGAACAAAATCAATTACAAGTTAAATGCGCGTCCTTAGCAATAATTTCGATATTTCAACTTAGTTTTTCTTCTTTTCGCTAGCAGCAATGCGCCAAGCACCCACCATATAACGAAGCCAGATCATAAACAAATCAGTGCCCATTTGCACCCACGACCAAAAAGGAGATAGTTTCGAGCCATCGATTTCTGTCCATCGCACCGCAACCTCCGACATGGGCAGATGCAGACGTTCAGCCAAGTAAAGAAGCTCCACATCGAAAGCCCACCGTTCAACGTGCAAGCTATTAAACAGCTTACGGGCCGAGGCACGTGTGAAGAGCTTAAAGCCGCACTGGGTGTCCCTCACAGAACGCACCGCAAATATCCAGACGAGCGTATGGAAGCCATGCATCAATATAGTACTACACAATGGATTTAACGATATATCAATGGATTTTACAGGTCGCTGACTTTTGCCTTACCGGAAAAAGCTGCGTTTGGCAATGGACTCATCTTCCAGGTGAGCCCTTGAGCCAATGGCGATGCCATCGTGTCGCCATTCAGGTGCCAAGCTGACCAAAGCCTCCGCAAGTTTCTCATAGTCTGCAAATTTGGTTGCTCCATCCGCGTCCGCGAAGAGCAGCTGACGACCGCGTGCACTTAGCATGCCAAGCCGAACGGCTCCACCTTTGCCACGATTCTCCACCAGCTCCAGAACACGAAACTTATCAGCGCCATGTTTCTTTGAGTATTGGAGAGCCACAGAGACAGTCGAGTCACTGCTGCCATCGCTAACCACAATCACCTCGTAGCTGAACTGCGCTTGTTCTTTAGACTTCTGATCCAGAAATGCCATGCACTCATCTAGCATAGCGGGCACTATCGAAACAATATCATGTGATAATTAGTCATGACAGTCATTTATCGAATATGGGCAAACCTACATCGCTGCTCCTCATTGTAAGCCGGCACAATGACGCTCAACTCCAAGGTGGGCGAGTCATCTAAACTGGGAAATTCAATGTTTTTAATTGTGTCAGTATCCAAAAAGCTTTTCTCATCCTTGTGGCGTGTTATAATTGGAAAAGGCTTTGATTTATACAACAAGACCATTATCGTCTGCAAAAACATAAAAATCAAATATATATTAATCACAAGCCGATTAACAATAATCGCAAATATTTACATACCAGCGAGGCAGCTGTAGCGACACCTCCCAACAGATAACAGCCCACTTGCAGCAGTTCAATTAACATATTGTTAGCTTGTTATGTTCATTAAGCTAATAGCTATCTATGGCAGAACATTACTTTTTGAATGATCAGAAAAAACGGATAAAAAGCCACGTATTTTATGCCGACTTTGCGTTAGCTGCTGCTGATAACAATATGACGACCGTCAACAAACGTTATCGAAACAAATGGTATCGATACTTATAGCAACAGTGCTGCCGAACTGTTAATATAATAAGCTGCTATTTTTGTTTAACTTGAATTTGAATTGTTTAGACCTAGCTTCATTTTTGGTCTTGCAAGTTTTCGGTATGTGGCATTACTTCTATCAAATAAAACTAAAATTAAGTTTTGATATTCATTAAAATAGTATAACTTTGTTTAATACTATACGTTCAAGTAAAGTCAACTGACCAATCATACCTATCGATATTTATGGCAATAGGGCTGCCAGACTGTGGTAAAATGAAAATATAAATAATTCGTTAAATTTGAATTGAAATTGCGCAAAGATTTAATTTTTTCTTGGTTTCTATGTATGATTATATTATTAATGTTATTATTTACTATTTAAGTATTAGAAACTGACCTAGCGCAACAGGTGTTTTGATGTCTATCTTTGCTGTCATTTACTGCGCTTGCGCTGTCTGCCAGCTAGCAGCTAGATACACACTTGAACAATTTTTCAGAGACGCCTGTTTTGTTGATCAATAAAATGTTAATGTAAATTGTGCTAGTGAAACTTAATACAAACAATGCATTTGTTATTCGTATTTGTGTCCTGTTTGGCTTTTGCTAGCTGCAGCGTATTTAACCTACATTTACAGGCAAATGTGGGAGAACTTTTCACATTCAAAATCGAGCCGCAACTTTTCAATTGGACCCATCAAGTAATTAGTGAACAATTTCGCTATAGACCCTCGCTGCAGCATTATCCCGACTTGCCTACTTGGATGCGCTATATGTATAGCCACGAATATCATGCGGGCTTTCTCTATGGCACGCCCCCAATTTCGACGGCTGGAAAAAGTCTGAATCTCGATGTGATTGCATTGAATAGGCAAAATTATGAAACTCGTCAACTGGTCATTTCGATGTTTGTGGCCCATAAATTTATAACTCCAAATGTGGTTCAGATGAAAATAGATAATTTGAATTGGGTGCACTTGATGGATCCGGGACGTGTGGAGAACCTACGCAACATATTCCGCAAGGATCTCTGGCCGGACAGCAAAGACGATTTGAGTGTAATTTTCATGGAATCTGCCATTAATATGGGCGGGCGTTTGCCCCTGCGGCCACAGCAACGAGAGGGGTAAGTTCAAAGAGCTGTCAAATATTCAACTTTTTGGCTATATAGTTTCCATATTCTATCCGGCGCAGCGTCATAGTGCACGTGGGCAGCTTTGCTCAGTTTTCGCCGCGTCTCAAGGAGCTGCAGGAGGAAGTGCGCCCACTGTATAAGTTGCCCTCTTGCACATACAAACGAACCTCCGTGCAAAAGATCTTCGAAAATGTTGGCTTCAAGCTGGATTGGTGCGCCTTTAAGATGATCGGCATCGAATCCCCCACCGAGGTGCTCTATCATAATAACCATGGGCGGGTCAAGGAGCAGCTCAAAGAGCATCGACAACAGCAGCTGCAACGGGAACAGGAACGCTGGCTGGGCATACCACGCGAAGATGTGCCCATGCGTAATTATATTGATGAATTCGCCTTCGCCTTTGCCATCCCGGGCATGATCTTTGCCGTCCTCGTTGGCATATTGTCGGCTGTGCTCTGCTTTCAGCATCAGAAATTGTGAGTCATAAGGGTAAAGTTGAGAGCTTTGGTAACTTATATCAAATCGATACACCTATATCATCATCAGCTCAAGTGCCTAAATTTTCTATATTTTTCTTGTTTATTTTTTTACCTCACAATTTATTTTCAATATCTTTTATTTGTTACTCGTTTTTCTTTTTCTATAAAATTTGTTTTTATTTACTTTCTCTTTAGTTACGATCCGCAATCTGAGTTATTCTTTGCAAATATTTTTAATATATGCGAAGAGTCCTGTGCTCCAATGCCCAACGATTCGGATGTTGAGGAGGACAGGTGACTTATGTTTAATATTATTTATTTAAATTTGAAAATATTTATAACCAAATATTACATATTATGTATATTTTGTCTCTTTCCTTGCAGCTCTGTTCACATAGACTATCCTATGTCGTCCACTGTGCAAATGGTTCAGTGCTCAGACACGAAGCCCATGCAGCCGGTGACAACGCTGAAAAGCCTCAAGGATCCCAATTTTCTGCTAGACAATACCAGCATGCGTTCACAAAGGTTTGTAGCTTTAAATACCTTAAATATCGATTTATCATTCCTTCTATATTTCAGTCCAAACAATAGTTTATATCAGTTGGAATCGGGTGCCACTGGCATCTATGCCCGTCCCAAGCCTCCGCCGTATAAGGGCGGCACTTTGGGTCGTAATGGCGTGGACATTTGACAAACATCGCCGCGAGTGCTCTATTGCTAAAGGCGCTTCATATAAATCAAAAAGCAATACACAACGAAAACGCAACTACAATTACCACTTGGAGCACAATTCACGTATATATCACTAGTTGTGCATATCATAACCGCATCGAATAATGCATATATATCAATTATCTTACATTATGCATAGGCAATTTAGTTTAATTTTAGCTCTGTTGAAAATAAATAACAATTTTGATGAGTAGTTAACTTACTTTGTTAACATGTTTGAAATGCGCGCCCAACTCAATTCTGTCACAATGCATAATTGCCATTCACTGCCATAACTATTTTACCATACACCCAACAGCTACGAATTTGAAAGCCGCGCCTTGACGTAAGTCTGCAACACTGCATATTTGCCATTCACAGTTCAGCACGCGCATTTGGTCAACTGATAAACTTCTGGTGAAAGTCGTGGCCTTATGGCTTTCTATTTCCTCGCAACATTTTGAATTATATACAATATGGTGTTGAAATTAATTGGCTCCATAGAGGAGCTAATTGAACAGTACAAAATAAATCTAATTCAAGTAATTTTCATCGTATTTATTATAACAATCGTTCTACTGGGCAGCTTGATGACCCTTGTGGAATCCCATCTGCCCAATAGCATACGTCAATCATTTCGCTATGGCAAACATAGTCATAAGGGTGACACGGATGTACTCGTTAGTCACTTAGAAGTGCCCAAGGCCTGGTTCAGTCATTTCTATGTATTTGCCTTTGGCTGGTCGCTATTGGCGCTCTACCTAATCAGCGCCGCTATTTGGAGCCAAGAAACAGCACCGGAATTCGTGGTCCGTTTTTTGGATTTCATGTGTGGCGGCCGCGGTCGGCGACAGGTGCAGGTGGACTCCAATACCGCTCTGTTAGGCACCTTGCTGCTTAGTTTGCAATGCGTGCGTCGCTTCTATGAGACGAACTTTGTACAAATCTTTTCGAAACGCAGTAAGATGAACCTGTCCCACTATGCTGTGGGCTTTATACACTATTTTGGTGCCATAGTCGCTCTGCTAGCGAACACGGCGGGCTTCGTAAGAGGTTCAAAGCCCGCGCCCTTTACACTCTCCAAGATCAGTCTGCTCCAAACCGCCTATGTGCTCATCTTCCTCTTCGCCTGGCTACAACAATATACCAGCAATATGTTGCTTGTGAATCTTCGCAAGAATGCAAAGACGGGCGCTGTCCAAACCGAAGAACACTTGATGCCCAATGGAGGTTGGTTCAATTGGATTTCCTCGCCTCACATGTTCTTTGAAGTTGTCATGTACTACTGCCTCGCGGATCTGTTTACACCAATCATCACTTGGAAGTTGATCTTCCTTTGGGTGGCCAGCAATCAGACGATCAACGCTTTGCTCACCCATCAGTGGTACAAAGATAACTTTAAGGACTACCCCAAGAGACGACGTGCTATTATACCTTGGTTACTATAAAACTAATCGTAAATTCGATACTAAAAACTGGCTACTGTAAATTAATTTATACCTAATTATTAAGTGGCTTATTTATTAGACGTGTTTTAGTGATTTGTGTGGTTTTATTTTAGTTTTGGAATTTGAACTATATATAAAACGTTAATAATACGTTAATAACGTTCCAATCGAACTTCTTTTGGGGCGCCAGTTTTTACTTAAACAAGAAACTGCAAGCGGAAAGTGTCAGAATAAAGCTCTTGGTATTTATAATCCGATAGACTTACCTATATGGATAACCCTGCGCCTTGGAACGGAATACGGATAGCAGAAATGAAAAGAATACCGTTAAAAGTACTAGACCAGCCATCGCCATCATGCGATTACGATTGTGAGCCTTCGGTGTGCCCGATTCGATCAGCAGAATCATGCCGAGCACAATCATAGCATCTGTAAAGACGAGGAGTGAATAATTAGGGTAATCGATACTAATCGAAACTAATCGACACTCACTCAAAAACATGACAATGTAGGTCTCCACGACCAGTTGACCCTGCGATGAGCCATGTATGTAGGCAACGCCTCCATTTTGTGTCTTGTGCACTAGCGGCGGTCCACGTATGTGATTCCACATCTGACCCGAGATCATGGCGAAACAGAAGAACAGCGCCACTGCTCCCCACAAATTTTTGTTGTACAAAAATTCCAGATTGTTACGTCGTATGTACAAGAAGCTACCAACCAAGGCAACGAGAGTAATCATGGCCACTGTGCCCGAATAATTTGGTGGACGGAAGATGCGTATTGTGATATCCGTGCGCTCGGCCACAAATTTTGCAATCGAATCAGCAGCAAAGCCCACACGATGAATATCCATGGTATCCGCACCTTTTGGCTTGCCCTTGGCCGGGAAATGCATAAAAACGGGCGCCGTGTTCAGACGCAACATTTGAAACACATCGGAACCGTCATCAAAATCGACCATGGCAAAGAATAGCTTATTGGAGTAGATTGGCGAGAAACGATACGAGTTGGCCACAATGCTAAATTCGTCGTGGGCATGGCGACAAATTTGACATTGGCGAGAAGGCGCCAGTGCCGTAAGCATCACGATCATTGAGTAGTTGCGCGGCGTATTTTTCACATACTCGCGGAATTTGGGACCATTGAAACGCAACAGGGGCTTCTTCATGTTCATATCCACCAGATTTTGAACCTTTTCCGATAGAGACAGGCCCGTCTGTAATTTAACAATGAATTAATGTTTATAACATTTTAAGGAAGTTTGCCGGTAAGCTGGAATCGGAACCGGAACCGGCCTATGACTCGATGTGACGTGGCCCATCGACAGGCGTTGTGTACATACCTTCTGTTGTTTACCCTGTGCGGCGACAAATATTAGGCAGCCGACTAACGCTATAAGCGCGCACAAGAAAGTCTTGTGCAGCAGCTTCATTTTGAAGTATTATTTTGTTTAAAATTTTTCACTAATTCCAAGCCAAAAATAAAGCGTTCGTTTAAGGTAGAACAAATTTTTTTGTAGCAGCTGATTGTGAATGGCAGCTGAGTAGTGGCGTTGCCAGACTGTCATAGCGCTTCTTCTTCTAGTCGCTAATATAAATTAGTGATGGTATATGCTAGTCATCGCAAAGCACATTCGTGTCAATGTTGTGCCGTTTACATCTCCACCGTCAACTATTCGCGTTGTCGAGACGCGTTGGTCGACGATTTTTTATTTGTCTTTATTTTTAATTTAAATTAAACATTAATTTATTTTAGTGTGCCGCAAAAGCACTGTTTGTAATGAGTGATGTATTGAAGAGCTCACAGGAGCGTTCGCGTAAACGTAGGCTGCTGCTGGCCCAAACGGTGAGTGGGCGTGAATTTTCAGCTTCGATTTTTTGATAAATTTTTAAAAATATTTAATCAATTACAATTTGTAGCTCGGCTTGTCTAGTGTTGATGAGCTGAAAAAGGTGCTGGGCAATGCAGAAGATAGCAATAACTATGCCGGTGTCGGTGGCAGCCGGCAGCTCAATGCTTCGGGTCAAAGGGATGAGGAGGAAGGCTCCAGCGGCGGCGCCTCGTCCTCCAAGAAAACACCAAACGAGATAATATACAGAGATTCATCGACCTTTTTGAAAGGCACACAGTCTTCCAATCCGCACAATGATTACTGCCAGCATTTCGTGGACACCGGACAAAGGCCACAAAATTTTATACGCGATGTCGGTCTGGCCGATCGCTTCGAGGAATATCCCAAGCTGCGTGAGCTGATCAAGTTAAAGGATAAGCTTATCCAGGACACGGCATCGGCGCCCATGTATCTGAAAGCAGATCTTAAAACGTTGGATGTGAAAACATTGGGCAGCAAATTTGATGTCATATTAATTGAGCCACCGCTTGAAGAATATGCTCGAGCTGCACCCGCTGTGGCAACAGTAGGCGGAGCGCCCCGCGTCTTCTGGAACTGGGATGATATACTCAGTGAGCTGCACAATTTAAAATAATTATATAGAAATCATATAATAGTCTTTATATATTTCTAGATTTGGATGTTGGCGAAATAGCCGAACATCGCTCGTTTGTTTTTTTGTGGTGTGGCTCATCGGAGGGCTTGGATCAGGGTCGGAATTGCCTTAAAAAGTGGGGCTTTCGTCGCTGCGAGGACATCTGCTGGATACGCACCAATATTAATAAGCCTGGACACTCCAAGCAGGCCATACCCAAATCGGTTTTCCAACGCACCAAGGAACACTGCCTGATGGGCATCAAGGGCACAGTTCGACGTTCTAGTGATGGCGACTTTATACACGCCAATGTGGACATTGATCTGATTATATCCGAGGAGGAGGAATTCGGTAGTTTCGAGAAGCCCATCGAAATCTTTCATATCATAGAACACTTTTGCCTGGGCCGTCGACGTTTGCATTTGTTTGGTCGAGATTCGAGCATACGGCCGGGTTGGCTAACCGTCGGACCTGAGTTGACGAATTCCAATTTCAATGCTGAACAATATCAGACTTATTTTGCGGATGCCACCGCCACCGGCTGCACCAGTCGTATCGAGATGCTGCGACCAAAGAGTCCGCCACCAAATAGTAAAGTTTTGCGTGGCCGTGGACGCGGCTTTCCCCGAAGTCGTGGCCGGCCCAGATAATAATCACTAAAATGCATGTATTTTCTATAATTAAGTGCGATAATGGCCCATTCAATTGATCTGGAACGTAGCTATATGAGCTCCACAGCGGTATTAATCTTAAGTTTAAAGTAAATATCTACTTTGTGTACACTTTCTAAAGCTAGGATTAAAGCTAAAATAAAAAGGAACTAATGCTGCAAACTGGGATGTTGATTCAGATGCCGCATATACACGTCCAGTTCATCCTCGTCGCTGGAATTGGGCAGCTTTAATGGCACTTCATCAACTGCAGCAGCAATTTCATCTTCATCACTGGACTCAAAGTAGGCATCTTCCTCGTCTCTTTCAATTTGCTTTAGATCATCCAGCTGAGCATTATCATCGACGGCTGTGTAATCGAAATCCGTGTCCTGGCCACTGAGAAAACGCTCCTTCATCAAGCCCATAAACTCGTTGCGCAGCAGCTCTCTTTCACCTGGATTATAGTACTCCGCGGTGACTATTCGATTGATTGGCGCTAAAGGGGTTTGCGTATTTCGACTTGAGGAACAAGCCACGGGTTCGTCATCTTCGAAACCGCCCCATTGTTGGCGACATGCGGCGGGTACTTCACAGTCAACGTTGGCTGTGGGAGTTTCATCCATTTCTGCACTGGTGTCTACCTGTTGCTGCAATAGCTCGTCCCGCTGCTTCTGCTCCAGCGTGTGCATCAATATGCCTGAGAAGCTAGTGTTCCTTACATCATAGCTGTCCCGTTGTTTCTTTTCCTGTTCCGTTAGGTATTGGCCGATCAGCTCCTGATAAAGTTCTGGCGCACGCTGCATCATTTCGTGCTCGCTGAAGTATTCTCCCTGCTGCAGCAGCTGTTGCATTGCATGGTATCTTCTATTTTTGATGCAAATGGCGCGTGAAAGGAGTTTTCTTTTGAAGTCTTCGATCAGTAGGGATATCTCCTCAAGATTCTCATCGGGTTTGATGGGTTCTATTACACCCACACTCTGAAAATCGGCTAATTGCTGCTCGTTTAGGTAACTACCAAAACGTATTAAGAAGTTTTCACGATTTTTCTGAAATGCGTCCTGCGCAATTTGCTGCTTTTCTTCTAAATTTAACTCAGGATCGTCGATTTGCTGAGACTTAAATATAATGTTGGCATTCTCAGCAAGTGCCTTGAATATATCCAACAGTTGATTTGGTAATTCAGCCACTTCTGAGCTGCTTTCGCTACTCGCGGTTTCCGTTTGTGTCATTTTATAAAATTGAATATTTGTAAACAAATGCTTCTTCTTACAGTCGGACAGTCGCAATGAAAGCTTCGTATTTAGAGTTGCCTATTGATTTGAGCCGCTGAACTTGTTCAAATATTTAGTCATTCATAAGCAAATGAACTTGTTAAATTATTCAGTAACTGATAAGCTTGAGATATAGTTTGTTTAGTTATTATTTTTTTTTTAATATTTTTGGTAAATAGTCTGTATCTTTTTTTAATAAACCTTTAATAAATTCTCTTAATGGGCATCAGAAAAATTACTCTGAATGCACAATTTTTTATATCTAAAATCGTGCAATAAATAAAAAGTTGTATTAAATTTTATTTATTCTATACTATATGTATATTATATATTCATATATGCGCTTTTCATTGACTTATTAGTTGTATCCACCAAATTGAATTTAAAATACCAACAACGACATCGATATCTTTACGTCGCGTGAAGATCGCACTGTCATTCACGAGTGAACGCCACAGCTGTTTATGTAGGTTTTTTTATTGGTGGCGCCAGCTGTTTTTTAGTTACAAACAGGAGCGGCGACAGCTAATCACTAACGCGCAATCTGAGTAATAAACTGTTTTCCCCAATAGCCTTTATCACTGTTTAGCAGCCCATGCCGCGCGCGTTTCTTTTTGTTCAACCGCGCGACAAACGCAAATGATGACTAAGAAACTAAACTGGGTGAAAAAAACAACAAATTTCATAAACGCCATTGTCAGTGCACGTTAAATACGAAATACCATGTCGGACAGTGATTGGAATTTCGCATGGAACTGGACGCACTTCTGTCCTACGGGTCTGAAGCCGTTCGCCAACGATACCAACGATCTGTTGCCCTGCTTCCAGAAAACGCTGCTCCAATTGCCCGTCTACACAATTTTTGCAGCCATATCCGCCTACAATTTCGGCAACCATACGAACCAGATAGTACGCAATGGACTGCAGTTGCAAATGCTATCATTGCGCATATTGTTTAGTATTATATTGGCAATATTGCCTGTATCCAAGATATTCGTATTCCTTCGGGCAGGCATCGATTTGTATGCGGTCGATATCTTAGTTGTCAGTGCCGAGTGCATCATGTGGGTAGTTCATTGTGGTAAGTCCCTCAAAGCGATGTTTCTGTTGCAGTCAACTAAATTCTGACTCAATGGACAATTTCTTTTCAGGTTACCTACTGAGTGCTCGGCATTATGGCACGCTGAGTCCTCGCGGTCCTTTGTTGATGAATATCTTCTGGCTCACGGTCGTAGTGCTTGATGGCGTTTGGTTGCGCACGAGTCGTCATTTTGAGTGGTGGCCATGGAGCTTGGCCACGTTGCTGTGCGATTTCTGCTATGCCGCCACACTGCTGCCTAAAGGTAATGCCATATACTGTGCCACACCGTCTGGAAATAGGGATCGAGAGCAGGAGGCGTTGTTGTCCAATCGCTATACCTATTTCCATTTTGAGTTGAATGAAGCGCTGCTTGGCCATGCCCAGGACGAGGCCAATTGGCTGTCGCGTTTCGTTTTCCACTGGGTGAAACCGCTCATAAACAAAGGTGTTGCCGGCAAGCTGCGTCGCATTGAGGACTTGTTCGATCTGCCCGACGCACTGAACATTACGCGCCTCAGCGAACGACTTCATCTGGCTTTGTCGCAGTCACAGAGTGTCTTTCGTGCGCTGCACAAGTGCTTCGGCTTCGAGTTTTATCTAATTGGTCTGCTGCGTCTGGTGGCGGATATTTCCAGCTTTGCGGGTCCATTGCTATTGGGCGGACTGTTACGGCAGGATGGATCAGAAGCGGGTCAGAAAGCATATTACTATGCATTGGGTCTGTTCGGGAGCACCTTGCTGTCGGCGTTGTGTGGCTGTCATTTTGATTGGCGCATGGCTATGGTCAGCATGAAGATGCGCGTGGGCGTTGTCAATAGTATCTATCGCAAAGCGTTGGAGGCACGGGGCGTACGTGAAGCCCGTCCAGATATGCTGAACTTGATGTCTACGGATGCGGATCGAATTGTTAACTCATGCATTAGCTTTCACTTCTTCTGGAGCATACCATTCAAGCTGTTCACCACGCTCTACCTGCTGTATCTACAGTTGGGAGCCGCCTTTTTGGCTGGCGTCGTCTTTGCAGCCCTGTTGATACCCATCAATCGCTGGCTAGCGAAGCGCATTGGCATATATTCCACAGGCCTAATGACTGCCAAGGATGCACGACTGTCAGCTACGACGGAGACCATGCAAGGCGCCAAGCAAATCAAGACCAATGCCTGGGAGCCAATATTTATTACAAAAATCCGCTCACTCCGTACCGAGGAACTGAGATTTTTGTCCAAGCGCAAATACTTGGATGCGATGTGCGTTTACTTCTGGGCAACCACACCTGTGCTCATGTGCCTTCTCACCTTTGGAGTATCTGTGCTGCTTGGCAATCCCTTGGTTGCCTCGACGACCTATACAAGTGTTGCCCTACTCTACATGCTGATTGGTCCATTGAATGCCTTTCCCTGGGTGCTCAATGGCCTGATCGAGGCGTGGGTTTCCCTTCGTCGCGTGCAACAACTAATGGATGTGCCCAATTTGGATTATTCAAGCTACTATAATCCTATAATGCGCACCAGTACAATTGGAGATGCCACACGCAGTGTGCTGGAAATAAAATGCGCCCACTTTGTGCATGATACAGAGCACAGCGATACGGACTGTGAGACAACCATATCCCAGTTTCGTCTAAGTGACATCAATTTAGATGTCAAGACAGGTCAACTAATCTGCATCGAGGGCCCAGTAGGCGGGGGAAAGAGCAGTCTGCTCACAGCCATCATAGCCGGGCTACAATGCGTCGATGGTGAAGTGTGCATTCAAGATTTAACCAACGGTTTTGGCTATGTGCCTCAATCACCGTGGCTGCAACGTGCCACCATACGCGACAACATCGTCTGGGGTAGCAACTTTGATGAACAGTGGTACAAGACGGTGCTGCATGCTTGCGCCCTGAACGAGGACATACGTACGCTTGGCGGAGATCTGATAGGCGTGGGGGAAAACGGACGAACGCTGTCTGGCGGGCAAAGGGCGCGAGTTGCCTTGGCGAGAGCTGTGTACCAGGACAAGAAGAGTAAGCGTTTATGGCATTTAAAATTAATTGTAATCTACAAAAGATTCCTTTCAGTTTATCTTTTGGACGACGTTCTCTCCTCCTTGGATGCTCACGTGGCTAAGCATATTATACGCCACTGTTTGTTGGGCCTACTGAAGCAGAAGACACGCATTGTGGTGACGAGAAGCACCCAACTGTTCTTCCATGCCAATCAGATTCTCCATATTAAGGATGGACAACTGCGACCCAGTGACTACATGACGGAGAGCATTGACCTGAGCGAAGAGGAGGAGGACGAGGACGCTAACGAATTGCTGCGTCGCTCGTCCTTCGAGCTGGCTAATGTGACAGCAGAGGAGGATAAACGTAGTGTGGACAGCCTATTGCTCGAGGAATCACGTGAATTTGGCCATTTATCTGGCAATGTGTTTTCCTGCTATTGGAAAGCTGTGTCAGCGCCGCTGGCTTTAACCGTGCTGCTGTTTGTGCTGCTCATGCAGCTAACACGCAATCTGAGCGATGCCTGGCTGGCACACTGGGTCACCGAGACGACACTGGATGGCCATACGAATGACACAACGCTGCAGCATCAACTAATACGAGCTGGCGCATCTGGCAACGACAGCGCTGCAGCACATACGACGGGCTTCTATTTGGGCATATTCGCAGCGATTGCTGTGACCAATTCATTAGTCACACTAACGCGTGCCTTTCTCTTTGCCTATGCTGGCATCAAGGCGGCCATCTATATACATGAACAACTTCTAAAGCGTGTCATGTATGTAAGTATTATATCTGTTCGATTCGTTTACTTGAATTCATTAATGTGGAGCTTGAATCAAATTAATATTTAACAATTATTTTCAGGCCAAGTTTAACTTCTTTGATATCACCTCTGTGGGCCGCATACTCAATCGCTTCTCCTCGGACACTAACACGGTGGACGATTCGCTGCCCTTCATCCTGAACATTCTGTTGGCCCAGCTAGCGGGTTTGATGGGCGCTTTATGTGTTAGCCTTTATGCCATGCCGTGGCTGGTGTTGGTTGTTATACCCATGGTGCCGATATATTTGAATCTGCAGCAGCGCTATCGCCACGCCTCGAGGGATATTAAACGTTTGTCGAGTAACGCCATGTCCCCGCTCTATACCCACTTTACGGAAACGCTGCAGGGGCTGTCCACCATACGCAGCATGCGCGCAAGTGCACGTTTTCAGCGCGATTTTCAAGGCAAGCTGGAGGAGAGCACCAAGGCGCAATTGTCGGCAGCAGCCGCTCAGCAGTGGTTGGCATTGCGTCTGCAGATGCTAGGCGCTCTGCTAGTAGGCGGCGCTGGACTCGTAGCGGCCCTAACGGCTTCGCATACCACAAATCCTGGCTTGGTGGGCCTGTGTATTTCATATGCTTTGTCCATAACCGGGCAGCTTGGGGATCTGCTACACGCCGTTGCCGAGACAGAACAGGAACTGGTTGCAGTGGAGCGCGTTGATCAGTACTTGCAACTGGAACCGGAACAAAATGCAGAGGGCAATGCCGATCCACCATTTGGTTGGCCTACACAGGGTGTGCTCAGCTTTAAGAATGTGCAGCTCAGCTACAGAGAGCATCTGTCACCAGCTCTGCGTGACATCAGCTTCGAAACGGAGGCATTCGAACGCATTGGCATTGTGGGACGCACTGGAGCTGGCAAGAGCTCTGTGCTGGCTGCACTGCTGCGTGTTGCACCACTTAGCCACGGTGACATCTATTTAGATCAGATGAATCTGAAGGCTTTGGCATTGAGTGTGCTGCGTGAACGCATAGGCGTAATTACACAGGAGCCCTTTCTCTTTGAAGGTAGGTGTCTTACTGAGAGATTATATGACCTAATCTTGACTAATCTGTATTTTATTTTGATATGTAGGTACTGTGCGTGAGAATCTGGATCCTAGTCACAAGTATTACGACTCCGAGATCTGGCATGCCATCAAGAACTCGGCAGCCGCCACGTTGCTTGTCCAACAGCTGGGCGGCCTCGATGGCCATGTCGATCGTGCCGGCAACAATCTATCCGCCGGACAACGTCAGCTGCTTTGTCTGGCACGTGCTCTGCTCAAGAACGCGAAGGTCGTGTGCATCGACGAGGGCACGTCGTCCCTGGATGATGAATCAGATCTGTCTATGCAACAGGCGTTGCGCAATGCCTTCAAGAGCTGCACTCTGATCTTTATAGCGCATCGTTTGCGTGGCCTGCAGGCCATGGATCGCATCCTTGTACTGGATGAGGGGCGCATCTGTGAGCAGGGCAAGCCGCAAGAGCTGGCGACCGATGATAGTTCACTATTCCACAGCATGCTGCAAGCTCAGGACATTAGCTTGCAGGACTTTGCTAAAATCGATTAATTATAAAAGATCTGTTTATTTATTGTTTTCATATATTAGTTTTTACAATATTTTTAATCTTGGTTATATATTTAGCTTTATGTTTATATACATATATATATATTTACCAAATATAATACCTGAGTTTTACACAACAGATCAGTTAAAAAAAAATAACCTTTGTCTATATATATTGTTGTTTGCCTGTACTAAATCTCACATTTGCGCATTATGGAATATAGAGTTTAATTCACATACGAATTTTTTAATTATTTTTAAAAACACGTCAAAAATTACTTTCAAAAATATTCTTAAAAGACATATCTAAGCAATTTTTCAAAAATTTCAAGCTATATCGTTTCCGTTTTTGTTTATATTGTTTTTATCTATAAAAATTGTACTGGTTTAACTAGCATTTTTTTGTACATTTTTTTCTTTCGTTTTATGAAACTTTTAGCTTGCTTAAGAAATTGGTGAATTTCAAATTGTAGTAACTATTAAAGCCAAACAGTTTTTGGGACAACGATTATATTCCACAGTTGAGGGACTTAAGATATTAGATATTTAAGGATTAGTATTGCCAATTAGCAAGCTATTTATGATTAAACCTTTAGCTTGCTCAATAAAATTCAAAAAAAAAAAAAAAAAACCTAAAAGCAATTAGGAATTTGATTTGTGCTTAAAAATGTTTTGGAATGATGGGAACGATGCTACCGAGTATTCCACTTAATAATAGCAAAAAAAGAATTGAAAAAAAATTGCGAATTCGGAATTTGATTTGGATTAAATTATCTAGTTGAACAGCTTCTCGCCCGGCTCTCCAGTAATGTGTTCAAACTGTTGCGGATGATACGGTGTCTTGGCCAGCATCTCGTTGATCGAGCGTTCATAGAGAGCGGTATAAAGACGCAAATCCATGTTGGTATGATCCTGCCGAAAGGTGCATAACAAAGCGGTTATGAGAAAGTAAATGAGAATATGAATTAAATAATAGGCAATAGTCTTCGAATTGCCGAAGTAATAATAATCTTGCAGTGGATGATATTATATCTATTTATGCTAATCTTAACTAAGACAAAACTTTATGGCAATAAAAGCTAAACTCATTCATCATAGCTAAACGATCTATTCTAGAAAACATATAAGTATATATACTATAGGGATTACGATTCCCTTCTCCCATCTGCAAGAGTATTAAGAAATATGTTCTACATGATGAGTGATTAGTTGACGCTGCTTAAGAAATTAATGAATTATTAAATTAGTCATGTTATCTATGTTTATATGAGATTAGTGCCCGATGAGACCAGTGATTAGTACATTAGTCCATATGATGGCAAAACTCTACTAATACCTTGTCCTGGATACGCTTTCCGGTAGCTAAAAACGCAGCAAAGGATTACATAAACCATTGTGTTTGTCTGTGTTTGAGAAGGTATGAGTTTATGGGTAATACCTTCAGATCACTGCGCACCAAATATATAATGCGTCGCATATCGTGTATGGCCTGATAAATATGCTGATATGTAGCACTCTCACACTTCAGGATAATCGCGCGCACATCAATAAACTCATGCTGGCATCGTTCGAAGAAATAGGGATACTGGAATAAGACAAATTTCTAATGTTAATGATAGTAATAACAATGATATTGGTGGTGATTGATGATGATATTGCTAATATTAATGATATTGATAAATAAAAATAATAATAATAAAAGTAACTATAACGATGATAATGATAATAATAATGGCTATGACATTGATAAGGAAATCAATAATAATATTGATATTGGCAATGACAATGGAATGACATTGACATTGACAATGATAATGATAATGATAATGATAATGATAATGATAATGACAAAGACAAAGACAAAGACAAAGACAAAGACAAAGACAATGACAATGACAATGACAATGACAATGACAATGACAATGACAATGACAATGACAAGGACAAGGACAAGGACAAGGACAAGGACAATGACAATGACAATGACAATGACAAGGACAAGGACAAGGACAATGACAATGACAATGATAATGACAATGACAATGACAATGACAATGACAATGACAAGGACAATGACAATGACAATGACAAGGACAAAGACAAAGACAATGACAATGACAATGACAATGACAATGACAATGACAATGACAATGACAATGACAATGACAATGACAATGACAATGACAATGACAATGACAATGACAATGACAATGACAATGACAATGACAATGACAATGACAATGACAATGACAATGACAATGACAATGACAATGACAATGACAATGACAATGACAATGACAATGACAATGACAATGACAATGACAATGACAATGACAATGACAATGACAATGACAATGACAATGACAATGACAATGACAATGACAATGACAATGACAATGACAATGACAATGACAATGACAATGACAATGACAATGACAATGACAATGACAATGACAATGACAATGACAATGACAATGACAATGACAATGACAATGACAATGACAATGACAATGACAATAATTTTAATATTAATATTAATTATGATTACTATAGCAAAACATAATTATAATAATATCGAATAATTACATTGACAATGCTAATGACAATTATAATAATATTAATAGTGATCATGATAATGACGTTTATAATCCCTAACTGTTGCTTTTTACTCACATAGTTGCGTGTAAACTGCTTCTGGAAGAATCGATCTATGTTTTGCAGTTGCATAATGCGATTGCTTAGCTCGTATAAACGGCGCGACATTTCGCGACCCATGAGTGTCACATAGGGTTTGGAATCGTTGTGACGACACTGAGCGGTTTTTAGCTTGGGTGTTTGACATTTATGCACAGGTCTGAGCTGTTCGAGTGGCATCTGCTGCTGCTGTTGGTGCTGGTGCTGGCTTGGATGCTGATGCTGATTCTGATTCTGATGCTGCTGCTGTGCCTGCTGCCGGGCGCTCGAAGATTGCGAGTTGCACTTCCAGATGGTGGGTACATTTTGCGGTGGTGGCGAGGCATTTGCGTCCTTTTTGAGCGGCGTATAGGTGCCGGTTTTCAAATACGTACCATTGGCATTGACACAGCGTTGCGCCTCTTCCGAATCCTGGATCATGGTGTACAAATAATTCAAATCGGATTTCGAGCGGCCGTCCATGGGTGCTGCATCCTGTGCTTGCATCGTCGCTTCATTGAAACTGTTAGCCACAGTATGATCGATACTATGATCGCTCTTCATGCTGTTATACGGGGTGCTATAGGCGCTCGGACCACGCAAAGTATCGTTAGTGAGATGGACTGTAGCATTCACTGGCAATGGAATATCGGTGCCATTCAAAGTTTTATTGCTTGAATTGGAATCGCTGCTGTTGTCATTGCAATTACCATTGCCATTGCTATTGCTATTGCTATTGCCATTGCCATTGTTATTGCCATTGCTATTGCCGTTGCCATTGCTATTGCAATTGCCGTTGCCATTACAATTGTTGCTAATATCTAATTTGCAGAAGCTGTTCTTCTGCTTCTGCAGCATGCCATCCAAGTTAACAAACGACTTGATGATCATCTCCACAATAGTCAATGTGCTTATTTGCCAGTTATCGAAGGCGGCCATAAAGCCGCTTGGCAACTCATCTTTGATCTTATTGAGCCCATCGGGTGTATTGTAGACATAGCCCTTGAGGATCACCCACGAGTTGACAATGCGTGTGAATACAAATATGAAATCCTTGACAGCCCAAGCAATGCCCTGCGAATTGATATTCGGAAGCACACCATCAGGACGCAATAGATCCTGCTTAAGTCGTGCACACAATGTATCCATCTTCTTGAAGCAAGGACGCTGACGATGCGCATTGGCCAGCCGTTCGGCAATGTCGCTTCCCTTGAGAGATATGCGTGTAATATCCTGCAAACGTTGTATGGGAAGGATGACCTCTGAGTTGCGCCGATCACCTTGCTGTATGCTTGGAAAACCGTAGCTTTCAAATGAGCTGCGACTATTAGAAGACTCCTTGCTGCTAGAATATATTGAAAAGAATTCAAAATTAATATATGAACTAAAATTGCAGACGATTATATCCTTAATCCTGCTACTACGGACGGAACAGTACTTAGATCTACAAAGAAATACAGCTAGATGGAAACTGAAGAGGATTAAGTTATACGATTTCAATATATAATTACGAAAAGCAGTTAGATCTAAGCTACAGGACTACAAAATGTATATAGAAAAATTCAATTATTATATACATAAAATGATCAGCTGGAAAGAATAATGCCACACTTACCCATCGCTTAAATTTGCCTGATATTTGAATTTGATAATTGGCGGTGCATCGCCAATTAAATCTGTTTGTGTGGTTGCATCACAGCTGCGCTTGACACTCGAGCGTGTCTGACATGCATTATCCTTGGTATGATGATGTGGGCGCAAGTGTGCTGGATGATAGTGTGGCACATACATGCCGCCCACATTGGCCGATGCGGCCGATGAATGTTGCATATACATTTGACCATATGAGTTCATTGAAGCTGCAACTCTGCATCAATACAAAACAAGCCACATTTTCCGTTACTTGGGAATAACTTACCCGAGCTGGCGGCATAATATTGAACGCCCGGCATGGACATATATGTAAATCGGCCGTGCATCGATGGATGATGTGGCGGCGGAGGCGGTGGTGGTGGAGGTGGGGGATGTGCTGCCGGTGGTGGCGGTGCAGGTGGTGCCGCATTGCTTCCCATGTAAGGACCACGCCCGGTTTGTATAAATACGGGCGGACGTATCTGCATCGGTGGTGTACTCATTGTCCAGGAACTCTGGGAGACATGCTCCTGAACAAATACATCTGTTACGGCCATACGGGTTCGATCCACATAGGTGTGCTGCTGGTACATAGATTGCTGGCAGAGGGACTCCACGGCCATGGCGGGTATATGATATAGGGGTGCATTATAGCCGCTATTCATAATTCCAGCAAATTCACCAAGCAATACACTCTTTAAATTAAACTAAATATTAAATATCCAAAAAAATAACAAATGAAAATTAAAAAAACTTTTAGGTTAGCTTTTCTGGCAGCTGCTCGCAATTAATTTTCGTTTAAACTGTACATTGTCAGCCTGAATGCCAATTGTCAATTTGATGTAAATAATCGAATAATTTACTTGAATAATTCCTATTGGGAGTATTAATATTTTAAAAGTAATTACTCACCTGCAAGTCGAGCTGAACAGAATTCTTGCAACGGGCAACAACAACAACAGCAGCAGCGACACGAAGGCGACGGCGCGCCGTACATATTTCCGATAGCTAGGATGTGTGCAAGTATCGGCCTAGCGATAATAAGCAAACCGCTTATCGATAGGTATAAATTTCTATTTGGTCCGTAACTCCTTTTTGTACAAAAACCGTAAACAAATAGTTTCAATTCTAAAATAAAATACGATTTGCTTTTCGAAGCACAAGTTTTAATTATTTGAATACACTGCTGAGCTTGTCAGTTTGACATATTGTAATAAAATTTCGACATGAACACGTTCTAACGGGTTTTTTGCACATACATAATCACATTAATTATAAATTGATGTAGATAACAACACTTTATGATTTTAATATATTTTATCAAAACACGCTGGTATTTAACAATAAATATATAAAAAAATTTATCTTCGCACATCAAAAAATAGTCAGTTAAATTTACTTGATCTTGCTTCTACTTTACCGTTGAGGATGCGCAGCAGGATATAATAATCATGCTGATGTACGCTATCGACTAGCTCGATAGTTCTTTATAAGGGTCTATTGTGAATGTCATGTAAATTGTGATGGCCATATGGCTTTCACAGCTGACCGGCAACTAAATTAATTATCAATTATAAAATGTGTCATGACTTGTTTTGGGAACAATTATATTATTATTATTAAAAAACGCTTGTTCTTATTAAGTGTACTTACAGAATAGAAATATGATTGTTCAAACTTACTTCTGTTATTTACAGAGCATGGCATGTTAAAATGTTATCGCTGTTATGCGCAGTAGAAGAAGATAAAATTAGTTTAGCTGAAAAAAACAAAAGTAATCGAAACAAAATAAACATAAAATGACAGACAAAGCTAATTTTGCGGACCAAATAGAAAACGATAAAAACAAAAATAATGTGCGTTGTCAATTTTGCAACAGTCTAATGCTAAAAGGCAAAGAGGCAAGCTACTCCGAGCAAGAGGTAAGAAACTAAATGAAAATAAAATATTCTGTGCTATAATTGAAAATGGTTGCAGGTAAATGTGCCGCTAATGGTGCAGAAAAAGGAGAGTAAAGCTGATTCGCTTAACACAGAGATCTTGCATCATTTCTGGCTGGTCGAAGATATGATGACATTCGAAAATATTGGCTTTTCCCATACTGTAGATGGACGCAAATTTCTTGTCTGCGCCGATTGCGAACGCGGACCGGTTGGCTATCACGAGCTCTCCACCAAACGTTGTTATGTGGCGTTAGAACGTGTGGCTCACGAGGATGCATAGGTAAAAAGTTATATACCTATGCATATATAAGTGGTATGGTCCTGAACCATGCACCTCCAACGTTTAGCCTAATATATTTTATTGCTATTATTGTACGCTGTTCACATAGCTTGTCTGAAGTGCCGGATGTATGGCACGTAGCATTTTATAGCAACTTGGGGCTAGTATGTGGTATTTTGTTGTAAATTGTGAAAGTCTACTGTCTGGAACAGCTGACCAGCTGTACTCCATTAACTATCTCCCTTATATTATTTGTAGAGCTACAAATTGTAGATTAACAAATTGTGAAATTTATGCATGCTTTACATTTTTATATATTCTTTAATATATAAGCTATAATAAATAAAAGACATAGCCAGAATAGTAGTAACATCATTACGAGTTATACACATCTTCTAATATCTTATGCAAGCCCAAAAGTGTACAAGTCACTGCCCACAGTTTTAGCAGTACGCATTCAGCCTGCTGTATGCTAAGTGTACAGAGTATTCCATAGTCGGAAATATTCGACGCTGTTAATAATAAATGTAAGCAATCAATTTTTGTAATATTATGATTTAAGATTATTATGCCTATAAAAGTTAGTTGTTTTTATTAATATTTTTATTGTGTTTCGTTTAAACATTTTTAAAATTTTGTTTGCATTACAAATATTGCATTTAAGAGGAGTGTATCTTAACTAAAAACATAAACTTGGTTTTGTCTTTTTTTCGCAAAATGTTGCTTACAATTTGAACTAAACTCGATTTGTAACCCTCGTTCGAGAGAGAGCTTCTACAGATTCTACAGCACGTGGACAAAAGCTTTGCCTACCAAATTCTCAAAAAATCCATCGTTGTGCTCAGTTTTTCCGACGGATGTTGAAAGATTTTATATTTATATATAATTTTTATTTGATTTGGCAGTTGGTTACGAGTGTTTTTTTTCTTTTAGATTCCATTTCATGTTGTGGGGTCCTTGAAGCGTGTTGAGCTTAGCCTAGAGGTCGAAAACTGGACTCTGTCATTTTAATTTATGTTTTTTTTTTTGTTCAATTTCATCTCAATTGTACTAAGAAATTTGGAATTTTATGCAATTTGTTTAGCAATTTTTTTCTTTGTCAGTTTTTTTTTTAGAAAATCTCCATATGAAAATAAAAAAAGGGAAACTCAGACAAAAAGGTGTTAACATTTATTATTATTTTTTTTTATATGTATGTACTACTAAGTTTGTTTAAATTTTTTTTTTAATATTTTTATAGCCTTAGTTACAACAATTTTATATTTATTTTTTATTGTGGGATCTGAATACTTTTTTTTAACTGCGGTAGGTTTTTTGTTTTTAATTATTTATTTTTAAATTTTTAATACTTTGTTTTTCCAAAATTCGCATTTATTTATTTTTTCTTTTACTTTATTGGCCAATTTTTAATTATTTCTTTTTATATACAATCAAAGAGTGTTCAAATATTTGTTTTGTTTTTTTTTTCATAAAGCTTTTGCCATAGGACATTGAGAGGTAAATAAATAAAATATATTTATTTTCGGAGCGAAGCTGGAAAAAGAATTGTTGTTCAGCCAGATTTTAGTTAGGTTAATTTTATTACTTACCCGAATCTGAAGCAGCTGGGCGTGGTTTTTTCATTTTGGATGATTATAGCTGAGACAGAACTCAATGGGTTTGGTTTGAAAACAAAATGATAATAAAGAGAAAGAAAAACAATGGCTAAAGGGAAACGGCTTAACGCTGCAACCACTTGCAGGCGCCCAGGATCAAGCCGACGGTGGCCAACAGACCCAGGCCAGAGATGCCGCTCAGTGAGACGGCACCATTGCAGTTGTCCGTATCACAGGAGCAGACGACCTGACGGCCACCAAAACCGGCACGCTGATAGCAATAGTTGGTCGATGTTTGATTCTGGAAACCGCAAGTGCGTATCACACGGCTATCTGGAGGCACTGGAGACGCACAGAAACAAAAACTCCATAAGCTTCATATAGTCATAGTTTATAAGAATGTAAACTCACGGCTGTTCACAGAGAACTCAATGATCTGCGTGATCTTGCGACAGTAGGTGGGTATGCCACGATCACGCGATGAGTAATCCTCCTGGCAGTCCTTCAGCAAATTGTCTGGTGGTATGTCCAGCGCACAGTTGGCGTCTTTATGGCTGTTGCACACGAAGCACTTGATGGCAACGCCTGTAAGCAAAAGAATATTCAGTTGTTAGGAAATATCAGAATTGTAACAGATTAGAATAGTTTTCTAATCGAGTTCAGTTTAAGCTGGTTCATTTACTTATATTAGAGCCAGATCAACAAGCTCAACTTTTTCTTATTGGCTTATTCCTCTTAATTTGTAATTATCGATATTAAAAATTTGTTTGTGTTATTTTCTCTAATGTTTCTCCTACTCTTTTTTTCTCTTTCTATCTCCGTCTATATAGATGTATCTCTCTCACCCTCTCCGAACCTTTCTTTCTATGTCTCGCGGGCGAAGTCCCTCTCTTGATCTTTCTCTAGCTCTCTCTCCATATCTGTTAAGCTCTCTTTCTCTCTCTCACTCTCTATCTATCTCTCTTTCTCCATCTGTCTCCCTTGCTTCTCTCTCTATTTCTTTTTCTTTCTCTATTCCCCTTTCTCGCTCTCTGCATATCTCTCTATTACTGTCCCTCTCTATTTTTCTGTTTTTTTCCTATCTCTGTCCATCTCTACCGCTCTTCTTTATCTCTCGTGTCTGCTCTTTCTCCCTCTTCCACTCTGTCTCCGCCCAACTCTCTTTATATCTCTGTATCTATCTCTCTCTCCGTCTCACTTGCTATTTTTCTTCTTCTCTTCCACTCTCTCTCTCCCTCACTCTTCCTCTCTCTTTTTCATTCAGTTAATGCCAATTAGGAAATGTTTCTATCTACAATCAAGTTGGATCCACTCGCTTACGCTTAACCTCAATTGCTGAACAAAACAAAAAAGTGACCAAGTGTAAATAAATCTGAGCTGCAAACTGTAGATTGAGACGTTGACTTAGCTAAATTGAATTTAAGGTCGTGAGCCACACGAGATTTGCATTATATGATTTTTTTTTGTCAAGAAACAGAATTTATGTTATATATATGATTATATATATATATAGATATATATATATATTTTATACATAATAGTCTATGATGCAATTCGAATGCTAAAAAACTGACACGTTGCATGCCCCATGGCCGAGGGCTGAGCGGCGTCTCCATTAGTGTCTGGTCGTTAGGCTCTTGAGAGCCAGTCGCTAATTAGAATTAGAATCTCCATCAGCTTCATCAGTTTCATGTTAATGGACTTTCATAACTTGTGCATTTTTGTTTCTGTGCCTCCCTCTCTCTCTTTCGCTCTCTTTCTCGCTCAACCCCTAAATGGGTTACATAAGTCAGACAAAAGTAAGTGCTACCCATTGTGTTGTTTCTTCTTTTTTTTTTTTGGAGTGCCTCATCGAACAATGGACAAGCAAATGTAGTCCATAAAAAAGCGAAGCCAAGCCAAGACAGAGAATGACTTTTTATAGCTCTTCATGTATATAAAATATGCTTACAGAAGTAATCTAGTGTAAATGCTAATAGTTCTTGAAGGTAGAATTTATAGGATATATAAAACTGGACATGAACTTAGCTATATGAGTTGTTGGCCAGGAAATTTTCAAATGAGTAAAATTTGTCATATCCAAGAAAGATAAAAAGCTAAAACCTAAATTTGGATATTATTATAATGTAGGATTTTAATTGTGGGAATCGAAGTTCAAATCGATCTAGTTATAAAGCCAACTTTATAGATCTCTTATTTTGTTTCGAATATATTCTTCTTAAATATTTTCGCAGGGTTTAGTTGCCAATAAATTTTGATTGCTTACGCTCTTCCATCTAATATAATTTAGTTCAATGCAGCCAATCGATATAGATTGCATTGATTGCTTACGTTCTTTGCTGATAGATATATAACTAAATTTATTATATATATATATATATATATATATATATATATAGATATATGTATATCTATAATTGTCTCATAAACGTAGACAGCTATTTTAGCTGTAAAACTTTCCATAGAATATATAATGATCATTGCTTTAATTTGATGTCTTTAGATGCTCGCTCACAAAGCACGTAGAGTATATGGCTTTTTATAGGAATGTAAGTAAAAGATGAATATGTATATATCCATGTCGATATAGTAGCGTATGCTCAGCTATGAAATCCGTACAAATTCGTGTAGCTGCAATAAACTATGTCCTTAATTCAAGGACAACTTGTTGGTATTACCATTAAGTAATATTTATAATTTTTCGCAAATTAATTTTAAATAGTTTTGGAATATGAGGCGAGTATGAGGCAGTCGGCTATAGCCGACTAACAACTTTTCTATATAAGTGCGTCAATTTAAAGACTTGCAGGCGATTGTGATGGGGAGTTGGGAGTGGGTAGGAATAGGGAGTTAAAAGAGGGTCTTGTTGCAGTAGCTTCCCAGGCCTGCTAACCGAGTGGCAGGCAGAGCGCATGACTGCGCATGTCCTGCGTTCCCATACACACACACCCTCACACACACACATACACACCCTTACACTCACACAAACACACGCTTGCACACATTTCACCCAGTTAAGAGACGGAAGGAAAAGACAGATTAAGATGCGACTGAACAGATTTGTTACTTTTTTGATATGAAAAGCGATAATAAGCAACGGATAAAACAAGTTGTTAACTGTTAGCAAAAGAGGCAGTACAGTGAGGACTCCGTCCAAGGACAGCTCTATATTAAGAGACTTTTACTTCTTAACCAACAACTAAACGTTAATATTTATCGTTATTATTTTATAGCATTTGATAATTCGTTTGATTAACTGTTCTAGTCGCGGTTCATTACAACTAGTTTTCACTGTGTATTCGGTTTGGGTGTTAGCACTTTGTGCAACTGCAATTGTCAGTTTGCCAGCTGGATGTGTGGTCTAAAAAGGCGCCATTGCGACCGGCTTCCAAGGCGGCGTCAAGGCGTCTCGCTCTCTCTTTCTCACGCCCCCTCTACTGCTTGCCCGCTCTGCCGCTCAGCCGCTTAACCGTATTCTGGTTTTGACTCTGCAACCCCTACTTCCACTTCCATCGCACACGCATTATGTAATCGTCAAAATCGTGCAGACAAATTTCCCTATTTTTTTTTCATCTTATTTTTTGTTGAGCTTGAAATTGGAACTTGGTTTTGTGTGTGTGTGTATGTGAGGGTGCGTTAATGTCTGTATGGAGGGAGCTCTGCTAGGGGCTTTACCTTGCTGCACGGCAATTGCCAAAATTAGCGCGCTAATCACATAGAGATACTGCATATTTATTTTATTAAATAATATGAAACACACGCCTAAAATTTAGATTTTGTTTTTTTTTTGTTAATGAGATTTTCGGTATGCCTTTTCGGCTGTTATCTTGTGTGTGTTTTTTTTCAATATTTTTTCAACACTGCGAAGGAAGGCGCACGGTCACAGAACGAGAACGTCAAAGCGACAACAAGCGACTGGAACTGAAAGACGCAGCTTGCCCGACAAATGTGGCACGAATGAGCAGATGAGCAAGTCGGTCAGATAGCCACAGGCACAGGGCTGCAGAGCTGCAGCGTCCGTACCGTGGGTCGCTTGCAACAATTTGTGGAAAAAAATCTATAACGTAGAAAGTGTTTTAAATAAAGAGCTTTTAGCTAACCTTTACAGCTCTGTTATACAGCGGAAATATTGGTAACAGAACTAATGTTAATTGTTAACATAAATTACTTTAGGCTGGCCATGTCAAAGTTTAAAATTCTTAACTGCATGCGCAACTATGAACATGCGCCTTAGCTAAGCATGATACGATTATTGATGTAGCTAAGTCAATGTTGCCCATTGTACAATCGCAGCAAATTCAGCGACTAATGCCCGGCAAGCTTTCGTGTGAGCTTTAGAGAGCGAGGCACACGATTCTGCTGTTCGCTGTGTCCTCGCGCTCTCACAGGCATAGTGGAGACGTTGCCAGACTGTTAAGCTACGCTTATTGGAAATTTGAGGGTGAGCAGCGTATAAAACTCCCAACTTAATTAGTCAATGATAAATACATCAATTATTTTTGTTTTATTTTTTTTAAACATACTTTATAATTGTTCTTCTACAATTTAAGATATTCAAATTTTAAAATTGAAATTTTTAAATTTTTGCAAAATTGATTCATTTTATTATACCCTGATCCCATTAAAAATGGGAAATCAGGGTATAATGGTTTTGTGCAAATGTATGTAACAGGCAGAAGGAGGCGTGGCAGACCCCATAAAGTATATATATTCTTGATCAGGACGACAAGCCGAGTCGATTGAGCCCTGTCCGTCTGTCTGTCTGTCCGTCTGTCCGTCTGTCCGTCTGTCCGTCTGTCCGTCTGTCCGTCTGTCCGTATGTGTGAACGCGTGGATCTCAGCATCTATAAGAGCTAGAGACTTGAAATTTTTTTTGTAGGTCCGTGTATAGCACGCGCAGGTCAAGTTTGTTTCAAATATTCGATAACTATTCGCATTTAATTGTTATCGAATAAAAACATTATTGAAATACAGTAAATAAATTATATCTCGAACATCTTAAGAGCTAGAGACTCCAAATTTTGTATTTAGTCTTATGTATATTTTATGCAATTTTGATTTTTGTTGGATTTTGGATACCGGATCCAAATTCCCCCAAATTCTTAGAATTTAAGTTTAGTTGGAACTAGGGCCATTATGTCAAGGCGTTTGCATCTCAACTAAGCCAATAGGATATGTAGATCATATGCTGAAAATTTCATTAAAATCCATTAAGTAAAACAGAAGTTATTAAACAAAACGTTTGGCCAATTTGCAAAAGCACATGTCAGCAGCGCCACGCGCACGCATTTTTCCTATGCATGTGCACACATTCATTCAAATGCGTGTATTCTTTTCTATTCCAAGAATTGAAATTGCGATTGAATTGTGCTGAATATTAGCTGCTACTTATGTTCAAATATGCAACAGTCCATGTAAGAAGAACGGTGGCGGCGTTGGTAGAGGCGCCGCTCGCATGCAGCTTGGTTCGGGTTCGACACCAGTGGAGATGAAGTGTTTTTTATTGTTTTATTTTTTTTTTTTAGTTATGAAGTGGCGGTGTTGGTAGAGTTTGTGCACGTTGCGTAAATAATCCGGGTTCGAATCCTGGTCTCGCAATGTCGATTTTTATTTGTTATTATTTAAATATTATTTAAATGAGTTTGTAATAACAAAACTCAAAGGACTGGGATCAGGGTATCTCCTAGTCGGGCACCCCGACTAGAGCTTTCTTACTTGTTTTTCTAGTAAATTTGTAATAATAGGTTTTATTGAAGCCCCACCTTAAATAAAGTCCATTGTTTGTGTGGCATGCCTTGGGTAGTTCCAGTATTTACTGGTGGCATAAATTTGCCCAACATATTAATTAAGCTTAATCGTAAGTTTCCTTTGCATATCCACATATCCAGTCACTCGAGTCGCCGTCTAATTGAGCTATCTTATTTTATAAACATATTTTTTCTTTTTTTGCGCTCGCGCGTTGCTTTTATACCTCAATCAGTATAAAAATCGCAGAGCTCTCCCAATCCGAATCCCAATTTCAATTTCAATTCCACTCTCAATCTTAATCTGTATCTCCATCTCGATTATACGCAGTGCCTTGCCCTTTTTAGTATCCATCTCGCTTGCACTTTGTAGTATACATCTCTTTCCATCTCTATCGCACTACGCTACGCATCAATTGTTTTCATTACCACTTTCATTTAGCTGCTAAGCCTATAAATAGATCTGGCAACTGTAGGGTTAAAGTACGCGTAATCAAAACGTTTGACAAAACAATTAAACAGTAAATTCTCGCTAGGGTGAACAGTTACAAACTGCACAAACATAACAAAGTATTTAATATTGTTATAAGCTTTTTCAAATTCATTTGTTATAGATTAAAATGCAGTTTTAAAAGGTTTCCTGTTCGTTAACAAAGTTTTTACTGTAGTCTCAATTTGAATACGTTGAGCATACGCCGTGTTTGACTTCATAAGCTTACAATGCAGAGCTTTCAATCTGACGTTGTTGTGTTATCAGCTAAAAGCTTTTCAAAGACAATAAATGTAAAATACTGGTTCTTTTCGTGTGCACAGTCAAGCAAAATTCCCACTATTTTCGACAGCTCATTGAACCCACTTGAGCACGCTACACTGTCCATTTGCTATTTTTGTTGTTGTAGTTGTTGGTACACTAAATCTTGTAGCTTATTAATGCAAAGCCCCGCAATTTTTGCAGTTAATCTTCAAAGCGTTGCGTCACGCAGCATTAAGAGCACGTTGAAGATGATGTTGAGGCGGTATGTGAGGGAAAGGGACGGTGGGCGACGGTGGGTGGACGGCTGTTCGTGCGGCGGCGACAATGAGACGGGCTCGCAGACTCACTAAATCAAATCAAACCAAACCGGTTTGAACAAACAACACCAAGCACAAATACCAAGCCACATGGGCAAATACATATATAGATATATGTGCACTTGTGAACATTAACTGAAGCTGTTGAGTGAGAGTGTGTTTGTAAGGGAATCTGAATGATCAGCTGTTTAAGCTGAGAGGCAGCTCCAGTTGCCAAATGCTGACAAGTTCAGAAATGTGTGTTTTGAGCATTTCAATGAGCCAACTCCCGGATTCAGTTGTTTTCCAACACGCCAAGCAAATCAGTCGAAAAACATTTCAATAAAAGAACGAGAATTAATTATTATATGCAAAATTTTATGTGTATAGATTTAAGGATTGTGTGAACAATAATAAGGCCGTGAGTGTTAACTTGAACCACTTTGGAATAGTTTGAAAAATTATTATAAAAATAAAAATCTTTATTTATACGCACTTCTTTCTAAAAAAAATAGAAAAATTAAAGAAACATTTTTTATTACGTTTCAAGTTTTTTTTTGTGTTTGTGTTATAGAAAAATAACGTTTGAAATATTTTAATATATTTCATGTAAATACAACTAAAAGTACCCATACTACTTATTGATTATAATTTAAAAAAATCATATAATAAATTGTTTTCGAATTGATTGTTTGACATTTTGAATGTCTTAAAACGAAATGCATTCGGGATCCGCCTTAAACCACCTTTAACCAGTGATTGTCTTACACAAATATTCCATTAGCTATGCAAAAAGTGAACAATGCCAAACTCTGCACTATATAAACATATATCTATATGACTGTACATACGTATGCAAATATCTCAACAAAAAAAAAAAAACAAGACGAAAAATGTAATTATCAAAATAAAATAACAAAAATATAAAATTCGAAATGCTTTGAACTTCCCTTGATAAGCTGCCCGGCTTCAGTCGTTGGTCTCTGTAAGCCGAGATACTAAGTCGAGCTGGCCTCGATCTTAAGCTGGATGAAACCAAAGTGGTTGAGTTTTGGTAGCCGTATACCAGTTTCAGCTAAGCAAACCACTGATAAGACAAGTAAAACTGTTTAGTTGTGCGTTCTCCCTATCACCGGAACCCAAATCAGAGACAACAAATCGAGTCAGACACCAAATACAGCCAATAACATCATGATTAAACAATGTATTAATTACCTACAAAAAAAAAAAACAATTTTAAATTAAATTATCTTATTGAACGTGCAGCGTATATACCCTGGGATATATCTAGCTCCCTTCATATTTACCAAACAAAAAATAAGTAGTATATGAGTAACTTCAATAACATTTGCTTTATTAAAAAAAAATAATTTTGCAATTTCGTTTCTAATAGAACCATTTTTATATTCATAATTCATATTTTAGCTTCAGCACATTTTTTAATTTTGCAATAATTTCTTTAAATTTAAAAAAAAATAAATTATGGTTTTTAAATGCTAAAATTAAAAAAATTGTGTTATTAAAAAGAGACTAGTTTTTATATAAATATATATTTATAAAATTTAAAACTTATTAATAGTTAATATAGGTCCAGCATTAGTTTCAATTCTATTCCTTTAGATATACTGTTGATAGTTACTAATCAAGAATGCGTATAATATTTAATTACACAAATGTAAATAGTGTAAACAAAAAGAAATAGTTTAGCACGTGCATCGAGCATTAGCCTTGGCTCTTAGTGACGTCACAATTTGATAGTTACCAGTTGAAAGCGGCTCTCAGTTCGAAAAAAAAGCGCGTTTCCCTTTACTTATTTTTCGATAAGAGCAAAATTCGAGCGTGCATCGAGCTCGTCGCGCATTATCAATGCAAGCCGACGGACAACCTTCACGGCCAATGCTGATGCCCCGCCTCCTTCGCCCCTTGGGACGAGCTCAATGGCGATCAAGTAACGGAAGTTTTTCACTTGCTTCTTTCGACTACTGCTGCACTCTTCAGCACCCCTCGCTCATGCATGCTAGGCTGTCTGCCTGCTGTTGTCACTCAATGTCGCTCTCTTGCACACACGCACACAGACACAGCGACACACATACATGCATGCACACGCAAGTTAATCTCAGCTGCCTTCTCTCTCGCACTCTCTTGGTTGCTGGCCGTTTCTTCTTACGTTCGCGTTTTCCAAATCATTTTGTTTTGAAAAACTCAACGCGAGTTTTCAGATTCATCTCGACGTTGCGCGCGTTAAGTTGTTCAACTCGCGACTTAACATATATTATTTTTTAATATTTTGTGAGTTTTCAATTTTTGTTTGAAATATTTTATTTGCATTCGAATTTGAATTTTTATTGAGTGCAAAGTGTGTCGTATAATATTGCTTATAAGATTTTAATGGAAATGGAATGTGCAAGAATTTTAAAGCACACAAAGTCTTGCTAATTAAAATGCTTAACATTTTATGCTAATAACTGTTAGACGAACAACTGAAAACCAGATAGGTTTACCCTGCAAATATATTCATATTCAATTATACGCTTTACCCTGTTCAACGTTAATAAAAGTCTATTTTGCATATATGAAGTAGCAGCTCTTAGCATACGAGGTCCGCTCATACAGTAACGCAAATTTTAATTTAATTTTAATTTTTACAAGTGATCGAAAGTCGATTATACGCATATCGTGATTTTTGATATTTTTTGAACACACCTCGTACTATTTCCCAATTCGTTGTAGTTGCGAGGTATCCTTAAGTCAAGCATTCATGTATCCTTTAAAAACTCTTCCTAATCTGTTAACCTCTATGTTCTGCTTTTTAAATATAGTTTTAATATATATATATTTATATATTATTTATTATAAATGCTTACAGGGTATCTTTTAGTGCAGCTCATTTTATTACTTAGCTCACACTAATTTGTTACCTCCTCTGCTTACTTTTCAGCTTAGATAATATCAAGATAAAGTTAACGACTCTGCCGAGTCAAGATCAAACTACAGATTCCGTTCACATATACCCGAGTAGTTTTGGAAGAACTTCGCCGGAGAGAAATTCAGCCCAGACAGCATCAGACAATCATCAACAACTAAAAAGATGTCCCAGACGCTCGCCTACATCGTGATAATCGCTCTTGTTGCGAATCTCTTATCAGGTAAATGCTTTATAATTGTGTTTTCTTGTAATTAGAGAGGATTATACGTTTACTATTTTTAAAGACTTGAACCAAGCGGTGATCTTCAATCAGCCAAATCGTCAATCAGTCAATCAAGCACTAGTTTAGCGAGGCAAATCAGTTAGTAAAAGCTCTTAATGGACATTGTCTTGCATTCATTTAACGTCGGCTTTGTTCTTTAATTGACTCAATCATTAATTAATTGAATCAGCGAATTGATTGACCCAAACACGACATCAGCTCGCATCTTGTTTTTCGGCTTTTCAATTAAATTCATTCATGTAGAACACTTTTTATTAGATAATAGATTGGGTATACAAAGCAGTTGTTGTTTTCGACATGCAATTAAACTGATAAGAATTGATTTCGGTGTTTGACCCGTTTAATGCGAGTAATGGGTAAATAAGCACGCGGCCAGGTGTTGCTAATCTGATTGTTGTGTTAGTTAGATTGAATGATAGACTGATAGATACCCTATAAAGCATAGTAATTCATTTTTAATCAAGTATTGAAGACTGAGATGAGTCATCAAGCATGCTTGTACAACTATCAACCTGTTAATGTGGCCATCAGACGTCTAGATACCCTGTAAAAGTGGCAATCCATTATTGCATTGAAATTTTAGCGGTTAGACGGAAAGACGAACTCCTCAGATTGGCACTCAAGTCTGTTACTACACTATAAAATACCCTGTAATATTTGCAACTTTTTAATACATTCAATTTTTATTATAAGGAAAAGAAAAATTCAGAAGAATTACTAAAAACATGTCTGACTAGCATTTAATTCAGTTACCATGCTAAAAAAATGCCCTGTAAAAGTTGCAATTTCTATTGCATGCCAAAAAATCTCAGTGAAAGGGTAAATATTTAAGCACATACTTAAAGGTTCTTCGTATAATTAATGTAGCTTCCAGGCAGCATTAAGCCGTTTAAGCAGTATGAACTAGACTTGAAAGATATATTTAAAATTGAATCAAGCTTAAACTGTATTAATTAAAATTATTTGTATTTCCTGCTACATATAGACATAAACATATATATACATATATATATATATATATATATATATATATATATATATATGATCAGGGCGTACGCTAAATTGGATTGACTTTCTGCAGCTTGATTCTTCGTTGTGAACCACTTAAGTGTAACTTCCCCCACGCAACATTCCAGCGCAGTAAAAGATGTTAAATCATTTAAGCTCTTTAGTGTTAATAATCTGCGCAAATACGAAACTTTTATATATATATATATCTATATACAGATAACCCTATGTACTCAGAGGGTTTATTTTTTGTGTTATATGGGAGCTACGCGTTTCATTAGCGCACAATTGTCAAACACTGCGCTACAAGTTCAAGCTTACGTTGACCGCAAGCCGCAATGTAGAATGCAAATGTCAAATTCGATATCTCAAATCTAATATTACAAATCCTACATTAAAATGCAAAGTTCTGTATTCATTCATCGTTTTTTTTTTGCATTTTTATGGCAACTGGTTTTTATTAGCTCGGCTTAATTACCAAAGGGGCCACAGCAGCGACTGTGCCTGGGCTAAAAGTCGGGGATTTCGTGCGACCAACAAAGTAGAAAGCAACAAAAAGTTGCGCATACGCCCCGTTAAATGGCATTCATCCAAAAGTCAAGTCTCTTGAACTAACTTGACATAAGGTTGCAAGAAGTGTCCATTAACTGTGATGGATATCTTGAAAAAGCAAACGAAATATGAAGACTTTTCGGCAATTAGTACTTCCAAGAGAATTGTATAGAGATATAGGAAATTGAGCGGGAAAGGCATTAAATTTCAAACCAAAATTTGGGATCAACTGCAAATGTTTGTTAGGGTATCCAAAGGCAGTAGCCTAGGCGCAAGGCTGTCTAGCTTGAGTTTTTGTGCCTTGTTGCGTGTCAGAGTTAACAGTAACAGTGGAAGCAACTTAACAAGAAGTGCTCGGAGTTGACATGCAATTATTTAGCTTGGTTAGGCTGAGTTTAGTTCAATTCAAGACAGGACAAGACTCTGGACTTAGTTACTCACTCAGTCAGTCAGTCAGATGGCTCAGCTATTTTGGCAGGCTAATAAAATAATTTGCTGTCAAAATGTCTGGCCATGTGAAAAGGGCGGTGCATTTGGCATGCCATTTGAAAGGTCTACTCTACATATCTGAAGTCTCGCTGACAAATTGCTTTTCTATTCTAATCAAGGCTGCAAACGCGTTTTGTGCAAGGCAAAACTAGTTGGCAAGCGATCTAATATTAAATTAAAATTTAAAATTTAATTTTTGTTGAAAGAAAAGGTTTAAGATACTTCAATGACTCTGAACGAAGAGGAAAAACTTGTGCATAAAATAAATACTCAGTTTTGTTCTTTGACTTCTCTGCTCGAAATTGATTGACCTGATAATTAATAATTATAGCTGACACAATCCAGATTGTTTCGACATCTAAACACCCGATTGAAAAAATTTTTTAGAATTTCTATTTAATTATTTCTATATAAAGTTTTGGTACTGCGAAATGTTTCCTGGTTACTTTGAGTGGTCTGTGAACAAGTATCATGCTTCATATGTTTCTTTTTTAATTTCTAGGTAGAACTCTACAACTGCTTCAGTATATCTACTCTAAGTCTAGTCTTCTAGCTATACATATAATATTTTATATATCTCCGATATCCATTTTCAGTTTCCGGCCTGCGCTGCCATCAGTGCAACTCACACGATAATGACGACTGTGCCAGCCTGGTGGTAAATACGCCGCGCGCCCAGCGGGACGATCAATATTTAAGGGACTGTGCGCCCAAGGGCGAGGAGCAGGCGTTCTGTCGCAAGACAATCATTCAGCTGGAAGTGAATGAGGAGCGTCGCATCGAGCGCAGCTGCGGCTGGATACAGGAGAAAACGCATAATGCTTGCTTTACGGCCGATAATGAGGGCTACAAGCAAACCATTTGCACCTGCAGCGAGGAGGGCTGCAATGCGGCGCCAGCTTTGGCCAGCCCCGCCTCCTGCCTGACCACACTGCTTAGCCTGGCCGCCTCTCTCGGCTGTTTGCTGCGACGCTGAGCGGCCAATTCCATCAAACATTCGAACAGTTGCACTATCCATTAGCTTAACAATCTATCTATATATATATGCTGTGTGCTTTAAGTATGTAGTCCATGTTTGTATGGGCATTTCATAATTATACAAGTATTTTACTAAATTTCAAAATTGTTTTTTTTTTTTCGAACTGCAGCTGAATAATATTTGAAGCCTGTTTTCGATGCTTTTGGTTCAAACTACATATAAAGTTTAAAGAGCTAATTAGTTAGAGCTTAGTTATCTCACTTCAGGACATGCACTGGCGAACTCTGAACTGAAGTGTCACAAATATTTCTTCACAGTTTGACACGAATTATGTTATGATCTCAGCCAGTTTTCCAGTTTACAGTATTTGTATTCAACAACTCGAAGCACGCATTTTTTTTATCAGGAAAAGCGGCAAATAATTCAAATTAAATCAAAACAGAAAATATTTGGTTTCTTCAATTCCTTTTTTTTCATTCAGTTGTAACTTTGACTGAATGAACTGCCTCAGCTTTTCCCCCGTTGAATTGTAAGTGAAGCTTAGCTCAGCTGTTCAGAGCTTCGCATTATCCCATCTATAATATCTTTTAAATTAAAGTGTATATCCGTGATATCCCATATGTCCTCTTTGTGTAGAGCAAGCATTTTCTTCCCTTCGTTTTGCGATTTGTTGCCAAAATGTCTGGCAAATTGTTTAGTGGCCCACAGTCGACGTCAAAGTTACGCAGCTTCATTGCTGGCCAAAACCAACAGCATAACTCTTAATACTCGTTCAGGCAGTAAAGCGATGGAATATGCGCTTTGACTGGAAAAAGCTCGAGACTTGTCAATTAAATTCATTCATAAACATATCGTCTACTAGTTCAATCGTTAAGTAATTATTGATCTCAACTGTTTTTACTATAATAACTATATATATTACAATTTCGAGCTGGCAAACTGGACAGCAATGTGAACGGGTATAAAGCAGTCGATAACGCTCGACTGCCAAATTTTGTTGTTTTTGTTTTGTTTCATTCCCATTTTTCTCAAGACATTTGTTGTAGTTATTGTTGCTGTTGTTGTTATGAAGCTGCAAGGACAACACATGCTGACCCATTGGCATTAAGGACACAACATTTTTAGTACACACAAATTGTTGTCCTCCAACGCACTTGATGACGAGCTTTAACTAGTTGTCCTTTGCTGAAAATTGTATATATAAACAGTAAATACGGCCTAAAGCGAACCGCCATATACGTTTTAACTTTAGTTCAATCTATATATAAGCTGAGTGAAAACGTAAGCAAAGGCAGGAGGTATCGTTCGCTAGATCAATAGACAACATATATATATATATATATATTTTTTTTTTGCTCAGTTTATTTATATATATATATTAATCGATATACACAAATATGTGTATAAGTATTTAAAGATATATCAGAAATTATATTAAGATAATCTAACTCAATTATTAAATTTGTAAATTACTTACAACTTTTATGAAATCGATAAGAATCGATAACAAACTGCAGCTCTACATTGTCATCGTGTCTTTTTATCTCTGATAAAATCGGATGCCTTTGATTTCTTTATTTGGGTCAAAGCTGGTGGTTGTGCAGCTTGGCAAAGTTTCACCGTACTTGTAGCCCGCCAAGAAAGCTAGGAACATTCCTTTTACTACTGGCTTTGTCGCCAGCTCAACTAGTTGTGAGTGTGATTGTGAATGAGACAGCGGGAATGCTGGGATGGGGCTGCGTGTGTGTTTGCTGCCGCCAGTTTGGCGCCCTCGTCCTTGTCTAGGGCATCCGCAGCTTCCGCTTTGCTAACCGCCCAACGGCACACCCTATATAATACATCTCCCTCCACCACCCGCACACACACACGCACAAACTTTCATCCAGTGAGTCTTTATTTTATTTTCGTGGACTCTTTGGCGCCAAAATAAAAAAAATTGATTTTAAATGCTATGCGAGCGACGAGCCAATAATTTGTTCTTTTATTTATTCTCCATGATGTTGCTGTTGTTGTCGTTATCGATTGATTTTTGGGTCTTATCGCTCTTGCTAGAAAAAAGATATTGCTTATTAGTAAAAAGTACGTAAGACTTTTGCACTTTTATGATCATGAAGCATTTAAAATAAGCTTAAGTTTTGGGCAATCTTAGATAAGTATCGATATTGATGGCTAAAGCTCGATAAATGCAAGAGACAAAATTTTATTTTCGGTTGGCCACGCCCCAAACGGTTAATCTTTAAGTCAATTATCGATTCTAGCTCACAAACTTAACATATTATATATTGGTTTATATTTCCAAGCGGATGTACGTCGATATAGATTTACTATAGACTATTTAACTACATATATAAACTACATATATAAATTCCAAAAAAAAAAAAAAACTAAATAAAATCTTATCAGATAAGATTACTAAGAGAGTTAAGAGTATGAGTTATGCTCGAAATGGCAAAAGCTTACATAATTGGCGGCAGCGTTATAAACTTGCAATAATCATAGCTGAGCAATAATTCTAAAATATTCACTGTGGGCCGCTTGTTTGGATCTTCATCCCAACATTGCTCGATCAACGTTTTTATTGTCTCAATAAAGTCATAGGCCTTCATATTTTCCAGACTGGGTCGCCCGCCTTTAGAGTAAACATTTAAGTTATTCGCATTAATTTTTCATACTCGTTGTCGGCTGTTCTCACCATTTAAGATCAAACATGCGATTTCATTACTTGCCATCCCTTCGAAAGGTATCTTCCCTGACATTGTTTCCCACAGTATAATACCAAAACTGTATACATCGCTCAGGGTCGAGTGTGATGAAAGTTTTAGTAGCTGGTAAATATATGATATTTAATACTTCTTCAATGTAAATTGTTAAGATATACAAACTTCTGGGGCCGTATATGCCGATATCTTCATTTGATATATTTGTGTCGGATCCAGGCGAATCTTCAATGTATAATATGCGTCGAAGAGAAATAGATTGCGGGTGCTCAGATTGCGATGCAGAATTTTATTTTTATGTAAGGCGTTAATACCCTAAGATTGTGTATTATTTGATTGATTAACTCAAAAAACACAAACAAAAATGAAAACAAAATGAAACTTACCATGACGCATTGCTTCATGTAGTTTAATAGAACTATATCGGACAATTGCATGGACACGTTCGACCCATGCAAATAGTTATACAGGGAGCCAAGCTCTGCAAACTGCATGACCAGTATATTTCCTTTTGATAGGTCAATTTTTAATATATTATCATGTTCTATGGCCTTTAATTCTTCGACCCCCTTCAAAAATTCTGAGTCATCTGAATATAATTTTTTTAATGCTTTTGCGTAGATCTTGTGTTCTTTCTCCTCGACTTTACATGTTTTTTCAGCCCAGTGGCCATCGATATCCTAGAATGTTCGAAATTGAGTTAAATTTAATAAAGTTTATTAAGTATAAAGCAATTATTTACACATTTGTACAATGAATCCAATATTCTTTGATCAAACATTTTCGACTCCAAGACCATACAATGACTGACATAAAAACTTATTATGTATCGATCACAAACAAAGACACCGCCTATATCGATATATAGTTATATCTATAGAGGAAATAAACGATTCTTTATAATACAATAGCTCAACCCAATTACTCGATACTCTATTTAACTCGACCCAATTACTCGATATTCCATTTAAATCGATAAATTATTCTCTGATCAAACAATATTTTTATTTATATATAATAAATAGATTATTTTTTTTTTATTTATTATTTTTTAAAATCCATACTGTTTGGTTTTATAAGCTTTGCCTGGGAGACATGATCAAAGCTCAGTAAAAGCGCCAACGTTTTCATAGGCGGCCGCATGTTTGGGTCCTCATCACAGCTCTGTTGGATTAGGATTTTCATGGTATCTGGACTGTTGCAGTGTATTACTTTATCCAAGTCAGGCATTTTACCTGTAATGGTAAGTGTTATAGTCTTGTTCGGCACTTTTCACTGTTTCTCTTACTCATAAGGCCAGTGGGTACTCGCCCTGACATTACTTCCCAGAGGACCATGCCAAAGCCGAACACATCGCTTTTTTCCGTGTATGATGATGTTTGATGGACCTGTGTAGTATGAATACACCGAAACAGTATCAGCAGAATAATACTTTAGTCTTAAATGTAATTGTCGGCATAAATGTGAACAATCTTTAAATAAAAATAAATCGACAATATAATTTCTATTTTTTCTACAGAAGAACCCAGAACCCGAATCTTAAAACGCAATATTTACAATATTCTCAGTAAATAAAAATATTGATTATAAAAAAATGAGCTATTTTATCACTCAGATCAGATCAGCTAGCGGATATTGATCTGGTATATACGATCGTTAATGTATGCATGTATATAAATGATTAGTTCCATTTAAATATCGAAATACATACTTCTGGTGCGCAATATTTAGCAGTGCCAATTCCGACTGTCATGCTGGTTCCTTTCTCCCGTGCTATGCCAAAGTCACAAATCTTTAGCATAGTGTAGTCATTGGTAAGTAGAATATTTTTGGGCTTCAGGTCCCGGTGCAGTATTACCGGCTTCAAATTATGTAAATACTCCATTCCCTGGTATGGAGAAATTGTTATATAATACAAAATAACGGACGATCACGTACCTTGGCGCACTGCAGCATCAGGTTTTGTCGATCTGATTCCGAAAATGGTATTTTCTTTGTATGCAAGCAGTCATGAAGAGTACCGTTTTGGGCACATTCCATGACCAAGTAGTAAGCATCAGTCTCTTTTGAAACGCCGTATAATCTTATAATATTCTCATGTTGGACACGCAATAAGTTCGTGATCTCAGTCTCAATTGATTTCTTCTCCACCGCTTCCCTGAATATCTTTACGGCTACGTCCAACTTCCCCCTAAAGACAACACCAAATGATCCATGGCCCATGTCATTCTACAATGAGTAACGTTTTAAATGCTCGATTTTAATCATATTTTATTTATATTCCGGAAGCTCTTTAGGGTCTCCAAAAATCTATGAAAATATAAATAAATACACTCTTACCTTTTCTATTTTGATTGTCTTACTGTTAATTATGAAGGCCATGTCAGAAACTGGCATAAGAAAATCGCTTCAATTGTGTTAAAAAAATATTAATAATTGATAAGAACTGTATGAGTCCACTGCGAAACTACTTGTAAATTTCCTTGAAAGATAAGCATGTGTTGGAAGTATCGATAACTATTGCATTGCAACATGATGTGATGTCGATTTTTCTACAGCTTTGCCATGAACACAAAGCTAGATGATATCGATATAGTGTCGATAACTAGATATCGGTAAAGAATGCATGTTTGTAAAAATGATCGCGAGTTGATTTATATTCATGAATGAATGTTGCAAAATACAGGGTCCCGGTCAATTAGTTACTGCGAATAAGCAAATATTGGATAAGCCAAGGGAAATGAGCTGAGACAATGTTGCCCGCGTTGGCTGTGCGTGCAAAAGTGTCAAGTTGTAAAAATCGAAAGCATAATTTATGGGCAACGGTGCGGATGACCTTTGCACAAACGGAAGCGGAAGTGGATACGGAAAGGGAAACGTGCGTAAACATTTTTAATTATGTGCCGTTACTTTCGGAATGCTGCCCCCAAAAGCATGCAACGAAGGAAATCAGAAGTCAGAAAGCAAAAAAAAAAAACAAAAATTATGACATCAACGACGACGTCACCAACAATTGGCAACTGGACGCGACTCGAAATGCGGCCTTGTCACGCAACAGACGCCCAAATATTGGTCAACTTTGATTTAATGTTGACCTCCATTCACATGTCGTTTCTGGAATTGCTCTGAATACCTTCGAGCACACCCTTCGCTCAGCGAATTCATTTTAATGTGAGCTCAGAAATGGCAAGCTTACAGCTCAACGTTAAATTAATATTAGAAAGACTTTTGAGAAACCGCTGAGCGTACCTCTGACAGGACAAGCTAGGCTCTATCTACCCATTCCAAGCAGACAGCTCCTTGAAAGCTCTCCAACGCTTTACGCTCTTCCCGTGCCCATTGCAAACAAGCGACCCCATTAGTCAGCACTTGGCGCTAAAATGCTTTTGATACTCTCTAGCAAAACGGTATTTCGATTTTGATGACAACGTCCTCTGGCCGTCTAATGTATATATAGTTAATGTCTGATCAACTTTCGTTATTCAAGTTTGAGTTAATTATTCTGCCTGTTCATGCTTGCAAGCCAGCAAAGCTCAAGTTGATTTTCTTGAACCATAGTTTTATCCTAGTTTAAAATATAAAGAGAATAATAAAAATGTGTTAAAAGTATTACATTTGGGAAAGAGTATCTAAGTGTATTAAATATTCCGCAGTTTGCCTCGAATTATTTAATACTTTCAGTTTTTCATTTTTCTGTTTTTTTTTTGTTTTACCCCCTCCAGTGGGCCAGGGCCGTGACCTATACCAATCAGGGGCCGCATTGTTTATGATAAATTTGAAATGCTTGCCAGTTGCACTGTCTGAGGATTCAGAAAGGATGTTGAATGCGATAAAAAAAACGCCCACGCCAAGGCTAACAGCGAGGCGGACAAAACGGAACGGGCAGAACGACCTCACCGAAGTGGATGAGTTTTCGCTCTGGTGCGCCAACTAATTGCGGCTTCTGTGTCTGTTCTCTAAACTCTCTTATGCATACATAATTTTTGCAGAGGTGGCTGGATTGATAAGCCCTAAGCACCGATACAGAGACATTATACAAAAAGTACATTTGCTGCAACAGCTTAAGCAGCAGGAGCGGTGGGGTTAGAGGCTGCATGTGGCTACGTTTTCGCAATTTGAATAACATTCTTTGTGGCTCGCAGCCATGTGGGAGCCAAGAGGTTATTACTGTCAGAGCCACTCGAGCACTGCGAGCCGACGCACCCACGCAGCGCACAAGGACACAGGAGTTGGGGAACGGCGACTGGGACACAGCAGCAGAGCAACCAGCATAAAGTAGCTAGTTTCTAGCTAAAATAAAAGCTAGAAGTGAAACTCATAGCCAAGCAAGGAGCAAAATATATATATATATATATATGCATATACCTGACCCTGAACGGAGCTGCTATTTCAATTCGCAAACACCACACTCAGCTGCACGAGGTATGCTTAGGCAGCGGATGAGCTATGGAAAATAAACGATCAATAACGTTGGATCTCAATACACTTTTCTAATATGTTGAGAGCTTCAAATTGGAATCAAAATTTATGAATTGGCCAAGTGTCTAGTATATGATTTATTTATTTATATATATGAAAAAAAAAAAATTTAAAACTAATAATACGAAAAAAAAAACATTTGAGATCATTAAAATATTTTTGTTTTTTTTTATTGCTGTTTTTATTTGCAATATATTTATACAGTCATATATTGGATAAGTATATGTTGTATATAACATATAATATATGAAATATAGCATCTCACACGTTTTATGGCATTAATAATATAAAGTTCTATGCCACCAATTATTATCAATCATCAATTATTCACATTTAATATAATAATAGTTATCGTTATATGGCCAAATTTTAGCGGGAAACCCGTCAACACTGGCTCAAACAGGGCCGCAGCCCACTTGCCACAGCGTTCGTGTCTTCTTTGTGACTTCGGCTTTGGGGCTCGTCTATTGTGCCGATGACGTCCCCGTTTTGTCCTTTGGAGCCAACGCCAGCAACAGCCACAATTCCAAATTCCTCGAACAGTTTGCAATTGGCCATCGCTGGCGCCAGAGGAACTCAGCTCAACGCGTCTACAGCCATAAGGGCAAGAAAAAAATAGAAAAATAAAGGAAAAAATAAAAATAATTAAATAAAAAAGCTTCTGAAAACTGTGCAGTGCGAAAATTGTTGAAAAGCGAGGAAGAGCCCTGTGCGAAAATGTGCCATCGTCCGATTAGCTCGTCAGCTATTTTGTTGCTATTGCCCTTGCTGTGCTGCATATCACAAGGTGTGTACGTGTGCGCGTGTGTGTGTGTATTTGAAAAGTTTTAAATAAAAAACTTTCAAAATGTGTGAAGTTAGTTAAAAAGTACAAATGCAATAAAGAAAAAGGCAAAGTTCAACCTTGTTAACATTAATATTGGACGAACATCTCAGTCGGCTGTTATCGACTGTTCAATACTCTGTTCTGTGAACTTGGTCAATCCTATTCAAATGACTTAAAAACTGACAATATGATTGTGACTCTCAGAATCCAATAGCTTGAACGAGCGTTTCAATAATGATATAGTCAAATTGATATACTCGATTCAAGCTTTATCTATAGGGCGTGCCCAATAACTTTGATAGTTCTAATATGCATTTAGCATATGCATTTAGCATAATAGCATTTGTAAAATAAGTTTCTAGTTATAGACAACTTAATGTCTGAAACTTTACCGTTGCTTTGTATAAAACGAAAGAAATGGCAAAATATATAGTTTTTCTTGATCAGGATCTAGACATCTGTCCTTCCTTCCATCTGGCTGTAGGTACGAAGTAGAGAATTAAAGCTGACGCCAGTTTAGTTAAAGTTTTATATCTCGGTTAATATTTTAAAAATTTAAAGAATTTTCCAATATTTCATATTTTTTAGTTTTTGTAGATTTTTGAGGTAAAATTACATAAAATTTTAATGTAAAATTAATTTATAATGCGTCTTTTAATTAATTTTATATTTAAATTAAAAATATATTATATATATATTTAAATATATTTTTTTAAGCACAATGTTTTCATGCTTATTAATTGAATAACTTTTTTAAAATAAGTAAGAAAGCTCTAGTTCGATATGCGTTTTTAAAGATTTTATATACCTCATATATCTAAAAAAGAAAAAGAAAGCTCTACATTGGGTCACGTGGAACTGAACCTAAATTTACAGATTTTGGCTTAATTTGGAGCCGGCATCCAAAATATAACAATAATCAAAGCTGTATAAAATATAAATAAAAATTAAAAAAGAAAATAGAAAATTATTTGAATCTTGATTGACGGACAGCCAGACAGAGCTAAATCAGCCACGCCTTCTTCAGCTTGTCACAAACAATTTAACAAACCATTAAACCCTGATTTTCAATTCCACTGTGTATAAAATATCTAAATCATTTTGTATTAATTTCTTTCAGTTTCAGTTTCAGTTTTTTAAATTTTTAAAATTAATTTAAAAAATGTATATTGTTGCCTAACCCACAGGCGCAGCCATTAAATGCTTTGTGTGCGACTCAAGCGATAATCCCAGCTGCGCGGATCTGAAGTCCAACTCGAGTATTGTGCCTGAGGTAAGTTTATAGGCACCTCGAATCTAACAATTGGCATCTGGCATACCCTTAACCTTTGCCCAGCGTATGCCACTCGCCTAATCAGACGCCGTTGACCTTAATCAAAGTGCTACTTGTACTAAATTAAAAGCACATAGCACATAAATTCTCAAATAGCACTAAAAAAAGAGAGTGGGCGCATCGGAAAAACGGAAACGGAAACGGAAACGTGCGCTATTGTCGTCATTGTTGTGACCGTTAGAGGAATGTGTTGGCATCCTTCCAAGGCATTGCTCCCCGCTTGGGGACAACTCTATAAATGCGTATTTTAGTTTTCAACCAACTCTGGCAACTTGACAGACATAGAAATTCATACTATTTGACATTATTTTGTGTATATTTATAGCTTAATCCTTGCCTCGAGTCTGGCATATTTTTGGAGTAGAAATCATTTGATTTTCATTGCACTTTAAATGAGTTAATATACAAAGAGAGAGTGAGAGAGAGAGGAGAAACAGCTTAGTTCAAAATGGCTTAGTACGAGGTTTTTCTTTTATAGAACAAAAACTGGGTTTTATCATAAGCTTTCATTGATACGAAGGGGAAAACCAAAAATCGGATTTAAACTATATATAAACTATATATATATATCTATATATATATATATATATATATATATATACATATATAATACAATTGTCCAGTTCATATGAGAGCCTTGTCATTTATGCACTTCTGACTGCTTATGTTACTTGGGCCAACGTATGATACACAGCAAGGCCGTTGCACCAGCGATAATGGCAACAACAACACCATCAACTACAGTGATAACGATAGCGATAAGGATAAGATAAGAATAGGTAGCTGCATTGGCAATTATGACCGCAATTAGCAGACCGTTAGGTGGGGAACAGCAGACGCAACTGCTGATTAATCATTAGCCATTGTTCGTACGTGTTGCGAGCATACAAATATTTACAATAGATATTGATGATTAACACTTGAAAATCGTTGGGATTCTAGGAATGTACTTTGGACAAAATGAAGTCTCTGGACACCTGGCTTTTCGACTTGAATAAGTTCTCCTATTTCGATAATGGGGCCAACAAGCATCCGTTAATGAATTGCCAAAAGGTGGTCGCATCTGACCGTGAGTATTATGTTATTCATTTAGATCCATAAAATTGTATTTCTAAAAATTCTTGCTAACCTTGTTCAAATTAATTGAATTATTAATTAATTATAATTAATTTTTTTCGCTTGCTTCATTGGGCTTTCCACAGCTAATACCAACAAACTGGTGACCGCGCGCTTCTGTCAGCTGGACACTGGCGACTCGGACGCTTGTGACATCTTGCGCTCTAAGTTGCGCATTACTAGCGACAGCAGCGGCGGGCAACGGCAGCGGCGACGCGAACGCGATCAACAGCAGCAGCAGCGACGCAAAGGTTATGGCCAGGATACCGATGAGAAGTCGCCGGAGGAGGAGTTCTTTTGTGACATTTGCAAAACGGATCGCTGCAACGGGGCCGCGGCTGTGACGCTGACGTCATCGGTATCATTGGGACTGCTGCTGCTGTTGCTACTGACACGACCACTACGGTGCTGAAGTGACGACCGACGGACGATAGACGGCGATGGCTGGCGACATTGGTTGCATTTAGGTTGAGTTAACGTTAACGTTTATCGTTTACCTTTTGTAAATATTCGAGTGGCCACTGAGCGACACAGAAACCAGAAAATCACAGCACTCAAACCTTACCTCCCCCGAACCCCACCCCAAAACCCGACCACTACCAAAGTCCTAGACATGTAAGTGACAGCAAACACGAACACAACAACAACAACAAAAAGTTGCTTACAGATGCAGCTACAAATACAAAGCTACGGCTACACACAGATACGACTATAAAGATACGGAAACAGAAACTGATACAAATACAAACTCAACATTAATATCAGTTGCAGCCGCAGCTACCAAAATGCAATTACGGAGGGATAGATACGGCGACAAATGTTTAGATACAAATTGAGATACAGATACATAACTACAAATAGAATCGCAGTTACAGATACAAAGGCAAAGACACTAGACAACTGGGCAGATACAGATACAGATACAAGTTTGAATATACGACTCCACAGATACAAATGCACATAAGTCGATAGCAACACAGATACACAGAGATACAGATACAGTTACAGATACTCAGCTACAGTAACTGATATATAGATACAGTTAAAAAGGAAACCATCCAATGTATGTGTCTTATATCAAAGGATTTGCAATTCAGTTTATTTGATTGAGAGTCCCTCACTTGGTCAATTAACATGAGCTTTGCCAGACAGTTGGGCTGAAATGTTTTGTTATGGCTTTATTGAGTTGTAATTGATAAGCTGAGTGTTAACTATGAATTCACGAAATGCCTTTAATTTTCTATTGTTCACATTGCAGTGTTGCATACAAATAATATATAATATTTAAATGGATGATGCCATGATACATTCAATAAGAAGAAGACAGTTTAGCTTTAAAATTTAACAGAAGTGAAATAGATTCACAAACGATTTTGTAGCATTCTTTTGTTGCTTATTCTAGGTTATTTCATGGTATTCGATTTGAATGTGTATTTTAGGTAGAATGAACTTAAATAGATGTGCTTTACAAGACGATAAAAAAAATATGCAAAAATGAAAAGAAAAAAAAAACACTAAGAACGTGCACTCTTCCCGAATACTCGAACATCAATTGATAAAACATTTTTTATTATACTCTAACAAATATACAAGGGAGAGAGTGTGCGAATCACAAAATATGCTAGCAAAATCGTTGATATGTGAGTGTTTAAATGTTTCAACAAAAGCGAGCGCCTTAAGCAATAACCTTACAAGAAAACTATATAATTATAAATATATGTATATCTATATATTAGAATGAAAATGTATTTATATGTATGATTTTCGAAACACGCAAATAACAATCAGCAAAAGTGTGAAAAATGAAGGAAAAATAAGGAGAACAAAAAAAACCGTGCAACAAATGTTAATTAAATGTGCAATTAGAAAAGTTGAACAAAGCAATACAGAAAACTATTTGTGAAATAAACGAATAAAAAACAATGAACAACAAAACTCCACAGCGAGCTTAATTAAGTGCTTACGTCCCACGGCCACGCCAAAAAAAAAAAAAAAAAAACAAACAAACAAATAAATCTGCACATTTCGATTGCCGCTAAAATTGTTGAAAACAAATGCAATTTTTAGAGCTCAACTTAGTTTATAAGCAAAATGAAAATATGGCAAATAAAATGCGCGCTAAGCAATGCTGTACGACAATATAATAGTATAACAGTTGCATTGCTAGGCATTTCCCATTGCCGACTTTGAATTACAGCATTCTGGTGCAACAGTATAATAGCTTGAAAGTGTAAGAGTTTAGAAATATAGAAGTTTAGCAGTATAAAAGTATAACGGTATAGCAGCATAGCAGTATAGCAGTATAGCAGTATAGTAGTATAGCAGTATAGCAGTATTACAGTATAGCCTTATAGCAGTATAGCGGTATAACAGTATAATAGTATAACAGTATAACAGTATAACAGTATAACAGTATAACAGTATAACAGTATAACAGTATAACAGTATAACAGTATAACAGTATAACAGTATAACAGTATAACAGTATAACAGTATAACAGTATAACAGTATAACAGTATAACAGTATAACAGTATAACAGTATAACAGTATAACAGTATAACAGTATAACAGTATAATAGTATAACAGTATAACAGTATAACAGTATAACAGTATAACAGTATAACAGTATAACAGTATTACAATTTGAGACACTATACAAATATGGCATTATAATACTGACATACGCATAGCTATATAAGTACAAAAGCCATTACCGTACCAATATAACCGTTTTAGAAACTGTATAACAGTTAAGCACAGTTGGTGTGGTTAATTTAGCAGTTAATCATGTTTGTCTTATATAACAATTCAACAGCTAAAGTCAGTATTATGCAGTACAGCTATAATATTTTGAGTTATCCTCAAAGTAAATATTTGAAATGAATATCTAGAGAATCAAGCTAGATAGAGAGCATCAAATACTTGAGCATTGGCAGCTAGATGGGTATTGTATAACAGTTTCTGGTGTAGCACAGTTGCCATTTTGGCTTCCTATGTTGTCTTTCGCCAATCAGTGATAGTATTCCCATTACTCATGTTAGATGCCAACAATCAACCAGAAAATTACCAAACCGCGCCACCACCAAACCACCCAACTAACAAGGCACCAGCAGCAACGCACACGTTTAATTTGAAACTCTTTTTGGTGATGCTATCGAGGCGAGTCGACATGTCATCCAGCACAGTGCACGACATGTTTCGGCAGTACCGCAAATTATTTTCGTCGCCACATAGTGGAGATAGTAAATGGGCAGATGGTAAAAATGTTTGATAGAGTCATCCACAGCACAGCAGCTAGACGACGACGACGTGTCGCTATCAATGCTGGCAGTTCAATTCAAATTTTCGGTAGCTACGGCCGCAGTGACACGTCATTTGACAATTGAATATAGAAAATAACATTTATCTGCAGGTTAAATATTTGTAATCAATATTGCGAGCAAAATGCGTTTAATCTACCTATTGTTATTGTTGCTGGCACTTTACTCCGTTGGCAGCTCAGGTGGGTGAAATTGTCATAAATCCCGGACTGATTAATTGGCTGATTGGTTTTGACGGAGCTAATCTAGCGCTTGATAATTCCTGATTAACTGATTTGCAGCGTTGCGTTGTTACATATGCGAGGACTGCGATGAGCAGTCGCTCCTTACGGAGCTGGAGACATGCAGTGTGCCAGCCTTGGCAGCGGAGCAGCCGAGTGCAACTGGCTTGCCAGCTGCAGCAAGTCCCAGTCCTGTATTGAAACCTAATCCCTCCCCTGCGGCTAGCCCAGCGGCTCCGGCAGCTAGTGCACCTGCTCCAGCAGCTAATGTGCCCGCTTCCAGTCCCAGTGCAGGTACCGCACCAGCATCCTCGCCTGCTGCTGCATCCGAAAGTGAGGATGAGGATGATTATGACAGCGATGAGGAGGAAGCTGCTCCAGCATCCACATTGGGCATTATGCCCGCTGGAAGCAATGTGGCTGGAGCCACAGCTGGAGCTGCAGGCGTGGCTGCAGGTGTTGCTACGGGAACAGCAACGGGCACAGCCGCTTCAGCCAGTGCACCAGCTGCTGCCGCAGCGGATGGCGACAGCGAGGATGAAGAAGAAGAAGAAGAGGACTATGATTATCCACGAAAACGCAGCATCAGTCGCCTGAATCACCGACAGGTTCAGAGCACTCAACGAGCTGTTTGTTATATAGCAAGTCTTAGGCGTAAGTATTAATATATATTATGATTGAGAGGCTAACTGATTGATGGGAGACCTTTTGGTGATTGACTGATTGATTACTGGCTGATTGATACGGACTGAGTGTAGATAAACTAATACATTTATCCCATTCATACTGATTGATGACCGATGATTCATGATTGATGGCTGACTGAGTGTTGACTTACCGATTGATAACTGTCTGATAACTGACTGATTACTGACTGATTGATTACTGACTGATTGATTACTGACTGATTAAAGACAGACTGAGTGTAGATAGGCTGATACACTTATTTCATTGATACTGCTTGATGACGAATTGATTGATGACTGACTGAGTGTTGACTTACTGACTGATTGATGACAGACTGAGTGTAAATAAACTAATACATTTATCTCATTCATACTGATTGACTGAGTGTTGACTTACCGATTGATAACTGTCTGATGACTGACTGATTGATTACTGACTGTCTGATGACTGACTGATTGATTACTGACTGATTGATTACTGACTGAAGATAGACATTGAAGATAGACTGAATGTAGATAGACAGATATACTTATCCCATTGATACTGTCTTTGATTGATGACTTTGATTGATAACTGGCTGATTGATGGCTCATTGATTGAAGACAGACTGAGTGTAGATAGACAGATATACTTATCCCATTGATACTGACTTTGATTGATGACTTTGATTGATAACTTTGAGTGTTGACTTACTGATTGATGACTGTCTGATTGATTAATGACTAACGGATTGATAACTAAATACAAAGTATCTGTCATTTTTATCATATATGATTGTATATAGATGCGAATGAAAATTTGAATCTGATTTCTGATTTCTCTATGAAAACTATCTCGATTAGTATTTTAGGCATCAGAAATTTATGATTTTTCACTTAGCAAGCATATTTTCCATTTGTAGTAGAAGTTATCTTAAAAGTTTAAAAACAGCTTTTTCTCTTGATAATTGATTCTATAAATACTTCCATCGCTGTAAGCTCGTAACAGAGTTCTGCCTGCTACTTTTTATTGCCACATTTCAAACTATTTGCACTGATTAAGTGCCACCCAACAAAATGTTTTACATGCGTTTCCTTTTCTATGATATCACTTAGCAGTTAAATCATATTCTTTAAATAATCACACTTAAGCTTAATGCTTAAGCAATCTGAATTATTATATAAGAAGAATTTATCTAGACGTTGTTATATCGACTCTGAGGTTGCCTCTGGGGTAAAGAAAAGCAAAATGATGAACGAGCGAGATGATTGAACAGTGCCGATGTAATGGGATCATTAAATTAACTAAACATCTGGAAACTCGATTTGAAACTTAATATATAAGCTTTGTAGACAAAGCTGTTTATCGGAAAGCTCTAATTATATGCCGAACGACGCCAAGATATATATCATTGTCATTTGAGTTCTGATTATTTCGCCGAAAAATCAAAAAATAGAAGTAACTCCGTTTCCAAGTCTTGCAAGCCAAGCCACTGTTGCCTGCGGATCGTGACTTGATCATGCTGACTACTTATGCTAATACTTATAGTTATACTAATATTTATATAATATTATTAATTATATATATACTAATACTTGTACTAATACACTTTCTTGATATACCTGATGTCGATGTCGAATCCGGATAGTTAATGGCACGGAAATAACTAATCGTGGCTGTACCCTGGTCACGGATGCTGATCAGAACGACGCCTGCAAATCTCTATTTGACGGTTGGTCTGTGGTTGGGTGCCAACTATGCGAATACAATGGCTGCAACTCACCGATTAATGCCGCCGTAGTGGGCCAATGGCATAGTAGCAGTGGCAATGGACGTTCCTCGGGAAGAACGGCGCTAGCTATGACGCTGCTGGCCGTAGTGGCTTCGTCGTGGATCTGTAATTGATAACAAAAAATATATAATTTATAACAATAAATATACATACATATATGTGTATCTATGCGTGGGCGCTTGCTAGCCACATACCAAGTCTATTTCGATTTTAATTACGTGCCAGCTACGGTGAGCTAATGAGCGGACGATCTATTTTTGCCTAATTGTACAATGGTCAGTGCGATAAGGGGCTCGTGTTGGGGAAAGTGCCCAATCATTTCATTTTTCTTTCGGGCTACCCGCTCCACAGGCCGCAGCTATGACAAATCAATTACAGCAGCTGATAAGCTGAAGGGGAAAAAAGAAACGAAAATATTGTGACTTCATTTCTATTGCTGATGATCAACTGATCAACTGATAGCATTAGGCCTCAAGTGGCAATCGCTGCCGGCACATTGAACGATTTACAGCCAGACAATTGGACACTGATACAAAGGCGCTAAGTTCTTAATTAGGTGATGAACAAATCTTCCGTTTGCGCACAATTATCGGAAGCAATAACGTAAAAAACGAATTCGCTTTTAAGGTAACTTGTTCTCCGTTACGAACAGCTGTTGGCATCTAAAATTACTTTGCGTTGAGCGCGGTATAATCAATAAGGCTATAATATGTAACAGGTATAAGCTGGGCCCGATGCTCGATCAATACTTTGAACTGCGTAAGTACTCTTTCTTTTAGATTCGAGACATACAAAGATTGAGAGAAACTAAGATTTTTCATTTATTAAATCAAGTCAGTCAGGGTATGAATTTAAATTTAACAGCCTACAAATCAACCAACCAGAGTTGTCCAGTTATGAGTCATCGTCAATAGTTTTTATATTTGTCACCAAAATCGATAATTATCGATTGCCTAGCAACAGCTGTAACCTTTAGAAACAAAACTATTAATTATTTTGAGTAAATATCTGTTCAGTTCATGATTTTAAGCTAATCGATATATATCGATTTTTAGTCTGTAGCCAAGTAAAGTATGCTGAGAGCAGGGTAGCTGCTAGTCGACCAAGCTCCGCGCCCACTTAACTGCGGTAAATGCAATTGCCAAATTTGTAAAGCTAAATTCGTATTATATACTATATATTATATATATATCATATAGATATGTGTATGTTATATACGAAGCACATATAAAGGCAGGCTGGGCTTTTTGGCTTCCTTGTTGTATTTTAGTAACGCCTTAAGCTTCCGGGCGCAGAGCTCGCATTCTCGTTCGCTTCTGTATTGGTAATTGTCATCAGGCTAACGTATTCTGAGAGAGTTCTGCGAGAGCCGATTTATGTATATAATATAAATAGATATTTATTTTGCTTTTGGCGATTTACGTGATATCGCCAGCAATTGCAAATCACAAATTTCACATTTTAGGTTCAACTGGTTTTTGCTTTTACTCTTTTGGTTATCTGCGGTCTGGCCTCTGAAAAAATATTGATGCGTCAGTTAATGCCCAGACACTAAACATAATTTTTAGCCATTTGGCACGATTCGCTCAGCAGCTGAATAATACAAGAATATTTATGTGTATTAAGTATAACGACTACACACGATCTATGCATGAGCCAGAAAAGAATCAGGGTCAAGAAAGCATTACTTGTGACCTAAGCCCAATGAAAATCATAAGCTTTCGATTTTTATTAAATATATTTTATAGAATTTTTCAGATTTTCAATCGAAAGTCTTTAGAGGTAAACACTTCCTTTTTGGTATTCTAATCTTTACGCTTTACCAGTTGGGCCAAAATTCTTGCTAAAATGAATACAAAGTTCTTATCTTTTTGCTATTATTAAAATAAATTAAAAAATGAATGAAACTTATTAGAGCTTATCGAAAATACGATTTGTAGCATTCATAACTCTTTCTTCTAAGATAATGAGGCGATTCTTTAAAATTAAAAATTCTTACTTATCTACATTCTTGACTTTATTTTCATTTCTTATTTACATTGGCCAAAGTAATCTTGTAAAAAATATTGCACTTTAAATATTAAGCTTCAGTTAGTTAGTTTTGTGTAAATTGTATCGAGGCTATTCTTGAGTCACATTAACCTGCCCTTGGCCTTGACTTTGCTGTTATCAAAGGTCTTTTGCGGCCAATCACACAAATTGATTAACAGCGAATGTTGTTAACCTTTTTGTGCATTCAAATGGAAAACTTTTATGTTTTTATATTTATTTTTTTTCGGCTAAGTAGTGCAGGCGTACTCTTCTCGGCGATTCTCACGACTTGTTGTCGCAACAACAGCTGCACAATAGGTGTAAATGGCACGGGTAAATACCAAATAAAAAACGTGTTAATTTTTATAGCCGGGCGCAGGGAAATTGAAATCGAGTTTTGTTTATTTTGCGTGCTTTTAATATTGAGTAACATTAATCATGCGACATCCACAGCCAAATCAACATTAACATGGCATACACACATATCTATATATCTTTATATATTAAATGTATTATGTAAATGTGGGGATTGACAATTGTTTATGTTGAAAGCGGGAGCGATCCGTCAAGGTGTGCACATTGATCCCAACAAGAACAGCCATGATAAACAATGTGCTAACTGCTAAATTAGCATATCAGATATTGCAATAGTTGTAAATGCATAATACACTAAGAGAAAAGCGGACCATACATTGAAAACTTTCTAGCTTATGAATTTCTTGTTTAAGTCTTTCAGCTTAATTTATGATGAACTTCTTAAAATAAAATTCTCAGACAATTTATTTACTGTTTCTTTAAGGTGGGTGGGCGAGGTATGTCAGGTTATCTCTCTGACCGATGAGTCGCAAAGTATTTACCACCTCTTTGTTGGGCTGTCTCTCAGCCAGGCGTTATCCCACAGTTGCCTTCAAGATAACCTTCTCTGACACCATCATCTTCCTCTTCGCACATTTCCTTCAGTATAGTAGAGTTTATGGTTTATAGTATAGTTTATGTCAGTTCACTTCTTTCTTCTATCCACCTTTCGCAGTAAATACATTTTTTAATCAAGACAGCATTTTTCTGCTCAACTCTTATTAATAACTACAATTTTAATAGCTTTCCAATCACGTCTTTCTCCATGTGTATTTTTTATATACATCATTAAAGTACCGAGTGGGGATTTTGTAACAAACCCAGACATTGAATCATTAAAAAAAGGGGAAAATCTTTCCGCCGACTTCTCATTCTCTTCGCAAGAATTCCCAGACGCCCGCCGCAACGTCAAGCGCTAGTTGAAAGAGAGGCACAACTAAAGAGTAGAAGAGAACGCCTCTGTATTGCTCTCACCCTCTCTCTCTTTTTGCTGTTCAATTTTAATTATTTTTGGCCATTTGGATTTCGCATTATAAATTAATTTGTTATCAATAAAAAAATATTTACACACGCACACTAACTACGAGCGGGTAAACGCAAGCGTAAGCGCGCTCTTGCTCTCTGTCTCTCTTTCCCTATCTCGCTGTCTCTTTCTCGCCAGCTGGCTGTCTCTGTCTTACGACGCTGCGCAGCTGGCTTATAAAACTCTATAAAAAGTCTCAAACAAATCACAAGATTTTCAGTTAAATTCCAGAATTCACAAACTGCGGTCGCAACTGAAGTCGCGTTTGAATCGATCTATATACATCTATATATATAAATAAATATATATATATTTTAAATTTCTGGATATATACACAATACGGTGTATATAAGATTATTACAAATTAATATATATATATATATATATATAGAGTATATATATAAAACAGTATATCACAATGAATCGCAATTTCCCTTCAACTTTGTGCTTCGCTTTTTTTCTGCTGATCGTCGCGCCAGGTAAGAAAACTAAGAACATAAACCAAAATGTGTTTGAGTGTCAAAGTGTCAGGGCTGATATCCTATATGATATAGCCAAAAAGTCAGATATTAAATAAATGTGATAAAATATTGATGCGGCCGCATAAATTTGGCCAGTGAATCGACGACGGACTTTTCTCTAGCCATAAATAAATATTATTGATAAAAAAATAATAAAAAATAAATAATTGATATTGTTTTGTTGTTGTGAAAAAAAATCAAAATATTAATAAATAACAGAGAATACATAACAAAAGCAACAACAATTAAATTCAAAATGCAAATTCATTCATTTCGCTGCTCATTTGCATTCACGGCAATTGCAACGTTTTTTGTATATAAAAACACCATAATTATAATGTAAAAAAAAATCAAAAATATGAAAAAGCTGTCATAAATAATGCGAAAATTGCTGGCAATTTTTTACGTTCGCATTTTTGATTTTTATGATGCGGAAATGTTGACACTTAACAGACATATATATAACAATGCAGACAGCTTTTTATTTAAGCTGCGCTTTACCATATTTAGATTTTTTCTTTTATGTTAGCATTCTTGCTTAATTTGAAATGTAAATAGATACAATTTAGTTTCCAGCAGAAAATTGTGGTAATGATTAACCTTCGATACATCAATGAATGAACATTCTTTAAAAGGAAACTTCCGTATTGCAATTGAAATTAAGAAATTCTAGAAAATGATATATAAATATTTATACAATTTTCTAAGTATTTTTACAACTAGAAATTAAGTGGAATTTAACTTAAAACAAAATAAGTAATATAATAATGAAGTCAAAATTAGTTATGGTAGACGGAAATAGAGAGAGACAGGGACTGAAATAGAAAAGAAAAACAAATAAAGTTAAATAAAAATCTATTATACAACAAAAAAAATTTTTATAAGCCGGAATTTACGAGGAAACTCTTTAGCACAAGCAAAGCTTCTAATCACAGAAATAAGTTCTCAAAATAAAATAAAAATGAATAATTAATTAATAATAAAACAATAATTAAAAAAATAATGTTAAAATAAAAAAGTAATGACAAGAAATTAAAAACTGTTGTAATGAATAATAAAAATAATTTAAATAATGCTCAAAAAATTTTTAGTAACTATATCATATATATCATAATATATATATATATTATTATATTTGAAATTGGCAACGATTCGCTCCATACGGGCCCGACACGTTCCATTTCTAGCGCATAAATTGAACTGGTTTTCTGAGCCAGCTGTAAATTTCGGTTGCAGTTTAAGTGGATAATTTCAGTTCAATCTTTTTGTTTTTTTTTTATATATATTTTTTTTTTTTTGCAATGGGTAATCTTGATGCTGACATTGAAACTGCGCTTAGACTGCTAATTGAAAAGCTGCGATTGTGACTTTTTAGTGGTCAGCTTGCAGTGCACATGTTACAGACATGTTTGGGACACATGACCACTGTCGTTTAGCACATATTCACAACAGCAACAGTAACAACCTGCTTTAGCATTTAGCACCAAAACAAAAAACCTGAAATTCCCGCCCGATTCGCCAGCTAATGTAAAACATTTACGTAAGGCTCCAACTTATGCAGATGTTTTTATTATTAACTGCCTTCAATACAACTAACTAACGTTAACTACCTTTCTATAGATTCTCTGCTTATCAGCCTATAAATTACAATTATAATAGTGCCTGTTCCGGTTAAGGCTTCAAGCTAAGTGAACAATAATTGCATCTATAATAAAAGTTTCTTTTATTGTAAATTCAATTTACAACTTAATTAAACAAAAACAGAGTATTTCTTATACAACAATTCCTACAAAATAATGCATTTAAGTATATGTGGAAATATTTTAGAAATCAAATCAAGTTAACAATTTTTTGAGGTGAAAAACAAATGCTTAAGTAAAAAAATATTATTTTAAAAATTCATTTATAATTTTATTTATTTATTTATTATATTTCTTCAAGTGCAAATTTGCAGAAAATCCAATCAGGCTTGCATTTTTTAAGAGTTTCCTTAACGAAAACTTTTTTAATAATTTTAACTTTTCCTAATGCATAAATATCTATATTCTAAATTTGTTGATTTATGCTTCCAGCAATTCCTTGTTCTTAAGACATTTCTATTAATTTTAATTAACTCGAATTCTTACTTCAACAAATATTTTCGCTCAGTGCTGGAATATCAATTGAAATTACAAGCCTTACCTTACGAACAGACAATAATCTTAGCTCTCTTTCGCAACGAAACTGGTTTGGATGAGTCGGGGTTGCCTACTGCTAATGATATTATACAACTCTTATTTATTGCAAATGAGAAGAAAACAAAATAAACGTTTATACATGAACCTCAAGTTCATGAACAAATTAAGTATAAATTCGCTTATCACGTGCCATTAAAGTCACATTCCAGCTATAGCCGAAGTGTCTCTCACCGACTTCCACAGCCGACGCTTGCCCATCAATCAATGTGATTTATTAATAATTTTTAAGTCAACAATCGGGCAACTCAACCATTTCGTATATATATCATAGCCGTACGTTGTGCACAAACTGAAAGGGCATACGCGGCGTATGCACAATATCTACATCCACTGTTCGCATGGTAAACAAGGAGTATATTTATGATTAGCTGAATCTTTGTTGATATTCTTAAGAGCTCACTTTACTGGAGACTCAAAAGGGAAATGCATAACTTTAATTTTTAGTTTAAGTGGAATTTATAAATCACTTCTACAGCCACTCTTAGAAAAGCCCGTAATCCTCTTCCGCCTTTCACAAATAATGCAATTTTTTATAGCATTCAATTTGAAAGTCACTTACAGAACAGTTTACATCTCTCATTAAAATGCGAGACACTGAAAATGTTTCTAGATTACAGTCTAAATGGCGCTGGTTACAGTTTTACAGCTTTGGGGCTAGCTCTGCTGGCAATTGGATAGTTGATGAACTAATTAAAACTAGATTAAAGTTTGAAAGCCACTTTGATAGTTTTATAGGAATGGACACATAGTCATACTAAAGATGACATGTGCTTATCGAGTGATCAATAGTCTTACTAAAGCTGCAAGACATTGTCAACTTGTAATGCATTACAGTTTTAAAAGCAATTTTATAGTTTTATCAGCTTATATCTTATTGCTTCGATAAAGAGCCTAAAAAGTATTTTCGTAACATTGACATTTTTAATACACTCTGACAAGTAGTATCTACCAATTACAGTTTTAAAATCGGCATTGGAATTTGAGCAGCAAAACAGCGTATTGCTCAGTCGTCAACTCCCAAATTGCTAGCGCTTATCAGCGGCCAGTGGACAATTTGACTGACATTTGAATAAGCAGGAACTAAGCCCCGCCTACTTTTCAATTGGCTCGTCCAACGTTGGCGATGCGTCATACCTGTGCAGAGTGTCAATTGGCACCTGAAGAACAGCTAAATAAACATTGACTGCTCTGATAAGGCAATTGACGTAATTATTACAGTGTATCCATAGGAAGACAAATATTTGCTAATTCTTGTTCTTAGTAATTGGAAATTTGCATGGCCAAAGATCGCTTCACTCGATCGATAAATAGTCCGATAATAGCTGAGGAATGCAAACATTGGCCCAACATTAAAAGCTAATAATAAGAAGTGAGCAAACAATGCGACAACATTCTTTAGCCAAAGTCTATGAGCCCATCGCTGTGATTTATGACCTGCACATGGTCGACTCTCGATCGCTTTGTCATCGTTAATCGTTTATCGTTAGCTCGTTCCGCCCTTTACCAAAGCTGTAAATTGTTTCAAGCGACATACAGATAAGGCCAGATATATATCACCACAATTAAACTGTGAAACTGTTAAGTGCGATAACGTTTAAGAATTTATGGATAATTTAATATATGGACATTAAACGCTCAATCTTTGATCTCTATATTTTATATATATTTATATGATACGATCAGTTGATGACACGAATTTCCAAAAAGTTTTAGAAGGATATAAACATTAAAATTAAGATATTGCCTTTTATATCTTTAGAGAATATATACTTTATGAGCTTAGGACTACAAATAGAAAAATCAAAAAAATAAAAATTAAACTTTCTAGTAAGGGAAATACCCTGAAAAACTGCTGATATACATTTTATGGCACATAGATAGAGTAGACACATTACTCGACCGATAGTTACCCTATAGACAAAGAGTGTGGTATAACTATCAGTCATGCTTGACTAGAAAATACCCGGTCAATTTTATTTAATAGCTTACAGATACCCTATAAGACACTGTAGAGGTACTATGGTTTGTCTAACTAAAAAATACCCTGTATAAACACATCGATATATATCGATCGATCACTCTCTAAGCCATTAACAGCTAATCTATTACAGCCCTGCCTCTAACCCTTACTCCTTTCACTCATTTGCAGCCTGTCTTGGGGATCTGATGTGCTATGTGTGCAATAACTGCGCAAAGGTGGACAACGAGACGCCCCTGTTGGCCTGCAATGAGGACTTCTTCAATCATGGCGGCAGCACCGAAGCCTCCACCGTGACGACAACCGCAATGACCACCACTGACGAGCTGCCAAAAACCACTGAATCGACAAGCGTAACCACCGAGGCGTCACCCAGCACCACCAGTGAGCCGGAGAGCTCCACCAATGCCGTTGAAACCACCACAGAAGCAGGCACCACCGAGACAACCGCAAGCACCGAGCAGCCAATGCCAACGCCTGCAACTGTGGGCCCACTAGAGACGACCACCGGTGTGCCCACGCCCCCTGCTGAAGATTCACTGTCCAAATTCGATGTGGACACACCTGTTTCAGTTAGCGTCACAGACCTGAACATCCGTCAGCGTAGAGCCTTGATTGATACAGGCGTTAGCTATCACTGCTATAAGGTGCAAAAGACAGGTGAGCAGAAACACATATTTATACACACATATACAGCTATTCTGCTGCTGATCGCCTGATACTAATTCCACTCTATATCCACAGTCGACAATGTGACGCAGCTCGACCGCGGCTGCTCGCGTGTCACTGCTGAGCAATCCGTTTGCCAAGAACTACAGTTGCAGAACGCCGGGGCTGAGTTGTCTAAGTGCGATCCGTGCACCATGAATGCCTGCAATGCTGCCACATCCACGGTGCACGCCTCCTTCCTGGCGACAATGCTTGTTGCAATAACTGCAGCTGTGCTACAGCTCAAATAAAAAGCGAATACTGTGAGAAATGTTCTTCGCCTTCATCAAGCCTTCCGCCCCCTTCCACCCGCTCTTCCATTGTCGCCCACTCCAACCCGGTGTTATTTAGTACATATTGCTCAGTTGTTTAAGGTACACACAAATACACGCACACACACTCACGCAAGCGCACACACACACTCTCTCTCATTGTTAAGTCATGCGAAAACTTTATGTAATTTGTAAGCGATACACAAAAAACACACGAATATCGAAATCTATATATATAAATATACACCTCTATATATAGCTCTATGTGAACTATAGCTAACCAAATGTGAAGCATAAGCCAATTTACTTGATATGTAATAAACTATTTATACATCAAACATTTTCTCTTTAATATAGATGGAAAATATTTAATTTTTGTCATTTTGATTTTAGTTTCAATAATTTTTTTAATTTTTATCTTTTTGTCTTTGTTGAACTTATAGTTTTATTTAAAGCTGTGATCTCTTTACGCTTGAAGCCAATTGCACATTGGAATCCATTTGAGTTAGTAAAGACAGATTGCAGAGCTAACCCCAGATGCCTCTAGAATTGTTTGCAGCTCGAAATATTTTTTGTTACAATTTTAAATCTTGATCTTGGAATTCAAATAAACTTGAAAATATATTGGAATCTTATGGCAGGTATTTGAATGAGATTTATAGTTATTAAACTGAAAACTGACCCAAAATACAAAAAAGAGAATTTTATGAAATCTATTTGATATATTGTCGTAAATCTAACAAGGCAACTGTAGATCTATCGAGAGAGCTGACGTGACTCACGCATTATTTCTATTGTATGAAGCTCGACCCAATAAGTATATAGAAGAAGAGAGAGAAAAGTGGTACAAATGACAATTTATGACTCTTTAACTCTTTTTCAACGTAAGTCTACTACTCTTAAATAAAAAAGATGAGATTTATTGGAATTGGAAAAGTATATCTTAAAAAAAAAAAAAAATATATATATATATATATATATATATATATATATATATATATATATATATATATATATATATATATATATATATATATATATATATAAAATATATAAATATATAAAAATATATAAATATATAAATATATAAGAAGTTTGTTTTTCAGTTTTCTGTTCTTTATCGTCGCTTCACAGATAGACGAACATATTAAATCTGTTGTCAAATCTGCATAAAAATATTAATAAAAATAAACAGATATAAAAATGCCTGAACCAATATACCCTGCAATGAAAATGAGTATAAGCTATAATATATATATGGCATAGTATACATAAAGCTATGATAAATTCTTTACTACATCCCCAGTCCGCAAAGCAGTTTCACGTCCATAAATCTCTTATAGCTTAGACTCTATCTGAAGAGATTTATGTATGCTATAAAAATGAAAGTTAATAAAGTCAACAAATATCTGGTATATCTGTTATCTAAAGCTAGATAACAAAGTTCTTTCTGTTGCGCTAATTATATTAATCTGCTGAAATCTATTTATAAGTGGGCTACATATTAACACATTTGGATATTTGGCTAAGCATTCAGAGCTTTCGTCATGAGCTATGACCACATATTAAGAAGTCAGATAGAGCCAAATAAATCTAGTCGTAAGGCGTTTGTTTGTCGCTCGAATCTGTTGGCCAATTTAGCTCTGGGTCAATGTTACGTCCATTGCGCATACGCCGCTTTGTGCCAACACGAATTTTGGAAAAGAGGAAAGGGGCATACTTTTAGGCCCAACTATGCTAAGTAAATTTGCCCAGAACAAACAGTACACAAAAGCAGCCACCAGCAACAAGATAAGATAAGATTTCATTAATAGCAAAAAAACCAAAATACATGAATAAAATACAAATCGAAAACAATGTGCGCTGCTTTATATTTATTATGTATGAACAGTGCGGCCGAAAAGTCTGCGCATAGCATGCTATCAAAATATTGTGCCATAAATTAAAGCAGCAATTGCTCAAATAATACTTATATATATATAAGATATGATGAGCCTAGATATATGTCAGTTTCCCAGACTGAATTTACCAGAATTTTCCATATGGAAACTGATTCATCAATGAAGGGACACAGCTTTGCTTTTTTTGCATGACTTAATAAACCAATATACTTCACTTGACTCTCTGGGCGAGGGTTTGCCTACTCGAAAAGTTGACCTTCATAAATACTTATTTACGTTATTCATTGATAATGATTTCTATCTGAAAAAAAAAAAAAAAAAAAAAAACTATATATATATATATATATATATATATATATGTATATCTGACCATGATAAACAGCTCAGGGTGAGTGAAAGTTTTTTTTTATTAATTATGAGTTTTCTTTAAGCTCGCCCTGAGATAACGCGCTCATTTGCAAAAATTGCAAAAAAATAAATGTTTTTTTTATTCTCTTTAAATAAAGAAAAAATATTTAAAAAATTTAAAATACATTAAATTTAGTTAATTTAATAATTCTTTAGAAATAATTTGGCTGCAAATGAGGTCTAGAAAGGTTTACTAACTAAAAGAAGGTCCTCGTTAATATTCAATTTTAAATATATGTATTTATATAAGACTGTGACTTTTGCTTCTTCATCCAAAACTAAAGAGAACCATGAAAATAAGGCAATTGAGCAGAAAAAGTAGGATCTGAACAATAACACATAAAAATTATATTTTAAAGCGCTTTGAGGATTATTAAAAAAAATAGATATTCATAAATAAATTAATACTTTAAAAATACCCAAAGCTTGTACAAGTTTTTAAACAGACCTCGTATATATATATATATATATTCTTATACATTGTATATATTCTATATTTCATAGGCATGCCCCTCTTCCAAGATAGAATACCAAAATTTACCCGTCATTTAAGTAATTTGTTTTAAATTTAAACAATTTAGATAACTGTCGATGATTCATTTCGACTGCATTTAATGGGGTTTTTCTCTGAATCAGGGAACTATACTATTACAGGTTTATATGGCATAGTTGATAAGCGTCTATAGTTGAATTAACTGCGCTGTAGATGCTATTGTTTTGCCACTTACGGAAATGTATTCTTCCGTTAGAGCCAATATTTATCTTTATTAACCCACTTATTGTACTTTTCTCTTAACTTGTAGCTATTAAAATATTTTGCGAGTTTTTATTTTGTTTTTCTATTCTTTGTGCAGACAAAGGCCATTTGTTAAACGGCTGTCCAAATATATGAATCACCGGCAGCAAAATTATTGGCGAAAATATTCACCTTGCACCGGCGACAGGTTCTACTATATTTAAAAACATACATATACATATATAAATATATATACATATATATATATATATATATATATTGATTTGTATATATCTAGAGAGAGATAGAGAAATGTTCGAAATTTTCTTGATTATTTTTATCAATGTGTCTTTAAGCTAAAGCCACACAAACTTTTATCAGTTTTCATAACATTTGCGGCTTAGAAGCTTTGGCAATGAAATCGATAAAAAAAAATATATTTGTGGTTTACCGTTACACGAGTCTAGATATAGACCCATCGTAAGAGGTATTGCAAGCTTTTAAGTCTTCGGTTTATCCCCATAAAGTCCATTGGCCTAAAGCATTTGGCAATCGGAATGCCCATTTCAAGTGACAGCTTATCGCAGCGCACATTTCTTTCGATTGGGGTCTAGGGCAATCAGAGTATATCCTGAGGAAGTACGTTCCAGATAATGCAGCGACAAAAAGAACAATAAAACGTATCGCCAGCACATCAGTAACAGCAGCGGGACGTATCATTAAATTTATAGCCGATCTTATCGACACATCGAAAATATCTCTCAACAGCAAAAGCAGTAAAAACACAGTGAACATACACTTGAGTGTATAGCTGCAGATGAATAATAATATTCGCGAAGTCAAAAGAATTGTTTCCTTCCCATTTCGTTACGAACTTCATTGCTTAACTTTCCCTCTAAGGTTTTCAATCGTTCGTTTTCTCTCTAAGTTCTAAGTTCTAGTTCCATTCATTAGTTGTCTTTATTTCTATGGTTCTTAACTTTAGTTCCGCTTTTGAGCTTCAATTCATTTTCCTATAAAATTCCACCCGTTTAACTTATTTACTTTTCGCTTCTTTCTAGTTACACTCGTAAACTTTAAGTACATTCCTTAAGTTACCTTTCAAGATTTTAACTTTTAGTTCCGTATTTGAAAATTTAATTTAAAGTTCGCAGTTATAGTTATATTCGTGAACGATCAAGAACCAAAATTTAGTTCCATTCTTGACCTTGAATTTAATTCAATTTATCTCATTCTAAATTCTAGTTCCATTCATAAAGTTAAGTTTCTATCTGTTTTTTTTCCTATTTAAAATTCGCAGTTTAACTTCAGTTCGTGAACTTAAAATCGGTTGCTTTTCTTTCATTTAATTCGATTCTCTCGCGCTCTAGTTCATTGCCTTTCTTACTTCTGGAACTGAACCAATTCCGATCAGCTCAGAATGAAAAGTAAAAGCGAAATGGAAACCTTATCACACTGCAAGTCGCTAGTGGAGTATTCACTGTAACCGCATACTAAGCAGCCAACGGGGCGCTGTACTGTGTCGCCTTATCAGTGCCATTGGCCCGACCCGAGCTGCCAACCCATTAGTATCTAGCTCGGTGCCAAGTGATAAAAAAAAGCCATGTTAACAATATATTTAATTGGTAGTTTGCATTCGAGAGTCGAGCCGTGCTGTTGTCCCCAAGCGAGAGCAACGCGAGTGCAACCAAACGATCCTTAAGCCACATATCCTTCAAACGTGAAACGAGAAAAACGTGATTAGAAATGCGTGCCGTAGGCCTCCTACTGTTATCCTTGTGTGTGTGCGCTGCCATTTGGCCAGGTGAGCAGCGCGCAAAACGCGTCCAATTATTAAGATTTATGCAATCATCAATACTCGTTGACAAACAGTGAAACGCATATTCAAAAAATATATAAGAAAATTATAAATTATAAATAATAATTGATATATTAGCTAAAAAGAAAGGGGAAAAAAACATGAAAGTCCCAATTTCAATCAATCACAAATGGAAATTAAAAAAAAAAATAAAACAATGCCGATCGATCGATTTCATTTCTTTATGTCTTAGGTATAATTTCGTAATATTGTTCTTGGGAACGAACTACGCTAGTTGAACACGGGGCACACGCCTTATCAGCATGTTCCACCCAATTCAAAGAAGCAGACCAGGGCCATGCCCATTATTGTAATTAGTTCACATTTGATGTTACGCATGCCGCAAGAATGCCGTGGCACGCATTATCGCACCAGGATACCCTATCAAAAGCCATGCTTTTTACTAACTTTTGGCGTACATTTCTGATAGCAAATAAGATTATTCACATAATATTTATTACATCATGTGCTGCAAGCTTTCCAAGTATTTACAGTGTTCAAATACACTGCCCGAAAAAATGGGGATTTTTTCCAAGTTTAAAATTTTTGAACTGAAAATATTTCATAAACTCTTAAAAACAATTTATTTGCCTATATTTTATTGCTGGAAATATATATTATTTTTTTATTATTTTATAAATATTTCTTTTGTGCCTTTAAAGTAATCCCCATCAGATATTATGCAATCCTCCAATTTTTGAAGCAGATGAAAATTTAATTTTGTGTGTCCTGCGATGTCGTGATTATCTGCTCAAGCATGGCGTAAAGCCATACTTTCATGGAACAGGGGGGTCAGAACAGATCGCGACTATATTCACATTTATTTATATATACTACATATCTGTACATGCATACAGGTATTCTGTATACGAATGAAAAACTCTTTTCATTTGAATTTAACATATTTGTAGTTAATTAAATATATTTGAACTTTTCACTGAACGTGTTTTTTTTAAGTGTAGTCTATTTTCTCTGATACTCTTGGAGTGAAATCTCTTATAACGTTATCGTAGACTTCCATTACATACCATACAATTTATCAATCAGGGTTATTTATGACACAATTTTTATTTTATTTATATAAAGCACTTCTTTGTGTACTTTTACTCTTCTTTATTATCTTTTTTTATTTTTATTTTTTTTAGCAAATGCACTCGAGTGCTACGAATGCATTGGATCGGATTGCGCTGATCTGGATAACGTTCCGGTAGTTAGTTGCAATTTGGATGATATTCCCGAACCAACAACAACAACGCAAGGTTCCACGGATACCTCAACGTCAGAGTCTTCGCCCTCGAGCTCCGAAAGCACAACGGATAACTCGTCTTCAAGCGACACAACGGAGAACCCTTCTTCCAGCGACACAACGGAGAAACCTTCTTCCAGCGACACAACGGAGAGTTCGTCTTCAAGCGACACAACGGAGAGCCCGTCTTCAAGTGACACAACGGAGAGTCCGTCTTCAAGCGACACAACGGAGAGTCCGTCTTCAAGCGACACAACAGACAGCCCGCCTTCAAGCGACACAACGAAGCCAAGCGAGTCGACGGAAATCACTTCAGAGTCCACAGAAAACTCGACGCCAATCACGGATACAGAATCATCCCCATCCTCAGATACCACTGACTCCACCGTATTCTCAACAACAGAGACTGCGGCGTCATCTACAATTACAGCTGAAACCAGTGACTCCTCTACAACGGCCGACACATCAGAATCCACTGGTTCATCGGATAAAACAGAATCGACGGATGCAACCACAAATCCCGAATCCACAGATCCAGAGACGACGAGTGCGCCAAAAGTAGATGAAGTGGCTTTGGCTGCGGGCGCACGCTCCGGTCGTGCACGTCGCTCATTGGCCGCCCGGGCAGCCGATCAACTGATTCGCAACTATCGCTCCCTTGAGCCATGCGGTCGAGCCGTCCAATATCGTACGTCCGCCTGCTACAGCATCATAAAAGAAGGCGGTAAGTGGAGCTGAAATCTATCAAATTTTAACAATTGTGAGCGACTGTCAAATACCCTATAAATTCATTTTTAGAATATAAAAGTAATTCTTGATAAGTCGATCTTCAAGAAAGATTACACGGCTCTAAAGCCGCGAAGCCAGTAACAGTCAAACTTTTAGGTTACGAAATATTTGTTTATATTTTTCGATCTTTCAAAGACATTCTCGTAAAATACTGTTATTCAGCAGCAGTATTAAAATACAATTATACAATTATAGATTTTTGAAGGATATTTTAACATTTTTTCAGAAATAGTTAATATAAATTAACTTCTTAGCAGAATTAAAATACAATAATACAGTTATAGATTTTTTAAGTATATTTTAACATTTTAATATTTTTATCAGAAATAGTTATTCGAATGATTTTTCATTCTGAGTTATGTATCGAAATATATATATAGGAGATATATATATCAGAGATATATATGGAGAGTGCAGCAATTCTAGACTGCTGAGAAAGGGTATCTAAACAGAGTCTTAAATTCGAGCTAATCCTGTTTCTCTCTAATTCGAACAGTTATTGAACGCGGCTGCGTGCGCATACCAGAGGGCCTGTCTGCCTGCCAGGCGGTGCGTCAGCAGGTCGACTTGCCGGAGAATTCAGTTGGAGATATGTGCGATGTTTGCCAGACGGATCATTGCAATGGCAGCGCCAGTCTGCGAATGTCCTTGGCAGCGCTGCTGCTGCTGCTGGGCATAGGGCTGAAGAGCCTCTTCTAGGGCTTATGTTAATTATATATATATATAAATATATATATATATATATTATTGTATATCTATGTTATATATAAATATGCTTATTTGCGCTAAGTGATTTGTATTTGTACTTCAAGATGAAATTATAAAATGGTATATGATAAAACATAAAAAAGAAATAAACCATATCAAGGGAATTTTGTATGACTTTTTTTTTGATTTTGTTGCAGTCTTAAAATTATAGAATTTTGTCTGATAAAGAAAATGAACAAAATCAATAAATTTTTATTTTCTTTTATGATGGGCAATATATTGCTTGAGATGTTTTGTTCAGGTGACTGAATTACTTCAGATATTTCTTTATCTATGTTTCACATATATACCCCCTATCATTATTTAGTGATCCATTAAAAACTATGGAAACGATTGAAAGCAATCTGTTAAATAATTAAAATCTAATTGTTCTACTCATTTATGGAATTTAATTATGAGCGATAAAAATACTGATTACAGATACTTACGATATATACAGACATGTGTTGTCCGCCTTAAAAGTTTTGCATTATCTCTCTGTAAAATGATATTAAAACTCGATTCATCCTTTAAGATGGGCTATTTAATAGTATTGCCCTACTAGGCGACTCTTTTTAATTAATCATAACTTGTATATTTATGCAATAGATAATTTTCATTTAGAATTCCAGTCAACGTACTGCAATGGAGTGTCCTTCTCTGCGATTCTCATGCATACATATTTTGATGTACTGCACAACTAGATAGTTTTCATGAAATGACCATCTTAGCAATTTTCATGTATTCAAGGAAACTTCCACCTAATTTTTAGTATTTATTTATATAAAAAGGCACCTAAAAATATTTTATAGTTATACACTTAATCTAGGGTTTATACGTACATCAGCAATCAAAATTAGCCAACGTGCAAAATAGTCACAAGACATTTAGTAAATAAATAAGTGTTAAATTTATGACTAGCATATAATAAGATCTCTTCAAAAGGTGCGATTCTACGAAACTTTATCTAATCAATGTCATCGTTTCGCAATTGTCGGGATTATAAAGTGGGTAGACAATTTCTGCACAAATACGATCATATTTGCAGCATGTCTATCTATATGGCAACTGCGTCATATATAAATATATATTTATATATATTATGATATGTAGGCAGATATATGCGTCTATATAGGTCGGTACATTTCAATGCAGTCCTTATCGTAAGTCAAACAATGACATTTCCCACATTTCTATTGGCCTATTCAAGGTGCAGTCTTGATTTTTATGACGTCTATTAGGCTATCAAATAAATCTATAGTCTAGTTTTCAATAATTGGCGAATTAACGTTACAATCTATACCATAAATTTTACGAGCATGCTTCGCAGAACAAAAAATCAATAAATTTAAGATTTGCCAATTTGTCGGACTGGATTACAATTTCAATTTACTACACACTATAAATTCATACTCTATATATATATATTTATATATATAACTTGTTATATATAATATATAGTATTTTGTTAGTAATTAAAATAAATTTATATGTTGAATCTTACCAATAATTTTGTTTAATTTTGGTTTGGAAATTTATTGTGTTTATATTATTATTTGTGTTTATATATATTTGTTTAATTTTGCTCATTGTTTTTAATTGATTTCACTTTTGGTCCAACTTATAGCTCTTTTTATTTTAAATTTTATTATTAAACATTTTACCTTAAATATTCATATATTTCATGTTTTTTTTTAATTATTACTTTATATATTTATAATTTATGAATAATTTTTGAACACATTTTTTATTATATCAGAAATACTTATTAGCAATTTTTATTATATAAAATGTAATATATAAAATAATTTTATATAATTTTATGTATTTTATTATAAACGAAATTATTTTATTTTTATAATTTTTATGAAGCATTAATTTCTGAAAATTAATTATTAAATTATAACTTTTTTAAAGGGAAAATTTTAAATATTTATTTCTGCTTCCTTTTATTGTATTTGTATAATATAAATTGTATCTTTTTTTATTTTAATTATAAATAATTCGTAAAAGAAGCACAATTAAAATTATAAATTATTAATTTAAATAATAAATTAATAATTGAAGTTATTTAACCAAACTGCATAGCTTTCTTTGAGTCCCTAATAGTTTTTTTATATTAAACGCTTAAAGCTCTGTGATCCTCAAAAAGCTCCAATTCCAAAGCCAGAAATAAGCACAAGTAAAAAAGTTTTAGCTCGCACTCGAACCCAGGTAAAACGTAAAAGCTTCAGAGCTTCGGGTGCGTTTACGTAGTTTTGTGAAATAAAGCACAAACTGCATATATTGGTACTTAGCATGTATATATATATATAGATATGTATATATAATATTAGTATATGTTATCGCGCCCCATTTGCCGTTATCAGCAAAAGAATTGGCACCAAAGTAGATAACAGCAAGTTGGGAGTGCTTTGAAACAGAATTGGAATTGGAATTGGAATCGGAATGGATTGAGCCACAGGCAACGGCCAGTGGCTACCTGTGGCAAAAGAATGCCAGTTAACAAGCAATAGTCGTGGCAAAAGGTTTATATATAGAGCCCAGAACAAAACCAAAAAACTCCCACAAAAGAGAAGAACAAAACCAATTGCAAAATGCAAAGCCCCAAATTAAGCATTTTGATAGCTGCGCTTATCGCAATCAGCCAATATAAAAGCGTTACAGCACTGAGTAAGTCACTATATAGATATATAGCCATGTATCACATCAAAGATCAATATTAAATGTATATATTAACTCCTACAGCTTGTAACGCGGGTACGAATGGGCAAGTAACCTGCGCAGAAGGTGTAACCGAATGCTTCGTGAAAACAGGTAAGATACACTCACTGGGAACTATGATTCACCCACAAGTGGGCTTTACGTATGTAAACACACATACAACTACATGTGGTTATAGATAAGTTTATGGTTAGCTTAGCAAAGTTCTTTATTAGACTAAGTTCACTGAAAGCACTTATCTGGAGCCAGCTGGACATGTTATTCAAGTGACGATAAGAAATGTGTTTTTATATATAACATATATGTGCCTCTTTAACTACATAGCCATTGTTCAATCATTATTGGTAATTAAGGCGCTAGACTAGAGTGCATTAGAGAGACTACACTGCGAGAAAACACTGCGAAAAAATGACCTAAAAAATGTCGTCTTTAATGTGAATTTATTTATATTTTTAGCAAAGCGTTGTAAGTGTGCTTCAAATACTTAATGGAAATATATCATTCTTAACTATGTTGTCCTGCTATATGAAGAAAACTATTGAAAATATATATTTTCTTTAATATTCGTAATAATTTGATGCAACTGTAGATCGGAGATCGAGGCAAGCTGCTTCAACTTTCTAAAGTATTTCAATCAAAGACAGCACTAGCTACAATTTGCAGCATATGCAACCTATCGATAACAAATCAATTGAAATCGATCAAAATCGATCATGCATTTTACTAAATGTAGCATCTTCTACTAGTTAGATCGTGCTTATCTTTGATATGTGACCTATGACCTATGACTTTTAGTGTTCCCAAAATTTCAGTAAATTTTCATTGATTTATGCCTTAGAATATTTTTAATAACATCGTCTTTGATCTTCTCAATCAATAGCGAAATGTCAGATTAGCTCTTCACATTTCCAAAAAGATCACTAAATAGAGATTTAAGATCTCTGTCGTTCCAGTATGTTCAGCTATGAGCTGTGCTCGTACCCAGTTTCTCATAGTCACCTTAACTCAACTCTTGTTTCGTTTTTATAGTAGCTGGAAATGTGACGCGTGGCTGTGTAACGGACACCACCTGTGTGGCGCCCACCTGCCTGACGTGCAAAACGGACAACTGCAATGAAGCACGGATGTGCAAGCAGTGCTTTGGCTCCCAGCCGGATTGTGGCAGGACTAATGGATCGGCGGACGCATTCAATACCTTATGCTTGACGGCCACAGATCAGTGCGCGATTGTGGTGGCGGCAAATGGTACAGTGTCGCGTGGCTGTCGTGGTGCGTGTGCGGCGAATGATCCCAATTGCAAGTCCTGCACTACGGATAACTGCAATGTGGGCATCTTTCCGGAGAATCGTCGCTTGTGCTACCAGTGCAACGGCGATACCTGCGGCACTCCAGACAATGCCAGCATGCTGCTGGGCTGCGACATCTATCAGGCGACAGGTCAGAAGTGCTACACGATCGGCACCAGTGCGACGACTATGCAGCGTGGCTGCCAAACGGATTCGACGGCCGACAACAAATGTTCAGCCAGCTCAACCGATCCCAACTGCTTGTTCTGCGACAACGAAAACGGCTGCAACAACAGACCCTATTCACGAGTCCTGGGTAGCTGTTACAAGTGCAACGACGCCGACAAGTGCCTGTTGCAGCAGGAGGCGGGCAAGGAAAGCGCATGTGCACCTGCCGTCTATACTCAGAACGAGAACAGTTGCTATACTCAATTATTTAACAATGGTTCGGTGGGACGTGGCTGCACCAATGAGCTAGCTGATGGATGCGAGACGACCCAGAATTGCAATGCATGCACGGGCGACAACTGCAACGTGAATATTGCCACATTCCAATGCTTGATCTGTCGCAGCGACTACTATGCGCCTTGTCGCCAAGCAAAGGTTCAGCCCGAAAATTGCCCAGCCTCCAGTCTGACTGGCCCCCAAGCGATGAAATGCTTTAGCGGAGAGTGGGGTGAGTGCATTTAGCAATATATAGATATAGAGATACAGTTAAAGATACTCTAAGATCATTTAAAGAACTAGAAGTACTTGTAAATTCACATGTTCATTAAGAAATACTTTCATAGCCACACAGAGATACTTTCGGATGCAGAAATCAGAGATGTAATTATAGATATTCATATCGCAAAATATTGAGATACTTCTTAAGTAATAACTTAAGAGATACTTTTGCAGATTCACGCTGAGATGCAATCAGATTTACATAATATATACATCAGATACAGTCAGAGAGATATATTTATATATTATAACAGCACTATAGTGAGATACTTTTAGATATAGATATACTCGGGCAGAAAGATACTGAGAGTATCTTAGAGATACTGGAAAACGACACAGACAGACATTTAGATATAGCTAAACTCTGAGCCTAGGCACATTAATTTAAATATGTAATTGTAAGATGATTATTTTAGTGCAAAAATAATTCCAAATTTCACTAATCTAAAACACAAATTTCCATATTTCATTTCATATTGAAATATATTTACATTCCAATTAGACCAATTGTGGTTCCCGAAGCAAATTGCCTATAGATTGCTAATCCAAGTGAATTTTATCTTTATAGATGGCGTCGTGGTTCGTGGTTGCCTTAGCGAGGCGAGTGCTCTGATGCAATATCAGTGCACAGCGGAGGCCGACACACGTTGTCAGACATGCACTGGCTTGGGTTGCAACCGGCTAGTATACAATGGAGCCGCCACACTGCAGCAGATGGGTCTGGGTCTATTCGCGCTGATCTCCATTGTGCGACACTACTTCTAACAAGATTGTAGCGTACAAGCCAATTATAGCTAACAATACTATCTACTATCTATGACAAAAAAGTATATACACACACATATATATATATATATGATATCGGTGCGTGCAGTGAAACAAATGAGTCATTCATGAATCATTACACACAGACATTAGCAAAAGAAACGCTTGATTTTGATTAATATCTATAGACGTTAGAAAGATAATTTTTATTTGGAAATTAATAAATTAATTATTCTAATAATCAAATTGAAAAAATACAACTTTATATATTTAATTATGAGCTTAATATTTTTGCAAGTAAAAAATTGTTTCTTTTTTTATTTCAATTCATTTCAGTTATTAAACATAATTTATTAGACTGTTGATAGCAAACTTGCTGTTATCAATCATTGTTATACAGATACTGATACTGAATGCCTGTATATATATATAGCGACAAATTGATAAAGCTTCAAATTGTGTATAGTTTAAAAAATAATTAGGAATTTTTTCTATTGAATTTAGATATTGATAAAAAACCTTCTTCACATACATTGCCTGCCTATACATACGCAAAGTGACTCCATTAGCTGCATCGTTAGAGTGCTGGGTATCTGTGTCTTAGGCCAATACAAGTGTTACACATAGACTCACGATAGCTAAGCTGGCCAGCAGCTGAGCTGCACCCGCGGTCTCTGCCAGGTCGCTATTGCAGAGCGAACCAACGCACAACTGGCAGAGTTTCGTTTCCTTGCGGCAATATTTGTCGCCCTCCTCCGCGAGATCCGCTGTGCAGCCGCGCATTATTAGCTGCGTATCACCTGGCGGAGAGCGTGGAAATTGTATATATAATTTAATAAATTTCTCATAATTTTAGCTACTCGTGCAATACATAAAGCATTAAAATATTTCATGAATAATTTAATAATCCCACTGCGAATAACGAATACTCTAATTGGTTCATACACACACGTCTTTACACTGAAGCATTCATACGAGGAAGCCCTGTGCAATTAAAGGTAAGGAACTTACAACTGAGAGTGCTTAGTAGGCAGTGCACGACTAGCTAATGCCCTGAACTTTGTCAATCAAACTTTCAGAGCTCAAAAGTGGTCTCAATTCGTATCTTTTAGTTAGAGAGCAAATCTATAATTTTTTAAGAACTCTCTCTTTTCAAAAGACTAGGTAAGTATCCAGCATTCGAAATCTTCAAAGTCTGTGTCATTCCAAATATTTAAAATCAATAGATTTATGGGCACTCAAATGAATGATAGGTTCGTACATATGGTATACAGAAATAAGCATTTAGACACAGAAGGACATGACTTTATCGGCTCAGCTGAAAGCAATTAATATGGCTATATTATCATATTTATCAATTCAATTGCTAATTGATAGGCTTCTAGCTCTGAAAGCTAGTTTTACCCGACTTGTCATGGCATTGATATGAGTCAATATATCCTTTATCTATTTATACACTGAACAACTGAGCATAGCAATCCATACATATGCCTAATAGAAAGTCTCTTCCCACTACATGAATGAGTAAAATTGATTCAAGTTAAAGGCAAAGTTTCGAATCGGTCAAAAGCTTAGTAAATAATTAATAACAATAATAACTGTTAAATATTTACTAACGTTTGTACAGCGTATAGCAGCCGACGCGTTTCTTAGTGAGCGGGCAATTCAGTCGCTCGCTGGGCTGTCTCAAACAGCTTCCGTTTCGATAGCTGGAGCAGGTGTAGCAGGTGTTTGGCAGCACGGCGAATGGGATGTTCACCTGTTTCACTGGCGCAGTGGGTGCTGGTGCGGCGCTCATGGCTGTTGGTGCAACTGGTAGCTCCGGCGTTGGTGGATTTGCTAAGGCTGCTCCTTCATCCTCATAATCATGCTCCATTGGCTTGTTCGCTTCCGTTTCCGTTTCCGTTTCCGTTTGCGGTTCGACTTCATTTTCAGTTTCCTGCGACTCCTTTGGCTTGCCCGTGTCGGTTGCCGGCTCCGGTGCCGCATCGATTTCAGTTTCCTCTTCGAATGGCTTGTCCGACTGTGGCTCATTTTCCGGCTCAGCTGCAGCTTCAGCTTCAGTTTCGGGTTCTTCTTTTGATGCGTGATCCATTGGCTTAAGTGCATCGGGTTGCGTTTCCGCTTCAGTTTCGTGTCCTTCCGCTGGTTTGTCCGTTACTGATGCTGGCTCAGGTTGATCCTTGTTTTCCTGCTGCTCCATGGATTTCATCTCTGCTTCCTTCTCCGGCTCTGGTTCTGATTCAGGATCTGGATCATTTTGTAGCTGTTCCTTTGACTTGTCTTCCTTTGTCGTATCCGCCCCTGTCTCCACTTCTGCTGTGGGCATAATTTGCAACTTTGTAACCATATTCATATCCATATCCTGCTGCACTTCCTCCTCATCCTGCTCCTGCGCCAGACTGCCGCGCAGCAGCAGCAGAAGCATCCAACACAGAAGCTTCACATTCATCGCCAATTTGGATTATGATCAAATGTGTATTCAGACTCTTCAACTCTTAGGCTTATCAGAATGAAATGTTGTTTGTTATTTTGCTGGGGATGCACGAAGTGCTCTGCAAATAGCCCAATGGCCGTATTGGGTCCACAAATTGGTTGCGATTGCCGTATGTCCGTCTGTTCCAGTCCCGTTGCCGACGCGCTCGCAACTGAAGCAAGGCCATTAAATTGCTGGCCATATGTCGCTGATAGTCACGCAATTATCCGACTCTAAATTAAATCGATATATGACAGTCGACCCATTTAACTAAACAGCGACCACTCGACCTACCCAGCCAAATCATCCCATTCCCATTTAATCGCTCCGTTTCTTCCTGAATAATTGATCATGTGAACTTTGGGCAGAGCTGAGAACCTGCGTTCCACAATAACATGGTATCCAAACATGTCCAAATGATATGTCTATTTTGCATTTGACCTATGACATCTGTCTCGAATCGCAAGGTCAATATGCAAGTCCAACCCAAGACTATATATAATATATTTTAACAATAAAATTGCCTCAGACTTTGCCATTAATTGAAATGGTATTACCAGCTTGGAAACTAAACTCTTTATATATATACATATTTATATATATATATATATATATATATGTATATATCATTTTAATTGCAAAATTTAATTAAATTAAAACTTGCTTCATCAAACTTATTTATGCTATTTGCGTTAATTTTAAATATAGCTCTACTATGCGATTCTCAGGAACTTAATTAAAACTCATGCTTACGTATACCTCAAGGAAACCAATTGTTCACAGCAACAATAAAAAAAACTTTGGGGATATTATTAGCTATTACCCACCTCTGTGATTCTCATGAATTCAAATTAGTCGTAAGATTGTGCGTGTGTTGATAAGAATTTATACATATATACATATATATTTATATATGTAATGCATTACGGTCTCTTATGAATATCAAAATTAGTCGAAATCTAAAAGCTATACAAATTACAATAGTTAAAGACTCAGTTGTAACTATTTCGAAGCTCAACCGATTAGCATGTGGCATGACTTAATGTGCTTGAAAAGAGTATATTGGTTTTGCAGCCAGAGACTTGAAATTGTGAACTTGCATTGCTTTAGTATTATCCTGCAACCTCTTAAAGACTTAAATTTGGTATATATACAGCTAGAGACAATTCAAAATGATAAATATATAGGCATGGAGCAGGCGTGGTAAAATTCTAATATAGCGCTAGAAACTCTCTTCAGATATGCAAAAAAATGTTTTTGTGCCGCGAACGAGCATTATGCAGTTGCTGATATATAATACATTTAGAATAAAGTCCAAGCCTAAAGATTTGGAAACTTAACTTTCAATTTATGCTTTGCATTACATTAAAATATTTGCAATTCTTAACCAATTTTAATTATATATAGTCTAAGCAGACTTTAATTTATTTATAGCTTATATATATACTAGATGCCTACAATATGGATTGCCTTTGTTTTCAAGCTCTTGGCCATAAATAGGGCTTATCCTTATCTCTGTATCAGGCTGATAATGGCCTTTGTTCTGTTGCCCAATGATAAGCCATAAAACGGATCTCAATTGTCAATTGTACAGAAGCAATTTGGCCAAGTGCAGGTGCAGGTGCAGTGCATATCGTAATGAGCAAACCATCTTTTAACCACCAGCTGATCCACCTGCTCGGGCTGTGGCTGTGCTGTAAGTGCTGCAGCTAATGCTTTTCCAATAATGCGTTAATCATAAATATTTCATAGGCCTCGTTCTGCAGCCCGCTAAAGCTATTGTGTGCTATCACTGCGATTCTATCGCTCTGCCCGAATGCGCCCAGACCCTAGGCGAGGTGGGTGTGTTGCCCTACAAGGAGTGCGCCACGGAGTTGACCTGTGCCATGTCCATAGGTAGGTAGAGTACAGGCAATTATGAGGACAGCTCCCAGAGTTGGTCAGACTATAGAAGAGCCTAAGACTAGCGGATCCTTTGTCCTTGATTTGTCATGCCTCCAGTGGGGGTATAGTCAGGACTGTAAGAAGACTTTATACAATACATATATGAATGAATAAAAGTGTCTCAACTCACTTAGTTCTTGCCTTTTGCAGTGGATTCGATAACGTATCGTGGCTGTGGTGCAGAGACGCCCACCACTGAGGCCAGCTATTCAAAGAGGTGTTCCAGCAACCTTTGCAATGCGGGCGTCTATCCACCTGGACGACTCAAGTGTCATCACTGTGCAGGCGAGAGCTGTGTGGCTGCACCTGCTGGTAAGCCACATCCCTGTCTTTATCATCGCGAAGAGGATCAGTGCTATACGGAAATTGTAAGCTCGACAATGGGCTATCGTGGCTGCAGCTCCGATACGAATCACACGGCAGCTGCCACAGCGCAACTGTGCGAGATTAATGGCTGCAATGATGCACTGGGCGCCTGGACGCTGAGCTGTGCCAGCTGTGACTCACTCAAGGCACGCGGCTGCAAAATGGATCTCTTTCAGCTAGGCAGTCGATGCAATGTCAGCCAGTTCGAGCAGTGCGAACAGCAACTGCTGCTTGGCCAGGAGCAGGAGCAATACTGCTACACATATAGACAGCTGGGTCGAGTGGTGCGTGGTTGTTCCGCCGAGTTGCCGGAGGAATTAGAGTCACATCGAGCGCAGCTGGAGACCTGTGCTAGCGCAGACAATTGCAATGCTGGCTGTTTGCCACAGCAGCGTTGCCTGACCTGCAACTCGTTGGAGAAGGAAACATGTCGCAGCAATGCAACAGCTTTGACAAGTCACGTTTGCGGCTCTGCCGAAGCATCATCTTGCTTTACGTGCGAGTACGCTGATTGGCAGCTGAAACGCGGCTGTGGTGCACCGCCTACCGATTCAGAAATCCTCAACTGCTATGAATGTGATGAGAACAGCGATCAGCAGGCCTGCAATTCGGTCGACTTTACGCGCTGCTATCGATGCAGCAGTGACAATGCCGCTGGCTGTGCCAACTGGGAGAAACCGGGTGGCATTGATATCGAGCAGTGCGCAGTGCCTGCAGCACCTTGCCTGGTGGTCAACTATGTCAATGGCACCACAGAGCGTGGCTGTCAACGCACAGATTTTAATTGCAACAGCGCAACTGTTGCCAGCTGTCGCAGCTGCGAGGGCAGCTTCTGCAACAAAGGTCCCTATCCGGAGCAGCGTCTGTGGTGTCATCAGTGCAGCAATTGTGATCAAGTGCAGAGTGGGCAACATGCAGTGCCCTGTGGACTTCTAGCCAATGAGCCGGCTGATCAAACAGCTGCCTGTCTGGAATACTACGATGCGCAAATTGAGCAGGTGGTGCGCGGCTGTCGCTCCAATGGACAACTCTACTACGAGTGCATGCTGCGCGCCGGCGGACAGACGGGCTGTCGTCTGTGCCAAAGTCATGGCTGCAATGCAACGCCCGGGCAACAGCTACGTGGAGCGCTTCAGTTGGAACAAGTGGAACCGGAACAGTTGGCTCTTCTAAGTCAGCTGAAGCAACAGGCAAAACTGCTTGAAGCACTGAAGAACGCGATACAACTGGGACAGTCTGAGCAGCAACAGCAGGTGCTGCAGCAGAAAGATTCGCAACTGGTGGAACCGGCGAAATAGCTGAAACAGTTGGGACACTCGCCAGCTCTGGGATCTGCGTCGTCAGTCAAGCGAGCTATAACTAAAATAAACATTTTAAGTTGGTTTAGCATAATTTATGAAAAAATGGCATTAATCTAGACATTTAAACCGGCTATTCATGAATATTTAGTTAATACAACTATTGTTGTGCATCGGGATCGTTTAGCCGGGGCGGCTTATAGCCGGGACTCAAAGCGCGACCGCGATGATTGAATGTGTAGAAGGATGGAAAGTTGCCAAGAGTATCCCAAGTCCTCTGCTGCATGTCCACAGTGGCGCGAATCTCCTTGAAGTTGCCCACGATTTGGATAATATTATAGACAACAACCACCAAACTGATCACCGTTTGCAGTATGATCTACAATAACATAAATATAGGTCAAGGAAGAAAACAAACGGTTTCTTTACTCACATCTAGAGGCAGACTGGTCCACTCCTGTTCCGTGAGTCGCAAATAGGTCCGATCTGTTAAAAGCCAAAATTGAAGTTTAATTTTCAATTCGAGCAAAGGTTGACATGCTTTTTCACTTACGGTGTGCGGCAGAAAAAGCGGCATGCGCTAAGCTAGCAAAGCCAGCAATTAGCAGTATTTTGTTAAAGAGTTTACTGCCCATTTTTATAACTTGTTTTATTTATTAAATTTACAATTGTGTTCAAGTGATTTGTGAAAATTTTCTGTAATTGAAATTAAAATTAGTTAAAATGTAATTTGCCAGCTACACGTCAATGTTTTCTTTCTCTGCGAGAAGAAACAGCTGATTACTATTCAGCTGTTAACGTTGCTGGCCTTGCCATATCTGTCTAATAACATAGCAATAACATTCACAATAGAATACTGCTAGCACTCGTGTGCGTCTCTCTGCTCGCTTTGCCTTTCATTCGTATCAGCGACTTCGTGTGCATTGGACGTTTAACGCGATTTAAAAGACGAGCGAGGAATTTTCAATTGCAAAAAACAGAATCCACTTTGCACCGGTATTTACGCGCGCGCGTCTTTTTGCAAACTATTTAAAACGCAAAAATATAAACTGCTGTCCAATTCCACTTAATTTGCCAGTGCATAATTAAGGCTTGTCTGCACTTGTTCTCGAGAGACCTGCGTGTGCCTGTTCTGTGCCTGTGTGTATTTGTGTGTGTGTATCCTTACATCCTCGCCTCTGTCCCCGCCATCGACGACGCCTTTGCACAGGGTGTGGTGTATCATACGAAATTCCAGCGCACTGTAATACAGTTTAAAAACAACAAAAAATGTCTATCTCCTCGAATGCGTCCTCTGCATCGCGGAACGGCAGCGTCGATGATAGCACGACAACAACAACCACGGATAGTTCAGAGCTGACGCACATTTTGAATAGACGACAGGAGATCATAGACTCCCAAGAGGCTGGCATCGAGGTGCCGCGCACCTTTAAGGTGGTCAATGTCTACACCGAATTCCACGAGTTTTCGCGCAAGCAAATCAAGGACTATCAAAAGACCTTCAATACGTAAGTTGATCTCCAAATAAGCAAATTCCTAAAGTCTAATCAAATAATAATAAATATATAAATTATAGGAGGCAATAAATAGGTTTATATATTAAAAAATATGAATTAAGAGAGGCTTGTATCATCTAGAATAACTAAATACCCCATAGTTAATATATAAATCATACCTTAAATTTTTTTATATTAATAAAATTATATAATTTATACTATTTTTGAATATGTTGCTTAATGAAATATATAATTTTATAGTTCATGTTAATTTTTAACACTAAATAATGAGTTAATTAGTTAGTCACCGTACAGGGTATTAGCTCGTCCCTCTTGCTTGTTTGGTTACGTAAAAAACCTATTCCAAAGCTCAGCTCAATTTACTGCCTCGCAGCTCGCTTTGACACCTAGCAGCAGCTAAAAAAGGCCAAACATCAAGCTAAAAACTTGTGCGGTTAATTGACAACTAAACTGCCTAACACTCAAGTTCTCTACCCCACCCCAGTCCAGCACAAGCGGGCGTTACAACCGCAACACCCCGCTCGAATGCAATGAAGCATGACTCACACCTTCAGTGACTTTGTCACAGTCATTTATTATTATAATATATAATTTCATAACGATCTTTTGACTGGAGACATATTCATTTAGAATAAACAGGGTATTGCGCAGTCGTTAAGACCTACATGTGTTATCGGCGTTTGTGAGCATCTCGCCTTACCTTTAGCCCTTTTTACCGATCGCGTCTCCAATGATGCATTGGTTGCGCAATCTTAGCCAAACGGAATCTGAATAGGTATTTTAATATCTTAAGTATGTGGTATGTTTTATATATGTACACAGTATATAGAGCTAGACAACCACTTGACACGTCGTATTTGATAACTTATCTCGAAGCTCATCCGAATTTGACTTTTGCGCGCGCTGATTGCGCTTTGCATATTTAGGAAAAAAATAAACAAAAACAGCGTTTCACTCATGCCATATCCCCCTCTCTGTCTGTCTCGCTCACTTCTCAGAACCTGCTGCTGATTCAGCGCTTTACTTTAAACTTCATTGAATCAACTGCATGCGTCTAACCGGTGCTGCCAGAGTTAAAAAAGTGAAATGTATAGCTAAATTTTAATTGAAACTAAATATCTAGCAATAAAAAGTCCAAATTATCTAAAAGACAGAAGTAAAAATTTAAGTTGTGGGAAATAAAAATGTTAGCCTTCCATTCTTCTTAAGAGCTCAAGGCAGTAAATTTAAAATATGCTTTATTTACTCAACCATTCAGATAAATGCTTCTGTAAATGGAACTAGCTATAGCTATAAAATGGCTATAACAGCAACAGTGTTGAACAGCATGCAGTGCACACACACCCACAAACTACCTGGTAATTAAATTGCTCTGGCAATTAACAGCTGGATTCTGTATATATGCTTTCCATTAACACATCCAGCCAATTGGAGCAGTGCAGCTAACTAGCTGTCAAAACAGAACTCTGTAAACAGCACACCTCAGTCAGGTACTAAAAACTCCTGTTTATCATCCTGAGTATCCTATTTGAATTCATTTGCCGTGACTCACGGCTGGGGCCAATTAGGTCAGTTCTTGGCACATTGTGAAAACTGAAATATTTGTAAGACGAGCCAAGAAACAAAATAAACAAACGAAAGAAAGAACGTGCCTTGAAAATGTAATCGGGCAGGGCTCCAAATCCAATTGGCGTAGCTCCACAATGTCTGCAAAAGACGCCATATATATAGTAGATATAATATAACATAGATTGTGCAATATATAATACAAAGCTAACTTAAGTATATGAAATAAACATAAATACAGTTTATCTTGCCTAGTTTAAACTTTCGACAATTTTTCAGATTAGTTTCAACAGCATTTCTAACTTAACTTCCACTATATAGAAAATATATGAATATAGCTATGCCTATATATATAGAAATATATATAATTGTATTGATGAGCTTCAGCTTTATTTATTGTAGTTATTCAAAATATTTCTTCAATTTTATGTGCATTTCAATTATAAAACTGGTTTGCAGTTGATCGAGTATTATATTCAAGTCAAGTTCTCTGAACTATCCCGACAAAATGCCAATCGAAGTCTTCAGTTGATCTTTTAAAATGTTTTTTTTTTACTTAAACAAGCCACAATAACAAAAACAATAACCGGCTGTGGCTTATGCGCAGCGAGCTTCTGACATTTCCAGTTGGATAACCCAGTAGTCCCCAACCCCCTTGCCACGCCTGCTCTTATCAGATGATGCGCTAATTTTTTGTAAAACTGAAAAAACATCGTAAAATCAAAAAAAAAAAAGATGAATAATAAAAAACAAAATAAAAATTATATATAAATGTTCTACTGAGTCATTTTGGTTTTTAAGGAAATCGCTACTGATTCAGCTCTGTGATAAACAAACATTTACGAAATACATAAACAAATGCAGGGTATCTGCATTTCTTAGAGTTTGATAAGTCTCTCTCTCTCTCTCTCTCTCTCTGTGTGTATGTGTGCGACCCAATTGCGCATAAACTAAAATGAATTAATAATTGTTTATACTTGGATGTATATGTAAGGAAACCAGCAAAAAAGACGAAAGAAAGCTGGAGTTGAGACTAGTTAATACCGTGTAAACAGTTGGGTAGTATAAATATTTAACTTCATTAATTTTCAGCTCTTAATTGATTTATATGAATTAAATTAAGAGTGCTGCAGCTGAGAATGAAATACCCTGTAAACAGTAACATTGTTAAATATTAACTTAGAAATAAACTAAAAAAGTTTTTTGTGTTTTTTTTATTGATTACATTGATCAAGAGTTAAAAGATCAGAAATATGATGTATAGAAATATTAAAATTTTCGTTTTTAAAAATAATAAAGTTGAAATAATATTAAAATCAAAATCAACATAGTTAATGCTACTAAACAAGTATATCTAAGCAGATTACATACTCCTGCCCATAATCAATATACCCCACCCAATTAATTTTTCTCAATTAAGTACAGGGTATCCAAAAAATGAAGAGGAAATCTCATTTGCCCAGCTCTCAGCGCTAATCGGACACGCAATATGTAATGCCTTTCTTACAGCGTCATAATTATTTGTTGATATTGCTGTATTTTAGTTTCCGGGTTTTTTTATTATATATTTTTTGGATGCGCCATTTTCCGCACGTTTTTCCGGAGCGAATGCGAAGGCAAAGGCGATAAATGCCAGACGCTCGCCACATCATGAATGATATTGATTTAAATCTCTTTCCTCATGCATTTAATGGACACACATGCTCTCTAGGGTCTGTGTCTATACATAAATCATTGGGTTTGTAGTCTAGTCGTCTGTCTGCCGCTGATAAGCCTACAAATCCTTAAGCCAAGTGAAGAGTAGCCACCACCAAGCCATGTTGACGCCTCTCACTTTTCAGTTTTGCATTGTTCAATTTGCATGTGGGTTTTGCATTTTGGCTTATTGCATTTTCAACTTGATTTCAGTTCAAGCAGAAACGCAATAAGAATCGAATTAGGGATGAGCATGCTAAGTGGTTGTGAACATGGGTAAAAATACTTTTATATAACTATAAAAAAATTCAAATTTATTCAAGAAATTTAGTTTTTAAATTCAATACCATATTTTCTTTTGATATAGAAAAAAATACAAATTTCCCACAAAGTGAATCCTATAAGAATTTTAACGATATATCGTTATGTCGTTCGCCTCTAGCGTCGCTATCAATGCCATGCCGTTTGTGCTTACAAATTGGGTTCATGGCAAAATTTACACCACTAAAGACCACACACATGCACACGAACACAAATACAGACATAGAGATATTCATGAAAATAATCAGTTACACGCACTTTACAATTGCTAGGGAGGGTTGTTTTATGGACCCCACACGCATACTCTGGGCATATTATGGCAACTGCGGCAAAAGCTTTTAATTAAACCACATTCACCACCCATTATCACTGAAGCAGAAGAAAACGCCCTCCTGGAGCACTTATGCAAAAAGGGTTGTTGTTGCATATTTTAGGCTAAACTGCAGCGCACTTCCTGTCTATGACGAACGAGCGGGTCAAAGTGCAGCATTCAGTACATATTATGTATATGTCAAAGACATGACATGTGCGTGTGCATACATAGATACATTTGTAGCAGGTTCATTGACATTTGCAAATACATTAGTCATTTTACATTTTGTGTTTACATTTTGCATTAACACACCTTTGTTGTTGTTGCTGCTGCTGCTTATCTGTTGTTGACAACTTTTTTTGGCCAATCGATAGCACTGCATCGCCGTTGTGAATGGTATTTTTGTTTTGCTGATGCTGCCATGTTGGCGCACGCTGACCTTTGCCAAAATGTACCGCATAATTGCAATGCAGGCGACCAGCTGTCTGGCAACGTCCGGAGCGACCAACAACGAGTTGAGTGGGTTATTGTGCATGCACGCCTGCGTCACTGTGTGCGTACATTGTGTTGGCAATTACAATTCATTGATTGACAGTGAGTAAGAGTAAATAAATAAAAAAAAAACCAACATATATGTATAGTAAGTTTATTATCTGTGACTAGTGGCAATGTCGTCGTGCCACTGAATGGCGGAAATATCAAATTAAATAAAAACCACATAGAATCATTGCCAGCAATCAGCAGCAGCAGCAGCAGCGGCAACAGCTCCTTTCCTTTGTGCTTTTAAACTCGCTGCACAATTAGTCATGTGCGGTTGATAGTTAATTCTATTTAGTGATGGAGGCACGAACAAAAGCAGTCAATGGTCAATGGTGATTTGAATAATCAACATATTTCCACTAGATTTTCCTTTCTATGATATTTTTATTATTTGGAATATTTGACTATATTTCCAGCGCTAGTGTGTTTTCGTATACAAACTAAGTATACAAGTATACAAACTAAGTACTGCTATATTTACCTCTTGCGTAATTTCCCTTTATAGGGAAATTTGACACTTGCCCATCTCTAGTAAGTTCTCATTCTACAATTACTTATCGACTCAGGCCCAGTTCTTCATGCATTGTTTCTCAGTTTCATGTAGTTCGCTGCAAACACTGACTCATAGAGAGATGTTGTTGCTGCTGTTGTCGTTTCCTGATGCAACTAAAAATAATCGGTTGCGACCCACGCAACGTTTTACTTTTGATTTTTGTGTTGCTCCAGTTTCGAAATGTCAAAATATGATGCCTTTTTACTATTGGGCTTTCTGCCTTTCTGATTGAAATTGTTCTCGAACTGGGAACGGGTGGATAATGGCTACAGTAAAAGCTCCACTAACAAATGCATTTTTACTCAAGTGGGCAGACAGTGGGTTTGTATAAATAAATTGTGGCTAGTATAAATAAGACAAAATTGAAATGTGGTTATGCACTTTATTGAGCTTTTACTGTAGTCGTGTGTTCTTGGCTAAGTTTACGATGCTGTTAAAATGCTGTTCATTTTTTATTGATACTTTATGCGCACGCACTTCTCACAAAACTTTACATGTGTCTTAAATATAAATGGCCCAAACAAAGTGTACATTTGAGTACACAGGTGCAAGTGTGATTTCGAAATGAATACAGTCAGTCAGACTGACAGACAGACAGACAGACAGTCAGTTCGTGTTGAGCGAAATAAACAAGATATTGTGTATGCAAGACGTCAACTGTGTACAATTTTTTTTCTTTATTCATTACCTTTTGCTGTAGTTGACTTTACAATAGATTAAAAAAACTGTGCGCAATCACATGAAGAAATCCACCAAACTCAACTCGTTGCAGTGCATTTTAAACGTTATACACAATAACCGTTACAAAAGCCCATTGGACAAACAGAAAAAATGCCAAGAAGCAGAAAGGGCGAAGTTTGAATACCCTTACGACCATTAGGTAGCAAATATTAGAGATGGAATTTATACTATTCATCGAAACTATACTGAACAATTTGACTTTATTAAATTAACTCTTTAATTTAACTTATTCCAAACTATACAACTGGTTTCTTATCACTAAATAAAGTCAGTGGTTATTGAATAATAAAACATTTAATCGAACTTCTGCGAATAATACGAAAGAATTCTAGCAAATTTACTAGCTACAGTCTTCTAGGCGCTACAAAGTTCATGAAGAGATCATCATTGCTATTTGCTACATGTATTTAATACAGAGTATTGAAAAAAAGGTTCAAGAACATGACGCGCTGTGACTGCTGAGCGTTGGCATTAACCCGATTGGGCCACCGAGCATAGAGAGCTCAGAGACCAAAAACTAAGAAACATAAATTTACAATGGGCAACAGCAAAACAACAACAATTGGCGTCACATTAAGTTGGTAATAGAGAAAAGCCACGACTACACGTTCAATAATTGCAGCGACTACTGTGGAGGGTTGGGATGGGCGGTTAGGAGCGCAGCAAACGGCAAAATATACATATACAGAAAACATGCATTTTGCGATTTACGATTTACGATGCAAATGCAGCATGCAATAACAATGGCCGGCTGACCCCGTTAGCTGTTGAACTGTACAAACCTACATGCATGTGCTTTAACAAAAAAAACAAAAAACTTAATTCGCATGTCTAACAAAATGCAATGAAGCATCCATCTATCTAGATTTTCACCCACACTTATGAAATTCATTGAATTGAAAACATTTTGTAATCGATAACACACAAAAATTAGGTGAGCTAAAAGGAGGGGGTCGGTCAGCGTTGCCACAGGGACTCCAGGAAAGCTGAAAGCACTGAGGAAGAATGAAGGAGTTAGAGCGAGAGCGCAAGCGTAGCGTCTGCTACTGCTGGAAACAGTGGTGCCTGAATTTTACTAGCTAAAAATAGAAGCCAAGTCTAATACAAAATTAGCTTGATGCCTAATACATTGTGGCATAAATTCATTTTAATTAGTACTTAATTTAGCTACAAGTAAGCTAAAAAATCATTACTATTAGTAGTAAGCTGAAAAGAAATAAAAATTGAATCAACGCCTGATACAATATCAGTTGAATTGAACAGCTGCGAATGCAATTGCCATCATTTAAGTTTACATGAAAAACAAACAAACGTAACTTTACGTTTAATGAGCATGTGTTAAGCGAGCCAATTAATTGAAAAGAAAACCACAAAAACATAATAGCAAGAAAAAAGAGAAAAAAGCAAAAGTCTGCCAATTGTCACATTGACGCAACAAGTGAGACACAGAGCCAAGCGTACACAGCAGCTCATGGCAATTGAAGTTAATTAAATACGAAGCAGCGAAATAGCAATTAGCTGTTATGCCGTTAAATGCGTGGTGACACCTTCGATATGGGAGAAGTAGAGATGGGCTGAAGTGTCGATTTTTTTTCAACATGAAATTTAGAAATTCAGATAAACAACGCGATAGTATTACAAGCTTTGTTTTATATGCTAAAAGTATGAGAAACCAAGTTCACGATCTAGATATTAGAATGAGCCCGTGCTGATTCGTAAATTAGTGATTATTAGTGGTTACGAATCAAAATAAATTGAAGCATTGCTGATTCAACAGTGACTCAGAATTCAACCGTTCCATATTCTAATATGCTGTTCATGCAATCTGTGCTTATCACCCCTCACGCACCCATCTCTAATGCTCCGCTTCTGTCACCGTTAATTACTTTCACTCTCGTCTTCGTGACAAGCCACACAATAATTTGTCGACCCGCGCAATTGTCGATACAATTAACAACGAAAGCATAAAAAAACGAAAAGAAAAGAAATAAATGCAACTGCTCATTAGATGAGATCTCTGTTTTCTAATGAATGTGAAAACGAAACTGAAAATTGAAAACTGAAAGTGATGCTTGAATGTAATCGAGTGCAATGTGTAATCGATTGCGTTATTATTTATGAGCAAATTGGTTGACAACGACAGCGGCGACGCAACTTGTGGCAAGTTGCGCGTTTCCTTTCCTTGGCTTGGCTTGGCTTGACTTAGCTAACTGCCTGACAGCGACTTTAATGGCAGCTTGTCTTATTTTTAGATGCAACTAGTTTGACTCGTTTCGCAGCATCCTTCAGAGACGGGGCAAGGTCGTGATTGTTTTTTGTAGCCACATTGTTGTTGTTGCCGCCAGCGCATCTGCCCCGCACGCGATTTACCCATCACAACAACAACAGCTACAGCAACAGCTGCAACATTAGCTAATGTTGCGTTTTCTCCATGCCACACGCTGCCTTAATGCTCATTACGTAATTTAGCCAGTAAAATTTTCTATTTACATTTTTATCTCAACAATTTCCTGCCCCCACATTCAGTTGAGGAAGTGGCCCCAAACGAGCATTTGAACTTTTGCCTATCCACGCATTCGTGCTCATACAAGACGATGATTAATAAATTAGAAGACGAGACTAGCTCTAAATTAAGTTTAAACGAGAGCAACCGCTTGTTAACCGCTAGTCAAATTTGTCTTCTAAATTTTACATTTTACTTTGATAATATCTAAATAAAAATATTAGGTGAATATTTAAATAATTTTTTTATTATTGATTCATATTGCTTAGTGAAATTTGTAATAAAATTCGAATCGCTATTAACTATTTCATTAAACGGCACGAGGGTAGTCACACAAATTGCTAACCTCACAAATATATGCATATATTAAAATTAATTAACTCGAATTACAATTGTCCTTAGTGTCATGTTTTATTATTGATTTTTTTAAGAGACGTTTTTGAATATTTACTTTTTTATCATTTTTTACATATCGACATTTTTATTTTTATTCTTAATAATATATTTTTTTAAAAGTTTATAGGTTATTAATTTTTATTTTTATATAAGTATACTTTTTTATTTTTAATTAATCATAAATTAAATTTTATTTTCTTATTTTACAAACTTGAAGTAATTCTGCTATTCCCCCACTTTTTCACTTTCTGTGCTCGATTGTCAATGCAGTGTCATCCCAGGCATAAAACGAAACGTAAAGCGAAATTTAAGCCTCAAGTGAACTGCAAATTTAGCATGAAATTGGGTTACCTTCACGTCTTATCGATTAGCAGGTGTGCGGGTTGAAATAACAGTTAACGTCCTTGTATAGAATAGAATATATATATATATATAGATACACGTAATACTCGTAAATATAATAATATTTATTTCGTTTGCAGTTATGATACGGCTAGGGATGGTTTCTTGGATCTCAATGAGCTCAAATATATGATGGAGAAGCTGGGCGCACCGCAAACCCATTTGGGATTGAAGAAGATGATAGCCGAGGTGGATGAGGATCACGATGGAAAGATCTCGTTCCGTGAGTTCTTGCTGATCTATCGCAAGGCGCAGGCCGGTGAGCTGGACAGTGAATCGGGTCTGAATCAGTTGGCGCGCCTCACCGAGATCGATGTGGAGCAGGTGGGTGTAAGCGGCGCCAAGAACTTCTTTGAAGCGAAGATCGAACAGCAGCTGCGCACAAATAAATTCCATGACGAGATCAGGCAGGAGCAGGAGGACAGACGTCGCGAGGAGGAGGAGCGTGCACAGCGACGTCAGCAGTTCCAGCAGCGTGCTGCAATCTTTCAATAAAGCAGTAATCGAAACGATTTCTTTATATATATATACATAAACTTTATAATTTGTAGTCTAGCACGTAATCCCTGTGGCGTAGGTTAAACAAATGCGTGACATTTCGGAGAATTTTTTTGATATCACATCACATCATAGCATTAACTAATCTTTCACATATAACTCACTATATAGATATATATATATATATATATATATATATATATATCTCACACACTTACATATATAGTTAACGAGCATACCAAAATCATACATTTTAATTGTGTTTAAGTGAAAGGAAGATTTATATATATATATATTAATTTCAACTTAGGTTTTAAGTTATTTTTTATTTTTTGCTGTTCCGTTTTGTTGAATTTTTTAAATATTTCTTTATAAAACTCTATATTTTTTGTTGGTGCCATTTTTTTATAAATTTGATTTGGTGTTTTGTTACTAATCTCATGTTTTATGTTAAAAATTAAGCTAAAAGTTTAGAAAACAAAATTATAAAATATAAAAAAAAAAACAAAAAAATCAATTTCCTTTTTTTCCTTTCAAATATTTGTTGTACATATTTTTTTTTTGCATTTTGCAAAATTTCAAATATTTTTTATTCATTTACAATTAAGTTAAATACTTCAGTATTTTCAAGCAAGCCGTTCAAGCAATATTAAAATACATTTTACACCTAAACATACATATAAACATATGAAAATACGAAAATAACGGCAATTACTATATATAAATATGAATTAATGTATATAGTGCAAATAAAAAAAATGCGAAAAAATCATTGAGTTTTTATTGTGCTGGCTGAAGATTAGATATCTCTACTCTATATACTCTTGATCAGTGTGATAATTGATGTCTATCGAGCGATCATTGTCCTATATATCAGTATATCAATGACTTCTCTGTTGATAAAATTGATTATATTGATATGGAAGTGAATAAGAACAACAATCATAATTAAAGGTAACTAGAATCAGATCAAAATCACAATAATTATATATTTTATCTTTGATCTTACTTCTCATTATCAATAACTTATAAAAATTCTCAATAAGAATGTCTATGATATTCTAGGGGTCTTTTTAAACGGAGCAATTCAGATAAACGTATTATTACATAAAGTAATTTTATATATTTAAAAAAATTTAGTATTTGTTGATGAATACAAAGAACATATTGTTTAATTGTATTTATTTTTAAAGATCTAGTATGAAGAAGAAATCGACTCTTCTATTTTCTTAGATTAAGTGTATAAGAAAATACTCTTATAATAATGTAATAATTAAATGTAGTTAATCATTTTACAGCTTTAGTTTAGTTTCTGAGAGAGTATCCAGAATTCGTTATGTTTTTGTTGGCTCAAGTTCGCTGATGGTGGCGCCACGGCGCTGGGAGTGGCGACAGCGCAGCATGTCGCACTTGAGAGCATAGCAGTGCTGGCAGACGGGACACTGGTGCGGCTTTAGCTGCAGATGGTAGCCCTTGACATGCTGAGAGAGTCCGTTGCGCCGCTTAAAGACGCGCTCACAGATGTTGCACTTGTATCTCCTCTCCGAGGTATGGGTGATGCGATGCTGCTTCAGTCCGGTCAGCGAGCTAAACGTCTTCTGACAGACGCCGCAGCTGTGTACAGTTCGTTTGGCATGCTGTACCTGCTGGCCGGCTGGACGACAGCGTCGCTTGGCTGCTCTCTTTAGGGGCAGCCGCTGGCGACACTTGAGCTCGTGCCGCCTGTAGAAACGCCAGTGAGTGAAGCTAATGCTCTGGCAATGCCGGCACTTGTAGCTTTGCAGCCGGGCATTGCGCAACGGCAGCGACTGGCATATGTAGCGCATGTGCTGGCGCAGCCCGAGACGCGAGCAAAATAGCCGCAGGCAGCCAAAGCACTTCACGGCAAAGGTACGCTTTGGAGGCAGCACAAAATGCCGCTTGCGACGCCTGTGGCTCAGCAGCTTCTGCACGCTGGCAAAACGACGATCACAGCGGCCGCAGCGCAGGCGAGGATTAGCACGCGCGCTCCCCAAGGATTTTCGATTCGTACGCAGCTGTCGGCAGGTATGCTGCAGACGTCTGAAGCGTGCAGCCAGCTTGGCATACGCATAGTTCTGGGACTGAGGTGCACTTATTGCCGGCTCCGCTATCAGATCGTTGTATTGCAAAAAACTCCGCTGCATATCCAAGATATCAATCTTCTTTTTGGCAGGCAGCTGCGGGGGCAACCAATCCGATTGCCAGTAATCCACAGGGGCAGGCAAGGGCTGACCAGCTCCCGGCGCAGCTGGAGGGCACTCCAACTTAAGTGAGCTATGAGCAGTCTGATTGAGATTGGGTGGCGGCACACTAACCATTGGCATGGGCACGGGCATTGGCGTTGCGGTGCCTGCAGGCGCAGGCGGGGCATGTGCCAGGGCATAATGCTGCTGCAAGCTCTCAGCGGTAAAGAACTTCGTAGTGCAGAAAGTGCAATTGTGCAAGCGAAAAGCAGAGGACTGCACCACGCTATCATTGAGCACCACAATGTTGGGCTTGGTGGTCGCCGGCGGTGGCATCAATTCGCAGATCAGCGGATTGGGTATCTGGCTAACATTCGTTACGATTGGCTTGCAGCTGCGCGGCTCAGCTGGAGCATTGGCTTGCGATTGCGGCTGCTCCTGCAGCTCGGCACCTTCCACCTTCTCTGTTTTGTATTGCTGCAGTGGAGGCAACTGCCAATCCTCCTTGGCGTAGTTATGCTCCTCGCTGAGCAGCTCTGCTTGCGGCAGCACAGGCACATTGACAGGTTGCGACTGTGCGACGTCTGCATCATCTGTTATATTGATGAACGGATCATCCAAATTGATGATCTCCATAATGTCGCAGTTGTTGATGATGTCCTGTGCGTTGAGCATGGGAAAATTGCAGAATTGAAACTTTTGTTCCGTCTCATCGTTCGTCTCAGGCTCATGATCACAACAGCCCTCTTCCAGGCCCATGTCCAGCTCATCAGGAAACAGATTGTCGAGACTTTCGCATGCCTCCTGCTTCACCCTGACCACCGGCTCCTGCTTGATCTTCAGCTGCCGACGGTATTTGCGTTGCAGCTCGCCTTGAGCGACAATAACAACGTCACAGAATTGTGAGAAACGTTCCAGTTGACGGCAGCAGTCTCCACAGATGTCCTTCGGCAAAGGCAGCGTGTCATCCTGGAGGATTTGCAGCGTGGGAAAGCATTTCTGTATCATGCCAAACAGCTCGAAGCTCTTGTCAAATGACACGCAATTGAGTGCGGCAATGCCACAGAAGCGACAGGTGCTTCTCGTGCCACCAGTCGTTGGCAACTGTTGCGTGTCCGTTGTGGCCCGTGTCACCTGTTCCACAAGCACATTCAACGTATCGTCTGCCACTCGCACTGTCGGCACCGCATTTTTCTTCAGAGTTTTGCGATTGTTGCTGCAATTGAAGTCGCTGTCCACGAAGTGGCGACTGCAGACGGCGCTCCATTTGGAAGGCATCCACTGACCGCTGCGCTGTGTAAACTCCTTCCATTTCTGCAGCAAGTCCTTGCGCTTAAATGGAAATCTGCGAAGAGAAAACTACATTTTTCGACGCCTTCAATTTCAGCGAAAAACTTACCTGTGAAATGATATGCTGCCCGCATGCACATATTTATCGCTGCAATTGACAACTGCACAGTGTGCGGGCATTTGGCATTGTCTACTTTTTTCTCGAATTTAATTGTCAGTTTCAAATATTTTCAGTTTATCGTCATAAATTTCTTTTAATATTTTTTAGACACGATTTTAACAGCATAAAAGAATAACACGCTGCTAATAAAATTACCATTTGTACATTAGGCAATGTTAATAACATAACCATATGGCTATATAGTTCTGTAAAACAGCTGTTCCAACTGTCCTTGCAAAATATAAAATAACTATTTTATTTAAATATCTTCTTATCTGCAACTTAAGATGGAATGTGCTAATATATAAAATCTTAATATTTTCTCGTGAATTTGAAGAAAAACAAAACCGTCTAACAGTGAACGCAGAAATGACTTAACAGTCACTGTAAACGCAATTTGGCTTGCGAGCGAGCGCACTCACTAGTTCATCTCTTATCATACACAGCTGATCTCTTGCGATCTCCCACCTCCCAATTAACGCATACTTTGCTGCCCGCTGGCTATGCTGCTAAGTAAAAATTCTTCGGTCACTCAGTAACACTGCTTTTGCGGAGCCTAGTATTTTGGCACTGTTGCTGGAGCAAGAACGTGCATTTAGTGACAAGGTCAAACAAGGTCTTCGACGCGAACAATAGTGAAAGTGAAACAAAAAAATGTCACAGCTGTTACAAAAAACTAGCGGTGTACTGCAGTTGAATTACAAATTCGCAGCTGGACTCGCTTACACTGCAACAAAACAAACTCTCGATGGACAACACAGGTCAATGGCGACGGCTACAGGCGGCAAAGGGTGTGTGCATAATGATAAGAAAATTCGACAATTAACGCGTGTTGATTGTAAAGACAACACGGCAAAGTTTAAATTTAGATTAACGCACATTTAACACCCTTGCGAATCAATCTGTATGATATAAGCTATTTAAGCGCAGTATAAAGTATGTAACATCAAAGATATTTGTTGTTTAAAATTTCCTCTGAGTAAAATAATTGCGCTCCGGCTTGACTGAACTGAATCAGCTGTTCTACGATTAGACAACTAGACGTAGTTGATATACTAATCAGTTGTTTATACAATATATTTTATATCTTACAGTTTTTTGTTTAGATAAGGTATATATATTGCTATGTATGATAAAAATCAATATGGATTACTTCAAATGATATATTCTCCCTTGTTAAACAATCGCGTTTTTTCTCACCAGTTGGATATAAGAGCTAGATAAACAGATTTGATACTAGTATTCATTTTTATTCACATATCATTTTCAAGCATTTAACAAAGGAATCTATAAAAACATAGCTATTAAAGTACTAGACCACAGACTATAAAAAATCAACTGATAAATGATTAAGTATACATAGAAAAAAATTTATAAAAGAACATACAATTTTTTTTTTGAAATAACGGACATTTCCAATGGGACTAATAGCATCAAATTTTCCCACGGGTCATATACCTGTAATATTTCCTTTTTCTAATATTTAGTCCAATCAGACACACAATTATAAGTTGTAATTGGACAATTAATTTATTATTTATTATTAAATATTGTCCCAGTGAATACGATCTTGTGGTAGTGGGCGGTGGCATTGTGGGAGCGGCTTCCGCGCGTGAAATCCTGCTACGCCATCCAAAGCTAAAATTGGCCATTTTGGAAAAGGAGTCCAAGATGGCTATGCATCAGAGCGGCCACAACTCGGGCGTCATTCATGCGGGCATCTACTACAAGCCGGGCACGCTAAAGGCCCGCCTTTGCGTAGAGGGCTTAAACCTGGCGTACAAGTACCTGGACGAGCATCAGATACCGTACAAGAAGTGCGGCAAGCTGATTGTTGCAACCGATGAGAAGGAAGTGAAGCTTTTGGAGGATTTGCATGAGCGTGGCATCAAGAACCAGGTGCGCGATCTGCGAATGATCGATGGCGATAAAATCAAGGAGATTGAACCATACTGCAAAGGCCTCAAGGCGCTGCACAGCCCGCACACAGGCATCGTGGACTGGGGCCTGGTCACTCAGCATTATGGCGAGGACTTCAAGAGAGCAGGCGGCGATATCTACCTGAATTTCAATGTGACAAAGTTCACTGAAACAAAGGAAGGCTCCGACTATCCAGTTACCATACACAGCGGCAAAGGTCAGCAGGTGCGCACCAAGAATGTTCTCACCTGCGGCGGTCTACAGTCCGATTTGCTGGCCGAGCTAACTGGCTGTCCTCGTGCACCACGTATCGTGCCGTTCCGTGGGGAGTATTTGCTTCTGTCCAAGGAGAAACAGCACATGGTGCGTGGCAATATTTATCCAGTGCCCGATCCGCGTTTCCCCTTCCTTGGTGTTCATTTCACACCACGCATGGATGGCAAAATCTGGCTGGGACCCAATGCGGTGCTGGCAATGAAGAGGGAAGGCTATACGTGAGTAACCGAAGATCAGATTTAAATCTATCCATTGAACTAATCTAAACTAATTGATCACTTACAGCTGGGGCGACATTAATCTAATTGAGCTCTTTGATGCTCTGCGCTATCCAGGTTTCCTCAAAATGGCCAGCAAATACATTGGCTTCGGCTTCAGCGAGATGGCCAAGTCGGCCTTTATCAACTTGCAAGTGAAGTCGCTCCAGAAATACATCCCAGATATCACCGAATATGATATCGAGCGTGGACCAGCAGGTGTGCGCGCCCAGGCGCTCGATATGAGCGGCAATCTTGTCGATGACTTTGTCTTTGATCGCGGCGAGGGCAGCGGACCACTGGCCAAGCGGGTGCTCCATTGCCGCAATGCGCCATCGCCGGGCGCAACCAGCAGCTTGGCCATTGCCAAGATGATTGCCGACAAGATCGAAACGGAGTTTGCCATTGGCAAAGCCAAATAGTGCCAATTCGATTCCAACTAATATTTTTTCATGCATTTTTTCACTTCTATAAACTATTTTCGATAACAACTTTTTTTATTGTTTATTGTCTGAGTCCAATACTTATTCAGTTTTTGTTATTTTTTATATTTTTAATGAATGCATTTGAAGTTGATGAGACAACAAATTGAGCTTTCAGCCAGCGCAATGAATTTGCTGAAATTTGTAAAATTGGCTTTAAATAAATGTTAATGTTATAAATAAAAATATTGAAGTCTTTAACGATAGCTTGCAGCAGTGATTCAATTACAAACTTTACTTAATTTTTATACCTTTTAAATTAGGTTTGGCAATCAGTATATAGATCTTTATGCATTTCTTATAGCTTAGCATAGCCATTGATCATTTTACGATCTGCCCTTTGCAGCTGCCACACAAATTGCTTGTTAATCTCCAACTCTTAACATGCTATACTTCTGCTATCTATTCTTCTTCTATCTAATTCAACTCGAGTATATGCCGCTTGCCTTTCGCAGCGGGTTCCTTAATGCCCAGCACCTTGATCTCTCTTTGCAGCTGCTGCACAGGTGCCTCGCTATTTAGCAACTCACGACATTTTTCATTTATAACTTTTAAGCCATTAGCTGCGTGCTGTCGCATTTGTGAATCACAGTTTTCGTTGGCTTCGATGGCACGCAGCAGTCTATAGATGGGCAAGAGTATATCCTGGTAGTTCAGCAGGTTGTCCATACCAGCCAATAGCTCGGCGAGCACCAGCAAGGCGCCACGCTTGGCAGGCAAATACCGTCCCGAGCTTAGCTCGGCGTCAATTAGCTGCAGCAGTTCCTGGAAGAAGCCATGCACCTGGTAAGTTAGCAGGCGACACAGCTGCGCCAGGTTCGCATAGGCGGAGCTGCGAAATTCATCCAAAGAAGAGCAAGCGCCATGCAGAAAGCAATTGAATAATTCAGCCTTGTAGCGATAGCAGAGAGGACCTGAATGTGAGAATTGATATATAAGTATAAGCGAGTTACAAATGAAACAAGGATATTTGGCCACACACCAATTTCTTGAGCTGCTTTAAGTATAGCTTCGCCCACAACCAGGCGATAGTCGAGATCAGCTGTCTCCGATAGATATTCATCGCTGAGCATGTCCAACACCTCGGACTCCATGATGTGCACCAGCTGCACGAAGAGGCGGACACAATTGAGAAACGTGTAGGACTCCTTCTGCTTGAGTGTGCTCAATGCCAGAGCTATGATGCGATGTGATTGGGATATAAAGGTGGGATCTTTGTTTCTCAACGCTTCCAGCATCAACTGTATGCCATAGACCTGCAGATGCGGCTGCTCGTTTTCGATGAGCTCTCGCGTCTGCTGAAAGGATGCGAGAGATGGGGCTGTAGCCATGCGGGCCTGATGCTTGCCTCCAAGCAGTTCGAGCAACGGCTGTAACGCATTAAGCAGCAAAGGATTTGCTGTACCATCCGCTAATCTTTGCAGTGGTTGTTGCAGTTGACGTGTGGACTCCGACAGCTGGAGTTGCTCGCTGCGTTCGAGCAGCTCCTGCAGCAGCAACAATATGAGCAACTGCATCTGTTCTGCTAGCTCAGCGGGCTGCACTCTGATAGCCATCAGCTGTGCAACAAGCTGAATAAACTTTTTACTTTGAGTAGCTGCCAACTGTACTTTGAGCGGCTCATGCCAAACGAGCTGCTCCAGTGCTACAAGCAGTTCCAGCTTTAGCTGATATTTTGAATGCAGAAAATCCGCAAGTTCCGTTTCCGTGGAGAGCAGCTCAGTGGTCGCGGTTTGTGTGGCCAGCAGTTGCTGCAGCATTAGCTCTAGCAGAGCCAGAAAAGTCTTCGCTGTTAACGTCTGATCGCTGCCAGCCATAAGCAGAGCGGTCAATACCCGACAATAGTTGCCTTCCTCTTCCTGTTGCGCCACTTGAACTGTTACGAGATCAGACTGTGACGTGTGCATTATGGCCAGGCGTGGATGCATAGCTTGCCAAGGCGGCGAGCCAGTCAAGTCCCAGCTATACAAGCGCTGCAGCAGGTTAGGCAGCTCCTGCTTTGACTCTCTATTATCCAAACAACGAGAGATTAAAGCAGCCAAAGCCTTTCGCTCAATTAGCTGCTGTGGCAGTTGCTTGTAAAGCTGCAGGAAAAGCGGCATATAGGGTACCAGTAGAAGACTGGGTAAACAAGCGATGCTGGAGTTGCAGAAGAGTTGCTCCCAGAGACGAATGCAATCGCACAGCTGCGCATGCTCCCAGACGATGAGGCCATTCAGCAAGTCATCGGGACATGTCAAAGGCTGCCAATTTCTGCAGAGTAAGCGCTCCACGCACTTGCGATTCTCCACATTGAGCTCGTAGAGACGACGCAGGCTAAGCACACCCGCCAACAGGCCATTCGTCTGCATGGCACAGAAGTCGAAGATCTGCTCAATCAGACGCTGCTGGAGACGCAACGAAAAGCCGCGCTGTGCCACAATCTGAGCCACAATTTCCGCAGTTCGCGTGGCATTCGGAGTTTGCAGAGCAGCCAACAGACTGGCGAAACCATGAGCTACCCCCAATTTATTCAACAGCTGCTGATGGAGCTCTTTAGCCAACGGAACGGACAGATTTGGAGTTGCCTTAAGCAGCAACACATGTCTAAAGAAATCAGCCTTGGATTCATTTTGCCACAGATAAGTGAGAGCTGCATTTAGCTGTAGAATCTGTCCCGGCTTGGGCTGAGCTGCGCGTAAGCTGATCACAGCTGCAAGCAAATCTCGTTGCACTAACTCCATGGCATTTGCTATGTGTAGCTGACGTATGGCTAGCAAGCGAATAAATAACTGTATGCTGAGAAAAATCAGTGTGGGATGACAGCGCTCACGCTGAACATCCTTAAAAACGACTGACTTATAGAAATCGCTATGCAACTGCGAGCGCAGCGCATAATAACTTAGCTCCTGTGTTGCCTGTATGCAGAGTTTTAGATGAGCCACCGAAATTAAGTCCTCCTTTGCATCGCTATGGAAATTGATGTTTAGGCTCAGCGTGTGAAGCACGTGCGATATACGTATTATATAGCAATTAATGGAGTTGTTCAAATCGATCACATCACTTTCCCCTTCTACTTGCAGCGCTTTAAATAACTCCTGCAGTTGTTGTCTCAAATCCTTTTGCACGTATTTCGACAAAATTGTTGAATTGGCTTGAAGAACTTCCAATCCAGCACAGTCCACTGATTCTTTCCCTGTAGTTGCAATACAAAATTTCTTATTTATTTGACAAATATGAGCGCACTTTACTAACTTGCAGCATGTTGAAAGTTTAAATTCTCCAGCAAAGCAAAATATTTCGCTATATTAATCATTGCGCGCAAATTTCAATTGCGCATGAAAACGTTTTGTATAAATGAAACAGCTGTTGCGCAAACGATGTGGCAACGCTAAACAGCAGGTGTAATGCTAGCATGACATTTGCAAATTTTGTTTATTTCTTATATATTGTATGAACTGCATAAAACATGAAATATCTTAATGCATGCACATTTTTTTAAAAAACGTCACAAGAATATGTAAAAAAGCTTTCATGTTACACTTGAAAGATGTTCTCGCATGCACGCAGATACCGTGATCGATTGGTAAAGAAATTGCACAGCTCTAATTTTTTTTATCGGCTGGCAACCTTGCACAGTTAGTGAAATCCAATTTAACTGCAGCTAAAATTCGTTCGCTTTTTTTTGTGTGCTGCAAATATTGTAAATAGTTATTCCGCGTTCTGTGTATATAGACAAACAATAATGTGCAACTTCAATAAGTAGTAAATAATACCAAATATCGTTGATTTCATGAAGCAATAGCTTGCCGTAAAATCCGTACGTGTAAAGCAGGAAAATCGAACAACTTTCTTTTCCCATAGTGTGAGTGCGAGTGCGTGTGTGTGAGAGTGCGCTAGTGCTAGTGTGTGTATGTGCATGTGTATCGCTGCCATGCAAATGCGAAAAAGCGCAGCGTAAATTACAAAACTACGCAACAACAAAAGTTAATTAAACTAGAAAAAATCGAGTTAATTATTCGACTAGCGGGAAGGCAGACACGCCCATCGTTGTCAAACGCCCACGCAATTAAGACACCCTCTCACCTGCCGACGACGACGTTGACGGCGCCGTCGCTGCTGCCGCTGCAGTAAACAACAGCAATAAAAATAGAAAAATGAAGAAAATCCTGTCGAAATTCGACAGAAATGAGAAATTGGAAAACTCGCACAACAGCTCCTCATCCAAGGAGACTAACAGTTTCGTTGGCAAGGTCTTCACAGTCGGACGCGTCACGGTCACCGTCGAGGATGTCTTGGCCGAAGGTGAGTGCGAGGGGGAAACTGAGCTGCTTATCAGATGTACATATGTATTAATGTTTTATGCATATGTGCGTATGTGTGCGTAAGGTATTACATATACTGATGGTTGCCACCAGATTTAAAATTTGTAGCCAGATAAGATAAAAATTATTTAAAAAAATATATATGTATTTATATAAATATATGATATATATATGATAGTCTGTTCTTTTTTTAATGTGGGGCGTAAACAGCTGTGTTTCTCACTTTGGTAATTTGTCGGCGCCACTTGTCGCGTGCTGCGCGACTGGGCACAAAGAAATTGTCAATTCCGTTTTCTACTATACAAATTAATAGAAATTCAATCAATTATGCACATTAATCAAGCCAATAAAGCAAGCACTATACATATTTTGCTATTTCTCTACTCTGTAAGCGGCCGCAAACAAAGCTCTGGCATAGTTGCCATCCGCAAAAGGCAGAGTTCAGCAACGATGCTGATACTCTAGCCTTTTTTTAGCTAAAAATGTGTGATGAAAAATAAAATTTGCTAGCTTATTTAGAGTGGTTATCAGGTGTCATGGTCTTTTTAATATTTAGAATATAACTATATTATTTCATATCTAAAAAGTAAAATATTATGAATCACTTTGGTTCTTCAGCTTCTTCAACACTTACAAAGTTAGTTATAAAATTTGAAAGCACTGATAAATATAGCTGTTTTTAGCTTTCGCATGCGAGCCGCATACACTGTTCGGCATTGCCACAGTCGAAGGCAAGTTGCAGATTGCCAATGTCCTTGAATTGAAAGCAATAATATCCTGCATTACAAAATGCCCCCCTCAATAGTTGAGTGCTTGGCAAATAGCAGCTACTATTTTCAACAGCTGCTCGACATTTATTTACATTTATTATTTTACTGTTGGCATTGCGCACGTGTGTGTGTGTGTGCGTAAAGCCTATTGGTCCACCTTATACTTGGCTACAGTTATTGATATTTTTGTTCTTTATTTTCATTTTTGGCTATTTTTGCAACTTGGCAGGCAATGTTGTATGTTGACTGCAGAATGTCGGCGTCAGCTGTTGTTGTTGTTGATATTTGACTTGACTATTAATTGACCAGAGTTGCCATCTCGTTAAGAAACAAAAATTCATTACATGACTAAGTGATTAAGCAAGAACCAAAACATAAGGAGTTAGCCGCACTTGCTTTCCCTTCAAATTGCCGCTATCTTTCTTAGTCATTATTTTGGGCAGTTTCATTTTTTTCATTTACGTCACAAATTGCAATTGCAACTGCATTTTTTTTTTGTTGGCCGTTGATATACGCTGCCAACCTTCAGCATTGATTAACATTTGACTTTATAATTTCACAAACGCCAACTAAAAAGTCGAGCAAAAATCGAGCACTGCTACAGTTACAATTACAATCATACACACACACGCACAAACACACGCATGCTTGTCGTATTTGTTGTTGTTTGCGGGCTCCCTAAATGATTTGTATGTGTGTATGTTTTATTATTCTTGTCATTGTTGCCGCAGTTGTTGTTGTTATTGTTGTTGTACGTGACCTTCAGTAGCTTTGTACAAGTGTACACATGTACCTATTATGTTAATTTTGTATGTATGTATATTACGTCGCTTTTTATCGTTCATTGGAGTGGCACCAGAGTAAGCAAGGGTGAAACTACTTAAGCGGGTAGAGGTTGAGGGGTAACTTTAACGCCGTTTGTTGTACTTGAACGAAAATCTATTACAAAATGACTATACACACTACATAGCTTGCATAGCTAAGACAAGTGTAGATAAGACTTGATTGATTTCAATTTAAAATTTACAAATGAATTCACGTACCAAAGTATTGAGCAAAAATACTTTGAATATTTTTGCAACAGATAACTGCACAAAGGATTAACAGACGTGCACAAATAGAGCCGACTGTTAATAACATTTGAAATTGAAGTAATGCTAAAAGTATAAATTGCCTGTTATGAAATAAATAAATATTTAATGTTAACTGTTATCATATCATATAACATATCAAGTTAACTTATACTTATTAATCTCCTTAGTTAGTTAGCACATAAATTGGGCTGTTCTAAGATTTGCCAAAAAATTCTACTATTCAAAAATCTTCTCTGCAAACTGAACAACTTAACATTGATACTCTTCATAGTTAAGGTACTGCCTGCTGGCCTCCAGTGTGTGTTGTTTTTCCTAGCTGTCGCCGGTCTAGACTTTACGATTGATTTAAATCTCGAATAATGACTAATATTGTATGTATCCACTCATTGCAGGTGGCTTTGCCATGGTTTTTCTGGCACGTGGCAATGGCGGAGGCAGTGCATCAACCAACAAATACGCACTGAAACGAATGTACGTCAACAATGAGCACGATCTGAATGTGGCGAAGCGTGAGATACAAATTGCCGTAAGTGAAAATACATATAGTATTTAAAGAGTTGCTAAACTGTTCCTTTGTATTGCAGAGCAACTTGAGTGGGCACAAAAATATCATTGGTTATGTGGACTCGAGCATTACGCCAACTGGAAACGGAGTGTGCGAAGTGCTGCTACTGATGCCATACTGCAAGCATCACATGCTGGCCATGATGAATGCGAGGTATGTTTCAGTCTATAGAGAAATCAATTAATTATTCAGAGTATGAGTTAGTTCGGCTTGTCACTTTCTAATACAATTTATTTGTTGGCAGATTGCACGTTGGCTTCACTGAGCCGGAAGTCTTAACCATCTTCTGTGATATTGCCGAGGCCGTTTCACGTTTGCATTACTGCCAAACGCCCATTATTCATCGGGATCTGAAGGTCGAGAATATATTGCAAACGGATGCTGGAAATTTTGTACTCTGTGACTTTGGTTCGGCCACAGCCAAGACTTTAAATCCTCAACAGCATGGCGTCACTGTGGTCGAGGAGGAGATACAGAAGTATACAACGCTCTCGTACCGTGCTCCCGAAATGATTGACCTATATGGTGGGAAGAGTATTACGACTAAAGCAGATATTTGGGCTCTGGGCTGTATGCTCTATAAGCTATGCTTCTTTGCCCTGCCCTTTGGCGAGAGCACGTTGGCCATACAAAACGGACAATTTGCCATACCAGACAGCTCCAAATACTCGCGTGGCATACACCAATTGATTAAATATATGCTCGACACGGACATGGAACGACGTCCAAACATTTGGCAGGTGTGCGAAGTGGCGTTCCGGCTGGCGGGTAAAGATAATCCCGTGCAGAATTTGCATGTAAGTCCAGTTTTAGCTATTGAAGATTGGAGATTAATTTGGTTTTACTTTGTAGAAATCCGCTATGCCGAACTTTGAGCAGCTGTTGGTGCCTCCGTTTGAGTCGGAGGCAAAGCGCATCAATGCTGCAGCCAAGGCAGCCAAGCCGCAGCAGAATGTATCCATAGTGGAGGCTGGCACCAGTGTGGCGCCACGTTCGCGCCCCAAAGGCTCCAGTACAGTGCATGGCCAAAATGCGCTGGGTCTGGGTCTACCGCCCAGTCCACTGCCACGTCAGAATATAACATCGCCACAACCGCAGGCTGTGGTAGAGCAGTTCCAGGCAAACTTTCCAGCTATGCCGGCGGTGGCCTCTACTCCAGCAGCAGCACCGGCACCACCACCACCAACTGTGCCGGCAACAGCAGCTGCTGCAACAACTGCAGCGGTTCCCAAAGCTGTGAATAACCTGTTCGAATCGAGCGTCTATCCCGATCCCTTCAATGAGGCAGCTATTGCAGTTGCTTCCGTTGCAGCTGCCGGAACAGCTCCAACAACAACAGCAGCCGCAGCTGCAGCCACTGTTACCAGCGATGCGACCAGTGAATTGCCAGATACATCACTCAATGAATTGGGTCTAACCGGCAGCGTCGGCACGCCCACCAAGCACATGCTCACACCGCCCAAATCAAGCGGCACCGGACATCGAAGGAATGTCAGCGACACCTCGGCCTTTAATAAGTAAGTGCCATATGAATATCAGCCACATCTGGTTATATCTATTTGTGTGTCTGCTCTTCTCTTGCTTTCACTCTCAATGCACACGTTTGTACTTGTGTTTTCTCATAAAACCCCTAAGAGCAACAAATGACGACGATGAACAGCCGCAAAGTCAATAAAAAAGCATAAGATATCATGTGCTCCCTATTGGTTATACATGATAACACGCACAAACTTTATTACACGCATTTCACAATATTTATTTACCAACAACTTTTGTGTTTTACTGCTCCCTACATTCAAGTCTTCAAGATGGTTTTCAAATATGTGCTATTATATATATATATATTCTGTTATGTATATATATATAGTTATGGTCAAGACTGCAAGTTTTATAAATTGTTAGCTGCTCCATATTCTAGATCGCAACTTAAAACCAAGTGCATAAAAGGATACAAAATGCTAAATGTTGAGACTATACTCGTATACCCAAATATGTGCCTCTAGTTTTTATAATGTATAACATTCAATATTAAAAAACAATCAACATTTATTGGCAGAAAAAACCAGACATAATAATACTTAATCAACTTATGTACGAGATCTGTTCAAAAAGTATCTCGTTTTTTGTATTGCTTTGATATTTATTTGTTTATTTATGACTGTCTACGTTGGGTCCATAAAGTAATCCCCATCACAAAATATCATTTCTTATGCGTCTTTTCTAGACCTACAGTTATAGAAATTCATAATACTTTTTGAACAGATCTTGTACGAGCTAACTTTTTAGTATACTATATACCATATTACTATATACTCTTAGTATACCATAAAGCTTTTAGTTCATTAGAACTAATGCCTGAACTAGTTAGTTTCTTCTCTAAAATGAACTTTCATTAACTTAAAAATAATGAATAGTAAAAATGAACTAAAATTGAATTTTTGTAAACTAACTCATGGAAAATAACACTGATTTTTAAGTTACAAAAAATGCCCTACAAACAGCATGGCTCACAGTTATGTTAACGCTCTAGAAACTATTACAAGTTGAGGGTATATCTTAATCTAATCTCTATTCATATAATTGATTTGGTACGCTTTGCTATCTCTTCCCGCCCGCCTCTCGTGCATCTGTCATGATGGTCATTTCCATTTCCGTACACTCATAATTGCATTATTTTGTTGCGCCGCCGCAGAACCTTTGCCAACGAGACGAGCCAGTTTTTGGCGCCGTATAACAACAACATTGCCATGTGCGGAGATGGGCCGCCGAGTGCGTCATTGGCCAGCGCTGCCTCGAATCCGGGCATCTATGCCAGCAGCAGTGCCACGGTCACATCCCTGTCCAGCAACGAGCTGGCGCGTCAGACCATGGACAAGCGCGTGGAGGCCTGGAATCCGTTCGAGGAGGAGCAGCCCTTCAGTCAAATGACCGAGGATCACATTTTCGAGGCCGAGTTCGATAAGATACGACAGCGTGGCAGCCAAGGCAGTAAGTAAACAAATACTAAGCCTAATACAAACATCATCGAAACAATCTGTTCACCAATTTGTCAGTCAATTAATCAATCAATCAACCTTTTAAATACTCTATATTTTCGTGGAGGATCAATCGGTCAACCAATAGAGCTTTTTAAACCCGACTTTCAAAAGCCTATGTCAGTCAGTCAAGTAATGAATCAAGCAATCAATTAGCATGAACTTTGAAAACCCCGTGTACCGTTACTTTACGAATCTTTAAGGGTTAGGATTATGCTTTAGACATATAATACTCCACTCAATCAAACCGGCAAAAGCTCATGATTTTTCACCTTTCACAGGTATAACGGCAAAGTCGGCATCTACGACGTCTACGCTGACGCCCACGGAACAAAATTTGGCATGCGTCCCAGGAGCTGGACCGAACGCAACGGCAACTACAGCCTTAACAGCTCCGGCTGTTGTGCCGGCGGCTGTGTCGCCCAATCCACCAGCAGCGCTGGCTGAGGATCCATTCGGCTCGGCGCCGTTCAGCTTGCCGCCGGGTCTGCGCGAGAAGGCGAGCTCCTTGCGCAAAACTGGAGGTAAAGCATGAAATTTGTAAAATTCTTATTGTTGCCAAGCCAGAAATACGTTTAGTTTCTCGATTGTTGCTTTTGTTGCTCTCAATCTCTCTCGATCTAGAAAGTGAAAATGAATTGAACGTAGACGTAGTCTAAAATACCCATCCACAGTAGAGTAACAACAGCTACAACAACCACAACTACAACAACAACAACGACAGCAGCCGCAGCAGCAGCAACAGCAGCCAAAGCAACAGCAGCAGCAGCAACAACACCGACAGCAACAACAACAGAAAGAGGATTCTCTCTTGAGAGAGACTAAGAAAAAGACATCCTCATAGAACAGAAAAACAGAAAGTGAGCGAGAGAAAGAGAGAGAGCGAGAGAGAGAGAGAGAATGGGAGTGGGTGTAGGCGTGTGAGAGAAGTGGGGAAGTGGGGAAGTAGTAGTTTGCTTCAGAGTGCCATAGATCGATTGACGATCCTCATGTTGCGACAAACCTACTGTCAAAGCTTACTTAAAACTATGCTATAAAATCTATATACATATATGTATATATATATATATATATCTATATATACATATATATCCATATTTTTTGTAAATATTCAAAATGCACAATTACTAACCAACAAAAGTTTGGCACATTTGTTGTATATAGTATATTCTATTATACATATACAATATATATATTTTCTAGTATGTTGCAACAACAATTTGACAAACAGACAAAGCAGTTGATCAACCAATTTGTCTTTAACTATAACCTTAATCTTAACTTCAACTCCAATCTAAGCGCTTCTAACAAAAACAAATTTTTGGTGCTGGTTCTACGCTAGAGAAACAATTATTACTTAGTAACAGTAACAGAAACAGTAACAGTAACAGTAATATTAACAGTAACTGTAATTAGTGGTTGTGGTTTTATTTAACCAAAAACAATATTCAAACATCATTTCAATTATTATTGTATTGTAACATTTGGAGTATGTATGTGTATGTCAAATGGCAGCTAAGTAGAGTAAATGTTAACCAACAGTGCAGGCAATGTTAAGCCTGAATAAAATCCTATTGAAAACATAACGGCAAATGTTATGTACACGCGACTACAACTTTCATGTTAAGCTAACAGCGCAGACAATGTTAAGCTATTTCTGAACATTTAAGTGTTCTGTTCTGTTAACGTAAGCATAACAGTGCTTTGCTATGTTTACATATGACATAGCAGCGCACTCATGAGCAGTGCAAGCAGCAACTGTTATTTAACAGTTAACATTTCAAGCAGCTATATCAAAATTTTCTTTAAAAACATTACAAATTAGCGTAAAAAAAAAAACAAAAAAGAAATTGGATTATTGTTGCCTTTCGACATATACTGCATTCTGTTTTGGGTCTACTTTATTGTACTTTATCATGTGCTCTATTTCTGTGTGTTTTTGTAAACTAAATTAAGGCTAAAGAAAATATCAAAATATGATTATAAAAAAGAGAAAATAATTCAAATGTGTTTTAAAGCAATAATTTGCTGCATATCAGATTCGACAACAGTTTATTAAGCTAATTTAAATATATATTCAAGTCGTGCAATTCTAAACAACTTATGCTAAATTACTAAAGATTATAAATTAGGCAAATTTCAAATTGAATTTAATTAATTTAAAAATATTTTTTTATGCTTTTCCAACACTGCAAAGTTCGCGTTAAACTGCGCTCGCTGCGGATGTGGCGGCAATTGAACAAATGAAATGCAATGCAACAAAATTGTTAATAATAAAATTAAAAAAATGTCCAATCAATGCTAGACAATATATATATACAAATATATATATATATTTGCATAAAGTCCAATAGGCAAACAAAGATTAATTCGTTCCTGAAAAAGCGACCACAAAATATAAAAAATATTGTTTAATTAGCTGTTCAAAAAAAACCTGTTAATACTTGTATATAAAATTATTAAAGCAAACAAGAAACATAACTATTTGAAGAGTTTAAAGTATTATTCCAAAGAGTAAAGAACTAGATTTTAAAATTAAACAACCATATATATATATATATATATATATATATATATATATATATATATATATATATATATATATATATATATATATATATATATATATATATATATATATATATATATGAACAAATATGAAGCGCAATGAAAAGCAACACAAAAGTCAGGTAAAGATAGAAACATAAACCTAATTAGCAGCAGCAAATTAAACTTGCAATCGACAGATATTTATCTATATACACACAAGCATATATGAAAATCAATATATATTTATATATACACAAATGTTGAATGAAGAAGAAATTGTATAAGCGTTAAGCAGCAAAAAGTTACAAAAAAAACCGATTTCAAATGCAATAAACCAAAAGAAAAATAAAATGCAAACAAATTTAATTAGCTTAACTTAAGCCGCGTGCACTACAGTGAACGCTCGATAACATGAATTTGTTAGAAATGAACTGAATGTTCTACAATTGAAAATTCTCTTATTTGAGAGCGTTCACTGTATTTAAAATAGAATGGGATTTATTATTAACTATTTACTAACACCAAAAGGCTATGCACAGGGCAGCATTAATCTAAGATAATGACAAATATTTTAAGTTTCTTATAATTTAAGATAAAAATTATTGTTTAATGATCATATATACAGTATAGACTGCCTAATAAGAACAGACAATTGTTAATTTAGATAATTAATTGCTTAAATACTTCAATAGTTTCAGTTTTTCAATTCAGTTATGTGTGTACGTACTAGAGAGGCTCTACTGTATACTAATAGATTAGCCAAGAAGCCGAGAGGCTCTACTGTATAATAATAGATTAGCCAAGGAGCCGAGAGACTACTGTATAATAATAGATTAGCCAAGGAGCCGAGAGACTACTGTATAATAATAGATTAGCCAAGAAGCCGAGAGGCTCTACTGTATAATAATAGATTAGCCAAGGAGCCGAGAGACTACTGTATAATAATAGATTAGCCAAGGAGCCGAGAGACTACTGTATAATAATAGATTATCCAAGGAGCCGAGAGACTACTGTATAATAATAGATTAGCCAAGGAGCCGAGAGACTACTGTATAATAATAGATTAGCCAAGGAGCCGAGAGACTACTGTATAATAATAGATTAGCCAAGAAGCCGAGAGGCTCTATTGTATAATAATAGATTATCCAAGGAGCCGAGAGACTACTGTATAATAATAGATTAGCCAAGAAGCCGAGAGGCTCTACTGTATAATAATAGATTATCCAAGGAGCCGAGAGATTAGCCAAGGAGCCCAATAGTCCACTTGATATAGAAAAACTCACCTGTCTGCAGTCTCAAACTGTGTCCCAGTATAGATATTTCGTAACACTTGAAAGCTTTATATATATATATATATATGTTAGATCCATAAAAGCTCTAAGATCTAACTGCTTAAGATTCAGTAGATTATTTAAAGTTATATCAAAATATAACGAACAAACATATATAAAAAATATATCCTTTTCAGTTTTAAAATATTAAAAGTCTTACAGCTAATATTATATAGAACAAGTATTCGAATGAATTGTTAAATTCAAATATTTTTATAGCTAACTAAACCCATAGAGCATGAGACTATTCGGCTAAAGAGCAATATCTTTTCGTAGAGCAAGCCTGGAGTAGAGCTATCATAGACGAAAAACCTTTTCCATTAGACAGAAGTTAATTTAAATTGAAGATCTTTGGGCGCCCTGTGCATAGCCCACTTGAAGAAATGTATTCATAGATGATCGTTTAACTCACAGCTCCAAGGATGGCATCGAGGACGTCACATCTAACTAACCCACACAGCCACACATGTACAGATGCACAGCTCATAGATACTCACACACACACACACACACACAGCATAATGTCTATAGCATTATACATATAATAAGCATATGATCGTGTAATCCTAATCCCGGACAGAACTGTCCAATAGCCCAACTGTCAGCCATGTCGCACTCCAACTAGCCCGTAAACTCATAAACTGCATAAAAGTACTTGATCTCATTCACAGCCAAATTCATTGTGAACTGCTCGTCGGGCAGCGGCGGCACGCCCAGCATACCAACTGCAGGGAATGCCATCTCATCCAGTTCATCCAAGTGGCTGCTGTCGCCCACACTGGAGGAGGACAAAACGTCGCTCATAAGTCGCCTGAAAACGGATTCCGACGGCGCTGGCCTCGGCCTGCAGAGCGAGGGCGGCTCTGTGGGTACGGGATTCGTTAAGCTGCCGCTGGAGGATCGCAACAAATATGAGAAGCTGCGTAGCAACGATCAGCCCACGTCCGATGACTCCGACTCGGAGTTCTTTCAGCAGGACAGCGATGATGGCGGCGGCGGTGGCGGCGTTGCCGGTGGCAGTGCCAAAAAGGCGGCCATCTTCAAGCAGATCGTGACGAGCAACATACCGGAGACCATACACAAAATCCAACAGGTGGCCTATCAGAAGGTGGACAAAACGACGCATTTGCCCATTGTGAAGAAGCTGCGTCAAACGGCGACCACAAAGCGACCCTCATCGTCGGCACAGCAGGCGGCCCAGCAGCTGAACCTAATGGCCGCCGCTGTGGCTGCCCAGGCAGCTCAGCAAGCGGCCCAAACGGCAGCGGCGGCGGCCAATGCTGAATCGGACGATGATGCCGATTCCATTGGCTCGGCCAGCGATTTGCGTGCCGAGGATGATGATCTATTTGATGAGAATCCACGTGCCACCCAGGCCAAGCCCCGGCGCGTGGTGCCCTTGGACATGGATGGCATTAGCGAGAGCGTCAAGACCTGCAGCAGCTCGGCCTATCATGCCGAATGCGAGAGCGTCACCACGCACGAGGATGATGTGCGCAGTCGTGTCGTGGTCAAGGTGCGCATGCGTAAAAAGGATCGCTCGGCGGCGGTGGCAGCGGCCAGTGGGGACACCAATCCCGGCTGTGCTGGCAGCGGCGCCGGCAACGAGGAGCTAAGTCCCACGTCCAGCGATCTGCACAAATTCGGTGATCGACCGCTACTGCTGGACGATGAGCTGGACTACGGTTCGGCAGAGAGCAAGAGCAGCAACGATTCGTCAGCACCGGCGGCGAACGAACAAACTGAGCCCGAAGAGCTGGACGTGTTTGCCATGGCGCCCTTCAAGCTGCCCGTCGGCAAGCCGGCCAAGCGTGTGCCCAAGCCCAAGCAGCCGCGTCCGCGACCCAGCGAGCCGGAAATGTGGACATCGACGCCCGTCAAGGGTGCACCGGAGACGCCAACCAGCCAGGCGGAAAATTTTGCCAATTTCCCAGCACAGCAGGAGCAACTGCAGCCGGAGCAACAGCCGCAGCTAGATGAGTTCAATGAGCCCATATTCAATCCATTTATCGAGCAGCCAGCGATGCAGCATCAGCAACTGGATGATGGCGAGCAACGTGATCTCTTTGGCTCAGAGCCATTTCCGCAGGTAATACGCAAATGTGTTGTCGTTACGCCCGATCCAGTCCAGCTCCACTATCCCAACCACAACAACAACAACAACAACAACAACAACAACAACAATGTGATTAAAGTGAGTGCTGTTGCACCTGTTGTTACGATCAATCATTCGATTATAATTAATAAAACGCCCGAACCGTTGACCAATCACCAAACGAACAAGAGCTGCAGCAGTGTCTATGTGAATGCCATCAGTTCCTGCTCCTTGCCAGCTCCAGCACCCAGCACACAGCATGCCCAGCCGTCTGCAGGCCCAGCTTCAATAGCAATACCAACACCACCAGCACCACCAATACAGCCCGCACCACATTTGCAGCCACTGCTGCCCATTGCCGATAATGGTTTTGTGCAAATCTCTCAAGAACGCTGCTCGGATTACACGCCCGACGACGAGGAGGAGCCCGTGGTGTTGCGCTCTGCCCACCTGGTGGCAGACAGCGATCCGCCAGCAGCAGCGACGGCAGCCGCTGCCGCTGCCGCAGCCGCCGCCGTCGGTGCCACCACTGTTAAAGCCAAGAAGGAAAAGTCCCATTTGGCTGTAAGAGCTCTGCCAGCTAAGCTCACCCAAAAGGTCAAAGGACATGCCTACAAAAAGGTCAGTGCCAGCGCTTTAGGTTCCACCTCATCCCTCAGCTCCGGCAGCAAACAGAAACATCAGCGTCTGCAATATCAATCGCACGACGACGACGACGATATCAACGTGGTCGGCGGCTCAGCTCAGGATGAGAATCGCAGCAACTTTCAATCGAATACCATTCAGAACTCCGCCAAGACGGGCTTCAGCAATATGAGCTTTGAGGATTTCCCATCCGATCAGGAGATCGATCGCATGTCTAAGACGATACCGTTCGAAGTGGTGCGCAAGGAAAAGATGCTGCTAGAAGCCGAAAAGAAATTCGGGTCGCTAAAGCGACGCAACAATTTGTTCTCCTAAAACAGTTAGCCGTCTACAGTTGCGTCTGTGCTTATCGGCACACTGTTATCAGCACGAGTGGAAAATTCCTAAACAAACAAAAACAGAGTAGAGACTGAGACAATGTTTCAAAAAAAAATTGGTTAGATGAAAAGCTGCTGCTTTTCTCTCAGTGTGCATATTTACTCTATATTTTTATTATTATTTTTTAATTTTTTATGCGTTTCTTTTATACTTTTTATTAGCAGCTGCCACAGTTACAAACACACACACGCAAAGAACTTCCAAGCACATAAATATATATATATATATAAATATATAGACCATTTACCGTTCAGGCGCAGATATGTATTTTTTGAGAAAAGTATTTCTCTGGCTTTTTTGAACCCAGAGCTTAAAATCCAATAAGAAAAACAAAATAATAGCAGCTGATCTATATCTATATGGCAACAGATATAGACATATATATATATATATATATATATATATATATATATATATATATATATATATATATATATATATATATATATATATATATATATATATATATATATATATATATATATATATATATATATATATATATATATATATATATATATAACTAACAACTGTTATTTAGTGAGAATCATACAACAATTCAAATTGTAAATTAGTTTTAGCACATTCGCTCGATCAATCGATCAGAGATGTTGCTTTATGAATTATATAGAATTTATACGATTGCGTAAGTTTACCAAAGTTACATTTATTTGTTTATGGCATTTTCCCTTTGATTTGCTTTGTCAAATTAACACTATTATTTATTTATATATATTATCTATACATACATATATAATCTTTATATACATATATATACAAAACATCAATGTGATTATAATACCCTCTAACACTCTAACAAAATGAAAGAAAGATCAATTAAACAACAAAAACAACAACATAATATTTACTAACAATGAAATTCGTACTCAATTTGTTTATGAATATGTATTATTATCGACTATATATAAATTATCTATATATTTATATTTATATTTATACATATAAATATATATTGTACTCGGCGAATAAACTTGTTTCACCACAAATAAAAAGGGTATAAGCTGTGCGTCTTTTTTGGGCAACTACTGTGCGCAGGGCTAATAGCAACATTGTTTTGTACGTCACTGTAAACATGTAGCTAAATGACAGATGTGAAAGAGTGTGCCAAGAATTGAAGATAAGTACCGTACGATTGCCTGTGTTTCCTATTGGCAGTCACCCAAGTAAGTCAACAGCAATAAACAGGTCTAAGAAAGAAGATTAAAAATGAGAAATTATAACACATATACCGTTTGCTTACATAAACTGTGCCTTTAGCAAGTAGTGCTCATATATGCACTTGACCCAAAAACAACAGGCATAAGCCATAAAGAAAATGACAGTATACGATATAGGTGTGCACCTTATTGAGCGGCTACTGTTCATACTGAAAGCAGTAACATTTTCACAAACGCCACTGTACCTACGCACTTACGTCAACAACAACAAATGTAAACAAGAAACAGCTGAGCGAATGCGAAAGTGAGAATACCGTATAATTGTGTGTATAAGTAGTAAGAGTTGCCAGCAACGATAAATAGAATAAAAAAAAAGCGAGCGACGAACAAAACAACAAAACAGAACAACAAGAAAACAAAAAAGATATCAGCAAAATTCATAATCTCACGTACGTTCGTAAGCAAAAACCGTGGCGACTCTATAAGCACCGCAATTTGAAATCGCGTTAAATAGCGCTAGACACAGAAATATCAAAATTTTATTATATCGTATGCAGTCGCAGCTGTCACGTAGCACCAGCCGGAGCAAAATGCTACCCGACTTCACCGGCAATTGGAACCAGCTGAAGGAGAAACCTCGCATCTTGGTCAAATGTGGCGGCTTCTCCAGCCAATTGGCACGCAATGTTAACGAAAAGGTGGACGGCGATCCATTGTGGGGCTCACGTTTCGATGCCACTCAACCGCTCGCAGTGGTCAAAACCCATTTGGACTTTCTGCGAAAAGGCGCGGACATTATACTGACCAATACATATCAGTCGAGCGTGGAGGGCTTCATGAAGCATCTGGGCAAAACGCGCGAGGAAAGCATCGAACTAATTGCCAAGAGTGTGGAGCTGGCGAGGCAGGCCAAGACGCAGTACCTGGCCGAGTTGGCCACAAATAACGGGAACATTGGTCCAGATATGCCCTGGATCATGGCCTCGATTGGACCATACGGTGCACATCTGCACGATGGCTCCGAGTATGCGGGCAGCTATACGAATCTGGTCAACTATAGCCAGCTGCAACAATGGCATACCACAAGGATTGATACTTGCCTTCGTGCTGGTGTAGATGGGCTCGCGGTGGAGACGTTGCCCTGCCAGCTAGAAGCGTTGGCTGTCACAGATCTCATACTAACACGCTATGCCACAGCTCGCTTTTGGGTAACCTTTCAGTGCAAGGTGAAGATTGATATTCTAGCTTTTGCTCAATTTATGTAACACTTAGTTTCTTGTCAGGATGCGGCTAGCCTGGCACATGGCGAATCATTTGCCCAGGCTGCTTTGGACGTTTGGAATCTGGTTGTGGAGTATCAAGCGCAATCGCGCCTGCTGGGCATTGGCGTGAATTGTGTGAATCCCAGCCATGTGACTCCTCTATTGAAATCCCTGCTGGACATACTGCCACGCGATGAAACCGTTCCCCTGGTCGTCTATAGCAATCGCGGCGAGATCTACGACAGCGATCGTGGCGAGTGGACAGGCAACGGACTGGATGTCGCTTCATTTGTGCCCGAGTGGCTGCGTTTGGGTGTACGCATCATTGGCGGCTGCTGTCGCGTCTACCCGGACGACATACTTGAGATACGGAAATGTATTGATAACATCGCCCAGCAGCCGCAATCGCCCATACAAACATCCTTAGTGATATAGTCGCTATCTGTCCCTATCGCCTTCTCCGTCTGTCCCACTCTGCGTGTCTGAGTGTGTATTATTCCCATTCACTTTTCGGCCTAGACCCATTTATATATATATTTATATATATATAGAAATTTATATATAAGTGTTTCGAACTGTACGAAATTGTTGCTAATTAGTTAAGAACTAACACAAATCGACAGATTAAGCGAATTTATGTCATTAAAATGTGCGAAAAAGTTTCTATTTATATATATATTTAAACCAAGGTAACGTTTTCATTATCATAAAGCTTAAAGTATGGTTTTATTGATACATTCTGCTGCACTTGTTCAATTCATATTGGAATAAACTTTTCCAATAGGATTCTGATATACTCAAAGAGCAGCTAATGAATCGAGACTCCTATAAAAATCTGACGAATGTGCTATGTATTTATATATATAAATAAGACTGTTAGGGTAGGTGAAAATGCTTTCTGCACCGCCAGTTAAGTTGTCACGCTGACCGGTCTCTAACTGAGCAGTGAGTGGTTCATTCCCACTCTGTTCCAAGTATCTCAACTTTAGTCCATTTTCTCCATTTCCATCTCCAAGATTTCTGCTTCGGTTCTACACACATATAATTAGCTACTTTTGTTCTACTTTAAGTAACCTTCACTAAACCGATTCACGCTTTAACTTCTGGGAACTTGTAAGCAAACTCCGGTTAGTAATAGTATAATCTAACTGATTGCTACTCGCCGATAGATGGCGCTGATTTTATACTGACAAACACAATTCTTGTATATAAACACCTTATCATATAAGAATTGTTTTATATATGTGACACATACAACCATATCTGGGGAATATTTCAGCTTGATCTATACTAGTGGCTATACCACTTTTGTTTCGTTTTAAGTACACTCGGCGATTGTATGAGCCAAATGTCTGCCATATGTCCGCCTGTCAGGTTCACACGAACAGGTCAAAAGTTATCAAAGCCGACAACAGACGGCTTAATTTAACAGCTGATTAAACAATTACAACCAAATCAATACTTGCTCTATATAATAACTAATTGCCTGAACTTCTCGCCTCAGTTAGAGCGTCCAATTGGATATGTGTAGTATCCAATTGGCTGTGAATGCCCTCCGTTTGGTATTGCATCAGATATTTTAGCTCACTGGAGCAATGTGCCCGGCTGTTCAGATGTCCGTCCGTATGTCTTGCTTGTCTGCCTGGCAGCTGGACTCTACGCTTCTTATCACTAAGCCGGCCACTAGTTTGTTTTTGTTTGGCTTTGCATTTTTATTTTTGTTTTACGTTTTGTTTTGGCTTCTGATAAGGCAACAAGCTATAAAAGCAACCAGACGGCATTGTAAACCACTTAAACGCGCCTAGAACGTTCACAGCACAGCATAGTTCATTAATATATAGACACACACACGCACACGTTTATATATATATATATATCAGTGGCAGACCGAACGGAATTTAATAAAGCAAAGCCCACATTGTTGATCGCATCACAAACAAATAGAAAACAACAATTTAATCAATTACAAGATCTATTTATAAGCTTCCAAGGTGAGTGTTAACAAAGGCGCGCCTAGAGACGAGAGCGTGTTGTTTTTGCTAGCGTAGACAACTTAAGACAAGCTTTCAATTGAGCTTTAAAAAAACTAAGAGAGAGCCTAAGCCTTAAGTGAATGTGAGTGAAGAGTTGAGCGGGAAAAGGATAGGTGGGAAGAGTGAGAAAGCAAGCATAAAAGGAATAATAGAAGCGCTGAAGAGAGGGGTAAGCGTTAAAAGAGGCATGTCAAAGTAAGGCAAGACGAGAAGAACACAGAAAACAAATGTAATGAATTATAAAGGAAGAGGAAAGGATTAAAGAAAAGGAGTCTAAAGAACAGCGGAAATAATGTCAGGTAAAGGACAGAAGAGAAGACAAGTCGAGAAAAGAATATGCACACAGAAAATAAGCAAGTCTGGGGAAGGCAAATATAGCAAACGAAGGAGAAAACATATCATAGCAAAACACAACATAGAAAATAATGGCTCCAAGTGACTACAGCGTGTCACGCATTACAATGCTATCTATAGCGCGTGAGTGCAACCAAAATATCTGGCATAATAGAGATCAATTGAGTGTGAAGTCTTGTTAAATCTTGTTAAGTTACAGTGCAAGTTCATTGAACTTTGACGCGGACAAGGCTTTCGGGTGGTAAACAGCTTGAACTACAATGTGTCTATTATTATTATATTAATCAGCGAGAAAAACAAACAGCATAAAGTCGAGCGTTTAGGCAGATGTCAAGGCTCACACTGGGTGCAAAGAAAGCTCTGCAGCCCAGCTGGTCTCGGCGCTGTTGATAAGCACAATTACAACGTTGTAATCAGTGGCTGACTATACTATACACTGACTATACATATATATATATATATATGTGTATATATATACATGTAATTCAATAATACCCTTTTCTGCCCGCCTGTCCCAATCTAGCAACATTTAATCATGGGTCTGACGCGTTTACTGGTCAAAGATGGCGGATTTGGCACACAGATGACTGTCCATGTGGGTAACTCGGTGGACGGTGATCCGCTATGGAGTGCTCGTTTCAATGCCACCAATCCAACAGCTGTTATCAATACACACTTGGACTTCTTGCAGAGTAGGTGCAAAACAACTCCCATTAGCAAAAGTATAATCTAATTCGATGCTACTTGCCCATAGATGGCGCTGATATGATATTGACAAACACATATCAGACGAGCGTTGAGGGCTATATGGAGTACTTGGAGTTGGACGAGCAGGAGAGCGTGGAGCTGATCAAGAATACCGTGCAATTGGCGCACATTGCCAAAGAAAAGTACCTAACGGAATGCTATGAGGCACAGCTCGCAATACCCGAAGGTAAGCTCTATAAATATTGCGAGTTGCTTAACCCATAATCCCTTCTGCTCTATGCTGTCACAGGCTACCCTTTGATAATTGCTTCGATAGGACCCTTTGGTGCTCATCTGCACGATGGCTCTGAGTACACCGGCAGCTATGCGGACTATGTACCAGCAAAAACCATTACGGACTGGCATCGCGTTCGAATTGAGGCATGCCTCGAGGCGGGCGTGGATGCCTTAGCCATTGAAACGATACCCTGTCAAATGGAAGCGGAAGCTCTAGTTGAAATGCTGTGTGACGATTATCCAGATGTTAAATTCTGGGTAGCCTTCCAGTGCAAGGATGAAAGCACTCTTGCCCATGGCGAAGATTTTGCAGATGCAGCAAATTCCATTTGGGATTTGCTAGCAGAACGTAAAGCCTTAGACAAGTGCCTAGCAGTGGGCGTCAACTGTGTACATCCCCAATTTGTGACGCCACTCTTTAAGAGCTTAAATGGCGATCGCAATGTCGATGAACAGATTCCCCTCGTGGTCTACCCGAACAGCGGTGAGGTCTACGATGTGAACACTGGTTGGCAAGGTCGAGAGCATTGTGTGCCGCTCGAGAATTATGTGCCAGAGTGGACACAGTTGGGTGCGAAAATCATTGGCGGCTGTTGCAGAACCTATGCTCGTGACATTCGACGCATTAGCGAGGCTGTCCACGCCATAAACAAGCTTAAAAAAATTGCCTGAGATGGATACGAAGATCTCTGAGTAGAACGAAATGCATTTGACTTAGGTATTCATGTATGTAGATATTTAGTATGTAAATGAAAGTTATGTCAAAATGTTCACAAATATTTTTGTCATAAAAAATAAATAAAACTAAATTAATATTATAAAGTTTGAATTAACAATTTTTTCCACCATGTAACGGTGCAAAAAATATCGAAATTAATCGAAAACGTATTCTATCACCATTCAGAAGGAAGTTCTGTGTGTTAGTTAATTCCACCAAGTTGGCAGTACCGCTTGAATGACATTCGCAAAAAAACGCCGCGACTAGAACAAGCTTGCGAAAAATTATAATAAAATTAAATATATTAAATTAATTGGTACTTAAGAACGCCAACACACACACTAATACAATGCTGATCAAAGTGAAGGTAAAATTTAAATACAAATTTAAAATATTAAATAAAAGTTGCTGGAAGAAGGCCGCGCCAGCCATGCGTCAGCTTTGGCGGACAACAACAAAAAATAGACGGCAAACGAAATATTGTAATTTGCTAATTTTCTTTTCATATTTACTTAATTTTTATATAGACACTGACAGGCAAAGAAATTGAGATTGACATTGAACCCACAGATAAGGTTGATCGCATCAAGGAGCGCGTCGAGGAAAAAGAAGGCATACCACCCCAACAACAACGTCTCATATTCTCCGGCAAACAAATGTTAGTCTGATGAAACTCGAATTGAAATTAAAATTAATAACTTTGTGATGCTACTATTAGGAATGATGACAAAACGGCGGCGGACTACAAGGTGCAAGGCGGCTCAGTGTTACATTTGGTTCTGGCTTTACGTGGCGGCAATCATATCTATCTACAGAATTAGACTGGCGGTCGGCGTGTTGAACTCGTCTTAGTAAATTGGTAATTGGTGATCCATTTAAGTCATTTTCTACAAAGCCACTTTCATGTTACTCAAATAAAAGCCCTCAACGGTATTTACATATAAACAAAAACACACAAAAATGATTGTCCGCTGTTAAGATGTTGGACAGGGATGCCGAGAAAGTTGCTTTACTTGATTTAAATTTGCTACAATGTGAAATCTGAATGGATTATGGAAAAGCGACCCCCAAATTGGACTTCATTAATAACAGTTTAAGAACTAGAAACAATTATAAAAATACATATATATTTTGTGCTCTCTAATTGCGTACATAACGTCCGACTAGCAAATGATTCTTTGGCGTGCATTGTTCCGGCTTAAGACGTGTGAGTATCACCTGGTAGCCGGCCTCTTCCGCCTGCAGTTTGCGATCCGTGTCGACAATACACATGCAATGCATTCCCTGCAGCGTTGTCTCCGGCTTGCAATTGCTGGTGCCCAATTCATGGGCTTGATCCGCCGTATGCGCTATATACAAGTAGTCTTTCATATCAATCGTCTCTTTGAAGCGTGTACTCAGTGGATAAGTAATATGTGGCATAGGCTGCAGTGAACCGTAGCAGCAGGGGCAGCAAACGAAGCGCGCATTCACACGTTGACACTGCTGCAGCACAATGTCCGTAGCTGTGCCACAGGCATGCAACGAGGCGCCTATGTCGAAGCGACCCATAAAATAATCAATATTGCACTGATAAAAAACACAATTTCTCAGCTTTAGTTCGGCTGCGCGCTTCTGGGCGTGCGTCAGCGAAAACGCCTTGTTCTCCAGCACAATGACCGTGCACTGGGGCAGCTTAAGAGCGAGAAGTATGGCCAAATGGCCAGTGCCGCTGCAGAAATCAACAATACGATCGCCAGGCTGTGCCAAAGAGACAACCGCATTGGCCATATTCTCGAGTTGCTGACGCTTACGCTCTAGCCGTTTCGCTGGCAATGCTGAACTCTTGACATGCGTCGGCTCAATGCACTGCCAATCGATGAGCTGCTCCCCAAAAGAATGTTCTGAATCGGCAGAGAAATGCAACTGTAGCTGGGACAGTTTAGCCAATGCTGCCTCCACTTCTGCCTGACTGGTATAAATACGATTTCTCGGACGATAACGCTTCGGATCAGCCTTATAGAGGCTCGTCTCCTCACAATCAGGTATGCTCAGTAGCTGTGTGTGCTCCGCCGGAGTCACAAGCATGGGCACATACAGTTCATGTAAGATTCGAGCACAATTTGAATCGAAGCTTTCAATCTGCAAGATAAGGGATGAATATTTCAATGTATTTATGTGAATTGGAGCCTACGCACCTCGCTGAACCAGGTGCTGGTCAGTGGAAAATGAGGCAGCATCTGTGCGCAATGCTGGAAGACTAGACGCAGCAGTGGGTAGAGTATCAGATCGGCAATGGTAAAACTAATACCCTCAGCGAAACGATGTTCAATTAAGAGCTGCTCCTTGGGTATGCTGCATTCGATAAGCACACGCTCCTTGCGCTTCAATGGAGCACCGTTTTCTGTAAGATTGGCCTGCTCTCTAGCCAGTTTATAAATGTTGTGCATGCGCACCGGCTGATTCATGTGCTGTTCAAAACGCACCACCTCAACCGGCACCTCGCGCAATTGCAGCTCCTCGGCTTGCAACTGGCTAACCAGATTGACCACATCTACCTCACAGAAACGCGTCCATATGGAGGCCTCCGCTGGTGCCAGTAGGCAGCTGCCCTTGAAGCCCAACAGTTGACGCAAATGCTTGTTAGGTTGGCGTGCCACTAGCTCCCGGCAAACAGCGCAAGTGCCTGCAATATAAATATTTCCATCCCGTTCATAGATGGGCAGACGCAGATCCCGGAGGGCGGGCAGCTTGGCGGCATCGCGACAAGTGATATGCTGATCAGTCAATTCACGTCTCAGTTGGGAGCTGCGTAAAGCAATTTTACCACCGCTAATTTTACTTGCCACAAAGTTAACTTTAATATTCTGGGGCTCCTTGAGGTAGCGATATGTGTACAGCGCTAGGAACGAAGGCACGCTGGTATAAATGGTTGTTTCCGCATTCTGGGTGCTTAACTCAATCTCCACATACAGTTGATCCATAGTTTAATTAATTAAACTAAGCATTTAACTAAGGAGTGTGAAATTAAAACACAAAATCAATTGAAACACAAAACCAACAAATAAAAATTAAATCAAAGTGCGTTTGAGGTTATGAGCAAAAATAAATAAAAACAGCTGTTTTGCCAACAGGCACAAGCAACAGCTTACTGTCATTCACAAGTCAACGCGCGGGGGAAAATATTTGAATTGGGTCTTGTTACATTTCGCTAGTGTTTTGTCAATTTGCATTTCATTGTTGTGTCGTTGCGTAGAAATTTTAATACAAATAAATCATTGCGTAGTTAAATATGCAACCAAATAGAAATTACGCCACAGCTACCTATATACAATCGCACATTACTATGTATTCGACGCCAGGTACTTGAGCCAGCGGTCAACGTTGTATCAAGCCGAAACGCAAACGTTAGTTTAAATTGACCAGTTGTACGAGACAGGTGCGTGTTTTGCCTACCAAAACGTGAATTATAAGTGTATGCTAAAAACTTCTAATTTATTTGCCACCAATTTCCATTATTAGCCATCAGCTGTGCATATTTACAATGTGCGTAATTGAGTGTATGTGCGATTGTTTGTTTGTTTGGATATGCGCCTGCCCAGTGGGGAATGCAGTGCATTACAAGTGTTACAAAACATTGTATGGACGTAGCGAAACTGCATTTAAGTCAAGGCCACCAACTCATTCATTAAAATTGTTTTTTTTTTGAAGTGAGAACGGATGTGGCCACTTAAAAACCTCTAACAACATTATATAATTATTGTAAGCGTATATCAAATTAACTCTTTTTCTCGCTTACTATCTAGCTTTATTTGTAAAGCTCTTTCAAGCTGTGCTTTAAATGCGCAATACTCCCTCTAAGTTGAAGAGCAGAACCAGTTACTGATCTACTTGAAAGTTTTCGACCAAGGTATACCCTGTATGCCTTTAGTATGCCACAATGTCATTTATTGTCATCCTTTTCTTCTTTAAAATCTCTTCCGAGTGTAACAAAGTCAATTAAATAAATGCATAGTATAATTATTTATTCGATTAGATTAGTTTATATTGTGCCAGTCTATTGAGTGTGTTTTGTCCATCAATTGCAAGCACTTGTTAGTTACTGATTTGTACTATCTAAATTGCGACTGACACGACATAAACAGACTTTAATATATATACAAATATATGCATTTGTATGTATATGCATGTCTGATTGATTAACATTAAGTTCGATTAATGAGGTGCGATCACGACTTAAAGTTTATTTGCGCTACGCTCCGATTGAGCAATGTTGATAAACAAAGCAAGAGATACTATAAAGGCAATAAATAAGCGATAAACTAAATCCAGAGCAGATCTGTCTTTTGAGACATTATACTCTTTACATCGTTCCAAAGTTTCTTATATCAAAATGCTTTACATTTGATGACTTCATATCTTGATTTATCTGAACATAAAAATTTACTCATTATTTTCTGTAGGTCCTTTTGCCATATATCATTGATTTAATATCTTTATTTTATTCAGGTTTGAAAACAAGTTTTTATATGTTTCTGTAGTAAATATTTTATGTGACTAATGATCTCCACCCTTAAATTTTGTTTCACATAGATTGAATATTTATCTAACTTTTATATAGAATTTAAAAAATCGTATATCTTGCACACCTCATGGCCTCTGACACCCCCACACCCGTTTTGCAAATATTTTTTATACATTTTTTTAATTTTACCCCGTCTACTCATTTCTCAACATTCTAGTATATAAAAAAATGTTATTCGAAATAACTGTTGATGCAGTGTCCCAATTGCAGGGCTAAGATATGAGGCAGGGGAACAATGTAGCAAAGTCGCAATCAAAATGTAAACAGTAAAATGCTATAAAAAATTAAATAAATAACAAAATTAGCTGAGCAAATGTAGCAGGCGTGACCCACACAAAGAAACAGACTCACACACACATTGGCAGTCACACGCACTGTCACAAAGATATGAAGAAGATGTTGGCAACGACGCGACGTTGACGTTACCGTCGACTGCGACGTCAGCTGCTACATCGACTGCGGCAACGAACTCGTTTCAATTGAAGCGCTACTGTCGTCCCCTGCGCATCGTCCCTCCTAAAAAACAGAAATTCAATCATTTAGCTTTTGAATACAAAGCCAAGCACATTCCATAATATTCAACATCATCGCGTGTGTATTCTGATCTCTTGTCGTATATATCTTATTGTTTATTATTTTACATAAAAATACTCTGTTCTTAGTGTGATAAACAGTATATAAGTTATGCAATTTTTAGAGTTTTGCATTTAATCAAATCACGTTTTAAGGCACGTAAAGATCGCTTAAAAACGTTTTTTACTAGGCACAGAGTATTGAGAAGTCGACTACAAACTTCTTAAATGTATTATTTTTCCGTTGTATTCTGATAAAGGCAAGAACAGCAATATAGAGAGACAATAAAAATGGAGCAGTGGAACAATGTGGAGCTGACAAGCATTACCAAAAAATCATACACATTGAATCACGACTACGATGGCGCCCAAAAGCTTACCAAGGTGAATGAGAGCCCCAATGCAACGGCAACAAATGGAAATGGAAGTGGCAATGCCAATGGCAATGGGATTAATCCGCCGGATAGCAGTCAGGTGCTGCAGCCTGGATCGGACATCAAGCCTAAGCTGCAGCTAGAGCAGGTGGAGCCATTGGTGCGCCGTCTTTACGGTATAACAGTTAGTGAGTTAAAGGAGTTGAAGGCGTACGATGATCGTAACTATCTAATACTGGAAGATTGGTGAGTAATAAAAGTAATAAATAATGAAAAAACTTTATTTTAGAAATAATACAGAAACTGAAAATACAGAAACTCTTTTATTTTTACTCAAATGTTTTTGTTGGATCAATTCTATATTCAAATGTTTTTTTACTTGCCGAAGTGAAAAGAGTATCTTGAGTTTTTTATTAACTAACAACTACTAAAAACTTAACAACTAACTGTGGGAAGGAAATTCTTTAAAATATTTTTTTTTTTAATTTCAATGAGTACAGCTTAAACTCTAGACTGAAATATATAAGTTCAACATATGTAAATACTAATAAAAGAATTTAATAATATATTTATATATATATATTTATATACTATACTAATCTATGTATACATGTACTTTATTGTATTGCACATTTTGTAATAAGTTTACTTCGGTGAGGGTATTTGAACAAAAATGACAAATATTTACAGTACGCGCGGAAGGGGGGCCTACGCATACATAGACACACATACATATGTACACAAAGGTTTATTTATAGAAATATTAATTAAAGTTAGTCGTGCGGGGGGCAATGGAGCTTGACGCAGTTGCCGTGTGTTATTCTTATTGTTGTTGTTGCTGCTTTCGGTCACCTTGACATTTTTATCTAGAAACACGCTGATCACTTACCTTGGCACATCTCCTTTAGATCATATGACCAGTCGTTTCATAAATCATTCTAAAAACCATTCCCAACTACAGCTGCCAAATGCTACTACTACTTACAAAGCCCCACCTGGCATACTGAACTGCAGTTCATGTAACACTTTTGTGCCAATTGGAATTTAAATTGCTGCTTAGTAAGAATCGCAGCAACCTTAAATATTCGGTGATTCATTTAATAATTATCTGTATATTTTTTATTTAATTTTAACATTAGGGCAGTGTATGTGAGTACAGCCGTAGTCAGCTAGGTATTTTAATAAATTAATTTAAGACAAATTGATGGCACTTGACTAACATATAATACAAACACAACACAGGCAGCTTATTTGAGTAGGCGTGGCTTGTGGAAGCCGAACATGCTTAGCTTGGTTTGATTCTCACTGATTGGCACCGACTTGGTACGTCCTTTCGTTCTTGGCTTGGACAGACCGACGCGTCTGGCAATGGGCGCCAATTTTGGCTGTGGCTTTGCTTGCTCCTGGCTGCTCGGCAGTGTAACACTTTGGGTGCTGTTGTCATCATCCGAGCAGGAGGATAGCAAAACGATGTCTTCAGTGCAAGAAGCTGCTGCCGAAGTGGCTGTGGAGTTCTCTGCCTGTTGTGGAATGTTAACTTTGCCTGGTTGTTTGTTTGGCTGCTCTTTTTCCTGTTCCATTGGGTGCTCCTCTGGCTTTTCCTTTGGCAGTTCCTTTGGCACCTTAGCTATTTTCTCTGCTTCCAACGTACGCGGACTGAAGAAGCGACTGCGCACCTCCACTTGCTCTAGCACCGCGGTCAAATTGCACCGCTTGGCTGGATTCACTTTAGACTCCTCCGCTGACTTCATGGGACTGCACTTCTTGGGGCTCACCAGACGCAGCAACGATGCGTTTTCACACACAGCGAGCGGTCGCTGTATTGACTCCCTGGCAAAAGGATTGTGACGACTTTTACTCTGTATAGGGGAAGATGGCGGAGTGCTCTGGCTATTACTGCGGCTAGGGCTGCGTTTGCGTTTTCCTTTAAAGCTGTAAACGTTAATTAGTTCAGCCTCTGTGGGCTTAGCTTGCTCCTGTCGTTGATTTGCTTCGATTTCTGTCTGTATGTTCTGACCCACAAAGTCAATTTTCTTAAAGAACAGCGCGCAGCTTGTTTGCTTCATTTGTTGTGGACTATTCTTAGTTTCCTTTTGCCAAATACTTTTGTGATTGGAGCGTTTAATGGAATTTGATGATGCTGCCTTTGTAACACTCGGTGTAACCTGATCCGGATGCCAGCTGTCCAAGCTCTTATGAGTAAAGGGATTTAGATTGCCCAATGCTAATTGCATTGCCTTTTCGCTATCTGTTAGCAATGAGCCCGCATTGCCACAATAGCGTTCATCGGTTTCATAATCCTCTAGAGCGTAGAGTCTTTCCATGCGTTTCTCATGCGGATTATAAATGTACATGTGCTTGAACGTCGCCTCCGCCTTCATGAAGTTTTCAATGTAATCATCATCAACCTGCAAAAAAACAGAACTTTAGTATTTAATCAATTTTCGTAAAGCTTGCACTCACCTCCAAATTACGCATATTAAGGTACTGTGGCAGCTTTTTCAATGCTATGCGCATATCGTCCTGCTCCGTTTTAAGTATGAATTTACACGCTTTCGCCAGGCCAATGCCTGGCAGTGAGTCCAAATAATCACAGCCCGATAAAATGCACATGCGGCGAAACTTTTCGAATTGATAGCGTTCCTTCGTGCAGCCCATTGCCAGGTGAAACTTGTCTGCGTCGACAAGCAAACCGCCACCATTGAGATCTAACTTAAATATTACTTTCTGTGCACCAAAGAGTGTGAGATCCGAGTCTTCGGTTATGATATACTCTGCTATGCCCGCCTTGTTAAGCCACGCCATTTGTGCGTCTGCCTCGTAGGGCGCCACAATGCAATCGACGTTACGCTCGCGACACCTCTGTATGAGACGCAGCGCCATCTCGTGTGTCACATCGACACCACGACGCATTTGAGTGCGCGCCTCTTCAACGCGGCCCAACCTCAGAAGTTCCTTCGCCCGTTTCTGGCACTGTTGACGCGTTTCACGGCGCCGCTGTTCAGTCAGTGCCTTAGCTGGCAGGTGTTGTCCGTCGAATACCAGAATAACCTTGATATCATAGGAGATCAGCATTTGTACAAATTTCATGCAATACTGTACGTAAAGGTCCGTATCCTCGCCGCGTACAATTTTATCTGCACAGCTGAAAACGCCTTTATGCAGCCAACAGTAGCTGTCGACGGCAACGGTGCTACCTTTCAAGTCCTTTAAGTGCACCTTGGCTGATGCCTTTTCCAGAAATGGTATCAGCCCGGTTATACCCATCACAATTACTTTTTTATTACTATTAAATTAAACGCTGTAGCAATAAGTAAAATAAAAAAATGCCCGCCAAAATAAAATGAAAACAAGAATCGTGGGTGCTGCTTCATACTGCTGGCATTCACAACGCATTGTTCGTGTTAAGATACGTTTCCACGTTTATCAACACTAAATAATTAAATTTTAAAATTAATCCGTTAACTTTTACTTTTTCTTTTGTTTCAGCAACGTTAAAAATCCACTAATCGTTTCACATTCGCCACATGGCTATGTGCTAAAAATTCTAAATGCATTGGATTCTAAAAAAGAAGAATTTGTGGATGCACAAAACCAACTTCTGCTCTACTTGGGTAAACAATGAACACATTTACACAACTGTTGCTAACAATAATTGTTTCTTTTGTACTATATACAAAATAGCGAAGCAAAATGTGAAATGTCCACGACCCATTGCCAATGCACGTGGTAATTATTATTCTGTGGAGCAGATCAGCGGTAATGGTCATGTGGTGCGTCTGTTGGAATATATACCAGGTCAAATGTTCCATGAGGTTCCAACAACCAAAAATTTACTCTATCAAAGCGGCGAATATTTGGCCACATTGGATCGAGCGCTAAAAAATTTCACACACAAAGCTTACGATACACATAAGACCCTCTGGATGTTGCAATCGGTTCCACAGCTACGTGATTTTCTGTACGTACTCAAGGATCATCAGCGTAAGGCCTTGTGCGAGGAAGTAATCGAGACGTTTGAAACGCAGGTGTTGAGCGTGTTGCCAACACTAGAGCTGCAGATCATACATGGCGATTACAACGAACAAAATATCGTGGTCAATGCTATCGGGAAAGCTATGAGCGGCGATTCACATCGTGTTACGGGCGTTATTGACTTTGGCGACACCAGTCGTTCACCCTTGATTTTTGAACTGGGCATTGCCATGGCATATATGATGTTGCAGGCCAAGGACTTGGCTAGCGGTGGCATTTTCCTCGCTGGCTACACAGGCGTCCAGTCAATTAGCACCACCGAGCGCAACTACCTCAAGTATTGTGTGGCCGCTCGACTCGCCCAGAGTTTGATCATGGGCGCTTATACGCACACCCTTCATCCAGGCAATGATTATGTCCTGGTTACTCAGGCACAGGGTTGGCTGCTCCTCGAACAACTCTGGCGAGAAAGCCTGGATACTATTGATGAGCTGTGGCAGACAACAGCACATCAATATCTCACACAGAGCACTAAATAGGTAGACAACGAACCCATCCGCCCATTTACTAAAAACTATGTCAATTAATCGCAGAATGTGTCCAATTTGTAGTATTGAAAAATGTTTGCATTTTACTTTATTTTTATGTATTATTATTTTAATTATTATTGTTATTATATATCTTTTATAATTTACATTAAAACTTGTTAAACAATTAAATGTACAGATACATCTTATTTAATTAAAATTTTTAGTGGGCGAAAAATGTAGATTTGTTTAAAAAGAATTTTTAAGGACAAGTTGCATTTTGAACTAATTAATGGCTAACAAAACTACAGGAAAACTATAAACAATTAATGAAAAAAATATAAAACTGAAGAATAATGTTATTTGCAATATACAAGCGCATCGAGCGATTTGCTGTATAAAAACCTTACAAATTATAAATTAGATTGCTATATATTATAATCACCCGTCTACTTAGGCTAGTTAATTTAAGTTCCTAGAAGCTAGACAATTTACAGGGTATGTATGCCAAAAACTTTTGCCTACACACATTGCACAAAGAACGAATATACATATATATATATATATGTATGCATATACATATATATAATATATAAGAAAGGTAATCCAAATATAAATTCCGAATTCGAACTGCCATTTTTTTTCAACTTTTTAATCAAGTTTTATTTATTTATTTTTGCTGCTGTGTAAATTTTCTTTTTGGTTTAGAATGAAACAAGTTTGAGTTTTGGGTTCAAAAATTATAATTAAACAAAAATCAAGTATTGTATTGATTGCTTATTTGGGATCCGTAGCATCCGCTAAACAAAATGCACACAACTGCTTAAATACTCTAACTTTGCAATTCTATAAAAACTAGTCAAATGACGATCAGACTTCTCTATATAAACTATGCAATTTATTAGTACGCAACAAATCTCCTCTAAACATACAAACACACTCGCACACACTCATACAAATATATACCTGAGTAACGAATTTCTCAATACACAAACACGCAAACACACGCATACATAGATACATACATACATACGCAGTCACTCACACCTTGTAAACAGGCTGCATTTAGTTGGAAGATACGGATCCTTATAACAAATTATCAATACTCGCAATTCAGCACAAATTAGCCAATAGAAGTACAAAAAAAAAAAAGAAAAAAGTAATATACATAAGTTTTTGAAGTCTAAAATTTTCGATTTTGTTAAAGCCGAACCAAAACAGAAAACGAAAACTTTTCTTTTTCGAAAAGTTTTTTTTTTGAGTTTTCTGCTTTATCATTCCATAATTTTTGCTCTTAACCACTTTAGGATAAAGCTGAGATGTTTTTTTGCTTTTGACTGTTTATAAATATTTAACATAAGTTTTGTTTACGTCATTTGAATACGCTTTAAAGTCTCTATATACTAACGACTGTTTGCATACTTATTAATGATACAATTTAAAGTTAATCAAAAAAAAATATTTAAAAAAAATGTATATAGATTTTATATATATATATATATATATATATATATATCCGCAATGTGCAACGTCTATCTGTGGGTATGTGGCATGTGGCAACTGTACTGCTGTTACAGCACACTTAACGTCGCCTTTGCCGCTTTCGTCGCTTGAGGAACACATATGATGAATTCATCTCTTGATGCCGCGCTTCTGCTGCAGTTGTGGGCAATTTTTTGCTGGCCAATGTTGCAACTGGTACAGCCTCCGCCGTGAGCCGGGCAATCGCTGTCTCGCCGTGTACCGCCTCCAGCCAGGGTAGCGTAAAGTTAGGTTCGGTCTGTTCTGCTTGTAGATTAACAACATTCTCGCCGAACGCCTGAACAGGCACCTCGGTTACATAGCTTATGGCTTCAATATCTTCGGGCAGCGGATAGAATGTGGATATGGGCAGTGGCTCAAGCGGCACCAGCACCTCATCCTGATTGTGACGTACACGTAACGCCTCGCTGCGTATCTGTTCACGCATGTAGCGTGCATCGCGCTTCTTACGCTCTATCTCATCGCGAACGTACTTTTCATGCCTACGCACGAAATCTTGATCAGTCAAGGGTTCCGTGCCTTTATCGTCCATACAGGCAGATTTTCGGATTACCTTCCATTTTGGTATCTCGAGACTGGGATTGTCGGCGAGCAGCTCATCCGCTTCTTCCAGAAAGAATTCATTGTCGCAATGAAACTCTTGGTCCTCCCACGATCGTGTCGTGTATGGCTCCAATGACGATAGAAATCTGGAATTACTACGCGATTTGCTATATATCGTGCAATTGTTAGCAATTGTGCGCTTGTTGGTGTTATTGTTGTTGCTACTGTTGCTTCCACTGCTAACGCTACTAATAGACTGCGGCGTTAAAGGCGTTTGTATTGATGTTGTTGTTGCAACTGTTGGCGCAGTCGCTACTCCTATGGCTGCTGCTGCTGCTGATGCTGTTTTTTTGTTATTACTGGCGCTACTCGCTAACGTCAAACTGGGCGACGTTGCATTTGTCGGTGATGGCGCCGGCGTAATTGTGGCGCTAGTCTGAGCTATGGGTGGATAGATTAAGCTGGTGTTCTGCATCTGAGATTTCTTGAGACGCACCAGCGGCAAAGGTTGCTGCTGGTTTTGCAATCGCTGTTGCTGTTTCTGCAAATGCTCCTGCAGTTTTCGCTTGGTTTCTTCCTCAATGTTGGGCTCCTCCTTTAATTCCTGCTGTAGCTGCTGCTGTTGCTGTTGCTGTTTTGACTGCTTTTGCTCCTTGCTGTCACGTTTTACTCGTTTACGTTCATATTCCATCGGCTGTATTTCCTCTTCCGATCGGGGCTCTATAAGATTTTCATTTAGCTTCTCGTGCTCCAATTTTATTTTTTGCTCACGCTCCAGCTTTTCCTTTTCACCTTCTTCTTGGTTTTTCTCTTGTAACTTCTGCACCGTTGCATCCTTCTGCAGGTTCCGCGTCATCCCCAGTCGACTCATCCACCGGTTGTTCTGCCGCACCGCCTCCGAACATAAAGTATCTTCCACTTTTGTTTTCGCTGGTGTGGTATTCTTTGTCCCCGTGGGCTGATTGTTTTTCAATTTATCTGCACTACACTCTTTTCTTGTGACTTCCACTTGCGACTTTGTTGCCTGATGGTTCTCCTCCAGCTGTTGCTGCTTTTGCTTCTTCTGTTTTGACTGCTTCTCATCCTGGGTGTCTTGTGACGGCTTAATTTCCTTTTCCAGCGGTTGTTTTTCCAGCAGTTGTTCCGACTGTCTGAGCTTTTGTATTTGCTGGATCTCTTTGATTTGCTGCTGCAGCACAAGACTTTTCGCATCTATGTCTTGTCTAAATCTTGCCATTTCTATTTCTGCTTTTCCTTTTGAATTCAGCATCATCGTTGACAGGTTTTTATATCTAACATTTCGCACCTTCTTTGAAGTTTTCACATGCGACTTCGTTACTCGATGGTTAGCCACAGCGTGAAGCGTTGACGTATATTGGTTCACTTTTTGTGGCATTTCTGAAATTGTTTCTTCTTCTTCATAAGAATTGTGGGTGGCATCCATCCTCTCGTCCTCCTCCTCCCTCTCAACGTCCTGCTCCTCATCCACTTCGTCGTCATCCTTCCCAACGGTTGTTTGCAGCTTTGTGCACTGACTCTTTGTCATAGGCAATGTGGCTTCATCACATTTTTTCACTTGGAAAGATTTGTTAACAATAACTTCCGAACTATTTAAATATTTCAACTCATTTTTAATGATGTTAGAGACCTTCTTGTGCGGCTTCGAATTCGCCGAATCTTGCAACTGCAACAACAAACAGATAAAGATTAAAAAATACGACTCTTGTAGATATAGCACCGACTTACCTGTCTCATCAGGTCCTCTTGCAATTCCTGTTGTGACACATCCATGGCCATGTCTATGTCACCATTGTTAACTATTTCGGTGCCCATCTCAATCACGTCCTCGAAGATACGGTTATTGTAATTATGTTCATCGGCAGTCTCCTCGGCACCCAGTTCTTCCTCAGCGCCAATAATTGTTTCAGTCGCGACTTCCATTTCATGCCCTTCGGGCGTTTCATTACGCACCTCATCCTCGTCAATTTCCATTTCCATTTCTACTTCCTCCTCTTCGACCTGCTCCTCTTCTTCCTCCTTCTCATGTTCTTCCAGCTCCTCATGTTCTTCCAGCTCTTCATGTTCCTCCAGCTCTTCGTGTTCTTCCAGCTCCTCATGTTCTTCCTGCTCCTCATGTTCAAAATGTTCATGTTCTACCTGCTCCTCATGTTCTACCTGCCCCTCATGTTCTATCTGCTCCTCATGTTCTACCTGCCCGTCATGTTCTTCCTGCTCCTCATTTTCTTCCTGCTCCTCATGTCCATCGTGCTCCACATGTTCTTGGTGATCTTCGTGCTCCTCCTCTACTAAGGATACGTGTCTATGAAAGTCGTCCAGCTGCAACTGCTCTTCTTGCTGTCTCTCCTCTTCCTGTTGCTGTTCCTCCTCCTCATGCTGTTGCTCCTCCTTTTCCAGATGTACACGATGCAAAAAGAACGTTCTGACCTTCTTACCACCATTAAACTCATTACGCGACTTATTATTCTCCACAATTGGTGTCCTTGGTGGCAGATCTTTAACAGATGTCACCAAAACATTATGTGTTTGTTTCAAATGTGTCGCATGCGTCGAATAGCCATGGAGCTGCGTCTCTTGCTGCACCATTTCTATTGTCTGTGTCTGTTTGTCCGCACAACATTGATATTTAGCCTTGGGCTGTTCATCAATATCGATCGCCGAATGCTTGATATGCCTGCGAAACTCTTTACGTAGATCCTCAATAGTTTGGCTTAGTTTGGCTATCTGGTGCACTAGGTCCTGATTCTCCGCGAGTAACGTTTTAATGCGTCCATTTTGATCCTCCAACTTTTTGTCTTTATCCAGCAAACTTTCGTTTTGAGTATGCATCAAATCCAAATGGAGCACAATCATACGCTTCAATGTGTTGTTCTCCACTATCAATGTGACAACATCCGACCCGCTGCTGTTGCTCCCTGATTCCTGCATAGGGAGTTGAGTTAAACCACCACCACCACCATCGACTCCTCTGGGATGTTGGTGATGTTGCTGATGTTGCTGTTGTTGCTGCTGCTGGGGAGGGGGTGGCTTGTAATAGTTGTTGCCAGCGCCGGGCGCAATGGCAGGGTGTTGGTTGTAGTTGTAGCTATTATGATTGGTTCGTTTATAGATCTTGTAGGATGCCGGACGGTTGGATCTTGGTATATGTGGCCCACCGTAATTGGGTGGCTCCATGTAGCCACCTCTCTGCAGCCATTTGAAACGGTTATCCATTGTACAGTTATAAACGGCACACGCACAATCGTTTCTTATTTCTGTGTTCTATTCACAAAATGTTCATAGTTTTGTAATGTTTTGTTTTCGGCTTGCAGCAATTCACCACGGCACGCCAACTTTTGACAGCCGCAGCTGATGGACGAACACAGTAAAATGCGTAAAACGGATATATTCACCACTCTAATTTTTTTTCTGCTATCGCTTTTTCCCAGAAAAATGCGCGTTTGCAATGTTTTTGCGTGTTAATCACGTTGACGCTATGACATTAGGTAGTAACATTTAGTTTATTTTCTAAATGACAACTTTTAAAATACTTCTTTTAGTTCTTTTTTCTGTTTTTTGATTTTATGCGGATAATGTAAACTCGCCCGAAAAAAGCATTTTAGAAGTATGGCGTTACTAGTGTTGCCAGGCCGCAAGAGGGCAGGGTTGCTAAACTCTGCCACGCTGCCAACTGCAATTTTCACCACTTGTAATTTGTTGTCTGTTCTGTTTGTGCATTCAAAACTTCCTTTAACTATTTATTATTATAATATATTGCACTATTTTGTTATAATTCCTTGGCAAACATACAAAAATTATGTAACAAAGACCCGAACTTCAGGACACGAGTTGGCATCTTTGAGAAACGTGTTCAATTTTTATGCGAATGTCAATGGCAAGAAGCAGAAAAATGGCGGTAAACTAGCTTCTTGTTTTGCAGTAGAGAAGAGGTAAATTTGTGGATTTTAATGCATCTTAATGGCATCCATATTTGGTGAAGATGGGGTTGACGACCTGTTCAATGGCAATATTGAAAACGATCAGCTACCCAGCGATGACGAGGCTGATGCAGGCGAAAAACTGTTTGGTGATGATGATGAAGACGCGGCGAATGCAGCTGGTGAAGGAGAGCAAGCCGTTAAGGTGGAACCCAAAAAGCGCGCTATACGAAATCCACGTCCCCGCTTGACAGTGGATACGCTACGTGGCCCACGTGGCTTGCACACAATTGAACACTATTTCAAGGACATAAAATTTAAAGGCAAGGGTCATGAGAAAGATGATTTAAATGAGGTGTTGCGTCGCTTGCAACATTGGGGTCATCGGATGTATCCTAACTACACTTTCGACGATATTTTAAACAATATCGAGCGTCTGGGAAAGAAAAAGCCATTGCAGGTACACATGACACGCTATCGGTTGGGTCAGCTGGAGGAGCTAGCGGATCAGAATGTTGAACTGCAGAACAATGTGAATGATCAGGAAAATGATGACTATGGTGAACCATTTGATGAATTTGATGCGCTGCTGGGTGAACAAATTGCCATGTCCAAGTTAGCACCCCGGACACCGGCAATCAATCGCAAGCTATCCACAACAAACAGTACACTGGTGACGCCTTCGTTTTCACGTAATGCTATAGTATCCACGCCATTTACTGGTGCTGGTCCCACGATAGCTACTGATGATAGCATTCATGATTATGGACAACCGTTGCCACAATCGCAACCAGTAACTCCCGCTACGAAAAGTGCACAGCTGTCTGCCGAACAAATGGCGCGAATTGCAGAAAATCGTCGAATAGCACAGGAAAAATTGAGAGCCAAACAAGCGGAGGCCAATGCCGATAGATAGTTGAATTAAAAAAAAATTATTTCGTTATATTTATTTGTTAAGTAATCATACTATTAAGAAGTAAATTTAGATTCATATAGAAAGTTTGCTGCAGTCGTTTCCTATATGCTTGTATATATGTATCGACACCACTGAGCCAAGCTAATAGAGAAATATTGCTGAGAATCGATATATAGAATTTGTTTATATTATTTTATTTATTATCAATATTTACTTCTTAAGCATACTAATAAGAAATAAATTAAGATTCATATATAAAGATGTTCCAGTCGTTTCCTATATTAATGTAAATATACACATTATGAACACACGTCTAGGTGCTAAGTTGAACTAACGAAAAATACTATTGAATTCGATGAACTACAAACTAAAATTCCTAGCTGGGATGCATAGCTTAATCAAGGTACAAGCGTGTTTAGCGTGTGTCTGTGAATATTTCTGAATTGGTTCGGATTGGCTTTTTATGTTGTGAAACGCAGGGCTACGCGTGGCAGCATTTCGAATAGACCCTTTGCCCCCTTAAGTACCACAGCGACAATATTCATTGTGAGTATATCAGTATTAGGTAAAGATGGCTCATCTATGTTTTTTGGATCAGAGCTCTGTGCGATTGCCTCGTTTATCACGTGAAGCAGTCGTTGATAGAGAAACGATTGGCGATAGATCGGCTTAGACAAGCTAAGATGATCATCTTTGAGCAAAAAGAATTCACCGAAATCGATCCTCGACGACTCCTCCGTTACAATGCGCAGTGGGAACTTAAATGTGGTCAGCATGGTGGGTGATCCTTCCGCCACACTAAGGACACTCACGTGACGCAGGACTGTATGCAGGCAGCCCATAAATCGGCGATGCATTTCCAGCAATTTTGGGGCGTTTTCCTCCATTTCCTTAACCTCAATCGATGGCGACAAAATCATTTGCATATGCTGTTTCCATTTCGCAATAGGTGAACCACGATGCGGTGTACCCAGAAATACAATTCCTTGCGTATTTTTGGATATCTGGTGCACAGACTGTTCCAAGGAGTCCAAAGATTTCAGCAGTATTAGCTTAGTGAGCAGTCCTCCCATGGAATGACCAATCCAGACCACTGGCCGGCCATTTCCCACATCGGCGGTTGCAATACGTTCCAACAGCGAGCTGGCCCGCACATCTATATGACCCTGGCCCTTCTCACAGGGACAATACTTGGTAAAGTTAGCCGACCACTCGGTCACCGCGGACGTATAGTCAATGCCAATGATTCTACAATAGAGATTTCCATATGAAAATTTAAAAAAGATGTTCAGCAAAATTTCCGAATGTGCTAACCTTGAATCCGGATAATCATCCGGCAACCACTCCATGGGCCAACAATTTGTATACTCCTCGCTACTATCCTGATTGTTCCATTCATTGCCCGAGACACTAAAATTGCCACGACAATTCTCGTTGCCGTCCAGTGGTATATCTGGATGCACCACCTCCCAATCCGAATCAAGCTCAGACTCACTGCATAAAGTTTCCATAAACTCCTTGGTAGCCGTATCGCTGATGTTCAGATGTGTATCCTCCACTTTCTTTTTGCTCGTCATAAGCAAAGCGTCTGCGAGTATAAATATTTTTTATAATTAACGAAATAAAACAGAATTCTTTTGAAATACCTTTCGATTTGATACTTTGCTTGTTTGGATCGTTACTGGCTTGTGATTGTGCAGGTATTAAAGGTCTGCCCTGTTGTCTGTTATGTTGTATCCTACTTCCATTCCTCTTCTGTTCGCCCACAAGAAATACATCATCTGTTTCGCTAGTATAGAAAGCATTCTTGCCATAGAGTCCCAATTCGGTGGGCTTACGATCCCGTTGACGCCATGTGATAAAAACGCCTCCTAATAATCCATGTATGAATACAATATCCGCCTTTGGCTTGCGCCGGGTGCGAACACGTGGATGCAACGGATATACATTGGGTGGATATGTAAATTGATTAGGATCATCGTGATCCAAATTAGCCATCGTTTTGGCTGATATGACCTGGAGGCGCAGATCAGGGCATTGCTGCCATTCAGCCAGTACACCCACCCACCCGGACACAAAGAAGTGCTCCACGGCATCGTTCACCAAGGACAAATTGGCTAGAACTTTGCACAGTGTGGAAAGTGTTTCATTATCATCAGCGAAAATCTTGCGCAGTTCCATTAAATGCATTAAGCCGCCTTTGTGTACAATCTGTGCCGCAACATTTGTATCCTTGGTGATGTGATGCAAAAAAGAGATGATTTCCTTCATTAAATCTGTGTCCTGTACAGAAAGCGAAATTATTTGATCCTGCGTTAAAAATTCACTGTCTTCATTCTAAAAGTAAAGAGAGAAAACTTAATTAGTTTTTGGTTAATTCTAGAACTTTGCAATGAACTCACCAAATAAGCCTGATTGGGAAAGTATTTGCTGAAGAAATGATCCACGCAGGACAAGGGACGCAACCGATCTAGCATCGTGTGCAGCTCACTGAGCAACATTTTCGGATTGCGAATGCAGCCACGCCTTGGCACTGGCATAAACCAACGCATATCGGCACCGCAACGTGCCAGAGAGACAGAGGTACGTGCATCACAGATCTGTGCCAAATGCCGGAAATCCCAATCCTTCAGGTGATCCATACAGATAAGCTGCTGCACTGCCTTCAAGCGTTCCGCCTGGCTACCATTCTGGGCAATGTTTAGCAAACGCCAGGCAACCGAATGCTTTGCTGACTTCCACCATTTGCCGATGGGATTGATAATGACACTTATCCATTTCTTTTCGTCCTCCTGTTTTTGTTGTAACTTGCGCATGGACTCCCGATAAATGTGGTACTTAATGTAAATATATTCTGTGCGACGCTTGTCTGGCTCCTGTTGCTTCTTTTCCACATATTGTGATAGGTATTTTCGGATCTGAGGTGTCTCGTAGAGAATGATGCCGGCGCTAAAATAAAGTAAGTGAATATTTAAATTGATATATTTGCGTTGTTTTGTTGTTGTTTACTTGTTGTTGTTGACTTGTTTTATTTTTAATTAACCCAAATATCAACAAGCCAGAAAGTGCTGCCAATAAATTGTTGTTACCATAAACTTGCCATAAACAACAACAACTTTTAGTTTTATAAAAGTGGGCGCGTCACCAATACCAAGACACAAACAGCGCCACACGCGCCGACAACATTTTAAGAATAAACAACAATAATAATGATTAGTGTTGCCAATTTTTGAAGCCAAAAACAGCTAGTTCTGGTAAGAAAATTGCTAAAATAAGGGAATTTTTAAGCAATTGAGAACTTTATCTGTAGCTATGATTTTAATTATAGTATGGATATGCAATTAATATTTATTAATTTTAAATTGATTTACTTTAATATCATCGAATATGCTGCCAATTTTATAAATTCGCTTGAACATTTCTGTTAAGCGAGTTATAACACAAAAAACGCCAAACTTAGCTTGAAATCAGTGAGAAAACCAGCACTGAACAATAACAAACAAATCGCTGGGGGCCATTATTCGCAAAATCTACTGCGCACTATTGCGGCGCTCAGCACGTTTTGTTATTGTATACGCTTGCGTGTCGATGTATTGGTGTGATCAGGCAAGAGCCTTGACCAGCTGTTACGCACAAGAAGCAGTAAAGCAGGGAAAGACGAATAACCAACAATATAACTAACTCTATCGTGCTATCTCTTTTTGGCAAAATCGTACGTTTGTTTTGATCGTATTGTGTGAACATCATCAACAACAACGGCCGTTGGCTGTTGTTCAAAAAGTGCAGAATGAATAATATGTTTGCTGCTGTTGTTATTGTCCCTTACAATTGCTGTAAACAAATGACGTCATAGCTGCAATCGGCCGATTTATGGCGACAATGCGGAAACACGCAATTTATGTTTTTTGAGTACAATTACACCCAAGATATATTTAGATTAAAAATACAGGCGAATTACTTTTGTTCAGGGCCAAGTGTCGCCACTTTAGGTATGTGTGCTTGAATTTTAAATGACGAGCCCCCACATTTAGATGGCGTGGTTATTCATTCATTTTAATTATAAAGCAGTTGCGATTAGGACCAGCTGTTGCAGTTGCTTTCACTTACGTGGTCAAAATTCCTAAACTTCCAAGTAGCTTTGGAAAACGGCGTAATGTTGTTTTAATATCCTCTAATGACATTGCCTGCTGTATTTCTAATATGTTTGTATAGCCTGGCGAACTCACTAGTAAAATTTGTCAAGTAGTTGCCAAAAGTTTACTCTGTTTTTGTTTTTAGTTTCACACAATCAGAATTTAAATTTAGACTATTGTCTCAGACGGCGAACTTATCACTTTTTCACTTTTACTCAAATTGTAACGTTTTTTTTAACTTTTGTATTAATTAATAAGTCTATTAATTAACGAGTGACCCCTTTGGGGTCTAGAGTCTTCCTTTCTGGACCTTTTGTGTTGTGCTTCAAATTGTTGAATGACTGTTTTGTTTTGTTTCGTCTCTTTTATCACTTTTCGTATGCGCATGTGATGCCACACTGTTTTACAGAAAACACAAATGCTGCCACATCATACGCAACAATCTCGGCTAATCGGTTAATATGTTAAGTTTCTTACTCAATTGATACCACAATTATGTGCGGTTTGGATGTATTTTTTAACTTAATGTGCCGCTTAAGCAAATTTAGGATAACTTATTTTTGTAATTTTTCTTGATGAGTTTTAATCGCGCGCTCGCTGTTATTTACAGTTCGGCGAATGTTAACATCGCTCTCACTGTTCTGTGCTCTCCAATTAGAAAATGTGTTTGGTTTATAAGCTGTGAAACGTGAGTATGTGGCCTGCGCTCAGCGAGTGTGCACGCACTGGTCTCGCATTTTGTGTAAGCAGAAACTGTATTGAATTAATGTACAATAATGAAAATACATTTTCGCGAGCAATATGGCACAAAAGGGGAGGAAATACTATATGTGACGCCAGCAGGTGAGTTGATAATAAAATAACCATATTTGCTGACAATTATGCAAGCATCACTATTCACAGATCAAAGTAATATTGTGCGTGTACCGCTACGTGGCGATAAGCTGGTCATTCAAGAGAAGTTTTTGTTATTTCGTGTGCTGCAGAATATCTTTCTGCCTAAAGGCTACCCGGACTCTGTATCCGATGATTATGCAGCGTATCAAATCTGGGATACAGTGCAAGCATTCTGCAGCACCATTTGCGGAACACTCTGTACACATGCCATTCTCAAAGGAATCGGAGTGGGCAGTGAGAATGTGAATGCCTATTCGGCGACAGTGACATGGATATTAAAGGAAGGCAGTGGTCATGTGGGACGCATTATATTTGCCTGGTGGCAAGGCAGTCAACTGGATGTGGACTCTAAAAAATGGCGATTGCGGGCTGATTTCCTTAACGATCTAGCAATGGGCATTGAGATCTATGTGCTTCCCAAATATCCGCATTTCAGCACGCAAATACTTTGCGGATCCACCTTGCTAAAGGCTATTGTGGGCGTGGCTGGTGGTGCGACACGTGCAGCATTAACGCAACATCATGCGGTACGTGGAAATTTGGCGGACGTTGCATCCAAGGATAGTTCACAGGAGACTTGCGTCAATCTGATTGCGTCCTTTGTAGGCCTCTATATGCTGACCATGATTAAGAGCCAAGCGATGCTTTATACAATTTTCTATATTGTTGTTACGTTGCATCTGTACGCAAATTTAAAAGCTGTGCGAGCTGTTTGCTTACGCACCTTCAACGAATCTCGTTACCTAATTACACTAGAGGAGTTCTTTAGGTCGTCCCAGATGCTGACGCCACAGCAAGTAAGCTTTATCTTTATTTGCGTTCCAAAAAGGTATATCTAATGACTATTTAAATTTTAGGTCAATAAATTAGAGCGCGTTACTCTTGGCCAAATGGTCTCCGTATCACTAAAAATTCGCCTTGGCTTGAGCGTTAAGCATCTTATAGATGAATACAAGAGCAGCAATGTCATCGAGGATATTGTGTCTTCGTTCGATCCACATGAACATTTCATTATCGCGGAGAGCAAGAAGCACTTGGGTGTCTATTTGCACTTTGATACACGACCACAGGATGTCTTGAAAGCATATTTCTTTGGTGTATCCTATCTGCAGGATCGGAAACATATTAAGGAAAAATATTGGGATATACAAGGCAAATGGCAAGAGTTTTTAAGTCTAGCGCAGAAGGAGGGTAAGTAAAGACGGAACTAATTGGCAATTCGGATCTGATTCGATATAATCTGAGTAGTCCTAGTGAATATATAATGTTACTAAAAAACGTTTATAATACTCTCTTAGGTTGGATAATTAATCAGCATTTACTGTTGGTTGATGAATATCGTTTGGACTGGAAGGCTTAGAGGAGGAACTAAGTTTATTAACTGGACCAAAGACGATGAAATGCTAAGATCGCTTGCTATAAATTATGTTGAATAGTTATTATTTTGTAAGCTTAGTGCATTTTAACAACATACACTCTCACACACATTCTCACATATCTCACATGGTTAATAACCATAAGGCAAACGTTGATATTAACAAAAATTATTGCTTTTATACATATTTACATAATCTAGATTTTATATACAAGACAACACTCATGCGCATCTATCTCAACTATACTTAAAAACTGAAAAGTAAAGAATCATTTGAATATAACGTGAACATCTTCCAACTAATGTAACTCTGCCTTAGCACAAAGTAACGTTTGTAAACGATATTCAATATAATATTCAAAGAGTTCCCAAGTGGACTTTCTCTATTTGTATCTAGGCCATCTAAAAAAGAGACCCAAGCATTTTAAAATCAAACGATGTGCTCGTATATTTAATGAATACAATATCTATTTTTTAATAACTTACCACTTGTATATTTCGAGGAGGTACTTTTTACCAAAAAGGAAAGCAAAAAAAGAAAAGATGAAAAAAAAAACTGCGCAACGAACGAGCCACTTTAATTGCAAGTCATAAAGTTTGTACAAAGATAATTAACTTATATTAATTAGTTAAGCACTCTCAATTAGTACATTTGATACAAAACGTGTAATATTATTTATAAGCTTCGTATATTTACATATAATAATTGATTAACGTATTTATTTTGCCGTATACCAAGTCCATTAGCTTAGCTCTTAAAAACTAGCTTCAAAAATGCTTTTATATTATGCAAAAAGGTAGTCAAGAAAATAAATTGATTTTAATAGGGGAATAAATAAAGTTCTTCGCAATTTTATGCATTAATACTAAAATCAAATAAATTATTTTAGGTAGTTTAGCTAAGTATTTTCGTGCGACTAATTTGATGTTTGTAATGTGAACATATTGGATCATGCGTGCTCGTGTCACGACACGCTCACAACTCTATTAGTAAGTTAACTTAAATGTATCGATACCACTTATCGATAGCGTCTTCGATTGTTTGTCAGTTTAAAACAAGCACGTGCGCCTAATAAACGTGTTTTTGTTTAGCGAGCAGACTAACATCAATTTTGTTAACTATGGAAGCAGCACAGCTCGATGCTGTGTCAGCTACACCTACAACTGTGTCAACAAATGCAACTCCTGAGGAAGCGGCCCCAAGCGCAAAGGCTACTACGGAAACTGCGCTAACAGTAGCAGATGCTGCACATATTGAAGTGACTACCGAAAATGATTCAACACCAATTGTTAATGAACCAAGCACAAAGCGAACTTCTGGAAGAACACACACAGAAAATCCAGGTGTGACGTCAGTTAATGGAATGCAAGGGACACAAACAGGTGGACTTAATTATTCTACAATTGAGAGCAACGCATAACAATTTGATTTTTGTTTGTTTTGTAGAATGTTCTCTGCCAGCTGAGTCAGCAATCCAAGTGGAAGCAGACCCGTGCACCGAAGGAATAGATGTTAATTTGCCAGTAAAACAGACGAATGGAGCTGCTACGAATGTTGAGTCGCAAATTAGCACAAATGCTGTTAGTCTTCAAGGGGAACTGTCAACCTTGGGCACATCAGCTGAAACGGTAACTTGTTTGTCTACAGCAGCTGAAACAGAGCCGAGCAACACTGCAGTCAATGCTATTCCACCAGTAGAACCGGTAGCAACCAACGATGGAATTTGTGCACCAGAAGGCGTATATGTCAATACTCAGGTGGAGCTCGCAACTGATGTTAGCGCAATGGAATGTGAAACGTCGCCAGCAAAGAAGGACTTAGCTCCATCAGCGAAGCAAGCAAATGGTCTAAGTTTGCTCTCTGGCTATGGCTCGGACATGGATTCAGATGTAGAACAGCCACAACAAATAGTAGATAGCGACAATGATGATATTGTCGAAGTGCCTGTAACTGGACCCTCCAGCATGCGTCGTCAAGTTGTGGACGTCAGCTCGAGCAGCGAGGACAGCAGTGACTCTGACTCTAACTCGGAGGCAGAATATCTTACGGTATTACGCCAGAAAATTGATAAACGCATAAATACCGAGGATTGTGATGATGATGACGATGAGGACTTGGATGGTGATTCAAAACCGCGTCGTCGGCAGCCGCCCAAAGTGCGTGGGGAGATGCTTTTGGACGAGTTACCTCCAATTGATCAGCTTGAGATAACCGTTCCAGAGGATGAATGCATAGAACTGGGCAAGGTACAATCTATAGTGGATCAATTAGTTTTAGTTAGTGTCCTGCCCAATTCGATGCTGTTTGATTTGGACACTGTCCTCTTCCTGGAGAAGGGACGCAAAGTGCTTGGTCAGGTGTTCGATGTGCTCGGCCAGGTCGCTGATCCGCTCTACTGTGTTCGCTTCAATAGCAATCAACAGATCAAGGATCGCAACATCAACATTGGGGACATCGTCTACTGTGCACCACAAACGGAGCACACACAGTTCGTTATACTGTCCAAACTGATGCAGGTGCGCGGCTCGGATGCATCGTGGGAGCACGATGTAGAGCCACCAGCGCGCTTTATTGATTACTCTGACGATGAGGCGGAGCGTGAAGCACGTTGGGAGCAACGCAAGAAACGTCAACGTGATCGCACCAATTCCACAGACTCTGTGGATACGGTAACTACGGTGAATACAGAGGCTAGCGAGGCAGCGCCTCGACAACGTGGCCGACGTGCTCAGCGCCAGTCGCAAAACTATTCCCAGGTCAATCAGCAGCAACAGCAGCACCACCACCAACACCAACAGCAACACAGTCAATCACGCTCGCAGTCTAGAGATTCGGAGTATAACTATCATCCCAGCTACAATCCAGGCAGCTGGCACTCGAATTACTATCACAATTATCATCCACCTGCCGCCAACTTCAATATGATGCCTGGCATGGCATTTCCCATGCCCGGGCAGGGCTATGGCTATATGCAAGCACCACCACTGCCACCACCACCTCCTCCACCACATGCCTATGGCATGCCCATGGCCATGCCACCTCACATGTATCCAGCGCATCCGTCGCCTTATGGCCCACCCCCTCATCCACCACCCAATTAAACTTTGAATCGCTTTTATTCAATTTATTCCAATAAAAAAATTTCTTTAAAAATTGTTTGTTCTTTCGTTTTTATCGTTAAAATGCTTGAAGTTTTTGTTGTTGTATAAAAAGGTACTTAATCTGTGTGGGAATCTCAACAATAACGCTGATTACAGGTGTGTGTGTGCGCATTGTACATGTGGCTGGGTATATACATATCTATCAGTGTGTGTGTGTGTGTGTATGGGTGTGGGTGTACCCAATTGACAAACTCATTTTAGCTAAATTTTAAAAATTGCTTTTAACAAAATAATAGTTGATTTTTAAGCTAGTTTTTAAACGTTCACAATTTGTGTTAAAAAGTTTTAGGATCTATGATGGTTAAGTGGATACATATATATATATATATATATATATATATATATATATATATATTTATTTATTTATGTATATATGTATATATATATTTTAAGCCTACAACTATAACGTTTCTCTATTAAAGTTTTTGGCTGAACTTTAATTTGCCTATCAAATTAATATTTTAATAATATATATTATTTACTTCTATTTGTGAATTTTTTTAACAATATAAAATTGGCTATAAAAATTATAATTTTTTATTTTATACACACATTAGCATTAGTTTTTCCAAATTTTTTTTGTAAGTTTTAAAATTTTCAAACAATTTGCACTTTTAACAAAATTTTCATCTCTACTTTTCTTAAAATATATTAAATGTATTTATTATATGCGTTTTTTTTTTAAATAGATTTTCTTATTTTTTATTAATTAAAAAGTATGAAATTTCAATAAAAAATACAGTACATTTTTCTTAAAATAAAAATTGTTCAAATATTGCATATTGCTTGATTTGATTTTTGTATAATTTATAATATACTTTAATAATTAAGTGTATGCTTAAAATATATAATTTTTTAAATTTTGGCAAGGGTTTTGGATTTAAGGATTTTTGTTAAAATTTTGATTATCTTTATTCAGAATTTTTCATTATTTTCGATATTTTTACTAGTTATTTAATTGAATTAAACAAAAATTGCTCGCAAAATCGAGCGATTCGTTGGATTTTCGTTTCGTTTGTCAACTGGGCAAGTAAAATGTATATATATATATATAACTATAACCATATATATATATATTATATAGTTGCTTTATGTACAGCAATCGAATCGGGTGGAAGCACTTTGAGCTATTAAAAAGCGGCCAAAAACAATGTTAACTTTTTTGTGAATACGTTTTTTCGTGTATATATCTATAATATATACATATACACATATACACATATATGATATATCTCTAAAATGTATGTATATATATATATATATATATGTATATATATCTAATCGGGGCAAAATGTTTAGCTTATTCGAGAGGCACAGGCGAATGTGATTGAATCGAAGCGAGAAAAATTAAGCGAGCTTAAAGTTATTTACAGGCAAAGAACAATATTTAAAAAATAATAATAATGTAAAATATGTGTGTGGTAAACAGACAACAAATGCAGAATAACTATAAGAATAATCAATTAATTATAAGTTGGAAACAACATTTTTTTAATTGCCTAACGTCGAACGATTTGGTCGCGCTTCTTGAGCAGGATGAGGATGACGGTTATGTTATCCTGCGAATCCTTATCCTTGGCAGCCTCCACAAGCAATTTGGGAATGTCTTCGAGTTGGGTGGTCGGCTCCGCTAAACACTGATAAACGGTGTCCACAATGAAAGATTCGGGTACATGATCCCAGAGCCCATCGCTGCCCATAACCAAGAAATCATGCGCTTCACTCAACTGCACATCGACAAAATCGGGCTCAGCTATGACAGCCTCCAGGCTGTAGTCGCCAATGGAGCGACCCACATTCAAGATGCCATTGACACGCCATTGGCCCTGGGCATGGATGACGCTGCCGCCGCTCAATTCAATGCGACGCCTTTCATCCACAGCCTCCGGCTTGTGTGGCTTGACTAGCTGCAGCTGAGTGCGTTTACCCACAAGCAAAGCCTTGGAGTCACCCACCCAAGCGATATACAACTGTTGTTCGTTCACGATCAGGGCACAGACGGCAGTTGTGCCGCTGGTGATGCGTTTGCGGGCAAAACGTTCGTCCGCCTGCAAAAAAGCCGCCTCGAATGCATTGCGATAGAAGTCTACAGTGTTTTCCCCGTTCGTTCGCACTCGCTGCAATTGCTTGGCCAACAATTGGGGTATTTGACTGGTTGCATAGGTGGCGGATAACGCGCCCGAATGCCCATCGAAGACGCCAAAGAAACGGCAATCCTTGTGACCCTCTAGCTGATACATTTCACCAAAACGCTCCAGGCACACATGCCGATCTTCCATTTTGCGCGGCTTATTCTTAACAGCTGCTACACTGTGCGATGGTGCTGCTGGCTGTAAGGCGCATGCGCAGCTCGAGGCTTCGTTGCACAGCACATTATCGTCTGCATAGATCTGCAATTTTTCCATGGCGGCATTGTCTGTTAGCTTAAGCAACAGCTTCTCCAGCTGTTGACTGACAAACTTCTGTAATTTCAAAAGATCATATTGTGGCTCGCTGCCGTCTGCCTCATTCAGCTCCAGCTCCTTGGCATGGCTTATCTCCTGCTCTAGCTGAGAGGTGGCCAAATGAAGGAGCTTCAATTGAAAGCTGCTCGGACAGCCCCGGGTGGAAAGTTGTTTCCAAACGGCTGAAACAATTTCCGCTCGTATTTCGTCGCCATTTACTTTGTAGGTGTCATTGCTGCTGCGCGTTACACAACTAATATTTCGAGTTAATTCGTTGCCAGAGGTCAGTTCGCTGCTTATGGCTTTTGTGGACAAAAATTCTTTAAATTCCAGCAATTGCGCACATTCCGTTACTAATTTCGTTCGATCCGCGCCCGCGTCCGCGTCCATTGACATATTTATAATCCTTTTTTGTGCTCAGCTATTTGGCTGTTATGCTAAGAGTTAACCGCACTTGACACATGAGTTAAAATATATTAGTAATTGTCGATGATTCACCCGCGCATTCTCATTTTTTACGCAATGATTATATTTGTTTATATATTCTACGCAGTGTGGCTGCATCTAACAAACCGAAATATACCACGTTTTCTACTAAACAATAACAGTGATACCACGTAATTTTTTTGTTGTATGGTCGAATTCAAAAGAATTATGCATTATATAAACTATTTAAAACAGCTTCGTTATATTAAGAAATAAATCTTCATATAATTTATTTATGAGGGCGTGCTTGATATTGCTCGTGCGGCAAGATTCATATTTTCAGTTTGAATGGCAAAGTATCGTACTCTTGTTCTTCTTTCACTGCCGGCAGCACTCAGCTGTTGCTTTGTTTTGTATTAAAGCCAAATATCATTTAATTTAAATTTTTGTGTTTATTTTGTGAAATGTGTGTTGTTTGAGCACATGTATTACATTTGCACATAATGTCGACACCACTTGAACAGCAAACAGATGAGCGAGAAGCTCTGCAATCCATTTACGAAGGCGATGAAAATTTCAAAGAAATCAACTTGACCACATTTCAATATAAAGTAAGAGCCACATGCAAATATCAGTGCAAATATCTATAAATAAATTGTTTTCTCTTTAGTATGGCGAAGAGGATAGCTATAAATCATTTTTAGTGGAATTAAAATGGGGCGAAAATTATCCTGATGAGGCGCCCACGATCAATCTGAATACCTTTTACAATCGCAATCTGTGAGTGTGAATGAATTTTCACAATGTTGGTCATTTGTTTATAAACAACATATTACTTTCAGCTTGCCCGTTGTGAAGGATGCAATAGAAACAGCGCTTAACACAGAGGCAACTCAGTGGTTGGGCTGTGGCATGACCTATACACTATTCGAATGCCTTAAAGACAATTTGGAACAGCTAACTGCTGCACAGCCAGAAAGTGCGCCCGCTGTGGCCGCCGCTGACGACGGCGTTGCGGCGCTTAAGATATCAGATACAACGGCAGATGCTAAGCAAAAGGAACCCAAAAAAGAGCAATTGACAAAGGCGCAAAAGCGTCGTCAATGGGAACGCACCGATCATAAGGGCGAACATGCACGTGGCTGGGATTGGGTGGATATTGTTAAGCACCTGTCACAAACTGGCAGCAAAGAAGACGCTGCAGCTGCGTTGGAGAGTGCAGCAGCAGCAGCCGCTGCCACACCTGTTCTGCACCCGCTTAATATTTAAATGGAAATGTCAACTAGTTAACTAATTCAAATATCAACGAATTCAATCAAAACAACAACTAAAAGTCAGAATGTGATCTGAGCTGCTGCTGTTTAAGTCCATTAAAGCCGATCAATTTACAACACGCATGTCTGGTTATTCTTTTTGGACTAACGAGGCCAGCCACTTGGCCGCTAGGGTCAAGTCAATGGAAAATCAAATACTTTTTTATATAAAATCATATGTGTATAGCTCAGTAGCACAATGTTGATGCGCCGCGCCAGTCGCTTCGTACGTGTTGATGATGTAATATTTAAAACGAAATTATGTTACAGTTCTTATTTAAATTTCTATAGCATTAAAATATTGTCAGTTAATTGTAGACAGCGGGCGTGTCGAGTTCGGATTCGAAGTTTAAGCATAAATACCTAAGGGAATACTTGGCGCTCTCCCAAAACCAGTTCAAAAAATAATACGAGACAATAAGAGGCAGCAGGCAAGGTGCGTGTCGAGTTCGATATACAAGTTAAATACTTGGCGTGTGAGAGAAGACAGTTGAGTAGTCAACATTAGCTTATCTAAACAAATTTTCTACAATGGGCCACAAATTCTCTCGCCTGCGCATAAGCAAAAATTCCGTTGAGCACTCAAAAAGCGAAGTCGACTCAACGCTGCGTATGCGCAATATAAATGCAAATCTTTTAACAGCTCCGGGTAAGTTTTGTTTTTGTTTTTCAAATATTTGCTTTGTTTACGTTCGACAATGATAATGACATTGCATACTATTATTACCTAATGTCGATTTTACCTATTTTGTATATGAATGTGGCGGTTCGCTGTGGGCGTACGTGTAAATTTCAAAACTAGCTGCCTACGGTCTAGCCAATTATTTAACTTTCTGAAAATATATATATATATATATATATGTATATATATGTACACTTATATATATCTAGTCAGCACTTCAAGCAGTCTGCTTGCAAGCCTTATTCATCAATTCTACTTAAATAGCAAATGAATATTAAACAAATATCAAGCACCTGGAATCTCTTATTCAAAAAAAAAAAAAAGAAAAAACAAAATAAACGTAGAACAGCAGCTCCCAAAAATTATTTTGATACACGTCTGTGTGCGTATAGAAAACGAGGGTAAGCTAAATAGTTGGAGAATTAATAGGATGCATATGTATATTTTAATTTATTATATAAATATTTTTTTTAAAAAAATATATGCTTCTATTTACTTTTATCTTCACATTAAGTTTGCATATTATTTAGACTACCCTCGTATGTGCACGCGCATTCATTTATATTAAAATAGCTTTTGTATTCCACAGTTTGCTGATGTGCCAAACCTTTTTGAAACAGAAATGAATTATTTTAATTTTTTGGGAGGGTAAAACACAACTTTGAACATTTTTAACGCTTACCTCACACTTTTTCCAGTTGTGTAAAATACCTGAGAGTCAATCTTCTGCAAAGTATCTTGCATCTTTTAATATGTTTCTCTTTTAAGCTCAAATCATTTTGATCATTTTTAATTATAATTTATTAAGCTTTCTGTTAAAACCTTAAACTGCTTATCTACCCAAAAACTTGAATATTTGCAGGGTATTCGACCTTCGTGTAGATTTTTTTTTGCATATATTATAACTACTAAATAGTATGATAATACAGGTATTATCAGTTAACAACCAGTTTGAGGCTCTATCAAATAATCAGGTAAATTTAAGCTGACAAAAAAAATATGTGGTTTATCAAATAAGTTTGTTCTTTGCTCTAGACATGTTAAAATTAGACATCATCGGTTAAAAATAGTGCACAATACATTTATTACACAGAATTGCTAAATTTATTTCGCTACATGCAAATTACTTGATGTTGAGCTTTTGATGCAGGCCTATCTGAGCACAGATGATTCAATTTAATTGCAGCCATTTGTTGCGCTTGTGATTCAAGATTAAAGATTCGTCTCTCTGAATGTGGTCGATGACGTAGTCGCGGCAACAGATGGTGGTAACTTCTGCTGCCAAAGCAACGCCAACGGAGGAACCAGATAAATGCTTCCCGTTCATAATTAATAATAACACGGAGAGAGACACAAAAGAGATCTGTTAATGGCCATTTTAGAGTAGACTATTTTAGCGATTTTCAAGCTAAAGTTTTTACTTTTTTGTTTGCTGAGTCTGAACGACTTTTTTGCTAGCATGTAAGCCTGCTGAACCAAAATTTTAATAATAATAGTAATTTAATTTATTTTTAGCTAAAAATAGATATTGTTATTTTTATGTAATTTTCATAACGATATGATTTAGTTGCTATAAAGTCGCTTGTGTCTTAGCTTTTTAGCTTTTTTTCGCCTTTCCGCGTGCACAACACTATAAGCACAGACAATAGAAGAGAGAGAGAGAGTAACAAAAGAACGAGCAAGCGGGTGAGAGAGGTCATCATAACAGCCAGCACCGCCAGCAAATAAACTATCTCAATCTTCGATATTGATCAGTGTTATTTGAAGCGTCGCGCTGAACGGTTTTGATTTTGGTTTTTAAGAACTCGATTTCTAGTTCAAGCTTACAGCGCAGTTTCCGTTACGCTTTGTAGTCTTTTGTAGAGACGATGACCCATTGGTATCGCAGCTATGCGCCCAGTTGGCTGCAGCGCTGGTGGCAGCCGCAGGCGCCACACAGGCCAATAAATCCCTTTCGAAGCATACGACCCGGTCCTGATATTGCAAGTAATTACAATCCAGTGAAAAATTGGACATGAATAAATCTTATAAAAAGTGTTAAATATATTTTTTAAATGGGTACTAAGCCCCGTTAGATGAACTGTTGAAAAAATCATAATATTTCAGTGCACTGAAAAAAAGTTCTTTTTTTGAAAATAAATTATAATATTTTAGAAAAGATATTATAAAATACTATTTGTGGAAATTAGAAAAAGTGCTTCAATAAATAAATATAATGTCGGAAGGTCATAAAAATACTGTTGAAATACATATGTGAAATCAAAAATTGAAATATGTATTTATCTATAGACACTTAAATTTATTTATTTTGAAAATAAATCTATTTGGATTCCTTCAATTTCTGCATAATTTTCTATCAGTGTACTCAGCATTCTCTATATTCCACTTATTTTTATTTTTTCGCCTATGACTTCACGCGCTATATTTTTTTTTTTTGTTAGTTGTTTGACATGTTTCGATGTGATTTTTCGGCATTTCGCCTATGTATATTTGTATATATTTTATTTGGTTTTACACACTTTTATTTGTGTTAGTATTCATTTCCTGATTGGTTTTATAAATCAAATAATCATTAGCATGAATCATATAAGCGGCTACTTCTGCGGCGTCTCAGTTTTCTTATCATATTGCTGCCTATTTTAGCATCCTACGATCCAAAAACACTTCTTGGAAAGGTTAAACATCAATTGAATTTGAAATGCTTTAATAACGAAGGTCGCAAAGTGCAGCCATGTGGAAATGGAATTTATATATGTATATATGTATTGGCTGTATCGTATATCAAATGATTCGATTGGTTTTTTAAGATTCAAATAGAAATTGCTTTTATTGTTTTTTATAGTTTACTTTTTATGATTATGTTTGTTTTTGATTTTCGCTTTTCATTTTTTTAAAGTTTATTAGTTTTCCCACATCTGCGTAAATCAAATGAATTTTTTTTTTATTTCGCAACATAAACTTAAATAAATGCCAAATGCCATTTATAAATTTCTAAAATTCGATTCAAGAAAGAATTCATTTGTGATTTCTAAAGTAGCTAATGCATACATAATTCTATAAAGAGGGCAACAGCTGAACAACAGCTAATATATAAGCCAAGTACAGTAATAACTCAATAACGAGAAGCATGTTGAATAATATATAGGCAAAGTACAGCAATAACTCGATTAGGGGAAGATTCCTGACTAAAATAATATATATGCCAATTGAACAGGTTTTCAAAGCAGTTAAAAAATATTTAATTGAACAATAAATTAAAAGTATTTTAAATAATTTACATATATTTATATATATAAAGGAATAAACGAGGTTTTACTGTAGACAGTCATAGTTAGCATAATATATACTATATATACATATATGTATATACTAAATATACATATTTGACAATTTAATTTTATTTTTTATTTGTATTTTCTGAAGAACCTTATAAAAAGTTGATTTCTGGTATACAAATCTATCCGTCAGCAAGTGTTGTTTATGTTGTTGCAGCTTATACCCATAGATGATAATGATGATGATGATGATGATGACGATTTTCAGACAGCTTTAGGCATAGCCCATGCGTTTGTCTATTTGTTGTAGGCGTCGTTTATGTATCGCTCATACGCCCGATTGTCCACTATGAAAATTAATTGAGTTGGCATTGAACTTTTTGGCCAGCGTGCCGCTAACTTTGTATATTTATGGCCAAAGGCGATTATTTAAAATAATTCGTTTCGGCTGCAACATGACAAGCGATCAACTTTGCTTTATGAGATCATCGGGCATTGTTACTTGGTTGCAAAAAATAAAAATAAAAAAGGTTCACGATTCCAAATAATGGCGCGCTTTCTGAATTGGTTCATTTACAATTTGAGTTATCAATTAAAAGCTGTTTACATTTAGTGGATTATTGTTCTGTGATCTTCAGTTTGTGAGCCCAGTGCTGCAAGATCTGATTAATAACATCTGTTATTTATATTATTTTTAATTCTTGATATAAGATTTAGCATGTAACAAAATAAATTGTGCCAAGACAAATTATGTCTTCGCCTATTCCTTTGAAAATAAGTTCCAGTTCAAGTTCCAGGGCTACAAAAGCATAAAATATGTTAGTTCGCGCCAACAACCTGTTTAAATTTTTTGCAAATCTCGATATCTAAATTGTTAATTATGAATCTTAATTGATCTTTCAGATGCCGGCAGCTCTGCAGTGCTGGGCGTGCAGCGTGTGGATCTCTGCCTGGCGGACAACCATGACGAGCACCACACGAGTCACTTCTATGCGGCAGCTGCCAAAGAGGCGCTAATCGTGCGCCGAGGCGAACCATTTCGTCTGCGCATCTACTTCAACCGAGATTACAGCCCCAGCAAAGATGCAATTAGCTTCATATTCAGCGTGACGGATGATAGCAAACCGAATCCGGGGCATGGCACTCTGACGGCCTTAGTGCCGCACGATGGCATCGACTATCTGGGCGATCCATTGGAATGGGGCGCTGGCATCGAATCGCATGAGGGTCAAATACTAACGGTACTGGTGAAGCCACCGGCCACTTGTTCCGTAACGGAGTGGCGCTTGGACATCGATACGAAGCTATTGGGCGACGGATCGCGCAGCTACCAATTGCCACTACCCATCTATGTGCTCTTTAATCCCTGGTGTCCGGATGATCAGGTTTACATGGAGGATCGAGACCAGCGCAAGGAATATGTGATGCACGATACCACCTTGATTTGGCGTGGCTCCTACAATCGACTACGACCCTCTGTCTGGAAGATTGGCCAATTCGAGCGTCATGTGCTCGAGTGCAGCCTGAAAGTCCTTGGAACAGTGGGACGCATTCCCCCCGCCTATCGGGGCGATCCGGTGCGGGTGGCACGTGCTCTATCCGCTCTGGTGAACTCCGTGGATGATGATGGCGTGCTGTTAGGCAACTGGACCGAGGATTTCTCGGGCGGCATAGCGCCCACCAAGTGGACGGGCTCCGTAGAGATCTTACAGCAGTTCTACAAGACACAGAAATCGGTGAAGTTCGCCCAGTGCTGGAATTTCAGCGGTGTTCTAGCCACAATTGCACGTGCTTTGGGCATTCCAGCGCGCATCATCACTTGCTACTCCTCTGCCCATGATACGCAAGCGTCGCTGACCGTAGATGTGTTCATCGATGCCAATAATAAGAAGCTGGAGGCGGAGACAACGGACTCTATATGGAATTATCATGTGTGGAACGAAGTGTGGATGCAGCGTCCTGACTTGGGCATTGGACAGTTTGGAGCCTACGATGGCTGGCAGGTGGTGGATGCCACGCCACAGGAGGCTTCAGATAATATGTATAGAGTGGGTCCTGCCTCTGTGCTTGCTGTGAAGCATGGCGAGATATTACGTCCCTTCGATTGCGGCTTTGTCTACTCGGAGGTGAATGCGGACAAGCTCTATTGGCGTTACAATGGACCCGCTCAGCCGCTAAAGCTGCTGCGCAAGGATACCCTTGCCATTGGCCATTTGATCAGCACCAAGGCGGTGCTGAAGTGGGAGCGGGAGGATATTACCGATAGCTACAAATATGCCGAGCGTAGCGAGGAGGAGCGCAGCTATATGCTGAAGGCTTTGAAGCAATCTCGCCATGCTTTCAGTCGCTATTATCTCAATGATAACTTTAACGAGGTGGAGTTCAGCATGGAGCTTAAGGATGACATCAAAGTGGGCGAGAACTTCTCGGTGGTGCTCAAGGTGAACAACAAGAGCAATGAACGCATTCATCAAGCCAGCGGGCAACTCAATTGTGACGCGGTGCTCTACACAGGCGTTGGAGCGCAGGAGGTGAAGATCATGGGCTTCGAACTGGATCTAAAGCCAAATAGCAGTGAATTTGTGCGCATGGAGGTCACATTTTTCGAATACTTTGAGAAGCTGTCGTCGCAGGCGGCCTTCCAAATCTCCGCTGCCTGTCGCGTCAAGGACACTGACTACGATTATTATGCCCAGGACGATTTCCGTGTACGTAAGCCGGACATTAAGCTTCAAATTGGCGACGGCGACAATGCCAGCATCGTATCAATGCAGGAAATCGATGTTATCCTGCGTCTGGCAAATCCTCTGCCCATCCCTCTGCACAAGGGATTATTCACCGTGGAAGGACCTGGCATAGATCAACCGCTCAAATTTAAGGTGTGTTATCCAAGACTGGAAAGTTTCTTGAGTAATGCACAGGTTGCACTCATTGCAAACGTGTGACGTCACAATTGGGAAAGTGCATGGGTTACAAAATGCAAAGAGGTTGCACTTCTAAATTTGTGACGTCACAGCGTAAAGATCTATTGAATCAATAGTTCGAGCGAATAGTTAAGTAACTTGTTTCGATATTTTTACTTATTATCTTTAGATTCCTGAAGTCCCAGTGGGTGGCACGGCCGCAGCGACATTTAAATATGTCCCACCATATGCCGGCAGAGGCACAATGATAGCCAAGTTTTCTGCCAAGGAGCTGGACGATGTGGATGGTTACAAGCACTACGAGATTGAGCCGCGACCCGGCGATGTGCTGCAACCCAATGGCAGTCATCGAAGCAGCAATATCATACGGCGGCGCACGGATGTCATTCCCTGAACCAAATGAACCAGTTAAATACTGCAAGTCGTTTATTTTTGTATTTGTAGGTTAAGCTTGAATTTAAGTTTATAAATAATGAAAAATAAAAAAAATTATAAATTAGTTAGTTTCCTCATCAGAGTCCTTGGGCAGTAAGTCGTCAATACCAAGTGCGAAAGCAGGCTTTTTGGCTGTTTTAACCAAATATATACCACGCGCCTCCCTAGGAACTGGATCTCCCATTAAAATCTTGCTGCCGGTACAGTTCTTGCCCTTCAGCTCACCCAAAGTACTACAGGGCACGCCATAGAAGCCCTTGACACTATTTATGGACTCCGCAAAGTACTCATAGGAGCGACCGTGACTGCAACCGGCTGTAAGAACAGATTAGTTGGAATTATGAGGAATACCTTCATCGTACTTACTGAAGATCTGAGAGATCTCTGTGCAACCCGGCTGTGGGGGTCCTCCACCATTTGGGTAAAAGTCCACCATGCCAATGGGCTTACGAAAGCCCAAATAGCCCGCACAGCTATGTATGACATCCACAAAATTGGCATCTGTATCATCTAAATGATTCTCTGGCCCAATGCAATCCTCAAAGGCAGGCCGGGCTGGATCCAGTCCGGTTATGCGGCTAACACGATATTTTGTATAAGAACCGGCATAGCCCATGATATGTGCGCCCAAACTATGGCCAATTAAATGAATGCGCTGTGGATCCGCATTCTTTTCCTCGACCAACAGATCAATCAACTTGGCCACTGCCCGACCCACTTGCACAGTGTATCGAGCCGGTGTCAAATAGTAGATATTATCTGCCTGATCCCTCCAGTTGATGGCGAAGACATTCACCTGCCCACGCTGGATATACGCTCCTCGTATAGACTGTATGGAGTTGCTCATGGTGCTCGATTTCCAGCCATGCACCAAAATTTTGGTGTCCAGCTTTGGGTCGAACTTTTCGGCCATTTCCTGCCAGGTGTCGCGTTTATGACGAGCTCGCTCAAAATCGTTTTCATCAATCCAGAAATTAGAACTGATCATATCATTGGGGGCATCGCTAAGGTTTTTCAAAAATAATTTAAAAACTGACTTTTGTACAGAATATATGCAACGCAACTTTCTCACCTGCCATAATATTCGAACTTTATCAATTGAGGCAAACTAATGCGATCCTCTGGCGGCGGCTCGACTAGATATGCCACTTCTGGATTGCCATCGCCATTGGGCATATAGATCCAGGTCTTGTTGTAATCCTCTTGACTTAAAATCACTTCGCCGCGTATGCCAACTGCAAGGAGAACAAATATTTGCCAATGATAAAATAGTTTTGATTAGATTCACTTTTAGTTTGAAATTACAAAGCAGCAACACGGGTCGCACGACTTGAGCCAGTGCAGCGAATCCTGTTATTAGCCACTGGACGACCACAAAGGCGTTGGACACCTCATTACGGCAGGGATTGATCACATTACAAATGCATGCAAGTCCATAGCCTGAACCCATCTTGATTGCTTGTTGGTTGCGTGGCAACTAAACGAACATGTTCAAGAAGTTCTTATGTCTCGTTTTGTAATCCTTTTCTCCTTTTGAAAAACCAGTTTCTTAGTTTGATAATTAATTTGCAACGATACGCGATGCTGAAACTCTTAAATTAATCAGGTCAGTCACTCACTCACCTGACCAAACGATGGTGACGCACAGCCAACTCAACGCCAAGTTCAACATAATTTTTACGTGCTTTTTTCCTTTCGTCTCTTTGTTACAGTTCAACTAAGGCATTCGTCCGTTACGTTTGCGTATTTTATAGCTGCTCCGTTAGCGGCCTATTTAAAAGTGAGACCATGGCCAGTTGTCAATCAAGACTGGAGCTGAGCTGCCTTCCAAAAGTTGTATACATTGTATGTAGTTGAAGTTTATCAGGCATCGCCACGGGGATCAATGGGGTTAGACCCAAATTAATATTCACTGATGCATGCAATGGTTGCATTTGAATTCGAAATAAAAAACGACTTTGGTTCTTTAAACCTCACAAATGAATACGACAGGTACCCACTCATCTTCGTATTTGGTAGTGTCCCTTGCTCTTTTGCGACTTAGCAAACAACGGTACTTGTGCCATTAAGAAAGATGGCTACGGGCCTCCTTAAATATATGTATACATGCGTATATGTATGAATGTACGATAAAAAGACAGAGAAATATTTAAAATATAATGTTTTCTATAATTATTAATAAAAAGGGTACCTAAACCTTGACTTGTAGGCGTCTATTCGATGATACCCTACAAGTTATGCAGCAATGTGTTTCTTTCAACAAAAGTATGCTACGCTTTTTCACTAGTTGTAATAATGATAAATCGTATATATATCCCTGACATATTTAAATAAATTTATGTCAAAGCGTAACAAATGCAATAATATTTTAGGAAAAAAAAAATGTTATTTTGATCCTTTATTTTATTTATTTTCATTTTTTTTTGTTTTGTATTATTTAATTCAAACTAATCGCACGCAGTAACGTAGCACTCAAAGTTGTATTTAACGCTTATCGATATTTGTCATTACAGTATTTTCATACTTTCCATATACTGCCGCATTCTTTTTGTGCGTCATATTTTAGAAGCAACGCGAAATTCGCTAAAGTGGCCATTTCGGTTAATTGTTTAAGAATTCACTCGACCAATTAATTGTAAAGAAAAAAATTAAATTAAAAAAATGTCGGGCACTACGCAGAAGTACAGAAATTTTGTAGCTGAACCAATGGGCGAAAAATCTGTCACAGAATTGGCTGGCATTGGCGAAACGCTTGGCGGACGCCTCATCGAAGCGGGATTTGATAAGGTAAATATAAAATGACGCCATATACGCAGATAAATATTTTTTGCATTTAAGTTTTTTGAATTAAATAACCGGCATTTGACTTCTATTTCAAGGCGTACACTGTACTCGGCCAGTATTTGGTGCTGAAAAAGGACAAAGAGCTATTCAAAGATTGGATGAAGGATGTTTGTCATGCTAGCTCAAACCAAGCATCCGATTGTTACAATTGTCTCAACGATTGGTGCGAGGAATTCATGTAAATGTTTCAATATGTAAATTGTGAAGAATCTGGACAAGCAATTCGCTCGAGTGGGATAAGGAAATTTTAAACCATACGATAATATTCATTAAACTAAACTGCATATATGTTCTGTCAACAATAACGTTAAGCTATCATTAAAATGTAAATGTATATTAATTAGAATTGAATGAACTGGTTATCCATCGGGTTACGTATGATATGCCAACTTCCACTGCTAGTCTTTAATTAAAATTAAATCTGATATTTAAAGCGTAATATAAATATATTCGATAAGTGATATTGGTCAGACGGCACACAAGAAACTCCGAAGCAACAATCGATAACTTGGATTGTGATCCGATAAGTATTGGTAGTTGCCGGACTTTAAGAGAAAATAAAGGTGAATGGAATGAAAGCAGCTGCGTGAAAATCTAACAAACATATTTTAAAATATAGTCAAGCAGTGACATAAAGTGCAAAATAAGCAAAGCGTAACTGGCGCTTGCTTTATTGGCAAAAGCGCATAAGACTGCACATTTACTTTAAATTAAGCAAAGTGAAAATAGTACGGCTCTGGTGTGCGCTGGTGTGCGTGTGTGTTTTTCTTTGTATATAGAAACGTAAAGCGAGATAGCTATACAATCGCGCTGTTAATACAACGTGTATGAGTGAGCAAAGCATATGCATGTAAGCAGCAGCAACTCTGTTGTTTCAGAGTTCCAGGCCAAACATTTTGTGCGACGAACGGCTGAATCGACTTTTTGTGTGCAATGCACGACGTTTGCATTAATTATATTAGTAACAAATCGTAAATAACGCAATCATAAACAGAAAAACGTATTTATTTTCAGCTTGTGATTCGTACTCAGAACACAAGCTTCATTTGTCTGCATTTATACTTAAATGCCTGTTCGCGTCGCAGAAAACTTGAGTGTGTGTGTGTTTTTTTTTGCGTAAACGTCTCTAACCAAAATCGTAGTCGAAAAAAACGGTAGCAACAACGTTTCCTTGGAAAAATTTGTAAATAGTCAACAAAATTTTCAAGTAAATGTGCGTAATAATAATAGATTTAGGGAATAGTCGTATGTGCTGAAAACGTTTCAGTATGTGTGCTTAAATAGTAGTAAACGTCGTTGTCGTTGTCATTCAAATCAGTGCGATTGGGTGAGTGCGTGTGTGTGTGTTATGCGTGTATGTGTTGTGTTGAGTGTGTGTTTGTGACGTTGTTGTATCGTAAAATAGAGAGAAAGAGAGAGAGAGCGCGGAGCGGGGGCGTATAAGGTTCCGGTGAAGTGCGAACAAGAGAAAGAGAGTGAGAGAAAGGCAGAGCAAGCCGGGAGACAGGCCAGGCGAGCAGTCACTCATTTAAGCCCCGTATCCTTTTGCTTGTTTTCTGCTGCTCGGGAAAAATTCAATGACCTCATTTGTCTTACGTCTGGCCATTTCTGTTCTGTCTTTTCCTAAAACAGGACCAATAGAAACAGCCATCTAAAAAATAACACTCGAGGGCAAGCTTTAAGAACCAGACCAATTACCGTGTCCAGCGCCATCGAGTGAATTATTTTGGAATTCAAAAACTAGGATCGGGAGAAAACATATTCTACAACACAATACAACAGAAAACTACAATAACGGATTGCAGTGACTGTCACAAAGGAGCCAGAATTCGAGCATCTGGCAACGCTAAGCAACACAAACTGCGAGCAGGAGTAGGAGCAGCGGATCCAGCGTCGAGCCACAACAACAACAAAAACAACACCAACAACAAATGGGAACCAATTCGGGAGCCACCGCTGGCATCAATAACAAGCCGGTCGGTGGCGCAGCCGTCCTGGGCGTTGGTGTTGCGAATTCCGCTATCGGCGGCGGTGTACTATCCAACAGTTTAGGCAGCGGTGGAGGCGGTGGCCTCAGTATCAGCGGCTTGGGTGGACAGAATGCGAATGTGGGCAGCTTAGTCGGCGGCATGGGCGGTGCTGGTGGTGGCACTGGCAATAACGGCAGCGACGATAGTATGGGCGGACCCGGCGGTGGACCTAATAATCAGCAGGCAACCACACCGCAATACACAATTCCGGGCATATTGCATTTCATACAACATGAATGGTCGAGGTTTGAATTGGAGCGCTCACAATGGGACGTCGACAGGGCCGAGCTGCAGGTGAGTTGGTTGCTTATCCTTAAAGCTCACTTTCCATTTCAATGGGTTTTTCTTTGAATGAGTTTACCTGCCAGCGCACAGCTGTATCTAATTTGTTTTGTAATCAAATTTATGCTCTGTTTGCTTCAGCGTTGCAACGTTATTCACAATATTTATTTAGCTTAGCATAAAAGTATTATTATATAGGAAAAACATTTATCCATTAACAATCAGACTGTGAAACAATTTTTTAATGTTTTACATTTTATTTTATATTATACGCCATATTTTATTGTTTATATACCATATTAGTCATTTGTATATTTACATACTGATTGCCTATAGATGCATCAACCGTTACGCCTTTGGTAATTTTAATTTAACTAAGTGCACATATAGCAAAGTATTTATTAAAAAAAAACATTTAGCAAGAGGCGGAATTTCCAGGAAATGCACAAAATTACTCAATTTTATAATTACATGCTGATCGCCTATCGATGGGCTTAACTCTACCCCCCATACTCTCTCGCTTTCACCCGTATAATGCACAAGCAGCTGGAAACGTACTATCGTTATCGATACTACGCAGCATCGATGCGCTCAGTGTACATTCCGTTACGCTCTGATAAACAAGTGACATTCAAAACGTCACTGCACTGGAAACAAGTTGGCGACGACGCTGACTCTGCATTTTACCTACACAACACACCGCACACATTTGTCGCAAACATTTATGTTTATGAACCTGTTCGCCTTGTTTGTCTTTTGCCAAAATCACAAAAAAAAATTATATGAAAATGAACCAGAGAGTGGGCAGTGACTAGACGACGGCGCCCATATCCAGCAGCAGCGGCAGCCACCACATTGGAAGCCATTTTAGCGCGTTTGCATACACACATCCACATGTATGCATACAGATATAGTTGTATATGTGTGTGTCGTGTGCGCCGGTCTCTACACGATGTGTGTGTCTATTTCTGGCTTGCGGCTGTTTGTGTGTCAGTGTCAGTGCTGCACATGCAACGTCCTTGTGTTTGTGCCGGGCCTGGTTCATTGTACAATCTATAGACTTCCCGCTGCCGCCGGTGCTGTTGTCGTTGCGTCCATTGGAATCGATGGCAAATGCCGTCAAGCCAGCTGTTAATTAGTCTATTTGTTTTGCATTTGACGAATGGCCGTTTTGATGAAAACGATTAGTATATAAAAAAACACGTAATTTCCTATCTGCATACATATGTATTTATATATATTTTATTTTACGTTTTATTTTTTATTCTCGATATGTCTTAGAGCTTATGATATATATACATTTTGTTAACTAATTGTACTCGATTAGTCTGATACTCTGTCTAGAAAATGGGCGCGCGCTTACCATTAGTACATAAAAAGGGAAATGAAGATCATGACTATGAATGAGTCTTTTAATGTTTTTTATTTATTTAGAAATATTTTTAATTTTCCATTGAAGAATTTCCTTATGTTCCTTAAATTCCTTGTGCTGATGATCGTGTTACAAAAGCAATCAGAAATACTTCATGCCTTAACTACAATTTCCGCAAATACCAAAAGCAAATTCATTATTCAACATTTATTTTGTACCAACAAATGACTGTTGCTTTGCTATTTGTATTTCTATGAAAAGAACTAGCAAAAAAAAAAATAAATAAATAAATATTCGCCACCTGCCGCCCACATATTTTACCCTGTCGGCGTCATCATCATCGCCATTGCATGTCGCTGGGTAATTTAAAAAGTGCTTGGCATTAGTACACACACGTATAAATACATACTAGCCCATTGGGATGTGGTGTTGTTGCAGTTGGTAGACTATTGTGGCTAAAATGTGGCTGTGTGCGCTTTTGTCACTTTTTGCATTGGCCACCTTTTTTTTCATTCAGCAGCTTTCAACACTGGCACGCGAACAGCATTCTAACATTTTGCTGGTAAATGCGTGCTTTAATTAGCGACTGTGCCAAATGAAATGCCATTGAATGTTAATTCAAATGCAGAACATGTTTCCATTAACAGCAACACCAACAGCATCAGCAACAGCAATAACAATAGCAGCAGCAGCCGCCGCCGCAGCAGCAACTAAACAAGAATGAAACAAATTGTGTATAAAATCAAATGGCGGCACAGTTACGTTACGTGCTCTCTCCGTCTCTCTCACTCTCTGACCATTACTTCAAATCGGCTGCTCTCTTTGCTGCTCTCATGCGCTGCGGCTGCCTCTGTTATTAGCATGTATAAATTGTTATTGTTGTTGCCTTTGGGGCGCACACCCATTGAGAGCTGGCCAATTCTCTCTGTGTGAGAGTGTGTGTGTACCTCCCCTTTTAAGTTGTGAGGTAGACCAATTGAATGAGTGTGCGGAAGAGGAAGTAAGCAAAAGTATATATTTTTTTTGCTTTGTATCGACGTTACGCACCTATCAGTCCTTTTTCTCGTTATTCTCCTGTTCATGTTACCGTTGTTGCCTAGTATTTCCCTTCATCTCCCTTCTCTTTATTGCAATATACTGCGTAGAAATATATGCTACAGAACCTAACATAGCTGTTCCACTTATGGATTAGGAGGGGGTAATAGTGTTTTAATATTTCAGCTTCGCATATTTGACGCAGTAGCGGTAAACATTGCGGATTTCACTCTAGCTCCCATTCCCTATCCTTTTCACTGCTGAAAAACAATTAGTGCAGCAAGTCTGTAATGTTATATTACAATTAATTGAATTTAATTGTTTTTCGTTCGTTGTGCTGTGGTGCAACGAAGCGTCAATTATAAGACCAATCCAGCGTCGCGCCAAACGCAGCAATTGAAATGCAACAAGACGCATACATCATCACTTTACACACTGATACCCATACGCATATATACATATATATTTAATGGGGAGCATATGAAAGCTTTCAAGCTTTACATTAATGAAAATTGATTATACCCCAATGCAACATATGGGGTATTCGTATTCATATATATGTACATGTTAATATGTAATGTTCACAGTAGAAGCCCAATATTCATATGTTACCGTTAGTATTAACTTCTTAGATTTAAATTATAAATCAATTATTTTAAATTTGATTAAAATGTTATCTTTTTTATAGGCGCGCATCGCGATGTTGCTGGGCGAACGTAAATGCTTAGAGAGCCTCAAATCTGATCTGACGCGACGCATCAAGATGCTGGAGTATGCGCTGCGTCAGGAGCGAGCGAAATTCTATCGATTAAAATACGGCACTGATCCGCCGCAATTGAACGAGTTCAAACCGACATCGAATGATGATGGCGGCATCGGTACCGACGTGGCCACCGATTCGGAAGTGCCCTACAGCTCTGTGTCTAACACCACGTGGCGACAAGGCAGGCAAATGTTGCGTCAATATCTAGCAGAAATCGGCTACACAGACAACATAATAGATGTGCGTTCAAATCGTGTACGCTCCATACTTGGACTCAACAATAATACGGATCATGATGGCGTCAGTGGCGGTGGCGTTGGTAACGTTGGAGGAGGAATTGGCAGTGGTGGCGAGAATCTCAGTCCTAATATTAATGGCAATGAGAGCAATAAACGTGCCTCTGAATCGGAAGGTAGGTCATTGTACACCCTCTTCCCCCCTGTTGAAGATTTGAATAATTTGCTCACATTAGGCCGTCATACTCCCGCTAAAAAAGTGCAACAATCGAATGATGCCATCATACTGGACACTGAGGCGGCGGTCATGGCTAATTTTGAGTTCCTTGGACCGACAGAAATGTCCGACGATGATGAAATCTCCGACGATCTGGAAATGGTAGCGACCGACAATGAGGATACCGATGTAAAAATGGCCAAACGGCCCAAGTCTGGAAAGGATATGCTTACTGAAGGTATGAAACAAATTGAACAAAACGATCTTGTAGCTCATCCGTTCCCTCTTTATACCAACTTTCAAAGCCCTCCCACCAGTCGCATCATATACTCTGTAGTATTTCAATTTTTACTTTGCAAAGTCCCAATTTAAAAAATACCTACATAAAACACGATCCACAAAAAATACTGTCCACAATAACTACCACCCACCACCCAAGAACAAACGCTGTACTTGTTATATGCTTTTCGCTTTCTGTTTCTTTCGCTTCTCTCTTCTTCTTCTTCGTCTTTTCGATGCGTTCATCTTTTGCATAGATCTTGAGGCGGAGGTGGGAGAGCAGCTCTTAAACGATATGAATCTAATGACCGAAGGTGCTTTTTACTAATCACTCAAATTGAAACACATCACCAAATTCGAAAACTGCCAACAATCTGTGGAGATCTTATAAAAACGATATTGTCGCTGTTTCCATTGATTGTTGTCGGTTTGAATCGTAATTTTTGATTTCTTGTGTATATGAAGTAAAATATATTTCTCTCTCTCATCTCTTCGCAGAGGTGGACGGTTCCTTGGGACTGGGTGAGCTAGCGCAGCTGACAGTGAACAATGAGTCGGACGGTGCGTACGATGCAAATGCCAAGGACGGCACTGGCGGCAGTGCCGGTGGCGCTGGTTATCGGAAAACCTGGAATGCCAAGTATACGCTGCGCTCGCATTTTGACGGAGTGCGCTCACTAATTTTCCATCCGGAGGAACCCGTGCTAATCACTGCCTCCGAGGATAATACGCTCAAGCTGTGGAATCTACAGAAGACGGTGCAAGCCAAAAAATCCGCTAGTCTTGATGTTGAACCGCTCTACACGTTCCGTGCCCACACCGGACCCGTCCTCTGCCTGGGCATGTCATCTAGCGGCGAGACATGCTATTCGGGTGGCCTCGATGGTAACATCGAGTGCTGGCAGCTGCCATCGCCCAATATTGATCCATATGATTGCTACGATCCGAACGTGCATTCCGGCACATTGGAGGGTCATACGGACGCCGTTTGGGGTCTAACCACCATGCAGAATAATATTGTGTCATGTTCTGCAGATGGTACCGTTAAGCTGTGGTCACCATATACCAAGGAGCCGCTGCTGCGCACCTATACGGCCGCGGAGGCCGAGGGCGGGCCCTCATCCGTGGACTTTGTGCGCAACGAAGTGGATCACATTGTGGTGGCCTACAACAGTGCACACTGTATCATCTATGACACGGAAACGGGCAAACAGGTGATCAAACTGGAGGCCTCGCAGGAGATGTCCGGTAATACGGGGAAGTTCATTAATAAAGTCGTCTCACATCCGACACTGCCCATCACGATAACCGCACACGAGGATCGCCATATACGCTTCTGGGATAATACATCGGGAACATTGGTGCATTCGATGGTGGCGCATTTGGAGCCGGTTACATCGTTAGCCGTTGATGCACATGGACTGTATTTGCTGTCCGGTTCACATGACTGTTCCATACGCCTCTGGAATCTGGACAATAAGACATGTGTGCAGGAGATAACTGCACATCGTAAAAAGTTCGATGAGAGCATATTTGACGTGGCGTTCCATGCAACCAAGCCCTATATAGCCAGTGCCGGCGCCGATGGTCTGGCCAAGGTTTTTGTTTAACTTACATCGGACTAAGCCCAACCCTCAATTCCCAAATATCCAATCCCAATCCCTAATCTCCACCTTCACACACACACACACAGCCAATGCTGCAGCAGCTCTCAGCTAAGCGATTACGAGTTCGAGTTAAATAATTATACATATAAAAATACACTTATATATATACATTATACTACTATACATTTAAATCTAATTATACAATTATATACAAGAGATGAACAACAACAACAAACACACATTGCTATGGATATATGTATGTATATATATATATATACGTATATATGTATGTATATATGTATATGTATATGTATATATGTATGTATATATGTATATATATATATGTATGTATATGTATGTATATATACATATATATATATATATGTATATAGATATGTATATATATAAATATATATATATAGATATGTATATATATATAAATATATATATATAGATATGTATATATATATAAATATATATATATAGATATGTATATATATAAATATATATATATATATATATATATATATATATATATATATATATATATATAAAGAAAGGGCATAAATCAACCTAAAGAGTAATAATATATATATATATAATAAAATTTACATTATGGCATTTCCGAGCGTACGAGCGAGCACCATTTGTAATCTAAAAGATCATACGAATACGAATACAAAATCCATGCCGCATATTAAACACATACACACACAGATACAAAAACTATTTGTTAACAACAAATGTAAAGTTCTTGATTTTATGGCATTTAATTTTTTTATATTTTTTAGCCACAATTTCAACAACTTTAATGTTTTTCTTTATATTTTTTAATGTAGACAATTGCCAATCAATGACAATTTAGTTTTTAATTATATTTTACATTGCTCTAAACTGCTCAGCGATTGTGTCAATAGTTGCTCCAGTGGGAAGCTTTACTGTACATTTTATATAGAGAAAAGAACCTTTAAATGATATAATCGATGATGTGTGATGTATGAAGTTGATGTACGTACCTTTTGCTATATTGGCCACTCGCTGTGCAAGTTTTTTTTTTGCAATAAAATTTACTCAGCTAACAAAGAGAAAGAAAATAACGGTTACGTAATGATATATAGACGATCAAATTTGTAGTACATAAGTCGCATACATGTATATATATATATATAACAGTTTATATATATATATATAAACTTTAGCCCCCCTCTTAATCATACAAAATAATGAAAAAACAATGAGCGTGCAAGTTGTAAATTAAGTTTAGTAAACGACGACGACGATAAAGATGTTTATTTATTAAAAGTATAAAAAGTAAACAAACAAAAGAAGTAAACAATCGCCAGAAAACTTTATTAAACACTAAGTGAAAAGTAAAATGCTTCTATTTCTATCATTTTTCATATTAAAAAAAAAATAAATAAAGATAACGCAATGCTTGGGTAGAGATCCACACACATATATACAGATCCAGATCCAGATGATATATAAAAAATAATAAATAAATGCCGTTGAGCTATAACTGTATGCTAAGCTATTTATTTAATTTATGCCTAGTATTAAACATAAAACAAAACAAATGAAAAGGATTTCGTACACTTGTAGTTGAATATATATATACTCATAAATATATATATATATATATATATATATATATATATATATATATATATATATATATATGATTTGGATCGCTTAACGATTCATTAATTGTAATCAAATAAACGTTAAACAATGTGGACGTGAATGCCGAGCAACTCAATATTAGTAATAGTATTAACAATTATTAAAAAAAAGGTAACGAAACGCAGCTAAAGAAAAATAATGAAGAAATGAGCCCAAGTTGATATTCGATAAAGAAAAGCATATATATATATATATATGTATAAACATATATATATATAAAAGAAAAATCCTTTACTATCGATAAATTATGTGTGTTTAATTTGTACTTTTTGTTGTTACAAATTGAAAATGCGATATCATATATAAATATATACACCCACACACATTGTAGATCTATATGATATACTACTAAAAAAAAAAACAAAAAATATGATGGTAGTTATATAAACAAACAAACACACACATACAAAAACATTAATACATTAAATCTATTGATTTTTAATTTTAACTGTACATTTTTGATTTTTTATTACCATGTATTTTTTATTTTTATTTTAAATAAAGTTTTACAAAATGAATTTGGCCTTGAAATATTTTTACAACACCAACGCATTTGTCAACAATAAGAAGAAAACCAAATATATAAATATATAAACATAAAATAAAAAAGCAATTTTCTAAAACGTTGTGGACCAGCGGGTTCTCGTTTGCAACGATGCAATTCATCCGAATAGAATCAATAACAAAACAAATCCAAACCTATGTTGCCTTTTCATTTAAAAAACAAAGAAATTTCCGCTGCTGGCAGCAATTTTAATTTATTAATTAATGAAAGATCGAACAAAAAATGAATAAAAAACTCGCACAAAATGGTTTTTATTTTTGTACCGTTATACAAATCCACTGCCATATTTTTCACCAAAACGCAAAACATTACAAAATGAAAGTAGAAAAGGATTCTAAACAGATTGTAAACATTTTTTATTTATTATTTTTACGCAATGGGGTGCCACAATATATAATATATAAATAATTATATATATATATATATATATAGAAGCGCAAAACATTCAATGTTATTCGATAAATAACAAAAGCTGAATGCGCATGGTATAATTAAAAAATTAAAAAAGAACATGTAATATTAAGTCGTACAACGTTCATTGTAGATTTGAGCATATAGTGGAATAAACCCAATTCCCAGCACATAAGTTTATACATATAGAAACAAAACTTTAAAAGAAAACTCATGCATATTAACGAAAATAAATTAAAAAAAAAACAATATATACAAATACTTTTATAATAAATTGAAAAAAAAACACCATACTTGATACTTAAAGAACAAGAACAAGAATAAGAACAAGAACATAAAGAAAAAAAACTCCACACACTTCATGTTAAGATATAATAAAAACGAATAAATAAAATATTTAAAACCAATCAAAAAATACGTTACATTAAGGGCTTTGTACAGCACTATCTGTACGCTTACAGCACTGCACATAATGTGGTGGCTGCTCGATAACATTATTACCAAGTGTCATCGAAAGTGTCATATTAATAAGTTAGTTATCGGCATAAATACTATTAATAATAACAATGGAAACAAACGCAACATTTACCGGTGATGTGGATAAAACTCAGATACCACCGTTAAATCAAAAGCGTATACTCGCTTTTGTTAATCATTTCCTAATAAATACCTGCACTTTTCTCAATGAATTTGCCTTGAATTGCGAAACCAAATTTGTGCGACTGGAGCGACAACTACAAAGAACGGAAGCGGCTTTAATAATTCTAGAAACAAAACTCGCTTCTATACCGGTAGATGATGCAGTTAATTTCACAAAAACACATGAAGTAAGCACTGAGGAAACAACTTATGATGAAACTGATAAGCCAGAGGAAGAAGTACCCACAGAAGTAAAAGGCGTACGGGTTTGTGAAGACATTCGCTACAAGAAATTCTTTAAAATGGTGCAAGTGGGCGTACCAGCGCCTGCAGTTAAAATAAAAATGCGAACTGAAGGATTGAACGCTGAAATGCTTGAGTAAGTTGCTTAATATATGCACTTATCTCTACTTGGCTAAACTATATTAATTTTCAGCAATCCTGACTTTATGCTAGAAGACGGCATTCTGGAATAGAATGCGGAATATTGAATAATGACCCAAACCGTTATTCAGCACAGATTGTGATATAGCACATGTATGAAATGCTACATTTTTAAATCAAAACATTTGGTAAAAAATTACGTCTACAATTTGTTTTATTTTCTCACTTGTTGCCGGACAAGGCAAAAGCAGTCGATGAAAACAACTTAAAAACACTTCATTATCAAAACGTAGTTGGCGATTACAAATCCTGGAAGCTTAGAACTGAATCATCTGTCCCTTGCGCTTCTTGTCACCGCCCAGCTCGAAGTGCTTGCAACGTTTCAGGGGTGTCTGCTTGCGGTATTTGCAGTCAGTGCACTCCATACGCAGCACGATTTTCTTGGTGGTCTTAGCCTGTAATAGAATAAGCGAAGACATATATTAGGTTTAGCTGAATAGGAACAATTCTAAAGCTTTTTAAAATGGACCATTTGTAAGTTTTGCTGTTGGAGCGCATTTCGTTTAGACAGAACCGAGCACGCTGCCAATAAGGCCGCACCAAAGCATTAACATATTTTATTTTTGCACTTTTTCCCAATGAATCGCCTAGTGCTATGTGAAAGCGCAGCAAATCCAATTCTACTAAAGTGCCAATATTGATGTTTCCAACACTATGGACTACTCACCTTCTTCCTGAAGATGGGCTTGGTCTGACCACCGAAACCCTGCTGTTTTCTGTCGTAACGTCTTCTGCCCTGAGCACCTTTACGCTCCTTGGACTTCTTGTACTGCGTTACCTTGTGCAGCTTGTGGACCTTGCACTTTTTGCAGAAGGTGCGACGTTGCTTAGGTACATTCACCTATAACGATCACAAACAACACATTAATTTTAGGTTTCTTAATTTTTTGTTGGCGCCATCACAAATGTTAAACAGAAACACAAAAGCTTGCGTATCAAATAGAATGCATTGAAAGTACGCACGGTAGTTTAATATTGTCACAAAATCACAGACAACATTGAGTTGTGCAATATTTAATAATTTGTTTAACATTTTTAATGTTTTTAACACGGATGTTTGCTGATTTTCGTCAAAGCCGATCAGAACACCTACCATCTTGAATAGGAAAGAAAACCCAAAAAGACGGAATTAGAGATGTGCAATAGTTATGTATCGCTGTGAATGGCAACAATCAGTATTGCCATGATTTGGTATTCACAACGATATTTGCCAGCTACTGGGTATTCCAGTTGCGATAAATGTTGCCCACCACTAATTAGTAAAATTAAACAAAAAAAGAAGCAACTTTGCAACTAAAGCAACGGAGAAAAAATAACTTTTTCAGCGGCCGACTAGTTTCCTGGTGAACAAACGGCCATAGTGCCAGAGTTGTGTGCAATGTAAGAAGTGTGGAAAAGATGCATCAACACAATTGCAACCGGATAAACACAATACCAACGGATGTGCCCGTCATTGTGTTAACGCAATTAGCATAAAAATGAGATTGGGCTGCGAATGCGAGAGTGTAATTAAAATGCGAAGAATGTACGCGCTGCTGCCAACCTTGACATTTTGGTTAATCAGCTTTCAATTGGCATCACAATCGGATCAGCTCCATATAACAGCGCCCTGCGATCGGAGTCGCAAGGTATTCACTGAGCCCTACGGTGAAATTAGCGATGGCCCCTCCGGCTACAATTATACGCAGGACTCGCACTGTGAATGGCTGATAAAAGCGAAAAATGACAGTCAATTTATAACATTAACATTCCATAGCATGGGCACCGAGTGCTCCTATGATTATATCTATGTATACGATGGCGATTCCTTTAATTCAACTCTGTTGGGCAGCTTCAGCGGACGCACACAGCCGCAAAAACTGGTCGCACGCAGCGGTAGTGTAAGTGATACAAAATTAGCCCTATTCTTTAAACCTCTATTTATTTAAAATTTGTATCCCAAAAATTGTTTCCCATAGATGCTCATTCTAATGTACAGTGATACGAACTATGTGTTGGATGGCTTTCGTGCTTCCTATTACATATCAAACTGCCTGAATAACTGCCACAATCATGGCAAGTGTGTGGGCCACCAATGTGTCTGTCATGGCGAATGGGTGGGGCCCGACTGTGAGGATGAGGCGTGCCCGCAGAAGTGCGGTGAGCATCAGGGTCGCGGAAAATGCCAGAAAAGCATTTGTCATTGCTCCACTGGCTACAGTGGACGTTTGTGCGATTTGAGTGATAATCCACCGGGCAGTAGCTGGCGGTGGCTGGCCACCGATGCGGAAGGCATGACACCACGTGCTGCACACTCCGCTGTTTATATGGAAGACGAGGACGCACTATATGTATTTGGCGGTTACGATCTGAACAATGTCATCAGCACGTTACAGGTGCGGAAATAATGGAATTTATTTATGAAATTAGTTAATTAACTATATTTTACTTATAGATATATCGCTTTAGCACTAGCCAATGGGAAGACGAATGGGGCATACCGCTGCAGAGTCGCCGTCACTTTTATCATCCACAGAAAATTGATCATACACTGCTGAAAGCTGTTTTGCAGCACAAGAACGAGGATGAGGCCAAACTCTGGGGCTTGACCAGCGATGTCAGCTTCTTTCGTAATATACTCTACACACTGGCCGAGTCGAATCTACATCAAAGACGCACCCGTTCCTCGCTGCCATTGACTACAGTAAACGCAAACTCAACGGATGAGGAGCTATCTGAATATTTGGAGGACATACTGGAAGAGGTGACCGATCACAAACCACATGGCCGTTATGGACATGCAGCAGATCGTGTTCCAGGTGGCTTTGTCATCTTTGGTGGCAAACATGCCAATGGTAGCTTCTACAATGATCTCTGGCAATATAATAATACGGAAAGCGGTGGCAAATGGAAGCAAATGGCTGTCAAATCTGAGTTACAGCCTCCAGCGCTTGCAAGGCATACCCTAACGACAGCCTTGGATTATTTGTATTTATTTGGCGGCAGTGTAGAATCGGGCGAATTCTCCTCAAGCATTTATCGAATTCGCTTGCCGCTCAGCGAAGATTCGCAATGGCAACTCGTTAAGCCGCGAGGTGGGAAAACCTTGGACGTACGTTTGGCAGCTCATTCTACCGTTTACTATGCACCTACCAATTCGCTGATTGTATTTGGTGGCATTATGACGAGTTTGGCACGCTTTTCGAAGCTATCAGATCGCATATTTGCTTTTCAGTTGGATCAGCTGCACTGGACGGAGATCTTATATCCGCGCACAGCATTGAGAGATACGAATATACCAAGGGAACGAGCATTTCATACAGCCACCATATCAGGAAATTATATGATTGTTTTTGGCGGCTATACCCATCGGCATAACAAGGATGAGATTTGCTATGATAATCAAATGTATTGGTATCATTTAAGTTGTCACATTTGGATCAATCAAGTGGTCTCTGCCGACGACAGTTTGTACCCGAAGCATCAGGGTGTTTTTGCCCAAGCCGCTGCACTCCGTCGTAATCATACGCTGCTTATTGTGGGCGGCTATCATGGCAATGTAAATGCAGATCTGTTCGCCTATGAGCTGCCGCAAGTGCTACGTGTAGAGAATGCTGTTTACAATCATAATCCGGAGATGTCATGCCGTTTGCACGCTTCACACACTGCATGTTTATCCAATCCCGAATGCGGTTGGTGCTCGGCGGATAGCAGTTGCTATGGTCGAACAATTGGTGCCAATTGTACCACCAATTTGCAGACGACTCGCTGCCCCGGAATTTGCCCCTCTCTTGGCGATTGCCATTCGTGCTTGGTGCATGGCACCTTGTGGGGTGGTGGCAATGCCGCCGGTTTCTCCGTAGCCAGCAAGCTGGGCCTCAACGAGTGCACTTGGTGTGTACAAAATGCCCGTTGTCATTATCGGGCTGATAACTACGGTATGTGCGGGGATAGTTCCGGCTGGTGGGGCGAACAAGGCACCGAAATACGAGAACCTGATATGTGCACCCGCAATGATCGCCGTCCGGGCTTGACTTATATCAAATATAACTATCCTGTTAACTTTACCATGCCCGATTATGTGGGCATTGTGAATGCTACCATGGTGGACTTTGCCTCGCCGCCGCCCACAGCGTACTTTGAACAGCGACAGGAGGGTGAAATGTTGGCGCGATTATTAGGTTTCGTACGTCCGCAGCAGCAGTGGAACAACAATAACAATTCAGCCATACAAGTGTGCAGCAGCTATTCGTCAGCAGTGTTGCGCGTTGGTCTAGGCATGAATCTCGATATGCTGGATAATGTGACGACGCAAAGCTCAAATCAATCATACTGCAGCAATGTGCAACTACCCAGCATTGAGCAACCATTCCTTATAGATTTTCAAGTAAGTTTAATATTATTTTCCATTTACATTATATTTATTAAATGCTGATTGCAGGCTCGCCGTCGCATTGGCCAGAATAACATCTACAACACCTATCAGAAGACGAAAATGGAGTTGCAGCATTTACACAACGGGCAGCTCAATGCATTTACTTTCGAATACTTGGAGCCGTATTATTCGGGCGATTGCACTCAATATAACAACTGCCTGCACTGCTTAACCGATGGATCCTGTTCCTGGTGTCCACTAACCAGCAAATGTCATCTAAAGTCTGTCAATGAAAGTGCCGTTTGTGTGGCCAATGATACAGATCAGGGCACCCATTGGGCGTATTTGATCAGTCAGCCTAGTCAATGTGCCAATTGTTCCAACTATGTGACCTGTCGTGCCTGCGTCTCCACGCCTGGTAATGGGGAGTGCGAATGGTGGCTAGATGATGCACGTTGTGGACGCATTGGCAAGTCAAACAGCAGCGTCCGAGCGATAGCGCAGTGTCCTCGACCATGTCGCGAACGTCGCGGCTGCGATCAGTGTCTAGGTGAACGTGGTCGTTGCGTCTGGTGTGAGGCGAGCGCCCAATGCTTTAGCTTTGCCGTCTACACCAGCGAATATCAATTTGGCATGTGTCGCGAATGGATCGACAAGGTGGGCACGCCACCTACCTCACCTGCAGCTGGACCAGTTGCTTCCGCAGCTTCTGCAACGCCTACAACCACACTAACTATGCATCCTCCACCGCCACGTTCGCTGCAACAGTGCAAATCCTGTGAGCGTCATCGAAATTGCACCTCTTGTCTGCGCACCTTGAGTTGCGGCTGGTGTTTTGATCGGGATAATCCCATTGAAGGGATTTGCATGCAGGGCGACTTCAGTTACAGTGCAGGAAATTGCTCCTTGGCTCTCAATAGCAGCTCGCAGCATGATGCTGAATGGGCCTATGCTCAGTGTCCGGATGTGGATGAATGTGGACTGGGTTTGCACGATTGCCACAAGGAAGCCAAATGTACCAATACGCAAGGTAGCTACAATTGCCATTGTCGTCGTGGCTATGTTGGCGATGGACGCTTCAGTTGCGTGCGCACCTGCTACGAGTTCTGCCAGCATGGCTATTGCTCCGGTCCGCCGGACTATAGCTGCAAATGTGACCTGGGTTGGACGGGCAGCGATTGTGGTGTTAGCTGCGGCTGCAACAACCACTCCACTTGCCTGGAGCGCGTTGGGAAGTGCGATCAATGCCAGGCGTGGACCGAAGGCGAGCGCTGTGAACGTTGTCGTCAGGGCAGCTACGGCAATGCGACTGCAAATATTGGCTGTCATCCCTGCGAGTGCAATGGACACGGCAACCAGGATTTGGTAAGCAACCGATCACAATCCACGTACATCGTCAATTTAATATAGCTGCTTTTCTTTATAGGGCATTTGCAATGTGAGCCACGGCGAATGCTTCTGCAAAGACAACACACAGGGCCTCAAATGCGATGTCTGTGCGCCCGGCTACTATGGCGATCCACGTGATGGCGGACAGTGTTATTATCAATGTGAATCTCGTGGCATATTGACCAGCATAGGTCGCAGTGCCATTGGCTCGTATCAATCGTATCGTTCGCCCTGGGGCGCTAGCCTTGAAGTCCGTGAATGCCTGTGGATATTGCAGCCGAAGACTTTGCATGCGGATAAATCGCTGTTGCAGCTGGAATTTCAGTGGAACAGCCTGGCCATGAGCTGTGACGAGAATGCCGTTTACATCTATGACAGTTTGCCAGATTTAACAGGCGCCGCGCAGCAGAATCAACTACTGGCCGTTGTCTGCGAACCGTACAGTGCGGCGCGCATTATCGAAGCACGCTCCAGTCATGTCACCGTCTACTATAAACAGGGCAGCGAACGTCGAAACTTTGGCTTCAATGCTTTGTATTCGGTAAAGAACTGCGTGGCGGGCAGCTGTATGCATCCACATATCTGTGATGCACTGCAGCGTTGCGTCTGCCCTGCTGGCTATGTGGGTCCACGCTGTGAGATTGAGATCTGTCCAAGTAATTGCCATGCGAAGCGAATACAAGGCTATTGCGATACCGAATATGGACGTTGTATATGCAACAATAACAACTATGCAGGCGCCGATTGTGGCACATTGGTGCAGCGTAATCATTTGGTTATGACGGAACTGTTCAATACTCAGCTGCTAAGCGAAGCCCTGGAGCATCTAAGAAAGACCATACCACGCTTTGGCCACTCGGTGAATGCGGATCGTAGGGGTTCCTTGTGGATGTTTGGAGGCTATTCGCCTAGTCATGGACCGCTTAATGATTTCCGTCAATTTGATACGAAGAACGCTACATGGCTGCAGGTGACAGTTGAATCATCCACTCCGGAGGATCGTATGCCCCTTGGACGTTATTTCCATGCAGCTGAGATCTATGTGAAAAAGCAGAATATTTATATCTATGGCGGCATTGGCGCAAATTCACGTTTGCTTTCGGACTTTTGGCAGTTCTCAATACAGAATCAACGCTGGCATCAAATTGAGGTAGATCCCTCGCAGGCCGAGTCGCCCACAGCGCTGGCCGGGCACACCTTGACCCATACGCGCTACCAGGAACACGAATCGTTGCTACTGATCGGTGGCCTGAGTTTAAACAAATCTCGTCCACTGGAGCTTTGGGAATTTAATCTGGATACTGGACGTTGGCTGGAACTGGCAGCAATGGGAGCACGCCTCCCTGTGCTCTACGGGCACAGCGCTGTCTATCATCAGGAGACGCACAGCGTTTATATCTTTGGCGGCTATGCGGGCGAGGCGCAGAACAAGCTTTACGCACTTGATTTGAACAAACTAAGCTGGACGGAATTGCCGACGTTTAGGGAATTGAATTCACCTGTTTCGCAGCTGCCTCGTGCACGATATTTCCACTCAGCCGTCAGCACAGAACACTATATGGTTGTGTATGGCGGCCGGACGAGTCCATATAACGCCACGGATCTGCTTATTGCTTACGTTTATGCCTGCAACCAGTGGGTGAGACTGACAGATGATGTGGAGCTAATTGGACGATTGCCAGTGGCTAGCTATGCCGAGGACATGACCATCGACGTGGATAGCGGCGCGATCTATGTAATTGGCGGTTGGGATGGCAGCGCCACCCAAAGTCATGTGACGCGCATCAACATACCCGAGGACATTTGCCAGCTGTGGAGCGGCGGCAAATCGATGTGTCGTCATTATATGGGCTGCAGCTATTGCACCATCCAGAACACGTACAGCAACAGCTCGCATTGCTTCACCCAGGGCCGGGCGCCATGTGCAAACTATAATGGAACGCTGGTCATCAATAATGGGCCGGCGTGCAATGATGTTTGGCTAGCGAGTCGCAATTGCTCGAGCTTTGGTAGCTGCAGCGCCTGCTTGGCCGCGTGGCCCATCCATCAGGAACTGAGTCCCGTTTGCCAGTGGTGTGATGAGTGCGGCATACGTGGACGTTGTGTGCCCGCCGGCGTGGATTGCGCCCGTAACAACGCCTGGTGTGAAAAGGAATTGAGTGTGGGAGTGCTCGGTCTCTGTCCGCTGCCCCAGTGTCATCAGCTGGACTGCGAAACGTGCATGCTGCACAGCGACCAATGCCATTGGGCAAGCATCGAATTGGGCCATGATGAGTGTATTGCCCGGGATCTGGTGGAGAAGAATGCGTATCGTCTAGTAGATCAATGCCCACCTCCCTGTCATACGCACACCAATTGCAGCAGCTGCCTGCAATCGTCGCCGGATGCCGGGGCCACGGATTGCAAATGGTCTACGATGTTAAATGCCTGTCTATCGCCTAGTGCACAGCCTTTGTTGTGTGCCGGTGGCGTTTGTGGCCTGGTCTTGGAGTCCACCGAAGTTAAACGTTGCCCCGAGCCGTGCCATGTGTATACCCAGTGCTCCAGCTGTCTGGAGCATACGCATTGCGGCTGGTGTGCACGCGAGGGCTTCAATGGCGATGGCGTCTGCACAGAGGGCGCCCTCGAGCATCGTCAGGAACATCCGTCGGGCTCCACTTGTGACTTAATCTACAGCAGCTGGCGCAATGATTCACAACTGACACATGCGGACGTCGTAAGCTGGCATTATGTACAATGTCCGGCGGAGAATGAATGCGAAAATGGTCATCATAATTGCGATGCTGTGTCTGAGCAGTGCATCGATCTGGATACACCAACGCCTGGCTACAAGTGCGTCTGTGCCGCCGGCTATCGCAAGGAAGAAAACAGCTGCCTTCCCGTCTGCAGTCAAGGCTGTGTGCGAGGCAACTGCATTCGGCCCAATGAATGCAAGTGTGATTTCGGCTATGTGGGCGAAAATTGTAGCATTCAGTGTCTGTGCAATGGACACTCCAATTGCGAATCGAGCAGCAGGCTGGACATATGTTTGGAGTGCCATAACAACACCATGGGCGAGCAGTGCGAGAAGTGCCAGCCCCTGTTTGTGGGTAATCCGCGCGAGGGACACGCCTGTCAGCCATGCTTGGAATACTGCCATGGCCATTCGGATGTCTGTGTGGCTTACGATGCGGATCCAGCTGTCTTTAATATGACTCGCTCGGAGTTGGAGCGCATCCTGCCCGAAGGACCAGCCCACAATGCCACCTGCTTGAGATGTGGCAATCACACTGCCGGCGATCGCTGCGACAGCTGCCTGCTGGGCTATTTCCGTGGCAGCGAAGATCTGCACAAGCAATGTCGTCCCTGCCAGTGTCATGGTCATGGCAACGTCTGCGATGCGGTAACCGGCGAGAAATGCAACTGTGCCAATAACACGGAAAGCGATGCCACCTGCATCGCCGCTGGCGGCAAGAATTCAGCGCAGCTCTGCTGGAGCGTTCAATGCTCCAAGTGTCGCGACTCCTATGCTGGCAATCCCACCGATGGACATCAGTGCTATAAACAAATTACCGTCGAGTCGCGCATGTGCTTCGATGCCAAGCCCATAGGTAAGCTATTAGGATTATCAATTAATTGATTTTATTTTAATAAACATTTTATCCCACCGTTCGCAGAGGAATGCAAATCAAAACCAGCTGCTCTCAAGCCCGGTCAGACCGTCTTCTTTGTAATACAGCCCCGATTCATGAATGTGGACATACGCATCATAATCGATGTGACTCAAGGGGAATTGGATGTGTTTATGTCACCGCAGGACGATTCGTTTATAGTGGAAACAAATCAAACAACAGGATACCACGAGATATTTCTGGACAATCGCTATAACTGGGGACCCAAGTCGAAGCGACAGCATCCACTCAACATTGCCCTGCCGCGTCATGACAACGTTACGCTGCAGAAACTTTTCGCGACCGAGCGACGCACTGGGTCGAACGGTCCAAGTATGGGAGCCAGCAGTAGCGGCAGCAGCAGCAACTTCTATATACCGCAGCTACACGACTGTCGCAGCCATGGAGGACACAGCTTCGTTGTCCAGGATCAGTTTGCCAAGGATTTGAGCACGCATGTGACACTGAATCAATGCAATACACTTCTGCGTCTGTTTGGACTGAAGAATCGTTTGGTGCTAACTCTGCCACAGCATGCGCACAATCTGAGTGCCACACGATTCTTTATTGCATTGCGCGCTAGTTCTGGACCAGAGCCGAGCTATGGATCTGTGGTTTTTCGTCAGGATCAGCTGCACATTGATCTCTTTGTGTTCTTCTCCGTCTTCTTCTCCTGTTTCTTTCTATTCCTCGCCTTGTGCGTTATCGTTTGGAAGGTGAAGCAGGCGGCAGACTTGCGGCGTGCGCGTCGTCAACATGTTGTGGAAATGCTGCATCTGGCCAAGCGTCCATTTGCGCAGATTTTCTTAGCGTCCGCCAGCTTGGACATGGATAATAGTCCGCCAGCGACGTCGGCCTCGACAACGCGTCACATGCGTCAACGTGCACGTCAAGCGCTGCTGCTGCAGCAACAACAGCATTTACAGAGCGAAACCCAGCTGCACAATCAGCCAACACACAGTGCCACACACACCTCTACGCACAGCCGTGCACATAGCCACTCACACAGCACACACACCCACACCCACACCCACACTCACACCCACACCCATGGACACCACCACTTCAGCAGCAGCTCTCGCCCAATGCAGGAAATCATGTTGGTGGCCATTGAGCCGACAAATGATAATTTGGCTGCTGTTGGCACCGTATTTGTCAGCCTGCCAGGACGCTCGAAAGCTCCGCTGAGCATTGCTCTGGGCTCCACTCTGATATCGTATCCACGTCAATATCCGCTCAATGCGAGACACTTTATGCGCGCTCAAAGACATCATCAGGCCTAAAAATTGACAACTGCTAAAATATGTGTGTAAGTGTTAGTCTATATAAACATAGAACTCCCCGTCCCTTCCCGATCTGTATTAGTGAATTATAAATAACCATTATATATATATTCTAATTATATATATATAAATATATAGTATACTCGCATATACGATTTATATGTGGCATTGTATGCATAGTTTAGGCAATTTTTTGTATATAATATTTACATCTACAGTTAGCCAGAATGATGTACGTCGTAAAAAAAACTATAAGATCTGAATTATATTTAGTGGTGCGTCTATAAGAACAAAACAAATAAGTGAACAACTTAGAAGCTGAACGAATAATTTCGCACAAAAAAAACTATTTAAAAGAATAATACGTATGTCATAAGTTAATAGAAATATTTTGGTTTTGGATTTGTTTCTATTTAAATTTTATATAAATTAAGTTCAGTTGCTAGGTTTTTGAGTAGTTAATACAATTCCAATTGGGTTACTCAGCCACTGTCTGTCTATCCAATCAGATTTAAGATGCATCATCAACTACTTCAAAACTTACTAAAAATTTAATTTTAAAAAAATCAATTTCTAATTACTGAAAATTCTCATTAACATGCGACCTTTGATGATAAACTATTTATTCTCTTATCTCTTCACTAAAAGAGTTGAAAAACGAAAAAGAACAAAACTGGAATTTGATCTATATAAAAAAACTAAGCTTAAGTTTAAGCATATATGTGTATATTGTCAATTTGATAGGAAAACAACAGCAACAAGAAACAAACAAACAAAGAAACAAAAAACTATTGTGGTGCATTTTTTGATATAAACGCACATCAACTTTTTTTAGCCAGCCATGACAAACAAAGCAGACTACAGTATATAGATATACAAACTGAAAAAATATATATATGGATAACAATTAACAAATAACAAATACGTATTATATATATGTGTGCATGTATGTATGTATTTACAACTACTACTAAATGTGTCATTGATTCCCCCCGCCCAGTTCCAGATTTGGAGAAACATTGAAACGAATACGAAAACGAATCTCTATCTATGATATTTTCTTTTTTATAAATATTAATGGTTTAAGGTATTATTATTATTATTATTATTGATAATTTATTTCTTTTGTATAAAGAGTATTCTGGTATTTATGTATATTTCTCCCACTCTCGGTTGATGGTTAGCATTTGCTCAAATTTAGTTTAATTTTATACGGCAAGTTCTCGCACTTTTTGCACCTGTGTACCTATTAAATTAAGAAACAATAAAACAATGTATTTTACTTACTATCCAGCGCTCTCTACTACTATACACTCGTTATGTTAAAACACAATACACAAAACTATCGAACAATATGTTAACTCAGTGATTTCCTATAGTTTTTCATCCTTATCGAACAAAAAGAAACTGTGACCAAAAGGTTGTAAAAAATTATTCTTACTACAGCTTTAACTTTCATTTTGTATGGTTTTTTATTTTTTTTTTTATATATTGTTATAAGTATACGGTAGTCGCTCGTGATAGAAAACTTTTTACAAATTGATAGATATTCAAATCTCGAAGTATTTCTAAAGCAGAAGTAAAAACTGCGTTGGAATTTATTATAAATCACTTCTAACTTCTTTTTTAAGATAGGAAAGTTTAAATATTAATTTTTTTATATTCAAATTGTATCCCAGCGACTACTGTACTTTGTTTTTATATTTTTTATACTCTTGCGTTTAACAAAAAAAACTTAGTAAAATTTTTAGAACTGAAATTGTAATTATACTGATGATATTTACATACGAATTATTTTGTACCAACGTACGTCCCCCATTTGCAATATATATATAATTAATTATATATATTATGAATATATTATGTATTATTTTGTATTTACATATATATATATATATAAATATGTATGTATTTGTATATCGATTAGTTTTCGTTTTTCGTGTTTCAAAATAAAGTTATGATAACTCATGAATAATTGTTTCTGTGTCCATTTTCTTTCATTGTGCAAACGAATAATTTTATTGATTAAATAGTTTTAGGTGATAAATATAAGTTTATGCATAGATATATGCTTATTAATGGATAGCAGCAACTAAACCCGATTTCATGTTCAGTTGGTATCCATGTAAATATGGTGAGAACTGCATTTAAATTTAACTAGAGCTGGTGGTGGTGGGCAGGGCGCCGAGCACATCTTCAATGAAGCTCTCCGGCTGCTCGATTAGATTGAGAAGACCTGGAAAATGCGGAGGATATATTATTTATAAAACGAATATTTTATATGTGATTTGTTTCAATGGAAACTCACCCGCCACATCGCAGAACTCGCCAAATGAGGTGCACGGCAAGAACTCATCCGTCAATGTTTGCAGTATGCTATCCGTTGACTTAAGCATGGCCTCATCATTCTTGCGTATGTATTCAAATAGGGATGCGGGCCAGTCCTCCTCCTTGACGGTGCTCACCGTCTTGAAGAGCGTATTGTAGATCAAATCAACAAGTGCCCACATCATAAGGAACGGCTTATATACGCTATAATCTTTGGCCTGTCGATCTGCCGGCGACAGCAGCGCTTTGCACAACACCGACGGTGATACGTGTCGTGCCTGAGCCACAGCCACCAGACGCTTCAAGTGCGCCAACTTATGCTTATTCCACAATTCACGACTGTGCAGTGACAGCGATATGGTTAACATGTAGAGTGGTCCGTCCACCTCATAACCACATTCCAACCATTTATCTGATGGCGCAGCTGTCAAATAGTTAAGCAATGTTTTGCTATCCCGTGCAGCGGATCGTGAGGAGAGCAGCAAATAGACCGCATAGAAGAGCAGGTAGGGCACAAAGTGCATATTTGATTGTGGACCACCGCCGCCAGCGTCATCATGGAAGCTGCGTTCCCAAGCGAAACGCACCAACAACAGCTTCAGATCATGCACACTGCTCGTGTACGAGATGTCGCATCGCTGAGTGCTCTCCTGCATGTAGCTGCTGTGTCGAGTCATGCAGCCAGAGAAGGCAGCCTCCCCGACAGCTGGACCCCAGAGTGGAAGCAGGCCATTGCAGCGAGTGTTGGCATTCTGCAGGCTGGCACGTTCCCATTCATCGCGGCCGCGCGTTAAGCGTATGGCCGACGTGTGACAATCCACATGCACCACATTGAAGTGTGTCACGGTGGTGTACCCAATCGTTTTGCGCGACTTCAGTTCAAATTCCTCGACATTGCAGCGTTTGGTGAACGTATAGATGCCCAGCACCTTCTCCGGTTGACACGCATAGCCCTCACGACAAATGAAACAGGTAAGTCCCGTCTCGTCGCGCAGTTTCTCGATTTTTTGCAGTATGGAGCCCTTAGCCGTGACCTGACCCTTTTCATTAGTTCGCATGCCCAGCGCATCCAACTGCTTCTCACGCGTAGCCATCGCTAGCCGTTTTTTCTCGGCACGTGTAAAGTCTCGCACCTGTTGGACACGCGATGCCGTCGCCGCATCTGTGCTGAGTGCCTCGAGCAAATTCTCGGCCAGACTCCCAACATGTTCGTCACTGGACACCTGCTCCAGGCGATGTATAATGGGTATTATGTCCTTGCTTATGGCCAACTGGGTGGCCTCATGATGATTAGCCAGGCCAGTTAGAAAGCGCAAAATGTACTTCAGGCTTGGTCGCGAAATAAACTCCTTCAGTTCATCGGAATCCGTGCGCAGTAGTGTGGGCTTAACACATGGCGCATGTTCCGTAATATAAGCCAATGCGCTCTCCACAATACCCAGACTAACGATATAATCCTTCAGAGTACCGCCAATGCAATTGTGCTCAATTTGATTCGTTAGTACGCAGAATAGCTCCAACTTAAATTCCTCCTCGGTGGTGCGCTCGTTGTCAAAACGATTAAAATCAAGAGTATGCTAGGGAATGAAGAAAGAACTACGTTGAAAATCAAGAGTTGGATAACATAGATAGGACCTACCTTGAAGTGTTCGCAGAGCAGCGCCATTTTCACCTCGTTGCCGTAGACGAGCGCCGCAAGGACGCGTATGAGATGGCGCAACACAGATGGATTATTGCGCACATTTGGACAATCGGTGCAGGAGATAAGAGCGCTCACATATTCTGGCCCACCAAAGGTTAGCGAGAATTGCAGAAAAGAGTCGAGCGTATCGCTGGCAGCCTTGGACAGTATCGTTTCCATAATCTCGAGCAGTTGCTCCGTTACAGCAGATTGTATTGAATCGTTTTCCGATTGCAAACACATCTGAAGCACCTTTAGCAGTGTATTGATAGCTCCCACTTCAGGCTGGCACAGAACCTCCTGACAGCGGCGCACCTTAACGCAGATGAGGAATAGCTTGAGTAGCACTTGGATTAGTTCACGCTGGCGTGAGATGCGCTGTAGGCTGCCAATCCGCTCGAGCATGACCCTCAGGCCATTGCAATCGGCCAGAACATTGGCCATACGATACAACTGCTCGGTGTCCACCTGCTCCTGGCTCTTGTTATTCAACGTCTCCACGAATTCCTCGGTGGCATCGCCCAACAGACCGCGCATTCGATACACAATGCGCATGGCATCACGATCTCCGCCTTCGGCTAACCAGACCTTTTTATAGACATCTTTCACAGGCAGATCTAAGCTAATTATCTTGTTATTCACTAGCAGCTCCATGCCATTATCATCCTCCAGTAGCGCAATCAGTTCGCAGTCAGTGCAGATTTTATTTTTCACATCACGCATCAGCGGACCCAAGCCTACTTCGCTGGAAGGATATGGATTACCAAGCATGCGTCCCTGTAGGAAATCTTCCTGCTGTGGATCCTTCTCCAGTGTCATGTAGAATTCACTCTCATCATGCTCCTCGGGATGTATTATCGAGTAGAGACGTTCAAATATGAATACCGGCGTTTTGATATCATTCATCCGCGTCTTTTCCACAGTATCGATCAGAATTTCCATAAAGGCGCGCGTCTCTTCTTCAGTGCCGCTAGTCATCTCCTCCAGCATTTCCAACAGCTTCTCCTGCGCATCATCGATCAGACGTGTCCGCTGCACAACAAGACTACGCAAAGCCAAATAGCTCTCCAGCACGGGACCCAACAGACGCGTCTTGTAGGTGCGCCTGATGTTGGGACACTCAAGGAACAGCCACAGCAGCTCCACATACTGGCGTAGAGCATAGCCCAGTGAGAGATCCGAGGACAATGAATGTTCCTCCATGCGATGAATTTTACCAATCTCCACCGCCAAGAGCTGCGAGATTTCGCCTAGAACTCCACGCAAAACCAGATACTGCAGCCAAGGCGTTTCTGTGGCTACACTGCGATACAGAGTTAAGTACTCGGCACTTGCCTCTCCTGCCTCGCCCACATGCCGCAGGAAGCCGGTGAGCATATTAAGCGCTTGCTGTTTCCGTTCACTGGTACGGCACAAGCCGCTGAGCAGCGAACATGCCAACTGGCGACCGAAACGAGAGTTCGCGTTAAATAGCAGCGGCTGTATCCATTTAGCATTGAATACGAGCGGCTTAATCACTTTTTCCTTGTCCAGCACCTGTTGACGCCAGCGATGTCCATACTTCTCTGACAAAAAGGCAGCACGGACTTCAGCACGTCGCCCGCCCTTTAGTGGTGCATCACCAACCTGCGTTTGTTGCTTGTTGCTGATGTTGTTGCTGTTGCTACGCTGCTGCTGTTTGCCTCCTTCTTGCCGTTGATATTTATTGGTTGGCATGCGACTGCTCCAAGCACTATAATCGTGATTACGATCGGAACTTAGCCAGGCACGATAATCAATTGTGTTGCCATCAAGCAATTTAATGCTACACAGCTCCGTGGGGCCCAGTTGCTGTTGCGGCTGTTGCTGTTGTTGTTGTTGTTGTTGTTGTTGTTGCTGCTGCTGCTGCTGCTGTGGTTGATTGTTGTTGTTGTTCTTGCCAGCGCTGGGTAAGGCAGGACAAATCAAATTCTGCATGATGCGCAGGCAAGGATGGAGTACCGATGTCACAGGACCACGGGGCAACCTGGAAGAGAGATATATATTAAAATGAATTACATTTATGTTAGCCGGATAATATTATATAACTTAAACTTATCGGATCTACGGTCACCCACCGACAATTGCTGATGAATAGCTCAAAGATAACCTTCAGCTTGTATTCCCAGCAAACATCATCTTGTCCGAGCAGCACCTCTAGCAACGTCATTTCCTGATGCACAGCAGCCTCCAAACTAATTAAGGGTATTGCGCCCATTAACGCATTCTTGACACGTGTCGTAACCAGTTGCAGCAGATGCATGCACGCTTCGGCATTATCTTTAGTCAGCACAACGAGCAGATTGCGTACCTCCTCTTGAATTTGAGGTGTGCCGCGACGCAAATTATGCTCGGCAAGTTCACTGACCAAGCCCTGACTGTACAGACCCACACGGCAATCGTAGTTATATGCCATGGCTCGCAGCAGCGTAAGGCACTGCTCCGTGGAAGCCAAAGCGCAACCGTAGCACCGATTTGTTGTAAGATTCGTTTCAATGCCAGAAGGCATGCTCGCTGACGGCTGATCCTGCTGCTGGCGATCATAAGCAACCAGTTCACTAAAAGAAAGAAAGTAATTAACATATGGCTTATAAATGTAATATAGATGGCCAACTCACCTGCGACAAGCCTTAACCTTTTGCACAATCTTGCTGAGTTCCTCGAAGCTGGTGCGCGACTCTACGCAATATTTCTGGGCGAGTAGCTGGATGATCTTGTTCACTTGCGAGGTGCTATGTACGCTGCCCATATTATCCTCGACAAGGCGATCGCTGCTACGATGCTCCGCGACCTTTTGGATGAGCAGCTCGAGCATTTGTTTGTTGGTCAACAGTTGGCGATAGATGCGATCGGCACGCTCCAGCGAGCTATGTATTAGTTGTACCGTCTTCGCTCGATCCTCGGCCGACTCAATCGGATCCACTGCACAACAGACCCGTGCATACATGCTAAAATCAAATTTGGCATACTTGCAGAAGCCGCACGAGTGGCACAAGAACGGATCTTTCTCATCGTAGTTGATGGCACGACATTTGTGGCATTGGAACACATTTTCGCCACAGTTGCCGCAAACACCAGGATACGCTGGCACCGCTGCACTGCAGCGTGGACATTGCAAATTCTCACTGGAACCGCTGACCGTCTCGTAGAAGTCCGCAAATTCGATCATTAGATTACAAGCAGTAATCGGTAGAGGGAAATCAATTTTGAGCTCCGTTTGCCCCGATTGCAACGAGACGGAACGTGCTTTATGCCACAGCGCTGGACGATTCTTAAGCTCCACAACGGCCTGTACACTGCGATTGTTGTAGTAGACGTTTATGGTGCGCACCATTTTGGAGCGCTTGAGATCGGCGATGCGCACAATTAGCTTCGAGATGGTGTGGCACTGCACCAGTTTATAGATCATGGTAGTGGTTGTATATTTGGAGTCCGACTTGACCGAGGGCAGCTTAATATTGGCCATGGGCACCTCCGGGTTGTTACACACCAGACAAGGCTCTGATTCCAGGTAGTAACCATTAACCTGTATGGGAAAGGAGCTCTTTAATATACGACTTTTAATTTGTTATATACGATTGTGAACTGACCTGCAATATGGACTCCAGAGTGGTATAGATGGGCGCATTTGGATGCTTGCAGAGCAGCTCATTTTGCTGACGTAACACCTCAACTGCTCGAGAAACGAACTCCGGCAAGCGATCCGTAATGCTCCTCGTGCTTAGCGTTAGATAACCAAGCAGATCTACAAACTGCGCTGTGCGGCGGCCATAGCTGGGCACCAAAGGCCACAAATTCCAGAAGATGCTAAGCAACTTCTCACGCTGACGCTCGTTCGCATGCTCGAAAAGGCCTGTCATAAAGGAGTGCGCTTGCCAGCGCAGTTGACTCACATTGTTTTCTAGCAAAAAGATGCGCACAAAGCGTATTATGAGCGCATCGCTGGCATAGCGAAAGATTTGGTGGACAAAGGTGCTGCACTGAGCCGGATCGAATTTTGAATAGTATGCAGTATCCGTATCCTCGCTCTTCTCACGCTCACCACGCAGCTTACTGCTGGTTGAGATTGGCTGCGATTGCTGCTGCTGTTGTTGCTGCTTGATGCCTGTCATGGGCTGTGGTATATTGCAAACGGCTGCTTGAAGAAGCTGAATGATAATGGGTGAGACGCCATCGTCCAGTTGATAGCAGGCGATCTCCATTAGCATGGCCAAAGCATCCTCATGAACCACACAAAACTTTTGCCAATTGCCGGTTCGCATTTGACTAATCTCTTGACAGGTGCGCAAATGTTCGGTTAGCTCCACCAAAGCGTCATAGCTGAGCATTGGTGGATTAGCATTATAAGGAGCACCGTTCTTTAATAGATATTGATAGTATTAGATATAGCTAATTTACGGATTAGACTATTTACCTTGGTGCTGACAATGCTGCATACACGTTTAACCACCCGGAAGTGGGCATCCAACGAATGTCCGTCACGATACATGCGGAACTTCTCCTTGCTTCCACAGATGTACATCAGTAGTTTGCGTACCTGGCGACGCAGCAGCGCATTCAGATTAAGCATCATATACTCGCAGAGCGTAAAGGTCATCGCCTCGCAGAAACCGCTATCATAGTTGTCCGGATGAGCGCTGCTCAGACGCAATATCTGATATGGCAGACGCACAATAATCTCTGTGAGCAGTGCATCATACGACTCAAAGATGTCCGGATAGTTCTTCAAATAGTTATGTGGTATCAAAATCGATATATCCGGCTTGGGTCCATGCATAATGGGCTTCAATAGCTGTCCCGCTGTGCCCGTTCCACCCACGTTTCCACCTGCCGGTTGAGTAATGCCAGAGCCACCAGCAGCATAGGGATCTCCCAGCACTTGCTTCCAATGGACCAGTAGCGTATTGAGTGCTTCGAGAGCGTAAACAAACGCACCTCTTTTGCTTAATACATTCGCCGTAGTGCTGGCCACAAAAGAACTGTTATCCTTGAACTGATGTGGCGGCGAAGTGGTGCCCGTTTGCTTCGATTTAGTCTTGCCCATCATGACGCCAAATAGCGAAAGTAGCGCGAGTCGCACCTCATTACCAGGACACTTGGTTTCCATCTGCAACCATGTGTATTTGTTATGTTATCAACGATTATTATTTAAGAATTTACTTACCTTGGTGGCTACGCCTCGCTTGCCAATCTCCACGTAGTCCACAAGGGCGGCGAGCAGATCCTGCAGCACTTGCTGGTCCCTTTCATTGTTGCCATTCAAATCTGTGGTCAGCATCAGTATCACCTGAATGAGCGGTATAGCTTGCAGGCCATTGCACAGGTCAAATGTACTCAAATGTTCAATAATGCTCTCCAACACAGCAATCCTAATGTAAATTAAATCATTTTACATACGGCTCATATTGCAGATTCCTTGACTCACCTCAAATCATGTAGTTTACTCAGCTTCTCATCCTCGTTTATCTCATTGTCTTCGCTACTGCTCATGGCGCTGAGCGCTGCAACGCAGCCACTGCTTGTGCCCGGCTGCTCTTGTTCCTGATCTTTGCTTTGGCGTGGGGGCGAGGCATTCGCATGATCGCCAAAGTTACTGCTACGCGCCGAAGTGCCACCAATACTTTCGACACCGCTGCCACCGCTTTCAGAGCCGCCGCTGCCCGCTGGTTCAGCGGGTGATGTGCGCAGCGTGGAGCCATCGGTGGCCACATTAGAGCCTTCATCATCATCGGAACCGGCTGCATCGCCGCTGGCCGCCACATTTGCTGTAGCTGCTGCTGCCAGCCGTATTCCCTGTAGGTTAGCCAAACCCTGTTGCAGGGATTGCAATGCATTCGCATCGCCGCCATGCTGCTGCAGACTCAACGCTATGGCAATGTCCATAATGGCCTCATCGTCGGCATCTTCCGGCAAGCCAAGCAAGCGAGGAAAACCGCCGCCCATAAACGCTTCCAGATTGAGCAGCTGCTGCTGCTGTTGTTGCTGATTAACGCCCGCTGGATCTGCTTCAAGGAGTGCGTTGGCGTCGGCGCTAACGACAGCAGATGCATCCACAGCCGCTGCGGCCGCTTCCTCAATTATATCGCTGGCCGCCTGAGATGCAGCACCCTGCAAAGCGCTCAAATTGCTGCTGCTAATGGCCGAAGCCGACGGCGTGGGTGTCGAACAAGCTGGCGGTGTTGTCACAATAGCCACCTTCCTTCGCTTGATTCGCGGACTAAGTAACAAAATGAGCGCTTCCTTGGCACTATGGCTAATTACGCTCGCGTCATGCTTCAGCAGCTCAATGAAATACTTTGTCATGCGCCCCACTTGGCTCGCATCGGCCAATGCAAATCCATACATAATCTCCACTAGACAGTGGACAATCGTCTCTGGCTGGCAAAGACCGCGGCGCACAATATTCGTTGGTTCATCCAGCGCAGGGGTTACCTTATGAAGCTCCAAGACAATGGCCATTAGAGCGGGCACAATATCGTAGTTGCACTCGGCACAAATCTTGGCCAGCGATTGTGGCCGAGCATTGGCAATTCCACGAACGAGCAATATCAGACGATAAAATGCCTCCGGATCTATGTCCTGTAAAGTGTCCAATTGGGTTAACTTCGGCTGCATTGCCTGCAGTTCACTGTGCACAAATTGCAGTAAAACGCTATCCTTGTAGGCATGATAAGAGCCACGACTGCCATACAATGTCGCCAGCACATAACGTGCTTGGGTCTGCACGGGATTCGGTGTTGGTAAAAGCAACAAAGCGCTGGCTGTCTTCACCGCCTTTTGACGCATGGCAACTGCCACGGCGCCTCCATTGCCAAGCAAATGAAGCGCACAATCCAGTACCTCCAGCAGATGAGTACACATGCGATCGAGTTGGGTGATGCAATTGAAGCCCTCGCCAAAGTTTGCTGAACTAGCTGGTGAAGCAACAGCTGTGGCTGCACTGGCGCCGCCCGCTGTAGCAGGCATCTCCTCACTATCATCTGGCCAGCCGACAAGCTCCTTCGACTTGCCATAAACCTCAATGCAATCGAGCAGTGTCACATGTTCCGGATCTTGCGACTTGGCAAAGCATACCTTCAGCAACTTATCCGACTGTAGCATCTCCTCACGCGTCAGGGGTATATCAAACCAGCGAGCACGTCGCACAGGCGTTGCAATTGTCCTACCCAATATGCTCACTGACTGAGGAGCACGTTGTGTGTCCTGCGTGCCCAGTAGAACGCGTATGCCAACCATAACCACATTTGGATCGTTGTTCAGCACCTCTAGAGTGAATCCATTAGCTCTTGTGCTGGCCACAAACATGCCCGTTGAGAAGAGACGTGTCTTTAACTTTTGCTTATTGTATATCTGAAGCAAATCATTGCCACCGAATTCCACATCGGCCAACATATTGCAATGCTCGAAAAAGTCAATGGGAAAAACGGGTACTCCGCCCGATGTCAACTGCTTTTGCTGGCTACCAGCAACGCCAACAGCGACACCACCAGCACCGGATTTTCGTGGCAACTTGCTAGGCTTGCCCGACTTTGGACTACCAGCAGACAAAGTGGTGCCACTCTTGGCCAGCAAAGTGGCAGAGTAAAGTTGATTGCCCAATGGTTGGACGCGTGGTGATAACCAGAAGCTAGTTAACTCAGGCTGGGGTGAAAATATGCGCAGGCTACCATCCTCGCAGAGCAGAAGCAGTGTTGTTTTTTCCGTGCCGGCTACAGAGTGACGTATGCCCACCACATCCATGATACGTGACTTGGCCGATTGAGCCTTGATCTCCTGCATGTATATCAATTCCGGTGTGAGCATCAATATAATTGGATTGTTTGAGGTTTGCATATGGGCGTAAATGAGTCCTGGATGTCCAGCCACCTCGGTCCATTGAACCAGTGGTTGGAGTGGGCCTTTCGACGAAGATTTGCTAACAGCCGAATTCGTATCCAGATGGTAAATGCCCTTAACGCCGTGATTCACATTTGTTAGGGGGGAGACAAAGCTTCGACCCGATGCGTAGCTATAGAAGAGCAATTGCAGCGCGTGTGAGTAGTAAATAGAGACACCGCCACCGCCAACCTGTCCGTTCACATCCTTGATATGATGATGACTCAGCTCAAGCGTATTTGTCACATAAAAATCTCCATGCACGGCTAGACTCTGTTCGTCCAGCGTCTGGTAATATATATAACCGCTACTGGCGAAGGTCAACATATAATATTCGCCCTCCTGGTAAATAAAGGTGCAGTCACGTATCTTGCCCACCGCCACAAGATAATAGTACTTCGGACTGTATGCATCCAATGCCAGATCATAGATCTTCACATAATCGGAGGTAACCAAAGCTAGAAGCGTTTGGGAACCCGGCAGCCAGACAGCCTTCTTAATGTAATTGCCATTGTCCAATTGAGGTGTGACTACAATGTGCTCATTGGTGCTGCCGCTGCTGGAGAAGGTCAACACATGGCATTCCTTCAAGCCACATACAGCCAAGCAATCTTCGTTGCAGGGATTGGCAGCCAGCGAGAGAACGGTGCACGCTATGGGCGCTGAACTGAGCTGTGTCAGCGTTAGCTTACGCTTGGAGGCATCCGCTTGCTTAAGTAGCGCAGACAGCTGCAATATGGTTACCTTTCCTTTCTCATAGGATACCGCCAGCTGTTGACGTCTTCCATGTGGCGAAGACAGACAGCAAAATGCGACGCGTCTCACTACACCTGACGATATGAGATGTTTAATTGTCTGACCCTGGTCGCCGGAGTAGTTCATGCGCACATTTTCAAAGGCGCCTTCCTGCGAGCCCAGTGTGGCAAACATTAACTGATCTGTGATCTGAAATAAAGCAATGGATATTATGAATTGGCATTAATATCCAAGTTGTCCCATATTACGCACCTGGAAACTCTGATCAAGTTGATGTAGGCGCTCGAGCGCGACTGTTGCACGTTTGTGACAACCAACAATTGAGTATAGAGTGCAATTCTCCCGTATTGAAGGTAGTAGCACATCGAAATACTCGAGAATGCAGCGCACGACAAGCAGCCATTGATCTGGATGCTGCAATGCTTCACGGTGCGGCTCCAGCAACTTGCCAAGTAGCGCAATGCGCTCATTGCTTAGCGAATCTTTGCGTATCTGCGTGGGCGGCGACTGACGCTTCTTGCCGGCAGCCAAAAGGCTCATATGAGCCGAGACGTAACCGTCACGAGTATCGCAACCGCTGGTGGGCAGACGACGACTAAGAGCTTGGCAAGAGCCATCCTCTTTGGCGCCACAGTCACAAAAGAAATTGCCGTACTTAGCATAGCTGACATCGTGACCTTTGTGACAGACGCGAGCGCAAACAGAGCAAACGCCAACAGTGTTGATCATGTTGCAAGTGTGGCAATGATACCAATGTTGATTCATAAACTCTTTCTGAGTTTGCGAGAACGTACACAGTTTATTATTGAGCGTATCTTCATCAGAGTCATCCAGCAATGAGTCCTGTTCTTGTTGCTCATCGACCAACTCATCGTATAGTTCATCAATGTCCGATTGTAGCTCATCGTCCCATGGTGGCATATGCTGCCGACTGCCCCGATAGCCAATTCCCTGCAGCAGTTCGCTAAGGTAACGTAACAAAGCGCTCACATTCTCCGCATGACGTAGCTGTAGTTTTGCAAGCTCCAGCTTAGCCAACTCCAGCCAGAGTAACGTGGTATTGAACAGCGCAACATGACCACGTGCTGGAGCTGCATCCGCTAGTGTTATCATTATCTGTAGGACATCAGCAAAATCACAACCATCCTGCGGCGGCGTTATCAACGTCTGTCCCAGCTGCAGCAAGGCCTGGAATAATGGCGGAGCCAGCTGTGCAGCTGCTGGCTGCTCTCGCACCAACGACTTAACAAAACTAAGTAATAAGGCTCCATTGCGTGGTTGAGTGCCGTTATTCTGTTGATCACATGCCTGTGAAGAATCCTCGGATTGATTATTGGGCTGATTATTGCCCTGCCAGAGACTCAAGATTTGGGACGTATTAGGCGCTGCATTGCCGGAGCCCGCGCAATCATGATCAATATCCATGGCATCCAGCTGATCCGATATGCTGGGCATGGCCGATACAGTGGCCATATTCGTTGGAGTTTGTGCATTGCTGCTCGAGCTGCTCGACGGCTGCATTATACTGGTCAGCAACTTACACGATGCCTCGCAGCTGCTATTATTAGGCGCGACATTGGGACCATAGATTATGTGGGCCAGCCACAGCTTGAGACGTGCCACATCCACGCTAGCCAACTCGGCAAAGCATTCAACCAATTCCTCATGCAGAAAATGCGCGTCTGGTCCAGCTGCATGCTCAAACAGACGCTCCACAAACTGCAGCATCTTGCGTGCATAGCTTAAAGGCAATGTAGTACCCGTGAAGGAAAGCAACAATGTGGTTAAGCTACCTGCGCGCTGTTCCTTAAAGAACTGCCGCATTGCCTGTACAGCGGTTGGTACATCCAGCATTTTGATCATTGTCTTGAGAACAGCAAACAACATGGACTCGTTGAATAAAGCACGTTGTTCCTGTTCAGCAACAACAGCTTCAGTTGGCTGCTGTTTCAGTTCGGCAGCAAAGTCAATCAACATTTGATAACAGTGTCCGATCATGTGCTCGAAGAGCAGTTGTTTATGCGCCTCGTTGGTCAGGCCATGAAGAATTTCCCGCAGACATTGCTCACTCTGGCTCTGCAGATAATCGGTGCGCATATCCATCATTGATGCAATAAGCATTGGTTTCAACTGCGCCTCCACATCCCCAATTGTCGTACAGAAGGACAACAGCAGCTCCAATAGATTTAAAATGGATTTCAAGCAATGCTTTAGCGTATGGAGCGTGGTATAAGTCGAGGATTTGGTTAACTCTGTGATGTGAGCATCTATGACATTCAATGTGTACGGTTCGACCGGATGCTGTTTGCCATTGAAGGCTTCGTCGTTGACCAACAGACACTTGGGCCATTCATTAGCTATTAACTGTTTATCCTCATTGGGCAGAAGCTTAAGGAAAGCTGCATGCAGCTCCAACATAATTGCTGGCTTATCGCTCACCACAGGCACTATGAGATTGAGTGCCTGCTCCGGAGTAGTGCTCGATAGTTGTTTAAGCATCTGAGCGCATACAATATTCGATATGAGTGTGTAGGATTCCATTAGTTTAACTAACAGCTCATTGCTTAACTGTGTACGCTCGAGCAGTTCACCTGGTGTGAGTATACTGTCCTCTGTTAGCTTCGATTGTTGCTCATCAATGGACTCACTCGAGGAGTAAACCTCCGGGTCGGTGGCAGCGCTTGAATTTTCCCGTTCGCGACTCTCAGATGTGATGCTGTCGCTATCACTTTCCTTGCGCTGCACCTTGTAGCCTTCCTTATCAGCCCAAGCCACAGCCTGCATGTGTGCAATCAGTGCATCGAACAGAATTAAATCAGAAAGACGAGGATTTGGTGAAGCTATTGAAAAAATTCAATACAAATATATGTTATATTATAAACAATAGCTTATAGAATTTCCATACCTTTGCTAAGTTGCTTATTGAAGGCCTCCACACCCAGCACTGTCTGCTTTAGGCTGTAGCGTATATCTGCAGTGCGATCGCCCACCTGTGCCCACAATGACTCTGCGTACTGTGTGTACATGCCCTGCTTGATGAGACTGTTGACGACCAGATAATGCGAGTAGGCTAAAGGACAGCGTATGCTCCAAAGCAATGAATGTAAATTGGGTACACGTTCCGTTTTAAGTGACTCCACATGTGATGTAGAAGGTGGAAGGCCAAGAAGAAGCTTCCATGTGATGCTAAAGCAATACTGCATGGCACATAGATTATGCAGATTGTCCTTATCCTTAGTAAAAGCAGACATATCCGTAATAGCTAGTATATCAATAAGTGCATCCACTAGCAAAGGATACTTTAGTTTATCTGGCGTGCACAATATAAAATTCCAGGCTAAGCCATCTAATTTGAATTCCTGGGCCCAATGGGGTTTTGAAGAATCCGCAGTGACCAAGGAATAAAAAGTGGGACGAATGCCTGTATGAATGGAAATATATTAGTTAATTTTTATACATATTTATTGAGACCTACTTGAGCTGAGATCGCCCACAGTGCAATTGCGAAACTTTTCCTCAATATCCTGGCGGCAATAGGACGTCAATTTGGTTCGACTATTAAGTAAGTCTGTAATCTTTTGCGTATCTGGCATACTGCTGACACTAAACAGATTCCAGCGAACCTGATCGAGCAACTCAGGTGGCGCATTGTACAGATGCTTCATTAGATACTCGAGGAAGAGCAAAAGGCGCGAGAGCAACATCATTTGGCTATTGCGTACAGGACGCTCCGAACTGATACCGCGGCAGACATCGGCACAGCGTATGACACCGCCAGCAGTGAGCAATAATATTGATTTCTTCTGCATCAGATTAAGTGAGTGAAACAAGAAGAGCAATAGCTGAGCGTGTTCAATATTCAAGTCCTCGTAGTCCGTATCACTGGCATTAGCAGACGAGCAAACGCCCTCAACCAGCGTGTTAATAAGACGATGCCATACGGACAAACAGGCTGCCTCCTTTTCCTGCGTCGGCTTCAGCAACAAAATCTGCACCAGCACGGATAGAGTGCTGGGATAGACTTGCAGTGGCCAACTATTGGTATCTGTGGACCACGGTGAAATGGCCAAATGTTGCAGCAGATTAGATTGCAGCTGCTCCGAGAGCAACGATGTCGAGATCAAATTGTGTATATAACGTCCGGCAGCGCCCGAAAAGCGAATCATTGCCGATTGCCAATTGGAACAGTTGCCATCGCCACCACCACTAGAATTACCACCTGCCTCCTGACGCATAACATCCCGATCAAAGTCTTTAATAATATTCGCCATGAGCAACATTTGCTGATCACTAACGCCCGCCTTAACATAGCGCTGCATATAGGCATGTCGATTAGCCAAAAATTGATCCAGGAAACAGAATATATCTGCAGCCAAGTCAAGATATTCATGTGGTTCATCCAGTCTGGGCACTAGTGCGGATTTCTGCTCTCCGCTGCGCTCCTGAGTGCAAGCATTGGCATTATCATCATGCGTCTCTGGAGACAGAGTCTCCTTAAACCAATGGCCCAAATAGCTTTCGCTGTCATCCTCTTCCGAATTGTCTGAACAGGAGAGTGAATCATTAAAATATGTTGTTGAATCCGAGTAGCTAATTGGTTCACATTCGGTGCGATCCTTCGTATTGGCACGTTTCAAAGTGCACGCCTTGCGATATGCCACAGTGGCCAAGAAGGTGAAGAGTTGATGCAATGTGGCTGTGTTTAAAACGCGCACAATACGCTGTAGAGCAGTGTAATTTTGCAATATATCAAATTGCGCTGGCTCTATATCCAGGCAGCTGGTACTTCCACTGCTGCTGGTCGAGCCGCAAGCAGATTCAATTTTTAGATCATCGATGAGCTCCGAGAGAAGTTTAATGCTATGATTGGCAATGGCTGCATTTAGCTCGCCAAATCCTTGTTGCACCTTAAACAGATTAACACGCGCTATGGGCGTGCTAGGCGCGACATTTGATTCCGCTGTGCTGGTTGCAGATTTGCCAGTTGATGTGCCACTGCTGCTGCTGCTACTCCCAGAAGCTCCCATGGCGCCTTGTATGCCACTAATAAGTAACCAAGAACCATAACACAAATGATTCTGATATACATGCATACGTGCGGAGGCTTTAAACATCTCTCCTATGCTCGTGTAGATCTCAAGCGCTTTATTTACGATGGTGCAGGCCTGTTCCTCGAAATCATCGTGGTCCTTGGCACCAGTCGAAACATTACTGTTGTTGCCACTGCCCTGGCTAGTTGTCGCAGCTGCTGGCTGTTGTTTCTGTGATCCTCCACTGGCCTGGCACATGCTCAGCACACTAGCCGCTATAGAGGTCAGCACTGCATTGTACAACGCTGCAATGCCGCACATTGAAAGCTTCTCGATGCGACTCGGCGTGAGCGGCTGAAGTGCAATCAACGAATGTGCTTGCCCCAATATGGATAAATCGGTTAGCATATGTGCCATTGCCGATTTGACGGTGCTAGCCTCCACTTGCGTAAGCGGCAAATACAACGCTTTGCCGCCCACAATTGTCTCCTGGTATTTCGACCGATAGCGATTGAGTATGGGCAAACAAACGCCTACGTCGAGCAAAGTGTCCACGCCGTTTTGTTCTTGAAAGTATTCAACATTGGCGGCCAGCAGTTGTTCCTATCATAAAGAAAACAAATTAGAAATATATCCAATTAGAGCTTTAAGGAAACTAAAACTATAAAAGTTATATTTAGTGAGTCAATAATTAAATACAAAACAAAAAAAAATATGATTTATATATAGATATATGAAATAGATAAAGATGTATATATATATATCAAGCTTTTACAGTCTAGCTTGAGTTGAAATTGGACAACAAAAAGTCGTACTCAATTCTATATATGCACTATATCTGCAAGAGTACACTACTCAATAAAAACAGTTCCTTACAGTGCAGTCGTTGATCTCCTCACTCAATGGCACCCATGTCATTTTGCCAGGCTCTAAAGGCGCCAATAGCTGTTGCAGTATAACTGTCGAAAGATCTGAACGCGACCGTTTAATCTCCGATTTCGGCGATTCCTTTTCGTTTCCAGTTGCGCCGCTGGCAACGCTGCTGCAGCTGCTACTACTAATGCTTTTGATATTTGATTCTGGATGCTTCGCGCTCTTCAATACAGCAGCCACAGCATTATAATCAAACTGTGTGGACGAGCCCGAACCTTGGGTAACGCTTTCGCGACCCTCGCACAACATTTTCAGTGCGACCAACAGCCATTTGATCTCATACACTGACACCTTCGGCAATCGGAAAAGTATGAAACGTATAAGCACTGCACTGGCATCGTGCAGTTGTGAAATTTGCGTCTGGCATACTAAGAAATAGAGATAGAAAGAAAATACGAATGCATAAGTATAGTATCAAATATTTATACAGTCGACCAGCTGCGACCTGACGAACATGATTAAATCGTCGCGACTGTTGCTGATGAAGAATATTCTTATATAGGTGTGAATATATATGACTGTGTGTGTGCATGCATGAATGCATGTATGCATGTATGCGTAAATTCACAAAAGGCTTTTTATATAGATTTCAGGATAATCATAATACCGCACATATGCATCGAGAATAGACTAAAATAAAAGCAACCTGCATTAGTCATCCGTAAATTATTGCTTTTCTCTAGCAAATTCTCTTTTGTTGCACATTGAAAAAAAATCATTACGAGCAGCAAGGCAAAGAAGGGGGTAACACTTACTCGACTTAATTTGCATTATCTTATCGGCCGCCAGAGCCGCAAAGGCTGTGTAATATTGTGTATAGTTGCTTTCATCATCGAAAAACTCATGTTCACTATAAAAAAATTCAAATCGAAAATATATATTGTATTTGTTTGCAAACTTACAAAAGTTTCGTCATAGCGGGTCGCCATATTTAATTTGCAAGTCACCTTGCAGACAAATTTTCAACTGCGCCATTTGGCCATCAAATGTTGTTTTTGGACAATAATTTGATATGCACTTACCATCTGGTAATCGCTTTTAGTAAATTTGATATTTCATTTTTATTTAAAGCGCTTGTACGGTTTGATAAAAGTGGTTTTACAACCGAGTTCCAATCCGTACCTCCACTGTGCGCCGACATTTTTTTAACTCTGACGTCCCTTTTTTTCTTTTCTTGTCGTCTTCTTCTTCTTCTTCAAGTTCGATTGCTTTTGCGACTGTCAGCGGTGCGCTTGCTTTGGTGCTTTGTTTAGCGGTACTTTTGTTGTGGCGTATTCTTTGTTTACGTATATAAAGAAAATGGAAGACGTATAATTTTTGGAGAGTTGTGAGTGACACACCTTTCGTGCACAGCTGATGGATAGTGTTGGTTAAAAGATTTGCAAATTTCCACAAAAATTAAATATTAAATTTATGTAAGTACATTAGATAAAAATCATAACGCGTACAAATAGTATAGGTATGCTATTACCTACAAAAATAAATAGGCTACGCATACTGTGTTATTATCTAAAATAGCCATTTTGACAATTTTTCCACTTTTTTTATTGATTGAACAACACTGTTAAATGCAACGCGTGTTTTTGTTTAGCTCTGGATTTTTGGAGCTATCATTTGCTTTATTAAATTGAATTAAAAGAAAATGCAATTTCATTTTAAAATTGCGGAGCCGGAAGCAAATATTACGGGCGTTCCGAACACCACCAATCCACATAGTGCGTTACAGCCCCAGCAGCCGGCGGTATTGACAGAGCCAAAAGATGCGCAACATGAAATTAAATTACAGTAAGTTGCAATAATTAACTGTAAATGCAGTAAGTTGACTGTTTATTCGTAGAAACATTGTTGCCACATTTTCCGTTGATTGTGAACTGGATTTGAAAACCATCAATTCGCGCACCCGCAACTCGGAATACACGCCCAAGCGATTCAGAGGAGTCATCATGCGCATGCACTCACCTCGGTGCACAGCTTTGATTTTTCGCACCGGCAAGGTAATTTGCACAGGTGCCCGTAACGAAACTGAGGCGAACATCGGGTCACGGAAATTCGCACGCATCTTACAGAAATTGGGCTTCCCTGTTAAATTTGCTGATTATAAACTTCAGAATATTGTTGCCACTGTTGATTTACGATTTCCCATTCGCTTGGAGAATCTGAACCAGGTGCACGGCCAATTTAGCTCGTATGAGCCGGAAATGTTTCCGGGTCTCATTTACCGTATGGTAAAGCCACGCATTGTCCTGCTTATCTTTGTCAATGGCAAGATTGTGTTTACCGGCGCTAAATCCAGAAAAGATATCATGGATTGCTTGGAAGCCATTTCCCCGATTTTGCTTAGTTTTCGCAAAACGTAGAGCCTCTATTTATATACTTTAAGTTACTTTTTAATATTGTATATGTAGCATTTACCGAACAATTAACCATATGATATTTAATTATTTATGTATATTACTTTAATAAATAAATTGATATGAAATAAGAATGCATTTTGGATAAAAGTAAACAGAAGACAATGTGACCACACTTATTTTGTTGGACGGTTTAGCTGCGCAAGCAGTGTGACCACACTCGTTAAACAGATCATTTATGACTTGTATTTGTCTCTCATTCGTAAATTCCCGGCGCTTAAAAACTGATTCAAAATATTCGTTAATTTAAATTTATTTTTCTTTCGTTACATAGAAAACGTAAAATACAAAAAAATATTTCACTTTATAGTTTCATTTCGTTTCTTTTCTCTTACCATAAATGGAGGGACGGAGTACTTGATTTGAGAGTACATGGCTTCTATATATATATAGTTCGTATATAATATACAAGAGCAATATCTAACTGTTTTTTTCAAGCATACAAATACGTATAAGACTTAATCTCTAAATAGATTCATTTTGTTGCATTATTTAAAACATAAATGTATTGGACGGTCGCTGTCAACGCTAATCATAATCCATTAGCTTTTATAAATTGTTCAGTTTAAATGTTATAAGATTTAAAAATTTGATATGCATGCAGTATTTAAAAATATAAAAGTTATATATATAAACTATCGATTTCTAAAATCTAGTAAAGGCAATTTGTGATTTATATAAAAGACACATTCTTGTTACTTTTTTTCTTCACTTTTTCAGCTTTCATTTAAAGTGGCTTTTAAAGCGGTTGAAGATAAGGCAAAGAGATTCTTTTCGTGATTCGATTCGATAGATATAGCTTACAATATTACTATATATATATAACTATATATAAGTTAATGGTTTGTGTACATAAAGTTTGATATTTCATTTCTGTGGTTGGTCAAATTACAAAAGCAATTGTCCATTTGGATGCAGTTTTTTTTTCTTTTTTTGTACATATTTCGAGATTACGATTTAAACGTTGATTACAAAATAATAATAAATTGCTAGCAGTTGAACATATAATAAACGTCAGGACGGAATGCAATTTCGTAAAAAAAAATAAAAACAAAACTGAAATAATAAATCCAACTATAAAAACTCAACACTCATTCGAATTCAAAGCTAATAAGCTAAACATAATTTGTGTTTGGTTGTTAGACATGGGTGGGTGGCTAGATGGATGGATGGACCTCGTCTAGGTAAACAGATGTAGAGTTTGGAGCACTAGATGCGTACGACTGCGCAGCAGATAAATAAATACGCTAAAGAACAATAGCGAGAAGGACATCGAAGACCGCCAGCCCACATTATAGATGGAACAGTAGGGGCATTGCGAACTGCCACATACCTCGCAAATATTTAGCAGATATGTGGGCAGAGCATCGAAGATGGATTCGTTAAAGCGCTCTGCGTAGGAGTAAAGGAAATGTATCATTATTATATATAAATGTATATATATTTATAAATTCAGCTTATAACTCACCCGGTGCATAGTAGTCATAAATGCGCACAGGCAGATAACGTGACATGTTGGCCACTGGATACCAGCGCTCTATGGTAAAGTTAACGCAGATATCCTCCTGATCCAGCTGTAAGTATAATTCAATCATTTTAAATCTATATACACATATAAGATCTCAGCTCAGCTCTTACATAATCAAAATAGAAGACAATCTTGCGTTCCAAGTAACGTGCTCGTCGCAAATTGCGCACACGATTGCTTAATACATAACTATCCAGTTTCTGTTGCTGTATCCAATAGCCAGTGGGTATAGCCACATCCAGTACAGCCATGCCCGAACGTTCCGATTCCTGTGTGTTTACCCAGCTGCAATGATGTACAAAGATGAATTATAGTTCAGGAGGAATGTAGAGCAGTGCAACTTACTTTTGGCAGGCTACGTATGAGATGTGAGACTGATTTCTGCCATGGAATATGGCATTTGTATGCAGCCCAAATGCTGGCACCGGTGGCTTCGTTTGGAATTTGGCTATATCCACATTGTATTGAACATGCATCTGCAGTATAGCATAGCCAGCGCCCTTGGCCTGCACCTTAATGGTACCCCAAGCATCAGGTATCTGTTTCGATAAAGTATATAACATAATTAATAAAGCAATTACCACAATTTGCCCATCGCCCACAAACCTCAATGCTCTGTAGCCTGGCCAAATTGGTGTCATCGATGCGCAGCTCCTGTGTCTTTCCACCCTGGGAGGATGCTTCAATCTCCACACTTAATGAGGACACATCACGTATACGTGAACGTACGGTATACTCGACCAAGGCACGCAACGCTGTGCTAGTATCCTGCGTGGATGCCCAGCCGCCTTCATTCAAACGCTGTGCATTCAGCCATCTAACAATCGGTTCCACGAAGAACTCACGACGTGCCACATAGACCAACAATGCATACGCTGTTGTCTCGATATTTAACGAATCGTATTCATATGGCAGTCGGGGCAGGGAGAACCATTTCTGATTTTCCAGTTTACGCGGCGGTTGCGGCAACTCCTGATTGCCCCAATACATAAAGTCGCCAATGGTTCTGGCATGTCGCCGCAATATGCTGAACACATGCTCCGCAATAGGTGAATTGCAGAGTTGTAGAGCGTACGCCGTAATTGCCACATCATACGGTTCCGGCGTATCCTTTAAGAATTGCATATTTCGTTCGATCCAAGCAACGGCACGCTGTGTGGCCAGCGCCACGCGCGAGCCAAGCGTTCCAGATAGATCCTTAACGGTGGCCAGGGTGATGAGCACATGTGAGGTCAAGGTGATATTACGATTCCGTAAACTTGTGTAGCTGGCAAAGTTGGTACGATTTATTTTACGATCCGGCAACCAGGTGACCTCATAGAAAGCACCCTCCGGCGTTTGATGCTGCAGCAGCCAGCGCATATTCTTTTCAATGATGGTGGCATCAATCCAAATGAAATTCTCCCACTCATAGAACGAGGCCTCCTGGAAGATGCGCAAGCAGTAGCTGGTCAACCACACAGACGACGCCGAATTATTCCAATCGGAACGGAACAGCGAAAAGCTGCCATCGGCACGCATGAAGCTCAGTTGCCGCTGATAGCCAATGTTCATGTGATAGAAGGCGTTCCTCTCCAGCGTCTTGTTACGCTGATTGATCAGACGCATATACATAATCGTATATAGATTGGCGGCGAAGCTGAAGGCATTCTGTTCGGCTGACTCCATGGGCAGATATAGCAGCGAGCTCGCGTTGACGGGCATCGTTGGGAATATGGGTCCCACCACATCGCCAACGACAGAGATTCGCGCACGATTTGAGCCGTAGACAAAGTAACGATCCACTTGGTAAGGTATTTCCGGTGTTTGTGTCACATTCACATGCATATACTCCAGCACATAGGCACGATTCGACAAATCCAACAGAACCGATTGATGACGATATTGCGGCAAGCCATCCGATTCGACGTGCAGTGTACGGGTTATCGTATCCGTGCCCAATAGCGTGGCCACGTGCAGTGTCACATCCACGTCGCCCAGTCGCTGCGGCACCACTGGCACATAGACCACTGTCGTGCCTTGTGCATCCAAATAGATAAAGAACTGATGCTCGCCGAAGCTCGTCCTTGGATTATAACTGCGCACGATGCCATCCTCTTCGACATGCACAAATTTATAGTTCGGACTGCCGTGCAGCACTACGGTTGCCTCAATGGGCGTGGTCATGTAGTTGAAGACCGTGACACGTATGCCCACCTGCTCGCCCTGTCGACAAACCGTTGGCATTTCCACATTGATAAAGAACGGCTGGACTCCAACGTATTCCAGGGCACGATTCAGCATGCCAAAACCTTTCGATGGACTGACACTGAAAGCGCTGACCATCCAATAGGCGGGACGATCGGGCACATCCACGTTGAATATAAATCGTCCATGTGGACCAATGTTCACGTCCTTCCATAGCCAAACGTTCTCGTAGTGCCGCAGCACGCGATTGAAACGATATTTGCGATAATTCAAGAGCTCTGTATCATTTTGAACCCGGCAGCCGATCTCATCGGTGCCATCGTCGCAGTCGAAGATTCCATCACAATGTTTATCCAGCCGATAGCAACGTCCACTCAAGCATTCGCCATAGCCCAAGGTGCGATTGCAGCTCTCCTGCCGGCGTGGCACATAGCCATCCGTAAAGACTATCAATCCATTATACTCGAACGTGCGATTCGCATCGACGCCAAAGGAGGAAGCCGGGAAATAGACAAGCTCATCGGGATTACCCTCGTGGGAGTACCAAATGCGTTTGTATGTGCCATTCGTTTGCTCATCGAAGTTTGACATTTTTGTTATAATTTTGGCATAGGTCAGCTCATTGCCCGCTTGCATGGTATAGAAGGCGCTATCGATGCCAGATAGACCCACATAGGAGCCCGGTTCACCAAAGATGGCAACCTCTACCTTTTCACCTGTGCGCGCTTTACGATTGTTAATGTAGACCGTAAAGTTGTTACGTGAAATGCCATTGACGGGGAAGGTTAGCGAATCGGCAACCACTTGACCCTGCTGGGTGATCTTCCAAACCACCAAAGTGGCCACCGGCGCCATCTCAGCGCTAAGAACCACCGCAATGGTGCGTATACCTTCGACAATGGGCTCCCGATCATTGATCAAGATAACGCCTTTGGACATGATTAGATAGTTGAACTCCTCCAAGTGGAAATTGGTGCGAATGTGGAAGATGATGTACTCTCCCACAACAGGCTGCTCCGTACTGGTGGTAATCTTGATGTGTTGATTGCGCGGCGAATAATGTGCGACGAGCAACAATTCGGTTTGAATGCGTTCACCTCTCGGATCCACGAAGACAGCCTGCAAGCGCATATTCTGTATGCCATTGAGGAAGTCCCTCGACTGTGGACGTTCATCCAGCTGCAGATCATGGCGTATATCAATCTTCAGCTCCCAAACGCCATCCGTTTGCTGGGACATGTGCAAACGCTGAGCCGGCCACTCACGGCGTCCGCCATTGCGACTCTCCACGAAGCCGCTGACCTCCATTAGACCCTGGCGCAACAAATAGGGATCGATGCGTGAGCCATCATGATATTCCACAACTAGATAGGTAGTGAAAGGCATTGCCGGCTTAAAGACCTGCGGCGATTCGCCGAGAAAAGCGACACGCAAACTGGAATTGTAGACACGCGCCACGGAATAGCCGCTGATGATCTCATCATAGAATTTCTCGCCAACAGTCGCCGTAATGAGCACCTCCATATTGGCCATATTCGGCACAAGCATCTCCAATTCGCGCAGCGGCCATTTAAAGTCAAAGGTGCCATTGAAGTACCTCAAATAGGGCAAACTATTGCGATAGCTGCTCGTCCAGGAATCATAGTTATCCAGTACCTCCGGCTTGCGCACCCAGAATGGCCATTCTTCCTCAAATTGATAGCTACGCTCCACTATATATTGGTTGCGATAGAGCAACTCCTGCGATAGATCCACGCCATCCTGTGGCAGCTGAGCGGGTACATTGAATTGCTGATTTGGATTTTGATTGGGATTATTATAGCGAAAGCGATCGTTATACAAATTCATTTGCTCCAGCGGCGAGCGACCCAAACGGAATTTCTCATTCAGCACCTGATTGCTAAAGTAGCCAATGGGTCGTATGGTGGCCTTCAGCGTTAGATTGCCACGCACGGGCAGACCACTGGTAAAGTTGGCCATAACTCGGCCATAGATGTACGGATCGGTGGTAAAGAAGTACGCAGGCATTGTGACGTTGACTTCGAAGCGTGTTTGATAGTATTCCTCGACACTGAAGTGGCTCTCCTCCTTCTGGCCCTGGGCAATCACACGAATTGTCCATTCACCAAATGTTGGCTGATCCGAGAGTTTGTATTCCAGCGAAACGGAGCCCAAATTCGATTGACTGAGAGTGAGAGAGAAAGAGATAGAGTGAGTGAGTAAGTTCATCAAGATCTTACAGAAATTGGTGTCTACAAGCAGATAATACTTAGATTGGAGATATATTCAGCACATATATCTTTACTCATCTGTTATAGCATCTCTATTCAGCATATATCTATCAGATATTCAGATCTATTCAGCTATCAGATATGTATTCAGCAGATATGTATTCAATAAATATTTATTCAGCAGCTATCTACCGGATATATATATGCAGCTGATTTATATTCAAAATATATCTATTTAGCACAGACACATATTTTACATACATATATCTATTCAGCAAGCAGATTGTTGGAGATATATTCAGCACATATATCTTTACTCATCTGCTATAGCATCTCTATTCAGTATATATATCAGATATTCAGATCTATTCAGCTATTAGATATGTATTCAGCAGATATGTATTCAATAAATATTTATTCAGCAGCTATCTACCGGACATATATATATTCAGCTGATTTATTCAGCTGATTTATGTTCAAAATATATCTCTTTAACAGACACATATTTTGCATACATATATTAAGCAGAAATCTATTCAGCAAGCAGATTGTTGGAGATATATTCAGCACATATATCTTTACTCATCTGCTATAGCATCTCTATTCAGCATATATATCAAATATTCAGATATATTCAGCTATTAGATATGTATTCAGCAGATATGTATTCAATAAATATTTATTCAGCAGCTATCTACCGGACATATATATATTCAGCAGATTTATTCAGCTGATTTATGTTCAAAATATATCTCTTTAACAGACACATATTTTGCATACATATATTAAGCAGAAATCTATTCAGCAGGCTCAATCAATACTGATCACTTACCGGGAAAGCCAACGCTTCAGTATGTGCCCATTGGGATCCAGCATATAGACATCGATGGTATTATCGAAGCCCTTCAGTTCTGTGGTAATCGGTATCGTACGGAAGCGCACCGTCTCGCCCTGCATGTAGAGCGGTTTGTCGGTCTGCACAAAAATGGTCATTGAGCGCTGTGAAAAGTCAAGTCGCGTATCGTTCAAAAAGGCAACGCCGCCAAAGACATCCTGATAGAAGCCCTCAACGCGTAGTCTATAATTTCCCGTTACACTTGTGGGCGGTATACGCATGAGCAAAGTTTCGGGTACACCTTCCTTCACATCCTTGGAATCGCCACTAACTTGAACGCCATCACACGAGATACTGGCATGCACAGTGATGGGATATTTAGCCTGGAGTATCGAGACTGATACCTGGTAGATTAAGCCAGGACGCACCATGCGAGAGGCAACAATAAAGTACGTGGGCTCTCGATTATGCAATGTCTCTAGAAAAATATTTTTCGTATTGTACGCCGACTTGCCACGCTGCAAACTGGGCTCGTCGTCATCATAGCCACCAACGCCGCCGCCGCTCAGTCGTTTATTATAGTCATCCTGAGTGCCTAAATCATTGTAGCTGCCATCGTTGCGATATACAGTTGGATTCGGATTTAGATTGGGATTCAAATTTGGATTGAGATTCGTTCCATATAATGGATTATTGTTATCGTATGCTGATGTGGGCTGTGGCAGCAGAGGCTGTTGTTGCTGTTGTTGTAGTTTCTGTTGCAGCAGTTGTTGTTGCTGCTGTTGTTGTTGCTGTTGTACGTTGTAGTAGCTGCTATCGCTTTGCGCTGCAACCAGCTGCAGCAGCAGCAACGCATGCAGCATATGCCACAAGCGTTGCATCCTCATCCAAATAGTGACTGACTGGAACAAAGAGAAAGAAAATAACCAAAAATTAGATGAAGTCAATCAATCAGTGCGCAAAGTGAAGTGCATCAATTAGCAAGTCCCCAATGTATATACATATACTATATAAAGGTACTCTATATATAGCTGAATGCTTGAGCTGTTTTATCTTGTTCGCTGTGTGTGTGTTTGTTGAGGCTCTTGTTTAGTCTGCTCCCAGAGTTCTTTTCCGCGTGCTGTTCAGGCAACCAAAACAGCAACCACTAACATAACAGCATCTGTGCAAGACGGGCAACAACGAAGCATGAATACTCTGTTATGCAAGAGACAGCGCACTTTCAGATCACAGTCGTAGATTAGAGGAATCGTCTTTCGTTTTTAATCACATATTAAGAATAGAGATGTCATAAGAATAAACAAATACATTTAGACATTTAGCATACCCTACTACAAAGGGTATTTAAAGAGGGCACTGCATACTTATTTATAGCAATTCCCAACTGGCTAGTGCCATGGTACACAACTACATACATAGCCATGCACATGCGTGTCATACATACAAACAGCATGGATTTAGACAGCACACGCACACTCACACACTCACACATAGGCACAGAGATTTACGCACACAAAATGCGACATTTAAATGATGTCAAATTTTAAGTTAAATGTCATTTCAAAGTGGGCGCGCAATTAGTCTTTGATATGGGATATGTGCCAAAGCGTTTTTATGGCGAGAAAAGAAAATTCGAAGTAGGCTTTAAAAATTTACGACACATTCCGCAACACAATACGAGCCGTCCTACTTTAGTATTCGTTGGCATTAGGCCCTAGGCATTAGTTATTGGAAATTCAACAAGCAAACGGAAAAGCCTATTACACAAATAGAAAATGGAAACAATTAATTAGAATTCTCAATAATTGCAGAGTTTAGTTTGCTTAGCTCGCGAGCCGCTGATTGTCGTTACAGAGTGTTGCCACCTAGTTTATATTTACTATAATATGAATCACACAGCAAGCATATAAGAACTATCTGTTTGTGTTTGCAAATGAAGATTTCAGCTCTTTTTTATATTAGTTTTGTATAATATAGATAGCTTTGGTTCTAAAAGCCATTCGTCTATACATATTTGTGACAACTGTGCGACTAAGTGTCATTAGATCATAAATTTGATAACTCGTTGAACTGCTAGAGGCAAGGGCGAGCACTAGCATCTTCGATTATCGCTACCTAATTTCCATTGCACTCAATTTTCAATAGCAGAGCGTTGCCGTATTTTTTAATATTCTAATGTATTTTGAGCAGTGCTTGGAATTTTACATCCGTTGATATTCAAAACTTCTTTGGAACTAGAAATGGCGATTGTTGAGAGCTGCGAAATTTAACGGCACTTAATTTTTGACATTGACGTATTGAGCCTTATAAGAAGGAAAGCAGCTTATCAAGATCATAAAAAACACCCCAACTGCCAGCAAAAGAAATAATATAATAAAGGACAATATCTGCCTTAGGTAAAAAGACAACATCTGAAGGCAACCATAGAAAAACAAGCGTAAAAAGGTGAGAGGCAAGGACAATTAGGTGCCCGGCATACAGGGCGCACTTGACCCTCGGCCAAAAAAACCTGACAAAGAGAGAGAGGGGAAGAACATTTGAAAGGCAGTTGCCGGTAACGAGCAAAACAACAGAGCACGCAACACAGAAGATAGTGTCAGTTACCTGTGAGTGTGTATGTGCGACTTGTACATATGTGTGAGAGTATGTATGTATGAACGTGTGTGTGTGTGTGTTGTCTGCGCAGTGAAGCAGCAGAAGTCGCTGGCCGATGTGGAAAATAAACACAGCAAGAGAAGAAAAACGGTTATAATAATTCAGCTGAACGCTGTTGCAAGAGCAACGGACAGTGTAATCCACCCTTTTACTGATGTAGAGAAGCATAGTGCGCACACACACACATATATATATAGTCAAGTCCACATTCATGTAAAGTGGTATTAATTAGTGTAAAACGAGGGGTAAGGCAGGGCAAAAGTGCAATTGAAATGCGTGCAGGAACTGGGCACACGAATATGCAAAAATGTATAGGGGCTAAGAAATTTAAGCGTGGCTCAAATTTCCAATTGGGCAGCAGGTGGCAGACGCCTGCCTTTCTTGCAGAAAAAAGACTGCAGCCATTTTTTGTATAGTTTTGTTTTAACTAATGCATAAAATAGAGCAGTTAACATTTGAAGAGCTTACGCTTTGACTATTCAATTTTTGGTCAACGCCCATGTGAGAGCAACAACAACAACATAATAACAACGCAAGCAGCAGCGCAGGTATTTGAGCAAACATTTTGGGCGGGTCACTTTTGCGAGGCGCTATAGCCATTACTCACCTGTTTTATGAATTGATGTGTGCTCGAGCAATGTTGGAAATCGGGCGCATTATTTGTAATAACAAAATCAACACAAAATATATAACTTTTAACTTAAATGTTAAATTAAGAAAACACAAAACCAACAGCACGAAGCACTCACACACACGAACCCGCAACGCGATGACTTATGTTAGTGACGTGCAAACAGAAACTGAGTGTAGTTATCGTACCACACCCCTAACTATCGCATGCCAGGGCTTCACAAATGGATCGATCTTGATTAACACGATTACATTTTTGAAATCGAAAATATATGCTACTGTTAAAAATCAAAATAATTGAAAACAATAAATATTTACAATAATTTTGTGACCATTTCGCTGTAAAACTAAAATTCAAATCACATTGCAAATTAAGTTGTGATGCAACAATGTTTTCTTTTACCAATAATTATGTTTTCGTAAGCATGAGATAAATATAAATCAATTAAAATAACATGTTAACAGAGATTAAATTGTTGTCATTAGTCTTTTATACGATATATTTAAAAGGTATTCAGAGTCGACAGCTGTCTAATGCTATCGATATATGACACTAGTATTGGCTAACGATAGTTAAACCGAGCTGTATATTTCAGTATTTTTATAAGGGCAAAATGTGCGACCAAACTTGGACTGGCAATAAATGCCTATAATTTCAGGAGTGTGTGTGTGTGTGTATTGTATGCGTGTGATGTAAGGTCATTCGCGTGAAAATATCAGCGAGGAAAAAATCGAATTTTTGTGTTTTGTGTGCTAGGTAAATTCGAAATGAGTGCAAAATAATGCAGCTAAAACAAGTGCGATTGTTATAATAATTAAATTTGTGTATGCTAATGTGCAGTGAGCACGTGCAGAGTTAAAATTCTATGCTAACGCAAAAAATTATGACGAAAAGCAGCAGCAGCAGAATACTCATACACTAACACACACATACACTTGCAAACGCAGGCACGCACGGACAGAAACACACACATATACTTGAAAGCGGAGGAGCTTGAGCTAGAACCTAGAGTTGTCAACGCTATCCGAAGAATTTCGTCATTGAGAGTGTCGCGTAGTGTATATGTTTGTGTGTGTGTGTGTTTTGTGCGTGCCTCGATTGCATGTGTGCGTGTGTGTGTAGAGTTCTGGTAGTAAAACAAAAAAGAAAGAAAACCCAGCTGCAAAAAAAGCCAATGAAAAAGTGAAATATACATAATTTGTTGAAAATACATGGCAGGTGCAATGCGGCAGGCCACATCTGGCTAGATGAAACTCGCCAGCGTTTGAAAAAAAGAAAAACTATTACATAAATAGTACAAAGTGTAAATGTAAATGTTATTGAAAAGCGCAAGGCGAAGGCGCCGCCGCTGCTGCTGCTACGACCGTCGCGCACGCTGTCGTCATCGCGGCTAATAAGAAGAAGAAACAATAAAGAAGAAATAGGAGAAAAAGTGGGAGCAGCTAGCAAAAAATCCCGTAACTATATTTGCGCTCAATATACTCATTGTTTGCCATTTCTCGCATACACATACAAAGCAGATATATACGTACATATATAGATGTGTATATATGTGTGTATGTTTCAATCTCGTGACTTGAAATTGTTGAGTATATTGACTCCTCTGGTCACAAAAATTAATATTGTAAAAATCAACTAATAATTGCTATTCAGTAAGGTTGAAGAAGGGGACGCGGTTGGTCACAATACATATATATATATATATATTGGATTGTGTGTATGTGTGCGTGTGTGAGTGACCTCGTGTCGGTGTGTCGCGTGCTTGTGCTTGTGTGTGTGTGCGGCAGCGGCAAGGAGTGTCATGCGTATTTTGCTGCCTCTGCTACTCCCCCTGAAGCTTCTGCCACGACAAACGCTTCGTATCATCAACAACAAACTGAATACGCGCAGCTCCTTTGCTCCAACGAGTTTTATCTTGTTTTCCGTTTTAATCATATGCGGGCTCTGAGAGACAATCACGTCATCCAGCCTGACACACACACACGCACGCACACTATAAAGTCATTTATGTTAACTTTAGAGCTGAGCCGCAGCTGTGTGTGTGTAGGCGGCCCATCAATTCTATTGTTATTAATATTGTTTTTTCTTCTTATTCATTTTGAGCTTAATCAATTCAATTAGAGTGTGCATATATATTAATATATACATATACATATACAAACATATCAAAATGTAAGTTCTTATCGTTTTCCAATAGCTGTCTTTATTAAAGAGTGACCTGATGTATGCTATACAAATAATACCAAAATTAGCTGCTTCCACTTCCTCAAATTTGTATAATAAAAAATGCTAGATATGACAAAATTATGTTTGCCGCTGATTAATAATTGCTCAGCATCACATCATCGACTGCGTCAATTTTGTTTTTGTTCTCGTTTTCGTAAGTCAGTCAGTGTGTGTTTGTATGTGTGAACAGTAAATAAACTATGACCGGGACACTGAGTCATGGCTATCCGATGACGTTATGCTGCGCTAAAAGGCAATTTGTCTCGCAAGTGGTTCGAACTTTGCCAATAAAACGCAAACTTTATCAAAAAAAAAAAAAATATTTTCCTCACACGTATATAGCAAGCTTCGATCGATATCGAGTTCGGCTGACAATCGATAACATGCGATTTGATCTATCGCGCTCAACAGTAGTTGTAAACTCTGACCGACAATAAGAAAAAATTTACAAATTGTAAATTACATGATACATTGTTGTTGTATTTTTGTGCGTTAGCTTTATGAGTGCGCGCGCGTCTTTTGTTTTCAACGCAACGAAATTAGCTTAGCAGCTACCCAGCTAAAAATCATGTCGAAACCGCTGCCAACCGCTTTTAGGCAGCTCATCAGTGCCACTGCCACCCTCCCCGCAGACGTAGTCGTCCCCTCTTTGTCCATTTCTGCGATTCGTGAACGTTTTACGTTGTCGCCGACTTGTATGTTTGTATTAAAATACTGCAATGAGCTCTTTATCTTAATTATATATGTATATGTGTATAGATATGTATGTATAAGTATGTGTGGAATATGCGTATAAATTCTGACGGAAACATACTGCGAATGTCGCCGCATGCACGTCGCTGCGGGGTAAACAAACTGCCGTTGCTCTGCAGCAGCTTCCGCCGCTGTAGTCGCCTACGCTGCCTCTACTGCTGATAACACTGCTGACAAACGAATTTCAATCTCAAAGCAACAGCAAAAACAATGAGCTAATAACAAATCCGTACGACTTTTATCAGTCAGCCATGACGACGTCGCCGTCGCTATCGTCGTCGCCGCCGCCGCCGTTGGCCGAGCAAGCGTCAGCCTGTTATTTTTTGCTCTGCTCGCTTTTGCCTACTCGCTCGCTTAGTGCACAGCGGCTAGTTCAGTCTGCTCGCTGATTTCGTTGCGTTACGTTTACGCTTACGTTGCTGCTGTGTTCCGTTCTGTTGTGTTCCGTGTCCGTTTTTTCGCCATTTCTTTTGGTTAGTGTCTAGCATTAGTTATAGACGCCAGTTAGTACGTAATTTTTAAAAGTGTATGAAATTAAATATAAATATATAAAAAAAAAATGCCACATTCACTTGCCATAATTTGAGCTTTGACTCATTTCTGAGTGCGTTTGCTTTTGAGTATTTTGCATGGACGTCAATGTGGCATATTTCAATTTTTGGTTTGCTAGCCAAAAATTCCTCGACCCCCAGTTTCGCTGCGTGTGTGTGTGAATGTCTTTCTCTGTCTGCATGTGTGTGTAAGAGAGAGAGAGAAAAAGAGCTTTTGGTTACGCATGTAAATGAATAACGTCAAAAAATAATTTAACGCGACAAACATAAGGAATTAGCAAAGAGGTGCAGTTGAATGTGACTTGCCTCTCGCCCTTCTTTCCACATCGCAAACCTTTGTGCTGTTAGCACGTGTGCAGCATATAATGCTGACGTCGATAAAAAATAGAGAGAAAGAGAGACAATGAGTGTAAAAATTATATTTAGTTGAATTCCCGTTTAGTTTTTATGATGTTGCTGCTGCTTTTTCACATCCTTGAGTTAGCTTCTCTTTCTCGCTCTCGCTCACGCACTTGAAGACGCCGCGGGCATTTTTCTGAGTTTGCTTTCGTTTTATTTTGAATTTATGTATTTTTAAATTTTGTGCAAAAGCATAAAATTCAAAGCGAACCAAACGAGAAGAAAGCCCCGAAAATAAAAGAAGAGAAAATAAAATATATGAAATTAACAAAGAAACAAAGCGAAATAAATATGAAATTGTTTGTTTAAAAAATCATTTTTTCTCTATATGTAAAACAAAATAGCGACAAGAAATAAGAACAAAAGCTGGAGCTGGTTAAATAAAGAGAAAGAGCAAAAAGAGAAGAATCGTTAGAACAAAACACAAAAACAACAAAACCAACCAACCAACCAACAAAACCAACCAACAAACAACCAACAACAACATCAACTAATATCAAATTTAATGTTAAGCATAATTAATTACAACAAATTGAAATCGTATAATTAAAGCTATACATAAATTAATATTAATAATGATCTAGTAAGTTAATCATAAAGTACAAAACAAAAAGAAATAAGCATAAATATAAAAAGTAAATAATAAACAAGCAACAAAAAATAATTAATCAATCAGCAAAATTAGTTAATGCAAATTTAATATGCAACCAATTTGAAACGACAACAACCGCAACAACAGCAACAACAACCAAAATAATTACAAAAATTCAATACAAGCAACAACAACAACAACACGGATCAATACCAAAGATGGAGGCAAAATTCTTGGCTAGCGCTCTTTCATTCCTCTCGATATTTTTAGCGGTTCATGCTCAATCATTTGGTAAGTAGACAACAACAATTACAACATGCAACTATACAATAATTAACAATAAATTAAAAAAAAAACATTAGCCCCCTATATATACATATATATTAACCCTATATTTAAGCTCTATATATGTCTGTCGTATACATTTTCTAATTGTATAAGTGTACATACATAACTGCAGCAGAAATTGCAAACAAAAACAAAACCCAAAAAGAAAGAAGAAAAGAAAAAATGATAGTATGTGGTCGCCCATCCCCTTTCACCCCGGTCCTAATTGCCTGGTGCCTTGCCGAACACTGTTTTTTTGTTGTCTCTGTCCATTTTCAATACAGTTATTTTTTTTTTTCTTTTTTTTGCAACTCCCAGCAGAACTTTTGAGTGTGACAAATGCAGTGCAGTTCACATGTGATTTTATTAAACTTAATTTTACTTGATAATGTCACTTAAAAATACATAGTTGATAATGAGAAAAAATTTCTATATACTACAATATTAATTTTAAAAATGAAAAATTTAATTTCTGTTGAGATACTTGAAATTTGAGAGAAATATCTTGTCATTTAATAGTTGCTCTTTCATTTTTAATTTAAAAAAATTTAAATTTCGACTATTTTTTGTGTTATGTAATTGTTTGTGATATATATGTCTTAAATTTAAATATTTTATTTCCTATTTATGATTTGATTTATATTATACTATAACAGGAGTTCAAATATGTTATGTTATGAGTATATGTATTTTTTCTAGATAAATATTTTACGAACTTCACTTTATATGATACGATCAGAGCGATGATAATTAGCTTAAAATTACATTTTCATTCAAACAGTTTTTAGCTAATAAAAAATAATAAAAATATATTTATGTTAAACATATGTGTATTTCATATATATATATATAAATATATATATATATATATATATATATATATATACATTATATATCCATATTTTATTTTTAAATATTATTAGCATTAATTAGAAACATATTGTTGTAGATAGTATTACACTAATCATGATATGTTTTCATGAACAACATTTTTTAGTGCAGGTGACACTAAATTTTTTTTAGTTTTCATATTTCCCCAAAGTTCTGCTGGGTTTTTGCCATACACATACACACACGCACATATACATAAGAGAACATAACATAACACACACACTCACTTACTCACACACATATTGAGCGAACACTTTCCTTTGCGCTTCTTTTTTATTTTCTCTTTTACAATGTAAGCACAGCCCCCTTCCGCCTCCTATTCTTCTTCAGTCCGCCCACCCCCCTTTAAGGCCATCAGGTTTTTTGTCCGCTCGCCCGCTCTCTTTGGCCGTCTCTCTTTCTACGTCTCTTTCTCTCTGTCGCTCTTTGTCGCCCGCTGTCTTTGTCTATCCTTTTGGCCTTTAGTTAAGTGTACTTGTGCTTCGATATTTTTGTGTTGCTTTTTATAGTTTATATTGTTGGTTGGGTTGGGTTTTGCTACTGAGACTGCGACTGGTCGACATTGTGTGTGTGTTTCACCTGCTCCCCGCGCCCCTTTCTCCTCTACCTGTACATATGCCCCACTATGATTATCTTCTTCTTCTGCTATTGCGCTCATTTGATTTTCAATTTTCCACACAATTGCAAAAAAGCAAAGAGAAATACGAAAAGCAACAACAACAACATCTAAAATATATTAAGTTCATTTTAGTATTTCAGTTTAAATCTCATGATTTTTTCTCTATTTTTGTTGCTTTGGGCATTTTTACACGGTCGCCAGGTAAGCAGCGCGCCTCAGTCTTAGCCGGTTGCCCGTAGACTATGTCCGTATAGTTGTTTATATGAACTCTTCGACCCGGTACTCGATATCCAATACTACATACTATGTATTATATAGCATATACATACTATGTATTATATACGATATATACCGGCTGCATTGTTTACACCTGCCCTGTTTGGCCATCAAAAAGTTCTCTTTATAATAGCCTTTGCCTTGCTTTCGACTCCAAACTATTTATTATTCTAAGCATATCTGTTCGATATCTGTCCATATATATATTTATCCTAACTATTGGCTACCTCTTTATGTATGTATTCCACATTCAAGGTATATTTTAATCGAGTTTTTGATTATTTTGTATTTTTCGTTTCATTTCATTTTGTGAGCAGCATTCAAAACTCTATAAATTTTTGATTCTATTAAAAATGATTATTGCATAAAAAGAAAACAGAAAAACACTTAACGAGATATTTATTGTAGCTTTCATTCAATTTGAATATCATTTCAATTTATAACTAATTCAAGCAATAAAAATAAATTTATTAACTGGAGAGAGACTATATATAATGTTAGATCTCTAACATCTTAAAATTTATTATATTAATAAATAAATCTAAATTTTCTTTTTTATTTGATTCGTTTAAATACTATAATTTACTATATTATAATAAATGTTTGTAGATGAATTGGTTTGCAGCTTAAACTATTTTTTATCTGGAGGCTACGTTTATGTAACTCATATTCCAGATTATTCTTCAATTAAACTTAGAATTCATAAGATATTTTATATATCAATTAAGATATACTTTAGTTGAAGAGTTAAAGATCATACAGTTTGCAAAAAATGAAAATATTGTCAAATTAATACATAGCAAAATAACACAAATTCAATAATAATAATAAAAAAATTTCACTCATTTTCCACCAGTTTAGGTGAGAAATTTTCGCGTTTTGAAAAGTATTTTAGGTATATTAAGACTTTCCATCTAGGGTATTTCAGTCTTCGCTGCAATCAACTTGCTCAGGTGTTTATTTAATCTATGTGATTATCAAAATTGTATTTTGCACATGTTTCTGTTTCTGTTTTTCCTTTATTTTATAATTATTTTATGGTACAATATTTCCAATGCCTTTTTTTTTTTGAATTGTTTACGTAAATAAACGGAATTATACGTAAAATAATGGAAACCTGGGCGAAAACTTTTGATATTGCAAATGCTAAATATTGTCTATATACATATACACAAATACATTCATGCCTCTGTGTGTGTGTGTGAGTACAAACCCGTATGACCGAGCACTATATGAATCACATATGTATGAGTCGAGTTGTTGGCCTCCTGCCTAGTGAGCTTTATAAAGTATTCGTTTGCCATATTTATTGTTGTTGTGGTAGAATACTTTGATACACTTCTAAAGAGTATTTCAATTTTCATATATATTAGAGCTCCTATAGATACAAATGAAAGAAAATGTTCTGTTCAGTGTAAGAAAAATATCTTATACGAAAATGACCTGTTTTTAAAGGTATATGTGAGATATTTGAGTTAAAAAATTGTATTTAAATTTGCATATACATAACTTCTTATCTTACCTAGAAACGTTTGAAACAAAAGCATCTTTTATGTGTAAAAAATGTATCTTCAAATATAAAAATATCTTTTCTAAGCAAACAGCTTTAGTTAGGGTATTTGTGTTTCGTCTAGGTCTATGCAACTCTTTTTCTAAATCATTTATTTTCTATTGTTTTTTTTTCTAGTTACTTCAAAGCGAATATTTCGTTTGGTCAGGGCAAAAAAAAGAATGAAAAGCTAAACCACGTGTTGTCCAGGTGTTTATGTTGGCTTATGTGAAGGTGTATATATGTTTTTTTTTGGCGTTTTGCACCACATTTTCATTTGACGAGGTTTCTCCACGCAGGTTTTTGAACTCCATATTTCAACAACAACAATCATCGTTTTTGTTTGTGTTTACAGTGGGGCTTACCTGTTTTGTTTGCCATGTTTATTTAATGGCATTTTCATTACATTAATAAATGTCAAATATTTAAATTTGCTGGCTCGCCCAATTTTCTCTACTGCATAGTCGTACAGTGGGGCAATTTTATTCGTTATTCAATTTTATTAAGAAAGTAAGTTACTAAGCCTAGCACAGTGAAGCAAACTGAATTTTTAATTCAACTTTAATCATATTACTTAAAAACAAAACTTATAAAATGTCATGTAAATGGCTGACACTGTGGGTTTAGTAGCCGTATTATAAATAATTAAATTTCTTAATTTCATTAATTTAATTTATTAGACGTTTCTACTTGCATTTAATTAACGCTTGATTTGAATCTTGATCTATAAATATGTTTATGATTTTTATTTTCTTTTATTTTTGTGTTTGATTGTTCTTCGGCTACTGCAAAAATATTATTTTTACAAAGATAATAAACATGAAATGTAATTTCCCTTTCAATGTCGTCGTCGTCGTCATTGTTATTGTTGCAGTTGTTGTTGCTGCGTCATAGTGAAAGAAAAGTCGCCCACCTTGTGTTGCGTGGGCGTGGCAACATTGTTCTATTTGCCTTTGCTGCATTTGCATTGCTTGCAAACTTGAATAGTTAGCACATTTTGTTATATAGAGGTTGCCTCTGTGTTTCCGCTTGTGCCAGATAATGACTGCTTAAACAGAGCAAATGCAACCACACACACACATACACAGATGAAAAGAGCGAGAGAGATAGAGAGCTAGAGAACGGTTACTGACGAACAGTTGTAATACAGTGAAATATCACTACTGAATAGCCTACAATAAAATCTTTTAGTATATAACATTAATAATATATATTAAAATATGTAATATCTATTTTGTTCTAAATATATATTAGACCTATACATACTTTAATTTATCTTAAGAGTTTAATTAGCTGATATTTAATAAGGGACAAAAAATAAAATAACGATACATTTATTCATTTATTATCATATGTTATATTATTCTTATTAGAAAATTACTTTTCCTTTATTTTTATTTATTTTAATTATATTACTATTATTATATTTTAAGTATTTTTTTGTCTTACGAAATTTGCTCATTCTTTTATTCATATTGAGACCAATTTCTAAAGCCATCATCTGTATTAAAGGCTTAAAAACATATTGTTCACTCGAGCGTGTCCTTACTGTACATATATGTATTGGTATATCAGCGAATTGCACCTTTTCGCAAGTCTTTTTAGCTGCGTTTCATGCTAATTTACAAC